ATGGACAAGCATGCCCCTGGCACGCTGCCGAAGCCATATTAGAAGTTGTTTTAGCTTGGTTGTCGTCAATGGAACCCCCACGGCTCTTGGTTGCCGGACACAGGGGTGACAAAGGAAAGAGCCTCATCTGGACTGCCCACGGGACGCCGATCGTCCACGTCCGTCCGGCACAGACACGGAGAATCGCCCGGTAATCAGCGTCCAAATCGGCGATTGCTGTCGTCGAGAACCTTGGCAGGGGGGAAAATGGTCCAAGGAGGAGTGAAGACCCAGGTTGAACAGCCCATTGCCGTTGTCTGTGTCCGAAGGCTTTTGCCGGCATGTCAGGAAACGGGAATGGATCTTCTGGTGGTGTCTTGTCTCGTTGAAAGACGTTTGTCAATGCCGAAGTCTGGGCGGGCCGAAGTGTCTAGGTCCTTGAAGCCACAAAGCCACAACAGCGAACAAGGGAGACAAGGGGATGACGGGAGCTGGAAAGGAAGGACTTTCCCTTTCAGGCGAGGGACGCCATGTAGACACAACCACGCAACATTTCTCGGCGGAAACATGCACGACAAGAACTTCTCAGCTCAGCCCATTCCCGACGCGATTGAACGGCGGTGGCTTGCTGGCCAGGCCGAGCTTTAGATTTTGCGGCTGGGGAGGTTTTCCGAAAGGCGGCCCCCATCGGAAAACTCCAGCACAGCGCAGCACCACATCAGAAAAACACAATGCAAGCCTCAGCGGATCCCCGAGAGAGGCACAGATGGCCCGACGGCCCCTCTCTCTCTCTCTCTCTCTCTCTCTCTCAAAGGCCAACCTTGGAAGGTTGTGCCAACAGCCGCCCGCCCCGAGGGACCAGCAACCGCCGCGCGTGTGCCACAGGAGATGGGGACAATAGCCGACAGACAGCACGAATCAGTCAGGCATCCCCATGCACGACGACTTGACTCTTGATCCCTGCGGCTTGCAACGTCCCTGCTTCTTCTTGCTCGCTCTCGTCGGCAGTGCATCGCAGGGAAATTGTCGTACGTGCATCGATCCGCCAGGGGCAGAAGGAAGAACGCACGCCCCCCTGACATGCAAGTCTACGGTCCTGCTCTCGGCGAGGCCGTCGGCATCGTCGTCAATGCAGGATTTGTTGCGTCAACGCCAAGCGGGTGCGATAAAACAACACGGCCTGAATATCGATTGGACCGGTACATGATGAAGAAAATTTTTTTTTTTTTTGTTCTCTCTCCAGCCAGCCTGCTCGTCCTTGATACGCAGGTCCCCTTTCTCCGCAGGGGCTAAGGGCATCGCCGCCGCAGACAAAGGAGACCGACGGCTATCACCCTGTCCTGTCCAGTCCAGTTTTAGCCCATGACCTGCTGCGGGCTTGCGCGCGCGGGTTTTACCCCGTATTTTATCGCGCGAGATAAAAGGCGCCGCAAATGGGGCACATTCTTGTTGTAGTTCCACACCCGGTAATCTAAATCGGGACTTTGTCGTTCTTGGTGCTGGGCACTTTTATTATCATCGTTTTGCTTCTTGCCGTTCAGCGGTTTCGGATTTCAAGAGACCCCTCCCCTGGCAGCTCAACGTTCCCCCCCGTCCCCATGTCCGCCCCATCTCCGTGTGTCGCCATCCCGCCGTCCCACTCGGGCAGAGACCCCATGAAAAAAGAGGCGAACCGGCGGGCGGGACTTTGAGCCGTGTACAACAAAAAAAGAAATTGTCGTATCATCTGCCTTAACATCATCATCCAGGAGGGTCGCACAAGGTGGCCCACTGCTCTCGAGAAGGCCAAGAAAGGTGGGCACGGGACGAAACCAGCCAGGCCCAACATGGGCTGACACAGCGAGGCGAGCTGAGCTGAACTACACAGTACATAGCAAACAATCCCTGTGTGCGCGCAAGAAACAAGCAACAGAAGGGCATCTAGACCCGAGCGCGATCGTTCTCCGGAACCAACGGGCTCAGCAACACAATAGGCAAGTGTAATATTATACAAAATCTCAGCCGCAGCGGAGGGAAGGGGGGGACCGCCAAATAGCGTTGCCCAGAACGACCCGACATCCCAACGGTCATCAAGATCGGCAGAATACCACACGGGAAGCAGCCTGCCTGCATGAGCACCCCCAATTTGACAACCAACAGCAGCAACCCCTGCCTTGGCCAATGAAGCCTCCCACACTTTGCGCAACTGCTATGCATTTTCTAGAATGAGCGCGCAATTGAAAGGGTGCATATCGAATCAAGTTGCCAGGTATTACGGAATGTGTTCTTTTCTCATTTGTGCTACTGTACCCGTGGTTTCTTGCTTGCTTTCTTGTTTGCTTGCTTGCATGCGGCCCTCTGATTTATGGAGGGGTTTATTTGCGCGGCATACATCTGCGCACAAAATCTCCCTGCCTGTCTGGGTTGAAAGGGAAGGCGCCGAGCCCGTCCGTCCTGTTGAGTCCCGCGGATACGGAGCTGGGTTATTGATTGCATGGAAAAGCGATTGCCTATCGTACGCGCCGAGCAGACTTGTCGGTCATTTCCGAGTTGGGAGTTTTGCGATGGAGGGGATGCAACGATACCGAAACTCCCGCGGAGATCGGTGTCGCGAGGCGCAAGAGGCGTCGTCATCACGAACCATCGTGCCTTTACAACCACATTCCACTGAGGCCGGTGCGCAATATCTCTCGAGTCGTGCAAAAGGCACACAAAGACCGGTGGACAAAACCCGTTGCTCTGCATGACATGATCAAAAAGTCATGGCACGTGTGTGTGTGTATGTGTGTGCGTCTCGATGTCACGATCCTTGCAAAGCGGTTCCTGGCATGCCTCTGGGGCATGTATGATGGTACTGTTAAGAAGCGCGCCGTTGCAGAATCACGCAGGTCGAGTCATGTCCCACAGCGCCGTTGGCCTCCAGGCACGTACGCACGCAGGGTCCTTCTCTTTTTTTTTTTCGCCTCCCTCAGCTCACCGAGAAACACCTAGCCCACACCACTTCGGGGGCTCCCGTCCGATGAACCGTCAGCTGCTCCGGCATGTTTTGTTGCCTGGCCTGACTTGGGACGGACGCGTGGCCAAGCAAGTCCTAGTCAAGTACGGTAGTGGCACACGTCAGGGGCTTTTGGTCTCGGCCGCGGGTGAGCGGGATCTCGGTCCCTTAGAAGAATTTCTTGCAGATGGGCACGAACGATTCCGAGGGCACAATAGGAAAAGGTGGGTTTCCGGTTGTCGTTGTTGGCGGTTCCTTGTTGCGGACGGAAAAGAGATGTTTGTTTGTTCCAAGATTGGGTTTGTGTAGAGACCAAGCCGCCCGGCGTGACCGGCTGGGCCAGCTGGGGTGGTGCGGCAGGCCGGGGTGCCGGGACCGGCGGCGGCGGGCAGCAGGCGAGGGCAGGAGAGCGAGGTGCAGAAACCTTGGAGGTTTGCATTCTAGAAGGATTCTCGAAGTGTTCTGGGGCCATGCCGGAACCGGCTAGCCCGTGGCGCGCCAGAGGCCAATCAGCACCGGCTCGCCACGCACAGTGCCGCGCACCGTCTTTTGTCCCCGCTTGTGAGTAGTCACACGAGCGAATCGCCACCAGTGTCTAAGCCGCGCAAGCCTTCTGGGCGGACCCTTTGGGACAGGGGGGCGTGGGTGGGCTGGCTGATAGCCCTGTTGTTGTCGAACGAGGCAGGGCTGCCAGGGGTGTGATTGGGCGACCTGGCCAGGTCGTGGCAGCGACAAGAGGTACAAGGCCCTCTTGTACTGCTGGCCACCCTCACCTTGAAGCCGCTACTGCAGCAAGCCCGAGGCGGCAGAGGACACGGAGGGGGGGTCACCAGGGTGCGCCCACAGAAGGGGGGCGACTCGAGGAGAGCGTACTGTACAATGCGAGCAAGCCACCAAACATCAAGGCAACCAGTCCAGCCCTTGGTGGTGGTGGTGGTGGTGGTGTGTAGCCGCAACGCCTCCTCCATCTACGGAATACGGAAATGCAATGGTGGATGAATGTGATTGTTTGCCCGGGGAGGGGCACAGCGCACCACTACGGCAGCCTGGCGGGTCGCAACTGATCAATGACAGAGTACCCCCTTCCACGAGCGACAACGGGAAAGCGGGTGTGCAATGTGCAACGTGCAATGTGGGACGCGGGCAATATGCTGTGTCTTGTTACGCGAAACACTCCGAGTCCCACAGCCGCCGAGTTGCCAGCTGTGTGAATTGCCAACGGGCGCAACTGTGCACTGCTCAACAACAACGACAATAGCAAACAACAACGTGTGGCATTTGCGTTTGCATCTCGTGCTTATGACGTTGTCTGCCTGCAGGACGTGTGTGAGACGCTAATAGCGGTGCCGTGACGCTGCTTTGGCGCGGCTTCCAGAACGTCTCCGTGCCACTTCACGGGGCCCATGACGATGGCCGACAGTCACCATCATCCATGGGGCCTCGAGGCTCACGAGGTACGCCTTGCCTGCCTGCCTGCCTGCCTTGCCTGCCTGCTGCAACCCCTCCTGATGCACCGTGATGTGCCTCCTGCCTCTGTGTGTGTGCATGCGGAGAGGGACGTTCCATCTCGCCCCCCCCCTCTCGAAATCCCCGATCATGCCGGCGTGCAAGGCGTGCAGGATCAGCATATTGCCCAGCCTCTATTGCGTCTCGTGCGTCTGGCGTGTGTAGCACAGGCAGGGGTGGTCAACACCCACCTCGGCGCCCTTCCAACGGCGCCGGGCCACAGTCGCCGAGCACACCTGCTCCCAATTACTGCGACACAGTGCTGTCCAATGCCGTAATGATGCATACAAGCCCGTCAGCAGCAGCAGTAAGGGCCACCCCTGGCCTGGCTGCTGCTGCTGCTGCTGCTGCTGCTGCTGCTGCACCATGCGAGGAGAAGGACAAGAAGGACAAGCAAGGACAAGCATGCTTGCCTCTCGCCGTTCCAGCCAGCCTGCCATCACTGCATGCCAGCCAGGGTGTTGTTGTTGTGGGTGCTGGTGCCTCCCTCTTTGTTCTCTCTTTCCTTTCCCCTCATCTCATTGTCTCCGGCCTGGGGCGTGCGGGGTGCATGGTTGTCACCTTTCGGCACTCAAACACGAGAGTAACCCCCCCGTTCGTACGTGGTGAGAGCCGTCGCTAGGCCGTCACCCAAGCCACTGCTCCATCTCGCCGCCGCACCGTGCAAGCCGGGACATTAATTATGAGGAAACTGCATCATCACAAGCGAAGGCCAACGTTGGCAAAGACAAGAAGAAGAAGGCGCCGTGGTATCGGCACCAAGCTTCCTAGCGCAGCCTCGTCCGTTGGCAATGACAACCAACCCGCGCCCTTCCACGACTCCAAGAACTCCCAGGACACGGCCCAGCCGCTCCGAGGGGCTGGCTGGCTGGCCACAGGACTAAGCGACGACCGTCCTAACATCTCCTCGGAGGATTATACCACGCCCTCCTCTGGGTGCCTCACAGTAGTCTCAAAACCCCCCGATCCCCAAGCGACAAGCCTGTCTGGCTCGCATTCCACGGCGTGCACACAGACACAGACACAGACACACCAAAACACAAACACGTTTCCGCAGCCAGCCAGCTCCTGCAACTCTGCCCAGATGCCCAGAGGCGTGTGTGTATGTATGTATGTGTTTGTTTGTGTGTGTTGTGTATGTGCATATGTGCTATCGGTCATGCCACATGCAACGATAGACTTTGGCGCTAGAATCGGTGCTTCGCTCTTTCGCCTTTTCTCCACATGCCCCCCCCCCCCCCCCCAATCTCCTCTCCGTCCCCAATGGTTGGAAGAGGACTTCTGGCGTGTTTGCGATCCGAGCCATGCTAGCTAGCTGTTAGCTACATGCAATGGCCTCAATGGTTAGCGGGCGGGACGGAAAGAGGCCAATCATCTCCATGGACGGTGGCAGGCACTCTCCCGTGGACGGAGGGTCTGATTGGCCGGTGCCGGGGGCTAGAAGAGGGGGTTTTCCGCTGTCGTTGGCCCCTGGGCCAGCCGAACTGCCCAGCCCATGCGCAACGACGTAAGAGTTCTTGATATCATCCCCTCCCCAATGATGCAAGCTATGTTATGTCCTGTGTCAGGGGGCGGACTCTTTCCCTAGAACAGGCACAATCAAATTACTGTACGTTTTTTTTTTTTTTGGGGGGGGGGGGGGGTTTGACTTCGATGGTGTCTAGTTCTGCCGCGGTCAAAGAAGTGGCTTGCACGGCTAAGCGTCCGAGTGGCGAATGGCCTTGCCATTGTGACTTGCTAAGTAAGGTAAGCATAAACCCGGAGAGGTCAAGGACAAAGCGAGACTTTTCTTTGTCTTGCTGCGCGCGCGCGCTCCCGTCACACCCTACGGAAGTGCCATGCATCTCATGGGACTGGCGCGTTGGAGATATGATGATTAGATGAATCCCGGACGCCGGCGATCCATCTCATGTCTCTGATTCAAGGAACTTTTATCATGCCATTGAGATGCTGAAGAGCAAGATGTGGTTCCGTACGCCATACAGATAAAGCAAACGTGCAGCAGCAGCAGCAGCGTTGGCGTCTACCAAGCACACCCAAAAGACCCTTCCCTTTACTACCATCACAGAGCCGTCATGGACCGTTCGCCGCGGCTTGTGTGATTACACCACATCACATCAGAACAATGCCAGCCGGCGTTCTTCGTTGCGGACCTTGGGCCCTGTAGACTTAAAAGGGTAAGCGATCGCCAGCAACCCAGGGGTTCCCATTTTTAGGTCTGAGCACCCACCATCCAAACACCTGTCAACTGCAGCCGACTCCAACCAGCCAAAGTCTCCTCTTCTGCTAGAGGTTCCCCCTCCCCTCTCCGCACCCCCCTGTCCCTGAGCAGCAAATGCTCACTCACCCACCAGGCGTGCCGTGATTGAGTACTAGCTAGCTAGCGTAGCGTGCAAGAGAAGGGCGGAGTTTTGTGGACCGAGACGCGCCCGCCCTGCCTGCCACGGGACCTGCCGGATCTGCTTGGCCGTCAGTTTACCTTTTTTTGATATCTGTTTGTTCTTCCCTTTGGGCTCTTCTCTGAATCTGGTCCAGGGCATGAACACAGCATCAGCACACAGCGAATCTCCAGCATTTAAGCATGGATGCGTTTGTGTGGGCGCGCGCGGGTGCGTGGTCGCTTTCCCCCCCCCCCCCCCCCCCCCACATCCGTCAGGGCGGGTGAGACGAAACACCTGACGCTGAGCCTCGGAGTATTCCGTTTCTGGCTGCTGCACAAACCCATGTCTCGCTGAATAACCTATCGCACAGAGGACAGACGAATTGATTGATAGAGAGAGAGAGAGACCTGTCTCAGATGCGTGGTGGGCGGATTTAGCAGCAGCTGTCAACCGAGTCTGACTGGCGCGCGCGGGGGCGCAGGTATGGGGCGCCTTGGCTGGTGCCGACCTTTTGCTCAACTGGGCCGAGTGGTGAGTGCATGCACGGAGGCATATGACGTGCCGAGATGAGACACTTGGGTGAAGAAATGACATCGTCGGTGGCGAGAGAGAGAGAGCGAGTGACTTGCAGGGGAGCGAAGGGAAGGATGAAAGCCCTCTCCCCCCCCCCCCCCTTCCCAGCCGAGACATGCAATGCTGAGACAGGTGCACACGTGTAACTGCATTCTCGCAGCTTAGGCTTCATGTAGTCCTAGACATTAGAAAAGAACGGCGCAAGCCCCAGCGAGAAACTATGCTTGAGTACACCACTATTTTCCACGATTAGCGTGGGGGACGGCTCAAAAAAACCAATCCGTCTCAGCAATTGCTAACTTTCACTGTGTTAACGTGGACTTGTTCGTCCCGGCCTTCCGAGACATCCAAGCCGTTTCGAGACTCCTTCTGGAAGAATTGCTCAGGTTGCTTGTGCGTGTTTGGTTGGGGATTGAGACACATAACAGGTCATGCGAATGAGCCCTGCTGTTGAGTTTCAGTTCTATGTCCAAGTCACAGCCCGCTACGCAGGGGCACCACACGCTGCACCTCGTACAGAGAGAGCAGTCACACAGTAATTGTTTGAGTGCTGACGGCTTACATTTTCCGCGGGCGCGCCTTCTGTCCGTACACAACGTACATAACACATTCAAGAGTCCCGACGGGGGGCGGCTCTGCACTTGACTCGGACTGCGCGCGACCTGAAGCATTTCCCGTTCGGCATAATTTCAATCGTGGAGATATAGCATTAAAGAGCCCTTGAAAGGTGGCTCCTCTTGTTCGTCGTTGGAAACTTGCGATTGGTCTCGCCCCCACGAAGACGACGACGACAACGACGTCGGCAGCATGAGCTTCAGGGCGGGCACGACAGGCAGGCACCCCCAGCAAGTCTTCAGGTCTCCCCCCAGCCTATATCTTCGTTGTCCATGGCGTGCCTGGGACCCTTGCATTCCGGGCAGGGGCATGATCGGGGATAAACATCTACTTTAGGCGTTGGGCCACCGACCCTGAATCACCATAGAAGAGTAAGAAAAGCCCTGCAGATGCTCCCCGACGCAGGCCGCGAAAGACTGGCTGGCCGCAGAAGAGTTTCGTTGTGCGCCTGCATGGAGAAAGCAACAAAGAATAAGCAACCACGTCTGGGGCCGGTGAAGAAGGGGAATGAGACCCAGTTACGACATTGGCTGGGCTGGTTCCTCTGCGTTGTCGTGCGTCGAGGGGGGCGCGTGCCCTGCCGTCAATCGCCCTCCCCCGAGGCCAATCGTTTTGCGATTCCTTGGACGGAGCTTGCCAAAAGGAACTACTGCCTGCAACCATGATCCCAACCTGTGCCGGATTTACGCAAAACAAGCTTAAAAAGACTCGCTCGAAAGACCCCTCCTCCTCCTTCTCTCCAAAGCCCTACGTGGCCGCGCGGAAGTGGACTCTCTCAGGTGTGTATGTGTTTCTCGCAGTGGGCCGTCCTTCCTTCTTCCGCTTTGACCTCGTCTCCTTCCAAGGTTGCTCCGCCCAAGTGCCGCGCACGTCCTGCATGATGAAACTCCGTTTGGCCACGGCTCTGTCTCCCCGTCGCCCGCTCCCAGCCCACGGGAGCAGCGGGTGCAAGGGTGCGTACAGTAGCAGCTGTCCGTAGGAGCCATTCGCTGCATGGCGTCCTGCAAGGGCGCATTCCGGTGACAACTTTTTTTTTTTTTTTTTCCTTTCTTCCTCAGATTGATTACTCCGTTAGGCTGAGAATGAAGAAGTGGCATGGGTGGATGGGCTTCAAAACGGGTGCGCAGAGACATGCTGATCTTTGCTTCCCCCGTCGATAGCGCGGGTTTTCTTTCGGGTCACACAGGGCACATGGGCCTCCCGATATGAATACCTTCCCTGTCTGACTAGAGTTGTGGCCGCCGATCACTTCAGAAAATCCATAATGTCCGTGCTGCAGAAGTCACACAAGCCGATGCTCTCTCTTGAAGGCTCTCCGCCGCCGCCAAGCAAGAGCTCGGGGGTGGCGGAGAAGCCCCAGGACAAAAGCAGTTTGGAAACTAAGGTACGTACATGATTGATGGGCTTCAGTTGTGGCTCCTCGTCACAAAGATCATCCACCCAAAACCTCAAGGGGTTTTCATCATAGGGATACACACACACACGTGCACACACTACTGAATCAGTGCGCCGGCCCCAATTTGGCGCCGCCGTTGGTGCTATGCCTTTTCCAAGCAGGAGCGCGTTGCCGATCATCTTCTTCTCCTACCAGTCCACTGGACAAGAGAGCCGAGTCTCTCTCTCTCTGTCTTTGCACAGCCCTCCCAAAGCTGTATCCGCCACGCACGCTCGCGCGCTACCACTGCTGCGAGGGTCCGTCCTGCGCGCCCCAAGAGAGATCTTGGCGGAGGGAGGAGGAGTGAAGAGGAGAGGATTACTGATGTGAATGACGCCAGGGCGCGCCGCGCTACCACCGGTGCGGTTATCGTATTGCACTACTGTAACTAATTACTCCGGTAGACCACGCCCAGCTTTATTCGGGCTCAGGAGAGCAGAAAAGGCCGCTATGCGCTCTCGGCAGTCGTTGCCCTGATGACGTTTGTGCGCATGAGGCCGAAATCTTTAATTTTAACCACAAGAAAGAAACTTTGGCGGCTCTGGGGAATGGGGCAGGCAAGCGTGATCATTAGTACATACCATTGCCTATGACTCGCCCGGTGGTGATATGGTGCCAGTCCTCGTCCCACCTTGGGCGGCGGGATGTGAGCATAAGGCCAGTCAGTCCCCTTGCTTGGAGACAAGAGAACGTTTGTGTGGTGGAGTCACAGAGTGGCACGGCATTAATCTCCGAGCAGGCGTTGCCGGAGGTGTGTAACGCAATCCTGGGCGAGCAACACACCATGGACGCCAATGGGCCAATGGGGTAGGCCCAGCCAGCATCCATCATCACGAGTGAGAGATAGTCGCTGCTGGGAAATTGTGCGACGTGGCGGAGGTGCATCTCCTCCTTGTGCATGCATGGGGGGGGGGGGGAGGACCATGAGCAAAGTGCGGGGTTGCAAGGGCAGGCGGCCGGCAGATAAGGACGTCGGGGGGGGACAGACCCACTCCCTCCCACTCTGTGACCACGGTTGGTGGGTACGAACATGGCCGTGATGCCATCCCTGAATGGATGTCCTCAAGGGACCGTTGTCTGGCAGTCTCGTTCATTCATTCATCGGTGCTGTAATGAGAGACTTGAGGATGCGACATCATCATCATCATCATCATCATCATCATCATCATCATCATCATCATCATCATCATCATACACTATGAGGTGTTGCGCATTCAAGCCACTGCCCCCCGATGTCTGGATGATGGTGGTTGGTGATGTGCGCATCTTCGTCGACGACACGGGTCCCTACGCCGGTAGGTCGTCCACCAACTCCGGGAATACTATGGCAACACCGAACTTCGCAGCAAGCGCAGCTGGAAGAGGTGGGATTTGTAAGCCCTCAAAACTGCGGCTGTCTCCTCCTGCACGACCCCAGACGCCTGGGCCAATGGCGACGACCGCCTTAATCAAGGTTAAGACAATGCTGGCGCTGGTCCAGCAGCTGCGAGATCGCCGTTCGCTGAGGAGCAAGAGTCAGGTACCTGGCTGATCGTTGTGGGCAATGCTGACCAAGGGCGGAGATTGTCAGACGCAGCGGCGTCCCTGCGACGACATTCCATAGTATGAGCGAAGCTTAGCATGCATGGCCGGCCTCGGGCCTTATCACGGGCAGAGTTGATAGGCCCTGCAGGGGTTGATCGGTGCAACCCCTTCTCTCGGCAAGTTCCTTGGGGATTGGGGGACCTCCTGGGCACATTCCAGGGTGCACATCAGAGTTCAAGGTCAGCACCAGTGGCAGGCAATTCCAAGCCAGCCCAGCCCCAGCTGGGGTGACTCGGCGTGGGAGCCGGACTGCGTGGCAAAGAGAGCGAGCTCCGGCCAGGACGATCATGTGTCGTCGAGGACTACAGCCGTCTAGACGCCTCGTTGGCTCATCTGCCATGGCATGCATAGGCCAGCAAACGAAGCCAGCCGAGTACGTTTAGAAGCCCGGGCTGCATGTTGACTGGCACAGAATGTCGCAGACGGGATGCCGGGTCCGGCATTGGGCCCGGCTGGCTGGATCAGACCTGACTTTGGGCTGTGTTACACGGCGCTGAGCTCGCCCGACTTGGAATTAGCTTCCATGCCGCGTGTCGCGATCCATGGACTCGTGCCTGCCGCTTGGTGTTTGCCGACGACAATCACGTGATGCAACTTGCTGGGCGCAATTCTGAACCAAATGCCCATTGCTTTGCTTGCGCATGCGCAATTGCGATCCTGCCCACCCTGGGCCGGACATTGACTACTGGGAAACAGGCGTGCCGGACTTGTCCCCAAGCCCGAGCTGGCTGTGGCCTGCAGCACGGCCAGCAGCACGGCGAGCAGTACGGGGATGTGGACACTCGTCGTCTGGCGGGCCAGGGCGGCCTTTAGGCGCGCATCGGGTCAACAACCAGTGACACAGCGGCAGCGCGCAAGGCCCGTGCGTAGGCCCTTTGCGGTTGCGCTGACACCATTCGTTGATCTAGGTTGGGTGCGTGGAGAGGGCATGGGATTGACGAGTTGCTGGCGTGGCATCGCAAAACAATCACGGCCCAGTCACTGGTCTCTCTCCCCAACGAGCAACTGCCGGATGCGCAAACCCAAAGCCACGAGGCTGGGTCCAGAACCTGACGATAGGAGCCGTGATCCGAAGGGCTGCTGTCGTCAAGTTGCGTTGATTGTTTGATTGATTGAGTGATTGTCTGCCTGCTGGCACATCAGAGTTGCGTGGTGGACGAGACGCTGGGCCCAGGCAGTCAGAGGCTTGGGCTGCGAGGGCCTTTCGAGAAGGAACCCACCTGTTGAATCAGGCAAGGCGGCAAACGGGGGCTTCCAGGTTCGCCGTGGAAGCCGGGGCGGAACCTCTTGGAACTTTGTGCCCAAGTACCTTCTGCCGCTGGCTTCTAGACGCACCCGCCTGCAGGCCAAGGGGAGGGGGGCAGGACAGGGGGCCACGCATGGGCAGGGGCATAGGAGCCTTGTCCAGCGAGCCCACTCCGACTGGCCCCTGCCTGGGCACTGTGCGTGCTGCCCACTGGCCCGGGGGCACTCTGTGGCCTGTCCGCTTGGTCGACATGGGCCTGCCCCCACTGCGCGCTCGCCGGCCCTGCAAAGGTCCGCGCCATCCCTGTTTCGGCCTGGCGCGCCCAGCGCCCCACCTGCCTGGTTTCTGCAGATGTCATCCCCCCCCCTTCCAGATGCGCGTGCATCCAAGTGTCTTACCCGCTGGTGGGCCCTGCTCGTGCTAGGTAGCGCTAGTCGAAACTGCCCACTGCTCATGCGCAGCCACTCTTTTCGCCTGTGCTGTCTGCCGGTGGGTGGTGCTGGTGGTGGTGCTGTACCATGTACCACCCTGGGGCCGCCGCGATAGACTACTCGCCTGTCCGCACCTCCTGCTTCTTCCACTCTTCCCGCCCTATGACTTGCTCCTCTTCGACCTCATCCTGCTTCTTCCTTCGCACCAACCAAGCTGCTTACCTTCTCGACCACCACAGCGACGACGACAATCTCGACTGTACTACCACCGTCTGCGAGCAGACCGCCATACATCCACACGCACATACACACTCGCGCACCACATTGCTTGCTTGTCCCAGAGACTGGTCTCGACTCTTCACTGTTGCACACAGACACACACATACACATCTTTCGTGCACCCCGGACTCTCTACTCTTGTATCGACCCGGCCTTCTTTCACTCGGGCACCAGCCACTTGATCAAACCACTGCAACAGACAGATCTTCAACACTCGCTTACCTAGTTCAACCGCAACAAGCCATTCTGTCAAGCGATTGTGTCTCGAGACTTCTATGGCGCAATAACATCATAGGGAGCTCATCCCATACTCTAACACCCCAAAAACACTCAGCATTTATACTGCCTTGGGGCCATTATGGGATTGTCTAGCCTCCGTGAGACCTCGTCTACTTTCTTCTCTTCCTCGAGAAGAGCCGCCTCGCCCCCAACTTCCGTCTCCAGCCAGTCCTCCGACATGCACTCCGCCATGAACCTCTCTACAGGTTCAACATCCTCTCGAGGGTCGAGCATGTTCATTCCCCGCGTCGACTCGCCAACAATCAAAGCTCCTTCTCTCGCCGAGATTCTCGCCAACACCGCCCAGGCGCCATGGACACTGAGCGCCTTCATGGCCTACCTCTCGCAAAACCACTGCATGGAAACCCTCGAGTTCATCCTCGATGCCGGCCGCTACCGCACGACGTACGAAGTCGCCAAGTCAGAGCCTGCAGATGCTTTGACCAGCCTGAACCACCTCTCCTCTCTTTGGGACAAGCTCATTGACGCTTACATCCTACCGTCTTCCCCTCGCGAGGTGAATCTGCCCGCATACATCCGTGACAGCCTTCTCCGGCAGAAGTGCCGCTCTACCGATGCGCCGCACCCTTCAAAGCTGGACGACGCCGTGAACATTGTTCACGAGCTCATGCAGGACTCGCTTTTGGTACCATTCGTCGAGTCCATGGTACCTGCCCTGGTCCAGTCTGCTTCTGCTGAGAATCTAAACGAGCAGAGACAGAGCCGGTCTATGCTTCGACACTCGCAGCTCAAGACCTCCGATGCGGACGGCGCGAGCCAGTCACCCAAGTCTACTTTTCTCCCCCTGTTCACCAGCATGCGCCGTGGTTCTCCTCGTCGGTCGTCCGCCGCCTCGATGGAAGTTGACGATGCTTTGTCGGAAGACACAGCAACACCTCAATCGGCAGTTGGTGCAGACATGATGACGCCGCCCACCACCCCACCTACCGCCGACTATGCCTTCCCCATCATTACCACCTCGGTCGCTACCCACTCCACATCTGCGTCTAGTAGCTGGAAGGATAAGATCAGGCTCGGCCTCGGTAAGAAGAACAAGACCGGACGTCGCCCCGCGCCTACCAGTGGCACCGCTGCCCCTGTGTCATTATGAAGGTCACAGGTTGCACCATCATCTGATCTTCCACACATGCCAGCTGATCCCACACCGTCAGCCGACGTAGTAGTATCCTCAGTGGATACGAGTCGCTCGCAGACATCTTGGGAAGACCCGCATCCGGGGCAAAAGCTAGCAATCACAGAGACGACATACTCATGTCGATCAAGTGGCGAGAAGATTACAGACGGTGCAACCGCAAAAGCGCGGTGCGCAAACGGCAGTGGCAGCGCCGGACGTGTCCGACGTGGATCGACCATTTCAAAACAACTAGCGATCCCTGCTCAGGTCCCAGAAGAGATGGAAGCAAAGGCATCGCCGCCCCCTCTATCGATCTCTGACAGCCCGAGCTCTCCTCCATCGCCTCCTGATGGACGTGCGGATGAGGCAGCAGCCATGGACGTGGATACAGACACCGAGACAGGCACAGACGGCGGGTTCGAGAGTGTCACATTCATCAAGAGCCTTCACAACAAGGACGAGCCACGGTTTACCGACTTTTCCAACTTCCTCGGCATTAACATGCCAGAAGACAGCGACAGCACGCTAACTGTCATCAACTCGGATCTGTACAGTCCTCTAAATAACGTCGAGGATGTGTACGGCTGGGATGCCGACTATGAAACCAAGATCAGATTCGGCATCACTGCGGATCGGGTTTGTGGCTGCGAGTGTCAGCATGCAAAGACCTTCGGGAGCAAGCGAAAGCTCCTGCACCGAGTCTTTGCGCTGCAGACCGGCCGCAGGCAAACACGGGAGTCCAGCTGTTGAAAGCGGACACACTCTCGCATCGCGAGCGAACACTTCTTCCCTCACCCGTCAACCATTAATTAATCAACTTCCACGCATCACTCGGCGTCAAATAACATTTGGCAGGCGGGTTTTCTGCATACTTCGGGGGCACACAAAAGGAATCACCAGGGCATGCATACACGACCGGAAACCAAAATCAAAGACGGGGACCTTTGTCAAAATTACCAAACATCATTTCAGGCACGGCGTTTCGGCAACTTCTTTGTTCGTTGTACATATTGTAGGGGAAGCGGTGGAGCATCTGAACAAGACTGTTCCGCCGGATTTTTGTCATGGGTTTGTATGCATACACACCATCATCACATCCGGCATTTGGGAGTTGAGCGAGCATTTTTTTTGAGTCGAGAGACGAGGACATGATAAAGCATCACGAGAGACATTGCATAGGAGTTTGTTGATTAATTGTCGCCCAGCGATCAACTGATAGCACAAAGAAGATACCCGTTCTCCTACTCCCATAAAACTTGGTTCATCTTCTGCTGCGTGTGATGAGAAGGCCACTTGTCGGCTCGATGACGATGCGTGTGACAGGAGAGCACTGGGCGTCCCATGTCATGAACACAGGTAGTGAATAAGTTGACGCTTAGACACCCAACGTGTTCGTTCGTAACGTGTTTCCACCCATTTCAAGAGCCGGCCGTCATTGGTCACGCCGCCCTGATGCTCCGACACCTTTGCTGCCACATGTTAACCGCAAGATGGCCTCGCCACGTATTGAGCTCGGCCTGGCCGCCTGCCCAACTTGTGACAGAAAGAAATCACACGCCAGTGGCGGCAGATAATCCGTTGGGCGGCCCTGTTCGTCCAGAAAACAAAGGACGTGAAAAGACTGTGGCGATCGATTATCGTCGTCGTCGTCGCTCCCTGGACACACCCCTCCTACCCGCGCGACGAGGCAAGGGGCGCGTTGCGGGACTTGAAACGTGAAAAGCACACACACACATACACACCCACACACTCACACATCTCTAATCAATGGCTTGTTGGTAGTGTATACTTTCAAAGCATGACCCAGATAGAGGATCTAAGGTTTTATCATGACGGCTGAAGCTATATCGTGTGGAGGGCTGCTGCGTGTGTGTGTGTGTGTGTGTGTCCAAACGTCATTCTGACTACCCTTGGCCGCCTCGTCTCTCTCTCTCTCCCCCTTCCCACTCCCTCCTCATCCAGCTCCTGTGAGAGGGAGAGGGAGGAGCACTGCATTGATTTGAGCACTGTGGGAAGGGATCAGGGGGCGATGGGGAGGTGAGGGGGAAGGGAGCCCGACTGGTGGAGTGTGTGATTCTTGATCTGGCCTTGTCCTCTTCCCCTCCTCCTCCTCCTCCTTCTTGTTCTTCCTCTCATCCCCCGATGGCTTACATCGTGGAGGGGGTGGATGGGAGATATTTCTCCTATCGAGGAGCTAAGGTGGGGAGGGAGGAAATGATTAGAAGGAGGAGGAGGAGGAGGAGGAGTAGGAGGAGGAGTAGGAGGAGGAAGGAGGGGGGGTGGCTGGCAACCCGGTATGACGGAGTTTCGGGGGAAGGCACCTCTGGCAATGTGGGAGCTTGTTTTTGTCTAGTGTACTCGAGGAGAGAGGAGCAGAGGGTGGGAGAGAGAGAGAGAGAGAGAGAGAGAGAGAGAGAGAGAGAGAGAGAGAGAGAGAGAGAGAGAGCGAGACACTCAAGCTTCTGTCAGCTGTCAGTTGAACTCTAGCAAATTCAGGCGTGGCTTGTCTCTCTCGGCCTTGGTGAGCTTCAGCTTGGCTTGCCTCGAACCTAGGGAGCATAACCAGGTTGCATTTGCCCCATCCCCGGGTGGCCGGGTGGGAAGCAACATCGCGCTCTACCCGTGTGCCTATGCCCCCGTCCAGCCGGAAACAAGGCTTCTTCAGGCGTCCGCTTTGCTGAATCACGGATAATGACGACGCTCGTCTCGAGAAAGTGCTACATGCTACCTTGGGTGTGCGTAGAGTGGGAAAGAGGTTTCCTGACAAATGGGGTACACACACATACACACACACACACACGCACGCACACGCACACACCACAGAGTGAGGCTTGCACACATACGCCATGTCAATCTCTATCTCTTGAAGGAGGGGCGGGCTTAGAGTTTCGGGCTCGTCTCTGTCAAGCCTAAATCCGCCGGGGGGTCTTCACCATCGCGCGCTTCCAGGTCCGGGCCTGGCAACAAACTCTGTTTCTTGCTTCTTTGGTTATCGGTAGTTGGCGCAAGCTTCTCCGCTGACTCCGCTGAAGGGGGAAGGCTGTCTTGCCTTGCTTGTCTAAGCATGTGTTGTTCTGGAAAAAGGAGTGGACCGTGATTACGCATCTTCCGTGTCTGCATTGGGGATGGTTAACTATCCGAAGCCGGCCGTGAGCAGAGAATGGAAAAGAACTTGGCTGTCTGTCTGTGCGTTGTGAGACATTCCAGAAGGAAAAGGGCGAATGGGCGAAAGCTTGATATCCGCGCCGCTCCACGTCATCATCGTGTTTCTGAAATTGGAAAAAGGAAAAAGGAAAAAGAAAAAGAAAAGAAGGAAAGTACGTAGGGCGGAAGCGATCTGAGACACAAATGACTCGAACTACCGAGCGAGTTGCTTGCCCCCACGGAGGTCGGCTTGATACATTCCAGAACCCAGTGGTTGCTTCCACATCAGGGTTTTGTTTCATATGGGGCGGCCACGGCTGATGTTCGTTAATGTTGTTGTTGGGGCTGCTTTGTTCATTTCTCGCGGGTTCTTGTTTTTCGTGTACCCAGCGTGCCTACTTTTGTGACACGCTCGGTGTTAGTTGTCGCTGGCTTCTCCGGACTTGAACATGGTGAGTTCGGGCAAGCTCGTTTCCTCTATCTGTTCCACCCTCTCCAGATCTCAAGCCTATACCTTGCTGCGGATGAAATAAAAGTAATATAAGAAACCGACCTTTCTGGCATGGCAGAGCCCGGAAGTGATCCGTCACGCTCACCAGTGGCGCTCCAATATTGATTAGTGTGCTCGGTAGATGAGTCCGATTCCGTCGCGAGCACGGCCTACCGTGCGAGGCCTTATGGCCTACCAGGCAAGCCCTCCTGCCGCCCGTGGTGGTGCCCTGGAGGCCAAGCCCGGATTCCGGCATCTCACCTGCGCCACCACGGAGGGGCGACGCGGGGGGGGGGGGGGGGGGGCGGGCGCCGGTGCCGCACGCCGATGGTAAATAAGGTGACGTTTCAAATGGGGAAGAAAGGCAATAAGTCAATCCGACAATTGCCACATAAGTCAAAGTCTACAGACCAGGACAATGTGCGTGCGAGTACACTCCAACCGCCACGTTAGAAAGCAACGCCCCGGGAGAACTTCCAGGCCAAGTACCAACTCTATCAAGCTCAAAGAGATGCAAAGTCAGCCGTCGGCAACGCTTCCCGAGTGTCAGATGCACATCAGGACCAAACGCTCCGCACACCCGTCGCCAGCGTCTCAGCCTTGGGCCCCCTTTCGCCAGGGCAGGCTTCCTCCGACGACACACTCCCCGTCTACACCATCGCAAAGGGAGACGTTCATCAGCGGCGCACAGCTTGCATGAAGACTTGCATGAAAGTCACCTAATTGACCAATCAGAATATCATAGCCCCGACGTCCACCTTCTCCCATGCGCCGTCTCAGATGATGCCGAATGCAGTTTGGCTCGACGTCCGAGTTCAAGGTTGCCACACCCACCCTCCGCCACGCTGCATGATGTTCTTGTCTTGGACAAGCTCCAAACTTTAAATAACCCTCTCGTGTCCCCTGCATTTCGTACCAAGATTTCGAAGCGGTTCTGTTTGTGCGGCAGATCAAACGCGGTGATTGGCCACTGTTAGCCGATATCGCTAGCGCCGCGTGCCGCGTGCCGTGTGCCGCGTGCCGGCGCTCGAGCTGTTTTGTTTCGGACCCCGGGAGCGGCGCTCCGGCTGTCCTGTCCGCCGCGCGGGAATAGAGACTTTGAATAATTGCAGAATCACTCGTGGTTGTCCGGGTGCGAGGACTTGCGGGGGCCTCGTGAAGAGTAGCAAAATGTAGGAAAAACACAAACGAAGAAAAGAAACAAAGAACAAACAGTATGACCAGCGAGACTGGGGACTTTGGGCCGGCAGGAACGTGGACCAACACGGCAGATGGACGGTGTTATGATGCAGTGTAACGTATCAAAACGTTGGCGGTGTGATTGTCTTTTGGGACGGAGCTGGGTGGCCGCTAGAATACTTGTGCTATGCAAAACCACCACCGTGGATACTACCCGTACATTTCTACCAGGACTGGCACTAGGCGTCGAACTTATAGGTCATCACTCACAGATGGTCCTGCCCTTGTTGATTTCGTGTAAGGTCGCCATTTTTAGTGTGTCGTAAAGGCGCCCGATCGCTCGTTGTAATTACCACAAAGCCCACCCGCGGCAGGTCTTCGTTTTCTCCCTCGGCGAGGTTGTGACACTGTTGGGGCTGTCCGCCTATAACATTCTTTCATGTTCGATTACGTCTCCCGTCACCAAGCCGGAGCATTTACTACCTGTCGCATCGGCTGTCGCATCGGCTGCCGCCTCTGGTGTGTGCAACGTGGGCAGGTGTTAACGTCACAAAGGAGAAGTGTCAAGGTGGTGGCGTTATCTGGCATAGGAGGATATATCTCGCTGTTCTGAACCGCTGCCGCGAGCTTTCGTTGTGTGCAAGGGCGGTCTGTGACTCGTGTGAAAGAAGTCTCTTTTTGTCCAATGCTCCCGGGGCCTATTTGATTGCCAAGTACACCAAAAGAACACACAGTGCTTGAAGAGTCTGAATGGCTGGTTGGCGGATCCCACATCCTCGAGGTCTATTACGTGGAGGTGACTACTCCCACGCTCTCTTAGCCGAGACTTTGCAAAGGGAACGTGTCCCATCTCTTTGGGTTGGCGATGGGGGTCTTAAGATTCGACAGGCACTTAGCACGGGTTTCGCTCGTAGGACCTGCTCACTGATGCTCTTGTAGATATCACAGTATCAATGCATTGTGGATGAGAGATTCCAGAGTGACTGCTGATGCTGATGGGCTCTGGTTCGCAATCCCTCTGAGACATATTCCAAAGCGAGGCGTGGGTATCCATCCTGATCGAGCAGCTGGCACCGCTGAGTTGGATTTTGCAGAGAGGAGCCTCTCGGGTCGGAGAGGCGTTGTGTATGCTGTTCTGAGATGAGGTTTTGATGGCCAAAGCTCGAAACAAGTATTATACCCTGACTTCGCAAATGCCTCAGACCATATTAGTTAAGTACGTTCAGCTCCAAGTTACCAATACTGAACGAACAGCCGGCGTTGTACAAGCTCAGGACTGGTGCGTGGACGTGATGTGATATACTGCCTCAGAACCGAGCCACCGCAGGGCATGGAAATTTTATTCATTCCACTGACATGCTGTGGACTTACTATGAACTTGGTAGGTAGGTATTCTGCAGAGCTTTGCGCGATGCAGTCATGTCTCGACTTTTCTCCCCCGGCCGAGTAGGTTACATGCCTGTGGTGTTCTGAAACGACAAGTGTTCTATAAGAGAGCATGGAGCACGAAGGGGAGCGGGACAGGGAATATCATCGTGCCCACCCGTTTGGCCTAGGCAGGCAGTGCCTCTGGGAGGCTGGAGATGGATGCGCAATGGAGACGAGCGTTGATGGTGGTTTCTACCGAGCAGCGTATTTCTATTCGAGGCCATCGCGTCACCTATTTCGAGCCTGCAAAAGCACAGGATGAACCCCCTGGAGCAGCTTGTTACAACATGGCCGGGTTCATAGTCCAATGCTCAGCATTTCTGGTATGGGCTTGTTCGTTATAGAGTGTCCTCCAAGTCCCAAAAGTTGGCAGCATCCACGACATGAAGCATAGGCCGCACAAGGATACAGACAAGAGCAGTGCCACCAACGTCTTTGGTCCGTAACAAGAGCACAGAAAACAGCTAGAAACCATGGGCGGCTCCATTGGGCAGGTAAGCATGAATAAGTAGTTGCGGGCCGCCCATGATGCGAAGACACGGCCCATGTACGGAACGTCCCCATGCAGTCACTGACCAGAGTTGATCTGACACGTCCACAGAGTTTAGGACTGGGTGTCTGTCAGGCCAAGATCTGGCTGGGATGAATCGTGGACATGCCGAGCCATTTTTCGAGTCTAAGGCGTCTTGTCCCTGGCATGCCTAGCCTGGCGTGTCGTCGTCCTAAGCTCGTGGGGCTAAGATGATGAAGCTGCACCCCTGGTGGCTCTCGGCAGTCTGGCCGGAGCTGACCGTCCCCCAAGCGGATGACGGGCAGGCTATGACGCGACAGTGGTGACGACCACCTGCTGAAGTGGAAGCTTCCAAGTGATAACCTGGCCTGGTTGGCAGCAGGGAGGGATCGGCTGAGGCTGGGGGCGTGGTTGGCTGGATAAGCGTTTTGAAGAAAGTCGCTGCCTGGCGTGGAGTGCGGGGAAGCAGCAGGCTGCTGCCCGGCCAGGCGGCCGGCGCTCGACTCCACCAGTCGGAGTTCGGAGCCGGGCCTGCACGTCAGCGCGCCCAGGACCCTCCCCGATCTCTTCTCCCTCGACCTGCTGCTCATCTCGGAGTGGGTGGAGAGCGTCGGCCCCGGGCTTCCTGCGTCAAACTCTCTTGCAACACCATCCGTCCGCCCATTGACTGTGTTTGCTGCTGCCTGGCTTGTCTTGGTCGAGGCAATTCGCGGCGCCTGCTCCTTTGCTCCTGCCGTTCCTGCCCCTGCCCAAGTGCTGCTGCCTTGGCCTGCCGCGCGTTGCGTGCCACGACACAACACCCCAACACACGACAAAACAACACCATGCCGTACGCGGACGACCTCTACTCGGGCCGCGACGGCCCAGACAGCGGCGACGACGGCGACGACCAGCACCTCTCGCCCTCGGACGGCTACTTTGCCGCGTCGTCGTCGGGCAGCCACGTCCCCCAGGTCATGGTCCAGGACCCGGACGTCGCCCGCCGCCACGCTGACGACGCCGCCGCAAAAGCCCGCGAAGCTGCCGCCCACCACCCGCCGCCCCCGTCGTCCACCTCGACGATACCTCGCTCCACCCTCATCCACGCACGCCCGCCCTCGGTATATTCAGATGCCCCTCCGGCCTACAGCCCCTCCGCCTCAACCCCCCTCTCCCCTACCACAAACCGCCAGGACAACGACGACAGCGACGACGCCGCCAGCCGCCACAGCATCCCCGCCAACTACAACACTTTTGGCCCTCCCTCCACCACCATGGGCTCTCCAAGGCACGCCGAGTACGATCCCCTGCTCGGCCGCAATCCCCAGAGCATGAGCGGCCGCCCGGCTGACGAGGAGGCCGGCACCTCGCCACCCTGGAAGCACAACTATCGTAGCATCCGCTCCCGCTTGCCAGCCTGGCTCAACTGGAAGGTTGTCCTTGGCGGCATCATCCTCCTCGCTATCGCCCTGGCATTTATAGCCACCCCCTTTTCCGGTGCCCAGGACAAGGCAAGTCAACTCCTCCACCCTCTTTCCAGCCCATACGGCCCATACGAGACTAGAAGCACCAACTAACATGTCGGCCCTACAGGAGAGCACGCTCAAGCCAGCTAAACCCATCGACTCAACGCCCGGAGAGCCTGGAGAAGGCCCGTCCGCTCCGGGCAACGCTCCGATCTTCTCACCAAGCTATTGCAGAGACGCCAAATTCCGCTTCGATGACCTACTGCTGCCCCTGGATGCCCACAGCGCCAAGGACATCACCTTCATCGAGGATCTCTACGATGGCGAAGGCAGATCTTCTGTATCAGTGTCCGGCTCAGTCACGATCCGCCAGGCCAAGGACGGCCAGAAGCCGGAGATGCGGATGCAGATGGTGACCGATTATGAGGACTTGCGCCTCAAGGTGGTCCTCGACAACTCAGCACAGCTCATGAAGATCAGCGTGCCGCGCAGGACTGACAGCGACTTCCCCCCCAGGCTGCCTTGCCTCGAGATCCGAACCACCATCTGGCTCCCGGCCGACGCCAAGGTCGGCAAGCTCAATGTCGATGTCATCAGTCTTGGCATCTACACGCTCGACGATCTCTCGCTGGAGCTCACCAACATGCTGACGCTGTCCAGCATCAGTGGTGACATAGGCTCTGGCATGTCGAGTATCGATCAGAGCTTGACGATGCCTTCAAGTTATGCCACCCCACCCAACGCTTACAAGCTCAACTCGCGAGTCGTCAAGGTTGGCACGACGAGCGGCAAAATAGGCGGCCACTACCCTCTCTACGACATCCTTGACCTGCACACCACTTCTGGCAATATCGACGTGAGCATCACACCCCATGAGATCCTCTCCTCGGCGCCCGAGTCCGCCGCCTTGACCATCCACACAACCTCGGGCAGCATCCACGCCGCGATGCCTATCCGCTCCACCAGCAACGTTCCAGACCGCGATTACGTGACCAGCATCAAGGGAGTTTCAGGCACCTTGCACCTCGACTTGATCCAGGGCTCGAAGACTGTCATCAAAACCACGTCTGGCGGCGTCGATCTCATCCTGCTGCCCGTAATCGATCTTGGCAGCCACTCCCCTTCGAGCCCGGCCACTCTTGAAACATCGACGACCAGCAGCCACCTGAACGTCGAAATCCTGGATCCAATCTGGTTCGGCAGCGCCAATACGATCCCTACAAGGGAGATCAAGCCGACTCCTTACGAGCCTGTCGGCGATGGCAGCCCTCTCAATTCGCTCCTCCCTCCTTCTGTTGGCGGAGACCTTGTGACCGCCATAGCGGGCAGCAGCACCGCCGCCAGGAAAAGCGGGAACTCCCAAAGCTTGAACCTCCTCAAAGCTACCCACAAGACAACCAGCGGAAGCATTGTGCTGCATTACCCGGAGGCCTGGCAGGGCGACTTGCACGCCGCCACGACGAGTGGGAGCATCAAAATCACCGGTAGGGACGTGCACAAGATTAGCGGCCACGACGGCTGGGTTGGCCACGACATTACCGTGCGGAAGGGGTCGAGTGGCAATGCGAGCAAGACTGAGGTGAGCACTTTGTCCGGGAGCGTGCAGGCATACCTTGGATTGGCTTAGTGCTGCCCCTGGCGACGATTGGAGCAGGAGAGCCCCTTGAGGAAGCATGATTGAGGAGATTTAAGGGTCAAATCATGGAGACCTATGAGCCGCAAAGAAAAAAGCGAAAGCGGGTATGGGCATGTCCCTCTGACACAGGTTGCATCCTGGGCCAAGGTTTCAGGACAAAGGGAAGATTTTTTTACGATCAAGGAGTCTTTGGAGATTTCGAGTTCAGAGCACACGCACACACATACGAATAATGTAGTACTACTGGGCTTTTTCTCTGTTCGGCCCATTTCTTATAGCGTTATACCGATATCACTCGCTTTTTATATGCATACAATGATGTGCAAATTTCCCGAAAGACCGAGGCTGGTTTGCTTTTCCTTTCAAATCCAACACGTGCTGCTTGCTGGTTTGAAATACAGAGTAGCGTTTGTGATAAATGCCCAGTGGGTGTTTGCGACTGAACATACCATAGTAGTAGTGACCCCAGAGGTGCAGTGCTCATTCATGGTTTAGTCACATCTTGCAGGGTGCGATGCTCTCACCAAGCACCTCCCCCCTCAAAGTCTCCTCGTCTGCATGTAAAAGAGACATCCACATTATTGAATGTCCAGCGATATACACGCGCAATGACGTGTTGTTTACACAATTTCATCAAAAAAACGAAGATGGGTTGTCAGCAAAACTTTGGAGTCTTCTCGCCAAGCGCTGTTCCGAGGCTTTCTTCAAAAAGAACTTGTTGGAACCATGAGCTGCGCAGTTCCCATGACTTGTCTACCGTCGGGGCATTTCACCATGTTGTATATTCGGCGTTGGACGGCGGGCTGAAGGATCGCACTTCTCTGTACTGCACTGCACTTGGCGCTGTTGATCCCTAAGTAGTTATAATAAGAGGGCGACAGGACCGCTCTCAAAGAAAGGCTCATGGGGAAGGTAGATTTCGGGGTTAGGGCAAGACTGGGTCGGCCGGGCAAGACAGGTCTAGGTCTGGGCCGGGTAAGGGTCTATCTAAGCTTTTGCTGGCAAAACGGCCGCGCGGAAGGCTAAAATGCGTGCGTGCGCAAGACCCCGAAGACATGGGAACAAAGGGGAGGAAGCGCACTGATTGAACCAAGAGGGTGGAGTGTGTGTGTGTGTGTGTGTGTATGTGGGCGTGGACCCCGATCGTGCACTTACTTACACCAGCACACACGGAGTAACAAGCTTTCAGGCTAGGAAGGTGTGAGGGTCGCCCGTTCCTTTTCTTAGCGTTGCTGTCTGGTGGCGATGCCACTTGCTTCTGGCTTTTGGCCCTCCGCCACTGCCACTGCTAGTTGTTGCTGCTGCTGCTGCAGCGGCGGCGGCGGCCAGCGGGGTTGTCCTGCTATCGTCAGTGGTTTCAAGGTCATTTAGCATTCTCCACCGGTTTACACCCTGTTCTTTTGCAGGAATTGGATGGAATCGGATGTTTCCAGGCACTTTGTCCAAAAGGGCCGGGTCTGATTCTCGAGCTCGTATATGCGGGGTGCATACGTCACCTAGACCTCAAGATGCCGTCTACCGGCCTGGCACAGTGTACTCGATCTGGAGCGAGCGAGATCGCTGGGCCTCTCCTCGCGACGGTGCAAAGCAAATCTTGATGTTCCTCCTTGGGTAGTCTTGCCATGGTTACACGACCGTGGCCTCGATGCAGGACGAAAGTGTCGTTGTTCTGTGTTGAGACTGCTCTTCCATGCTCTTGGAGGCGGCTTTGAGGTTCTGGCCATGTCGTGCATGTCGTCTTGAGGCTAATGCGTCTGGCGAGCCCCTCTGGGAAGAAGATCAGCCGCGTGTGTCGCCATCCGCCATTGCTAGTGTGTCTGTACTGTATTCTACTGTGCCGTGTAACGAGCCAGTGCATGTACATAAGTATGCATGGAGGTAAGTAGACGAGGAGGGGTAATGGCCAAAAGTTACACACGCGTGGCGTGTTTCCGATGTTTGTTTAACTCTGTGATAGCGGTGCAGAGTCAGCTCGTGTTTGCTCTCGTCTCCTCTTTTTTCTTTCTAAAATTGTAAATATCCCCGGTCATCAATCTGTCGGCCAGCTATCCAGTTCAGAGTTATTCCTCCTCGGCATCACATTGCCCTTATGCAACGACGAGTACGTGACGGCGCACTTACAACATAACCGGATATAACCATGTGTATTGATATCTGGACGCGTTCGCCATGTGGCCACAGCATCTACCAGAACACATATCACTGCGATCATAGCGAAAGTGAAGCCGGTGATGGGACCGTGTTCTCCGATGATGTGGTTGATCGCCCGACTCTCAACTATGAGGACGAGCTATATCACTACAAGCCATCGGCAACCGAGCTGAGGCGGCGGCGGCTTTCCTCACTGTCGCTGCTGTCTGGATCTCCTCCATCCGGAGTTTCAGTAAAATCCCCATGCCGAGTGACGCGGGCGATCCGGCCGATCAACGAGGGAGAGTGTGCCGAATGTGCGAGAAGCTGGCAGGAGGCTCAGTGGCACCATCAGCAGGCAATGGCTGGGCGACACATGCAAAGGCGAGATTACTTCGACGACCATGGACATGTTGTCGGCCACGACACCCTCGAACGCAGTGGCGAGGACCGGCTCGGAGGCGTTTCTGCGACCAGCTCGCCTGGTCTGTCGCGATCATGGTATGGCCCTGGTGAGTCAAGACTGGTCCATTGACATGTTGATGCGGGGTCCGCAAGCAGCTCATACCCCATCATCCCCATGGTGTATGGATGCATTGCTAAACGCGGCCACTTTATCGTGTAGGGAGCCCAGGCTTCCAAAGGAGGCAGGGCCGCATCCCGTCTGCGTCTGCGACACGCAGGCTCGAGAACGCCTTCTTCATGATAGCGCAGCGACAGGCCGACTGATGCAAGGAGAGGTCAACGACGCGCGCTTACCCGACATGGCTTTGCAAAGATACATCCGGACAGATTGCGGCCAGAAGAGACGGGGGAGGTTTTGACGACAGAGATCAGACGAGACGCGGCTCTAATGTTTGACCATGGTGAAAGTGGCTGTTAGTAATAGCGGGAGCAAGTCGCAAGGCAGCACGCACAGAAGACACAGATGTAATTAGGGCGCCTCCCATAGATGCGGGAGGGGGGGCAGAACTTGATGATATCCCTAGTGCAGAGCTTACAGAGCATGTAAACCAATTTCTCTTGAACGAAGTGCCAGTGGCCACGATAGAGTACAGGGCGAGGCACAGTCCTCGAGCATTGGTGCCCATCAGGTAATTATTACGGACAGACCAGCCAACAGAACGACGGCTTGCCGCAACACATCCTGGCGGACGAAAAGGGGAAGGTGCCAACCGTGCAGCTGGGAACTGCTCGGTTGGTCAAAGCAGCCATGTACAGACGAATGAGCGGCGACGAGGCGAGACCTGGGGTAATGGCGGGGACAACCAGCCCGGGCCCGAGAGGTGGTGGCCACTCACCTCAGCTGGAGTGTGCATGGCCATTCGCTCGCGCATGGCTGAAGTCGTTGCGGCATGCTTTGTGGTCAAGTGACAAGAGAGAGTCCAAGCATTGATCTCTTTCCGAGGCGCAGCATCCGAGTTGTTCCCCCTGAGGAGACGTTATCATGCTTGCTGGCCGAGGCAGGGGACAGTGGCGTCTCTGCTGCCAACAACACCAGTGACCCCCGGCGCGGAGGGAGATTGACGCCGTCCGTTGCTCTGAGCTGGTGGAGATCAGACGACAAGGGGGGTTCTTCCCCTCTTGCCCCATCCTGTCCTGTCTGCCTGCCTGCCTGCCCTGTCTGTTTAGCCTGCGCCTTCAGGCGGAAGTGTCGTGCGGCGATTCCTGGACGAAGCTCCTGTAGTCCACCAAAAAGAGCAATATGCCGCCAGCAGAGAGGCAGGAGGCCATCGCGGGCACTGCAGACGGTTCTCACAGGAAGCGCAATTCGATTGGAGAGCCGCCTGGACAACCCCTGGTCTGGCCTGGCCGAGGTGGCACAGCCAAGATGTCAATCACTTGAATGTTGCGCCGCTCTTGCCCCAGCCCAGCCCACAGCGGCGCCTTCCCCAGCCCTGCTCCAGCAAGGCGGGCGGGCCTGGTGCACCTGCAGCGGGGGACCAGACCGAGCCAGGGAGCTTCGCCCGCTGGCTACGTACCTTACGGCAACTAGCGCCTGCGTTACTTAACCCGCCTCGACCCATCTCGCCCCGAGTCCCGTCGCAAGGCAGACACAGCCCTCGTCCAGTCTCGCATCGCAGTGCTCTCCCATCCGCGAGCCCGGCTGCCCAGACGACGCCCGAAGACAGTCCCCAGCGCTGGACCCGACCTCGACATACCGTTCGTCTCAACTGTCGCTACGTCTTTCCGCGGCCTTTGAACCCTTGCCCGCGCCCACCCTCCCATCGACCGTCGCACCTCCACGATAGGCGATGGCCAAAAAGGCGCGCCAGAGAGTCAGCTATGGTCCGTCGCCTCCCGCACCGCAACAACACGGCCTCTCCCTCCAAGCTCCCGCATGCCGAGGCTCATGTCTGCCCCGCGCGACGGCTCGCGTCAGACCTCGATCGTGCCGCAAGTGCGGCTGCTACCCGAGACAAGACGCTGCTTGCCGACCAGGGTCCACAAGCGCTGGGTTGGCTACCGTCACTTAAAGATAGCTAATGTTCCACTTGCACAGCTCTCGAGCTTGATCATTCCTCCTCCGGCGGCCACAGGCTCGGAGTCAATGGCCTCGCTGTCGATCCCGACAATGCCATCCTGTAAGCACGCGACAGCCTCCCAGCATTCCATGCGAGACCGGACTCCGAGCCATATACCTGACACTAACCATGGCGAAGCTACTCGGGAGGGCGAGATGGAGTAGTCTGCGCTTGGGACCTCAACTGCGAGTCCGACGACAGCAAGCCAGATGCGAAGCCAAAAGCGACAACAAAGTTCCGTGCCTCGGCGCAAGCGCACACCCACTGGGTCAATGATATCGTCCTCGCTGCCAATAGCTCGACCCTCGTGTCAGCCTCGTCGGACCTGACGGTCAAAGCCTGGCGGCCATCCTCTGGAGACGCAGAGGCGCATACCCTTGGCGAGCATGCCGACTACGTCAAGTGTGTCGCCACGCCAAGAGGCGGCGATTGGGTCGCGTCAGGAGGCCTGGACCGCAAAATCTACCTGTGGGATCTGAACGGCAAGGGAAAGTCCCTGGAAATCGACGTCAGTGGCGAGGACATCGCAGAGAAGGGCTCCGTCTATGCTCTTAGCGCCGGTCGGAGCATAATGGCAAGTGGCGGTCCAGAATCTATAGTCCGTCTCTGGGATCCTCGGACTGGCAAGAGCGTCACAAAGTTCCTCGGCCATACCGACAACATCCGTGCCATCCTGATGAACGAGGCTGGCGATACTGTCATGACAGCCAGCTCAGACCAGACGGTGAAAGTCTGGAGTGTCACCGCAGGTCGGTGCATGCACACATTGACCATGCACAATGACAGCGTCTGGGCCATGTTCTCAGAGGATCCTACACTGAGCGTCTTCTACAGTGCAGACCGATCCGGCCTGATTGTAAAGACGGATGTTCGTGGTTCGGAAGAGATGGACGAGGGTCTATCTGTCGCCATTGCGCAGGAGCACTATGGTGTTGGCAAGGTCGTCGCCACACAGGACTACATTTGGAGCTCGACGTCAAGCTCGTCCATCAACCGATGGGCCAACATCAATACCGGTCCAGATGCTCAATTGCCAGAAGCATTTAGCCGCCTGCGTTCAAGCAGCATTGCCTCAAGGCAGACACATGAGTCCGCGACCACAGTCAACGGTTCGAGCAAAGGTGAAATCCCAGCAAAGGCAATCCTGCGAATCTCGAACACTGCCAAGTTTCCTACAATTCTTTCGAATGCGTCCGAGTCAAACCTGGCGGCTTCCTCCGCACTCAGCAGGAAAGGATCCGAGCTGGTCACAGACTCTGGATCTGCCGTGGTGGAACCTATCCATCACTTGCCAGAAGAAACCATTGAAGGCCAGAACGGTCTTGTCAAGCACAGACTTCTGAGCGATCGACGACGTGTTTTAACTCTTGATACTGCTGGCGATGTCCTGCTGTGGGACCTGATACGGGTACTTAGCTTCCAACTCTCGGTTCAGAATGATCGTGCTTCGCTAACTCATTCGCCAGTGCCAAGTCATCCAGCGCTTCGGCAAGAGGCACCTGGAAGATGTCGAACCGGAAGTGAACACTCTGGAAGCCGTTGCTCCATGGTGTTCAATTGACACGAGCTCTGGTAACCTCACAGTCGTGCTAGAACCATTCAATTGCTTTGATGCAGAGATGTACGCGGACGAGCTAAAACTGGAGGAGCCGATTGATTTCAGGGAAGACCAAAGGAGTATGTTGCGACTGCCGAGCACGCCGAGCACGAGAAATGCGTTATGAACCGTATAAGCTAACGTGGAACCAGTAAACTTGGGCCGGTGGATTTTGCGGTACTTGTTTGCAAAGCTTATTGATGAGGTCATCAAGAGAGACGAGGCGCACCGACAAAAGCTCAATGAAGCCGTAGAGAAACGGCAAGCGGCAGCCAGACTCAACCCCCCAACGTCGATCGTCCTTCCCACTGCGAACCCTCAAAGCTGGGAACAGGACAGCTCACCTGCAACACCACGGGCGAACGGCTTGGGGTTCGCGCAGACACCAGGCCTTGGCATAGGCGTAGCGACGCCCGGTCCAAGAACTCTGCCAGGAGTTCCCGAGAACGCGGCGACCCCGGCAAGCCCATCAGAAGTGAAGCGGTCAATACAGTTGAGCCGGCCCTCAGGCGAGGACTACTTTGCTTCCTTCAACTCGGGAGACGCTGTGGGCAAAATCGTCCCGACTACACCAGCTGCAACAGAGCAGGCGCCTGCAGCACCTACAACGCCTGCAGCTCCCGCCAAGGAAGAGACCCCGCAGTCGCCAGTCGACGGCAAGAAGGACAATGGCAAAGGTGGTGCGTTTGGCAAGAAATTCCGCATGGGCATGTCTTTTGGCACCAAAAAGCTTGGCCGCTCTGCCTCAAGCAGCGCAACCGAGAAGCCAGCCGTCGTTGAGGAGAAGCCCGAGGAGAACAAGTCCGAATCATCGTCGAACCACGAGAAGGAGGTTGATGACAATCTGCACGGAGTCATCCAGAAAATCCAGAACGAGTACGAGAAGCAGCTGCAGGAAAACCCCGAGAAGTTCGTCGAGACAGGCATTCATCCTAGCTTACCGATCGACACACCGGTGTTGAAGCTGCCCTCAGGGACCAAGGTCATCATACAAGAAGAGACGTCTGGCGGCATTGCTAATCTATACCGAGGCACGGTCGAGACGGTCGGTCTGGACGTGGATATCATCGAGGAGAAAGCCCCAATGTGGCTAGGAGACGTGCTACTGACTGTGAGTCTTGCGAATAACAAAAATGCCAATCGACAAGCTGGATATCTGCTCACACTCTGTTACAGAACATCATTCCGCCGAAGGACCCTGTCAAGGTCTCCTTTGTCCTTCACCCGTGGCAGGACACGCTGCCCAGCCTCGCCACCGCGGACGGCAACAACCGACTCAACGCGAACCGCATGCTGCGCGTGCGCAAGATCCTGGCTTACGTCGCTGAGCGCATCGATCCAGACTACGATGAGAACAATGCCGATGCTCTCAAGCCCGAGGAGTACCTTGAGCTGTACTGTAATGAGCAGGTAAGTCAATTCGCCATGGGTGGCTGCTGTGCACGAACCCGAGAGCTTCCATCTGCTGGATGATCCTTCACTAGGATTTCATCAAATAAGATAGGATTGCTAACCTCGGTATGCATGATTAGTTGCTCCCTAACACTATGAGCCTGGCAACTCTGCGTGCACACATCTGGAAAGGCGGTAACGACGTGGTGCTGCACTACAAGGCCAATGGCCGTAAGGAGCTACCCAAGGAACTCCCTCAGCCTGCCCTACCACAAACAACCGACGCCGAGGGTGGCGAAGGGGCAGCAGGAGACGTGACAGAGGATGGAGAGGACGTAGGCATAGGTGCAACGGCCCCTGGTCAACCAACGGCGGCGGGTAGTACCCCAGTGCCTGTCGCGGCGACGTAGATCTCCTGTCTTGCCTTATGCTTTTTAAAGCACGAAAAGAATCGGGGCATCGATTTCAATTATCCTTTGAGCATAGTAATGAGACGAGAACAAGCCAAAGCGTTGCGGTGGGGGTATCATCTCTATTTTTCTTGTTCCCATTACGCAGTGATCCTCTCTGCCTAAGCGTGAGTGGTACAGAAAACATGCCGCCTCCCAAGGACTACTCGCTCAATCCAACTCTATGTAAATACTCCTGGACATCATTACCAGGCAAAAGGTTGTTACATGTAGTGATACAATTGTATACACAGAGGGGCTCCGACGCTGGAGCCGGAGTGCTATCCACAGTCGTTTTCAATCCCGTACAGAGGAGCAGACGGATCGTGATTTCAGCCATGTTGAAGTCTGTTCCCCACTCCTCTCTCTCCCTCTCTCTCTCCCTCTCTCAATCGGGAGCAAAAGCGACTGATTTATACGACACTACCGGACAAGGTATTGACCGCCCATTGGTAGCTGCCCAAGAAGATGGCGCCTCCGGCGCTGATCCACATGATGCGGGGCCCGATGCCGGCGAAGAAGGGGCGGACGCCGTGGGCTCGGTATATGTCTTTGAGCACGGTGAGCACGCCCTGGCGCTCCTTGCTGAGCATGACGCGCGTCTTGAGCACGTCGAGGGGTGTCGTGATGCCCGCGGCGACGGCGCCGCTGGCGGACCCGTACAGCGCGCTCTCGGCGGCGCTGACGTCGATCGTGGCAGCAGCGCTCGCGGCCGAGGAACTGCTGCCCGGGATGGAAGATGGGAGAGAGGCTTGGAGCTCGAGGGCCTTGCGCTGGCGGGACCAGGACTTGAGGGCCTCCCAGAGCGGGAACTGGATCACGGTGAACGGGACCTCGCGCATGACGGTGATGCCCCAGCCACGGTAGAGCTCGCGCCAGACGCCCGCGAGGCCTATCGCCGAGCGCTGGGAGAGGATCGAGGTGAGGGCGAGGAGGGAGCTCGAGTGCAAGCCGGCCTGGGCGCGCTGCTTGACGACTTCGGTAGGGACGCGGACCGCACAGGCAGCGACCTCGCCGAGGGACGCGGCAGCCATGTGCTCGAGGGCCTCTGCCGACCAGCCTGGCACTGGCGCGACCTTGCCGTCCAGGCCACCCGAGAGCAGATGGATGTTGCTCTCCCGTTCCCTGCGCCGCCGGGCCAAGATGTCCTTGACGCCCTCGTATGTGCAGAAGAAGAAGGCCGCGCCGGGGGCGGAGCCGACGACGGCGCTGCCGACGCCGCGGTATATGCCCTTGAAGCCGCCCGAGGCGAAGAAGCCCTCGCTAGACTGCATGCGGGTCTTGAGGGTGTCGAGGGGAAAAAGGCTGAGGTCGACGGTCGTGCCTGCGACGCCGCCGGCCAGGAGGGCGTGGACGAAGCTGGGCTGGGGCTGGTTTGGCGACATTGTGGGTTGTGGCTGGTCGGTTGCGACGCAGGAACCGCTAGTTACAGCGTCGCCTTGTTGGTCTCTATCACCGCGGCTTGCCGTCGCGCACACGGATTCTGTGGCCACAGATATATGCAGAGTCGTGGCGGGGGGTCGTCCGGCTCGGAGCTCGGCGGTGGGAAGTCGGCAGAGTCGGAGCTCGAGGCCGTCGAGGCCGGGACGCGGCTGGCAGACGCAACAAGGGTCCGCGTAGGCGGGGGAGGCAGAATTGGCCGTCTGTCCGTCGTCGTTGTCGCCGTGGCTGTCGTGCTGCTTGTGGGAGAGAGAGCTGCACGCTTCGATCCACAAGTTTTGCCCGTGGCCGGCAGGCGCAGTTGCTCAAGTGAGACCCTGCCCAGGTGGGTTGCAGCTTCCAAGCTTCCCCTGCTGGGTCGGCGTCCGGGGCGGGTCCTGCCCCGGAACCGCTTGGTCAAGGGACTTGGGGATACTTCCCGCCAAGGGCCACAGTGGACAGCCACGAGGTAGTTGCAGGTAACCTGTCAAGCAAACTTCGGTCGACAGGGGAACTGCTTGCTATAACACCTTGAACGGTCCAACATCATCACCACCGCCATCACCAGCCGCACGTCCGGGTCTCACAATATCTAACATCGTGAGACCCTCTGGACCTGCTTCGGTCCAGCTCGTTGGTGGCATGGCATGGGCCTCATCTCGCCCGTCCTGCACTCGGTGGCCCGCCCTGTGACGCTCCCCGAGTTCGTCGACGCCGTCCGCGCAACATGCCGCCCACGCTTCCCTCACCTCCGCACCGGCGCCCTCCGCCAGGTTGGGCTCGCCATCAGCGGCGGCGTCGACTCAATGGCCCTCGCCTTCTTGTCCAGCCAGCTCCTCCGCCACCACCTCCACATGCGTATCAATGACAACCCCCTCGCCAGCTTTGTCGCCATCGTCGTGGACCACCGCCTCAGGCCAACCTCGGAAGCAGAAGCAGTGGCCGTTGCTAGGGTCCTCCGTCGCCTGCGGATCAAGCCAGCCATCAGCATCATTAACTGGAAGCGTGAGGCTCATATGCTGCCTCCAAAGGACCACTCAAACCTCGAGACCCTCGCCCGCCATATGCGCTACCGTCACATCGGCCTCGAGTGCGCCTTTCGCGGCATCGGCAGCGTCCTCGTAGCTCATCATGCAGACGATCAGTACGAAACTGTGCTGATGCGTATGCTGGGTGGTCATCCCAGTCGTGGCCTGCGTGGCATCCGCCCCGCGAGCGAGATTCCCGAATGCGAGGGGCTCTACGGCGCGTTTCGCAGTGGCTGGCTCGACGACAGGATGCGCCAGAGACCCTACTTCAGCCATACCAATGCTGAGCGGGATCGTCGTCGTCTCAGGAAGCGCATCAGCAGTCTCATGAGCGAGGAGCTCGCTAGCCTGCACGAGCCGGACCTCGAGTGGCCACTACAGCCGTCCTACGACGACGCGGCCGCCCGTGACCTCCAAATCGAGAACATTGCCATGAACGCAATCACTCCGTCCCCAGTCGAGGTCGAGGATGGAGGAGTTATGCTGTACCGCCCCTTGCTTGAATTCGGCAAAGATAGACTTATAGCAACGTGCCTGGAGAACGATATTCCATGGTTCGAGGACGCAACCAATGCAGACGCCACCCTGACGATGCGTAACGCTATACGAGCTATGCATCGTGGTCACGAGCTGCCCAATGCTCTCTCAAAGCCAGCAGTCCTTGCACTCGCAAAGCGCTGCGACAAGAAACATGAAGCGCTGGAAGCGGAGGCTACGAGGTGGGCGCGGCAAGTCATCATCCAGGATTTCAACAGCCAAGCAGGAACGCTACTCGCACAATTCCCACACATGGAATGCCAGCTTCCGCCCTGGCAAGCCAAATCTCAACTCCGCTTCAAGGCTCGGCTAGCCAGGTGTAGAGAAGTCGCAGGGCTCGTGCTCAAGAGCATCATGGCCATGGTCAGTCCAGAGCACAACGGTCCTCCAATGATGTCTCTACAGAACCCGATCAACACGATATTCCCTGCACTGTCTATAGCCCTGAAAAGGACACCAGCATCGCCCAGGGCGTTCAACATCAATGGGGTTCTTTTCAGACCAGTGCCGGCCACATCACTGCGTGCATCATCCAGACCAGTGACCGGTCAAGACGACACCACTACAACTTCAGCAGAGACATATTCCTGGTATCTTACGCGCGAGCCGTACCCTTCACCAGCGAATAAGCCCCTTCCCCTCAACAATCTACGCTACTGTCTCGCGATCGAAAAGCCATTCGAGTGCAAAACCAGAGACATCAGAAGCGATTGGACCGAATGGATGGCGTGGACCTTGTGGGACGGCCGCTTCTGGGTGCGCCTGCGTCACCGCATGCCCTTCCAGCCCTTCATTGGCCCATTCCAAGAAGAACATCAAAGGCCCTTCCGCGATCGCCTCTCAAAGCGCGAGCGCGAGCACATGGCTGACCTCTTAAAGCGCCACGCGCCCGGAAAGACCCGGTACACCTTACCTGCCATCTACCTGGAGACTGAAGTCGATTTTGATAACCTCCCACCGGTCCCGAGCTACCCCTTCCGTCTTCCAGAAAAGCGCAACGGGCAGCTCACCCCGCAGTCAATGCTGCTCGCCTTGCCAACGCTCGAAATTAATGCGCCCGGACTCAAGAACCTCGTCGAGTATGAGATCCGGTATAAGCGCCTCGATCGCCCGTTGCTGGATAGAGCGACTGCGTACTCCACGGGCTCATATGTGACGCCGCTGTGGAGGAATAAGTATCGAACTAGGCGACGCGGTGGTACCCACTTGTCCTTTAGGGGGTCAAGAGCGCGCAACGGCGACAGGACGCATGGTGGTTGTCCTTCAGGTCTTGTGGGCCGTCGCCGGACACGTACAAGGTCTGAGGTGGCGGCACAGAAGACCGCGGTACAACATAATAAAGATGTCGAGACTCAGTTTGTTTTAGACGCCTAACACTGCGATCACACGGCCTCCCGTCTTCTGGAGCGAGCGGAATGTGAGGCAAACTTTGCAAAGCAACTCGGCACGAAATCCTGCTATCGCACCGACACTTCGATGAGGATTTAACAACATACGCAGCACAGAAAGTGGCATGGCGTCGATATGTATCAAGTTCGAGCCTCTGTAGAAAGGGGAGGAGCAAGATGAAGAATTTGTCTTGTAAAATAGCCAGCGATCTCACCTGTATATTATAAGTGTCATCATGTAGCATCAAGCGCTTATGAAGAGGCACAACGGTAGACTTGACTCACCCTGTAAAGAGCCGTTTAGAGTATCCTTGCAAATTATTTGGGCTGATACTGGTCACTGCTTGTATGTGTGTGCGAAGCAGGGCATAGGCCTTCCTTCGAGCTTGGGACCTACGGCGTGGCTCAGCTCGGATCGAGTCATGGAGATGACTTCTCGCCGCAATTTTCGCAAGGGCCGACGTACGATTGTGCCACGCAACATATCCATGAACAAAATCGGAATTCCTTATCAGAAGGGCTGCAGTCCTTGTATTAGGTCGGAGTCTACTGAGCTGTGTGCAGCAGTTTCAGGCCGCATGAAAGATACACGTCTGATGCGCGTCATCATCATCAGCAGCAGGATATGGTCGGGATTCCTCATCTCGACCAAATGGGCTTGCCTGACAGGTCATAACAAGTAAAACCAGCCACGGTCAGAGGTGGGTTGCCAGACTAACTTGAGTGGCCGGGGCAAGGCTCACACACACACGCCCCTTGTTCTCTCGGTCCATAGTCGATGACTCTGCTCCAACTGACACACAAGAGAGGAAAGGAAAAAAAAAAAAGCGGTTCGATGCGGCGCGCGTCCTTCTTGGATTCTGGGGCTGTGCATACGATTCACATGTCGGGCCCTAAACTTCCCAAGACGGGTTGGCTTTTCGCGAAACAGGGAAAAAGAAAGAATGCGTGACCCCTCTCGAGCCTGCAAGCTGGTGTTTGGGGGAAGATATACCGTCGCGTCATATACCCCTCTGGAAGCCAGGGTCCCCTTGGCGGGGAGAGCTGCGAGGTGCCGTGATTGCACGGAATAATTAATCAATGTTCACAAACTTGGACAACCAGCTCTGACAGCGAAGACTGGGAGCACAGAAGAGGAAAGAGAGGGTGGGCTGGTCATGTCGTGATGAGAGCCTGTCGTGTGGACGGACAGAAAAGCCTGTGCTTGAAGGTTTAAAGGCAAGTTCTAATGGAGGTACCTAGGTATCTGCAGGCATGATATGCTGTTGGTTGTTATTACCGTGGAGAGGTTGTATGATCGACGACGCAGCGAAGAGACGGGCACTGTGAATTACAAGGAGCCAGCAAGACTGCAGCCAGCAACTTGACACCATGTCAGTGGACTGGTTCCCAGAAGAATGAGGAGGAAGAACCCTTGGAAAGTGAGCGCAGGAGGAGAGCACGACCAGGCCAGGGCAGGCCCAGCTTGGCCTCTTTGCCTTGTGACACCTTCCCAAAGATGGCTCAGCCGTTGGAGCAGCGGTCTGGTCTGCATGGGTCGCCCGATCCCTGCTCCCCCACAAATACAGCAACTGCAGATCATCCAAAGTTGATGTTGCCCTGTCCTGGTCTCCCGCCCGGCTGCCCCGTCCCTCGAGGCCCAAGGGCTGGCTTCCTCCGAGCATTCCGTTCCAGGCCTCGCTGCCGTCCTGCACGTCAGTGCTGACGCAGCCCCGCAGCCGTTGCCATCAACGGCCCTTGGACTCGAGCACCGGCCGGCGGCATCGTCCCTGCGGGAGCCCGAATGTCCATGGTATGACACAGCCAGTCAGCTTGGGAACTCGTCGGGCCTCCGCAGCGGCCGTGATGATGATGATGCAGACGCGCCCGCCCGCCATGCCTGTCATGATGAGACTCGAGGCGAGGGCCACCCTGGCCTGGGACCTTGTGGGAAATTGAGGTGTGGTAGCACCCGCCGCGTTGGCAAACATCTCGAACCAACAACGGACCAGGATGGACAACAGCACAAGCCCCAAGGCCAAGGGAATCAGGCTTGGGATGCTTAAAACACAGCGCACCGCTCTCGACGGCCCAGCCCGCTGGCCATCTTCCCGTCGGTTCTTTCGCCAGAGCATCTCAGACAACACCTCTGGGCTCGGGGTTCCTGGCCTGTCACGCACCGTCAGCACACGCACGGCACTTGCTCCTCCGCTCCCTTTTCCGCTACTAAGCTTGCAGCCCTCCACTGCTTCTCGGCCAATACACACTGCTCGCCTGACTGCTCTCCGGCACGTCATCATTGGCCACTTGTACAAATCCAGCCTGCAGCCGTTCCTTTCTTTAACCGACCGCCAACCTATTGGTGGCATCTGCCCTTTGACGTGCAGCAACACACAGCTACAACGCTGCCACGTTCCGGGCACATTGTGGACGCGGGGACAGAGACAGAGGCAGGACGAGACACGGCACCCTTTGGGTATATCCTCTCTCATCATCCCTGGTTCCCGTCTGTGGGTTTGCATGAAGAATGCCATCCTCCGCATTTCGGCTAAGCATGACATGCCCCTCGTGTGGGTAAGGGGTTCACTGGCTTCGTTTTGTGTGAAACAGTCCCCTGGCTCTCTGTATGCCCTTCGTCGACAAAGTGGTAAATGACATCTTCAAGATGGAGGCATACATATTCGCCCGGGCCGACGACGACGACGATGTTGTGCACGACTTTGTCTCACCTTGGGTAGAGCTGAACATTGGCCTGTGGGCCTTGTTCGCCGCCACCACCATATTCCTGGCCTCTCGAATATGGATCAAGGTTACTCGCAGGTATGGCCTGTGGTACGACGACTACATCCTCGTGGTGTCGTGGGTAAGTCATCCGCATTGTGCTGTAGCAGTCATTCTGAGCTCTAGACTAACCAGTACCCGGTTCTACTGACAGATTGTTCTGGTGGTCACTGATAGTCTCATCGTACACCAGTTTGCCACTGGATATATTCTCGAAAACTCGGCTCAGAAGTGGGATGACCGAATGCATATTCTGATCAACGTAACCTCGTGCGGCACCTTGATCGGGCAGTCACTCACCAAGACGGCATTCGCCGTGACACTGCTCCGTCTGAGCAAGACTTGGCAAAGGCACTTGCTCTGGTTCTGCATCGTCACAATGAACTCTTATATGGTCGTCAAGGTCATTCTTCAGTGGGCAAAGGTGTGTGGCTCGAAGAGCACAGACGTCTACTATAGATTCGACCTCTGCCTCGACAAGAATTTTCGGGACGACTTCAAAGCTGGAGGCAATAGTGAGTTGAAGCTCAACGTGGCCGACACGATTAGTTTTGCATCACGACTAATCAGTGCGACTAGTCTACAATATCGTCATGGATTTTGTCTTCGCGACTTTTCCGTGGTTCCTCATCCGAGGAGTCGATATGCGCAGATTTGAAAAGATTGGCCTTTGTGCGGTGATGAGCTTAGGCATGCTGTAAGTTGAGTCCTCACAGAGATAGTCAAGTAGCATGCTAATTGCTATCCAGCGTCGCTGTTGTTTCTGCTATCAGAGTGAGCTGGAAGGATGAAGGCAACGAGCGGGACACGCTCTACATCTGTAAGCAGACCGACACACATCGTGACAAATATGCAGCTACTAATGAGGCACATGGAACATCAGACCGGAACGGCATTTCCCAAGTGTGGTAAGTCATAGCAGATTTCTTCTCCTACTGCAGTGCGCCTCTTGCACTTCCCACGTGCTGAATGAGGCACAGGTACTCTTCCGAAGTCACGGGCACCATCATCGTCCAATGCATACCCATCCTTCGCCCTGTGCTGCGGGATGTGCACAACACTCTTACCTCAAAGAAAATGAGCTCGACTGGGGACCGCCGAAGCACAACGACTGTGCCCAGCAGGTGGAGCGGCGGCGGCAAGCGTGGCTCTGGCGGAACCACGATTGAGCTGCGGAGCGATTTACAAAACAAGGGAGTTGATAGCATCATTCTGACGGAGATTGAGGAAGAGGGCGAAGAGCAGCAACTGCAGCAGAAGCAGGAGCAGCAGCAAAACCGAGAGGATCAAGACCCATGGATGGCGACTACACAACGCGGAGCAACACAGATTCGATCACCAAGCATATCTAGGCTCGACCTGGAAGCAGCCTTTAGTACAATCCACGACAATGCCTCCTTGTCATCAGACGAAGGGTGGCCACTGCCCAAGAATCAGCTGTGTCGGCCAGCTTCTATAGCCACCTCCGAATCAGACATGTCATTTGTGGAGTTCGTCGACTGGGACAACGAGGCATACGATCTGGGCGTGAGGAAGTCATTATCGCCAGTACCCAGGGAACGAACGCCTTAGGCAGGTAGAGCGCGTACATCTAGGAAAATTGATTGGTATTGAACAGTCGTTTTGTCCCAGCTGTCTAGTTCGCTTCATGGATCCCACGCTATGATACTATTTAATGTTATCTTGACCATGTAGCACCAGAGGCTGGAGCCCAGACACCTTGTTTTCGAGAGTATTCGACAAATCCCCTCACGAAGCGGCAAAGGTAGAATATGCACAAGCATTTGATATGTCTCTCAGACTCGCTGTTGGCAAAGAGTATGGCGGGTGGACTGCGGTCAGCCGAGCCCTTCCCCGAGCCATTCCTACCATGACTTTGATATCGCGTGCACGCACGTCGGTCGGACCAGCAGCTTTGCCCATGCCACCAATATCGATACTGTATCGATGCGCATTACCGCGCATCTTCTCGGACTGTCCAAGCAACGTGGTTCGTGAAGATCCCTGCTCCAGTCTCGAGTAAGTGCAGCGTCGAGGCGGCAAACCGGCACACGCCACCTGGACAGAGGCGTTTGTGTTGTAGCGCAGTTGCGTGTGCCTGTCTTTTGGCCGAGAGACTGTGACTAGGACCAGGGTCACAACCCTCGAAAAGGATCGGGACCGAGGAAATGCTGCATTTTGTTGTTGCCGCCCGGGGGGCGGGGTGTTATATAGCTTCGAGCTCCTCCATCGCCTTGCGAGCGATTTGACGAACGTTCCGTAGCCACGGACCGCGAAGAGGGGGGGGGGGATATTTGGCCAGTAGAACGTCCCGAGGAGTGGTTGTGTCTAAACTTCCCATAGGCGCCTGGGCTATATATGTATATATCCCTTTCTCCGGTATAGTTGTTCTGCGATCTATTTCAAATTATCCACAATTTGGTGGTTCGAAAATAGTGCTAGAAGCTCAAAAGAACCACCGAGGCTGGATCACACCCCAGCCGGGTTCTGTCGGGCATCATATTCGAGCTGAATGTCGCCGCCGCCAAACCGTGACTTGCTCAGGGTCTGTCGAGGGCACGCGCCTTGATGAAGCGGTTGATCTGCTCCCTCGTCATTTTATCATTGTACTGCTCGTGGCACTCGTAGAAAGAGATGAGCTCCTGCGTGCAGTCGACCATGCCCTCGATGTCGACGTTGCTCTCGGCAAGGAACTGCGCGAACCGCTGCACCTTGCCGACGCGCTCCCCTTGCTGCTTCTCCTTTTCCGACATGCCGCCCCCTCCTCCCGTCGTAGGTGGTGGCCCAGCTCCTGGCGTGGTCTGACCGCTTGCGATGCCACTTCCGCCACCGCCGCCCATTCCGAATTGCTGCTGGCGTCCCTGGGCCTGGGCCAAGACCGATGCTGCTGCAGCCATGCCGGCGGCCGGGGTGGCTGACACCGAGTTCGGGCGGAGGACGAGAGATAGCAAGATTGCGGTGAGCGCCACGATGTGCGGCGGGTAGTGGAGCGGGAGGTCGGTCATGTAGTGGTCGTTGATAACGGACAGGGCCAGGCTGATCTCCTCTTGGCTGAGGGCGAACTCGGTCTGGAGCTGCGTCAGGGTCCGGTATGGCTGGTGCACGATGAGGTGGGAGCTCATCTCGGAAATGAGGAAGAACTCGCATTCGCCGAGTCGCGACGTGTCCACGGTGAGGAGATCTGAAGTGAAGCAGGTGCAAATGTCAGACACGGAGAGCTCCCAGCAGAGGCACGGCAAGCAAAAGTCTCCACGGACCTGAGTACATTGTTCGCGCTTCCTGCACCACAATCCTAATGTGCTGGGGGCACTCCTCCATCTTGCAAGCCAGGTATAGCGCGGTCGTGAGGACGAGATAGGGATTCGTGCGGCGGATCTCGACTTTGCAGTAGAATCGCTTGATGTAGAGCTGGGCAGTCGCGACGGCCTGCTGCCGACAGTTGAGTCTCTTGGCTAACCGGTGAAGCTCTGTGCGACGAGTAGAGATGTCAGCGCTCCATGCAGAAGCTTGGTCTGTCGGGACTCACCCGTCCCGCAAAGGGCTACTGACGCTGGTTAAAGTATATGCTGAGGTGCCGCCACTGAGGAAGAGGGAACATTTGCACGAGACTCTGCTCCTCCTCCTCCAGGTTCTCCCGCAGCTGGGCCAGCTCATCTTTGGTGAACTGCCAATAGCGCCGCTGCGTCGACTCCCAGTAGTTGGCGGCCATGGTCTCACACAAGCCAGCTTGCCGCTTCGGCCGGCAAGGTTGGTGGTCGACAGAGTTCGAAGTTCGCGGGGCGAGACGCACGGAGGGACAATGGAGCTGTCCGCGCGGGCTGCCTTTATCTCAAGGCATGGCGGCAACGGCAAGAACGAGGAGGTGGCAGAAGTGAAGAACAGGAACAAAAAGAGTGGTCCGGCGAGAAGGAGCTTGTGGCACACAGACGGGAGCCAGACGCATCACCGCCAAGTCTGGCCAGTTGTCGATGATGAAAGATCAGGGATCAAGGGTCCCGGCTGAGGGACTCGCTCGCGTGCCGCAAGGAGAGCTGCTGGGAGGAGAGGAGCCGGACAGTGATCCACGACTGACAAGCACTGTAGGTTCTGGAGTTGGGCCATGCAAGGGTGACAGTGCCGGGATCAAGAGAGGCACTATAGTGGCCCCTTAAGTGTGTATAGTGGGTTCCATGGGGCTTCCACATCCGACAAGGCAGCGGGAAGAGCAGCAACGGCGGGGACTTGGCTTCCTGCAGAGAGCCAATCTGGGCCGAGGGATAGCTACACGGACAGGCGAGGCAGGACGCCTATGAGTGGCCGAGACGGGAGAGAGACAGGAGTGTCCTGGGACATGGCTGGCTGTGTGTGGGATTGCAAGAGTGGAGACACGATGACGGAGGGTCCCTGGCTGTCTGAGCTTGTGCAAGCCCGGCCCAGTCGAGGTAGAGGCTTGGAGCTTTTCCGCAATGGTCCAGAGAGCGGGCAACCTCGCGTCAATCTGCAGGAGCTGCTGCCCGTCACCAGGAACCCCATCGGAGCCTCCCACCGCAAGTCAACGTCACTTATCGCGACCAACTGCACGACGTTTCCTCTCTCCCGAAGAACAGCTACCCTGCCTGTCTGCCGACTACCTACTGTAGGGCGTATCGTTGGCCATTGACGGTGCTGCTGCTGCTTGCTCGAGAGCCCCATTGCGAGACGTCCCATTGTTCTCAACTCGAGCTGGCAAAGGCAACGGCAACCGACAGCGACCCGTCCCCCTCCTCCGGCGACCAGCAACAACCACCGCAACCACTCTACCGCAACCGACCTTGTGCCCTCCTCGTGTATGCGCCATGCCGGCCCTATAGCCCCTCGACAACAACACCAAGAACCCTCTGCTTGCGTGACTTGCCGCTGCCGACGTCCCGCAATGCCACATTGAGCCCGCTGCCATGAAGGTCTCCGACGTCGTCTCCCAAGCCAAGCTCGACATGGCCGAGTCACAGAACCAGCGCGACGCTCGCGTCGAGGCTCTCTGGCGCAAGCTCGACTACCAGAACAAGGGCGAGCTCGACTGGCAAGCACTCCAGAAGGGCCTTAAGAAGATTGATCATCGTCAGTCTCCCCTCACATGCCCGGGCGGGCACCACATGTGCAAGGTTTATAGCCGCTGACAACACCTGCCCCCACCCACAGCTATGAAGAACGCCGATGACATGCTCAAGGCCATCATCAAGGTTGTCGACACCAACGGAGATGACAAAATCCAGTACGAAGGTCAGTCAGACCGTCCTGGTCTTTCCAGACCATGACTTGGCACCATGTCACTGCAAGTCCACCAGACCACTGACTAGCATGTCCTTCCAGAGTTTCGTGTCTTTGTCGAGGCTACAGAACGCCAGCTCTACTATCTCTTCAGAGCCATAGACCACGACCAGGATGGAAAGCTCAACCAGGAAGAGCTCCAGACTGCCTTTCAGCGCGCTGGCCTATCGATCCCCAGACGCAGACTGTCTGAATTCTTTGATAACATTGACCACAATCGTGATGGTTATATCACATTCGAAGAATGGCGGTAGGTGGTCCCCACAGATTTCTACCAGACGGTGTTGATGCATGTCCCGTGATGAATTTGTTCCAATCTTTGGCATACTCCGTTGGTGCCTTGGGTGCTGGCCCAAGGTATCCGCCGGCATGGCTCAAGAACAATCCGCCCACAACGAGGAAAATGCGGTCGGCTAACTCAATCCACAGTGACTTTCTTCTTTTCATGCCCAATGCTGACCCCACGACGACATTGCGAGCCGTCTTCACATTTTATTCGGATATTCTGACTCTGACCTCCGAGGGCGATTCGGTGGTCACTGGAGAGACATTACAAGGCCTAGGTACGAGCGTAGCCTCTTTACTACAGACTTTCCTTGGTTCAATCGTCCGGCTGGCCTCCCCTCACACCCAGTCGCCTTCCACGCCTCCTCCGCCGACCAAAACTGCGCCATCCCATCTTGCTGGTCATTCTGCTGCAGACTATTCAACATCGGCAGCCTCAACAGTGCCGTCGCATGACCAGAGCAAGATGGCCGATGCCTCGCAGCAATCAGCGGCTCGAGCGATCAACACGAGCCTTCGCTCGGCGACAGCCGTGCCACACGACCTGCCCCAAAGCCAGCAACCATTCGCGGCCAAGCCCACTACATCACCGTCTCAGCTCGAGCAAACTGAACATGACAGCCCCAAGAAGGGCAAGAACAAGAAGCTGATCAGTTTCCTACCTGACTCAGGCTACTTCGTCGCCGGAGCCGTCGCGGGAGGCATTTCTCGGACCGCGACTGCCCCTCTGGATCGGCTCAAGGTTTACCTTCTTGTCAAGACCGACTCGGGCTCAAAGGCAAAAGTTGCTCTCGACGCAGCCAAGAAAGGCCAGCCCGTCAAGGCTGCCAAGCGAGTCGGCGGACCGTTGTTGACAGCCATCACGGAACTGTACAAATCCGGAGGAGTTAGAGGCTTCTTTGCTGGTGAGTGTGGCTCGCAAACATGCCATGGCTGGCCAGATCAGACTGACTGACGTTAATTGACCAGGTAATGGACTGAATGTGGTCAAGATCATGCCAGAGACAGCGATAAGAGTGCGTAGCGGCTGCGGCCTCGTCATATATGAGCTTCATGACTGATAAGAATTGCTTAGTTTGGTGCGTACGAAGCGGCCAAGAAGACCATGGCGCGCATCGAGGGCCACGAGGATCCCACCCGCATCACATCCTACTCCAAATTCATGGCTGGTGGTTTGGCAGGCATGGTTTCACAGTATGTCCAGCCTCTGCGCTCTCGAATCCGCGTCGTGGGCGAGACACTGACATTGATCCAGATTTTGTGTATACCCGCTTGACACCCTGAAGTTCAGGTAAGTTCAAAAAGCTATCCAACATTTCCGAAAAGAAATGTACTCATGATTTGATAGACTTCAATCCGAGTACGTCGAAGGGGGGGCGCGCGGAAATCAGCTCCTAGTGCAAACTGCACGCAAGATGATGTCTGAGGGATTCACGAAATCAGCATACCGTGGTGTGACTATGGGTCTCATCGGCATGTTTCCCTACTCCGCCATCGACATGGGCACATTTGAGCTTCTGAAGAAGACATACGTGTCCTACAAAGCAAAACAACTCGGCTGTCACGAGGAGGATACTAGACCAAGCACGTTTGCCACAGGCATCATGGGCGCTTCCTCTGGAGCGTTTGGCGCCACGGTCGTGTATCCCCTCAACGTCTTACGCACCCGTCTGCAAAGCCAGGGCACTAGCATGCACCCTGCTCGCTATACGGGCATCTGGGATGTGGCCCAGAAGACGTACAGGAACGAGGGCATCCGCGGCATGTACAAGGGCTTGGCCCCGAACCTTTTCAAAGTCGCCCCTGCGCTTAGTATCACGTGGATGGTCTACGAAAAGGCAAAGTACGTGCTGGACCTCAAGTAGAGTGTCCGCCTTGACCACAGCGCTGCACCAAAGAGACAGCACCTCCGCAGAGAATAGGCTTTCAGCCTCGTACATAACAACAACCATTCGACTCTCGACATCGCGTGTCGGCGACACGACCGAGAGCCACATAGAAGGATATAGAGCTGTCGTCGTCTGGACTATGGCGCACACTTGGACTTCTACCGGCCTTGATTTCGAGCAAGCATTTACATGGCGTTTCAGATGGAAGCGCGCTGCATTCACAGCATGCCTGGATTAGGGCCACATGGTCTGGAATCCTCGACAACTCGCAGGAACCGTTGGATTCATCCGACGAGAGTCCAACCACTTGAGATGACGTCACAGGGGTGGATGGCATCTCCGTTGAGGATCAGGGCAACGATTAACGATTATTGCAGCACAAAGAAAAGAACAAAAGATACCCCAACTGGCCCTTTTGGTATGGATGTCAAGTCCCATCTCTGTCGGCCCAGTACGCGCCGCCCCTTGGGGTAGCGAAGCGGCCGGTGGACACATACAGGAGTAGAGGACATTCGCAGGAACAAAAGGGTTTTGCAGCTAGTCGCATATGAGAGAAAGGAAGAAAGTTTCTATCGAGTCCAGTCCCAAGTGACACGCGTATCTGAACAGAACAGTGATGCCGTGGCGGCTCTGGCGGTTGTTATCTTGTCCACAACCTCCTACTGGTAGTCAATGTAGACTCTTGCACCCGCGTCTATGGTGCTGTCCTTCCGATGAATCTTGGGGTAACGACAGCATGGCATCTCCCGTGGTACATCGGCACTGCCCACAGGACTCTACTTGGGAAATTCCACTCGAGTGAGGCGCCAGGGTCAAACACGTCACAACACAATCACACATCAAGCACACAGAAGAGATGTGCAAGGCAATGCAACAAGTGTAAGAACAAACTTCCAATGCAACTTCATTATCCTAGAGAGGGCTTTCAACCACCTCAATGTGTGCGCTGTCTCTGTCCCGAGCCAGTCCTCCATGCTGCTACGAGCGCGCTTCCATATTATCCGTACACGTCAATGGCGACCTTTGAATGATTTCCAAACAAGAACCTGGCCACAGATGCTGCCCTTGTGGATCCAGAGGGGTCGTGGGTATTTCCCTCTACTTTTCTCTAATGTTTCCTGACGCCAGAACGATGACTGCGAAGCGCTGAAGATGGTTTCTCATTGCAAGAAGCGGACGGAAACCACAGAAATGAAAACTCAAGAAAGAAGCATATGAACGCCACAACACCGTAATGTGAGGAAATACGTGCGAAGAAGAAACAAACAAACATGTGTAGACCAGATATTTTCCATGAGCGCTACCGTTTGGAAGCTACCGCAAGCGAGGGGAAAGAACTCTTATGCGGCTTCCATTGAGCGCATTGCGCTGACCGTGGCCTGAACGTATGTCTCTGCTGGCCATGTGTCCTTCTCGCTGGCCTGCGTGCCTGCTCAGAGGCCTGCAAGGGAGCACTCGTCGAAGAAACCACCTTTCATGATGGCGGCCGCCATGCGCTTTCGCTGCAAAGGCATGTCCTTTGAGCTGTAGCTGTCCGGGTCAATGCCCAGAGCGATGCAGATACTGTTCGTGACTGCGAAGATGCCGCAATCATAGCCATTTTGCTGGCGGGGGACAGTGTAAGAGACAGTCTCCCACTCCTCTGGTTTGTACAGGTCGCCAAGCATGCCTTTAAGGAGCTTCCTTCCCACTTCCAAGTGTTCGTGCCCTGGAGAGTGGAACGAGTCGACGTACGCAATTGTACGAGCAGAGGGCCGGATCACGAGCATCGTCCAGTGCCAGTCGCTGTTGACGGGCAGCAGGAATGTGTCCACGTCGAAGAAGTTTTCAGGGGTCACACCCCAGGTGGTCTTGAAGCCTCGCCCGGGATTGCGAACCTGTCCTGCATAAAAAGTCTTGTAGAAAAGTGATGTTGACACAACGCACTTTGGTGTGTCCTTCTTGATGGTGACGCCAGCTCGTGTGTTGATGTCATGTGCCAACATTGCCAGGACTGCTTGAATGACATTGTCGTTGAGCCATACGGTCGGGGGTACGAGCTTTTCGAAGTCATGCCCCGTCACGTTTGTGCCTCCGGGATAGGAGATTGCATAGAGCGATCGAACCTTAACCGATGCTTCCGCTCTCACAAGCCACTCGAGGCTGAGCTCGGGGACAAGTTCGCCTTTTGGCTTACGAAGCCTGCGGCGCTCCTCGAGGCGAGCCTTTGCTTCGAGAGCTTGCTGCTCCCGTCTCTTTCTCTCCTGTTCGGCAAGTCGTTCTTGTTTCTGTCTTTCTAGCTCAGCGAGCTTCCATTCCGGGACCTTGAGGGTATACTGGCCAGGATCCAGAATGCCTCTCTGATCGTCTGAGTCGAAGAATTCGTTGATGTTGTTGTATTCAGGTGGAGCCTCCTTCACGGGGCCCATCTTGAGGAGAGTCAATCTAGCAGCCAGTAGCTCTGAAGTCTCCTGAGACGAGCCCATTCCACCTTCTTCATCTCTTTGGACTGTGGTGCTGTTGGAAACCGACGATGTAGTCGTGCTGTTGGTCCCATCGCGCTCAGAATTACTGCGCGGAGAACCTGCGTATGGATGGTGGCGTTTGGCCTGCTTCACGACACGCTGAGCACTCTTAGTGCTGGCGTCGGTCGCTAGCAAATGGGTTTGCGGGGTCTGCTGAACACTGTCCTCACGGCGTTGGGCCTGTGCTGACAAAGGGGCATCTCTGTCGGATTGTTCAGCATCATTGTTGGCCTGAGTCATGGGCGGAGCACGGTCAACAAGGCCCATGGAACGGAAGACCTGGCCCAGACGTTTACGAAGACTGCCCACGAAAGTCGTTGGCAGAGCTTGTGCCATACTGTGTGGCACGCTGGGCATGGTCTCGAGAACTCTAGTTGGCGAGGGCTCATTGTCAGCGGGGCTTGGAGGGTCAAGCTGCATGAGGGCGTCGCTTTCGGCTTGTACCTGTTCCGGTCGCTCTTCGTGAGGCTCGTTGACAGACGACTGCATGGTGGCGTCGCTTTCGGCTTGCAACTGCTCTGGTTGCTGTTCATCGTGAGATTCGTCTACAGACGACTGCATGATGGTGTCGATTTCGGCGTGTACTTGTTCTGGTCGCTCTTGATCGTGCGACTCATCTGGCAAGGGCAGAATGGGCCATGCTCCAGGAGGCGGAGCCCACGGGATGAAACCCGGTGATGCCTCGATCTCTCTTCTCTTCATGTCGAGCTTGCGGCTCATCATCTTGCTCCAGCGCCTGAATCTCACTCTGCGCGCAATGCTCTCAGCCGCTTCGGCCGCAATTCTCTCCTCTTGTCGCTGGCCTTCCAGCTTTCCCTCAAGAACGTAGCGCTCGGAACGGGGCAGGTGTGCGAGCGGATCCTTCTTCTTCTCCTCGTCGTACGCTTTGGCTTTCCTCTCGCGCACTTCTTTCCAGTTCGCAGGGAGCTGTTGCGGAAGGTATTTCCGGTACTTGGGCCGGATGGAACGTCGTCCAATCTCGCCCACTGATGCAGGAGAAGGTGTACTGGTAAGAATTGGTGTGAAACCTGCGTTTGCAAGGTCCGGGTCAACGGGTTGGTGGGGCTGTGAATCAATCTCAGCTGGAGCCGAGGTGTTGAGTTCGAATGCAGCTACGCTGGCGGTCTTGGGCTTGTCCCCCCCAACGGCGTCGCTGGGCGATGGTGTTGCAGAAGACTCGGCAGTAATAACGATTGACTCGTCAGAATCAACAGAACTCTCGACACTGGGGGCAGGGGAACGAGCAGCTGAGGAGACTGGACCAGCAATAGTGGTGCGTGTTGCAGTGCTCGAGTTGTTGTTATTGTTGATGATGTTGATGATGTTGGTGCATTCGTTGCCACTGTCGACTATGTCCTCAACGAGCTGGATTGGAGAGGCTGCCTTTGAAGGTATGGATGGGGCAGTGCGCTCGCGCCTTGCCAGACGAACCCGATTGTAATCTTTGTGAGTTGGTGCCTTCTTGACACCAGAAGTCTTGGAAGACGGGCTGCGAATGGACGCTCGCAATGATATGCGGGGAGGGCGCTTGTTGATGGTGATGGCGTTGCCAATTCCACTACCACTGTATGGCTTCTTCTTGCCGCTCAGCTGGCTTTCGAGGAATTCCTCGCCAGTGCTGTCACCTGGCAAGACCGTGATGCGCCCACGATGAGCCCAGTCGGATTGCTGAGTAAGTGTGAGCCTGTTGAAAGTGTTCTTATCAACAACCTCACGGATTGGTGATGGTGGGAATGCTCCCGGGATGACGGGCGAGAAAGTGGCTGTAGCATCGACTACGGTGTCGGCAGCCGAATCAAGTCTCCTACAAACAGAAGTCAGCACGTGGTTATTATGGTCGTGAAGAAAGTGGCGGGATGAGGATGAGAATGCTTACTGGTGAGGCCCGAGAGACTCCTAGTCCTCAAGGTTCTGCTCAGCGGAGATGTTCCTGTGGTTGTTGGTGTTCACGGCCAGAGAGGAAGCGCGAACGGGCCAGAGTGGACGTCTGTCTTTTGTGACTCTGAGGTCCTTGATCCTCGATGGCTGGAATTTCAGAGAAGTAGGGGGCAAGAGGGGTCGGGAGAGGCCAAGAGGAGGCTTCTTGGGGCCACGGGAGTTGTCGTGTGGAACTTGTTTGCCATTCACTGAGGATTGAATGACTTTGTTCGGCACGGGAAAGGATGCAAGGCGCTTGAACTGGCGCTTAGTCTGTCCAAGAGAGATAGAAGAGTGGGGCTTTGGCGATGTGACTTCAGAATCACTGGAGTTGTCGTAAGCGGCGGCAGCTGAGAAGGTGCCAGACGCAGTGCTGTGGACAGGCTCGGGTAAGCCGAGCTGAGCCGTGTTGGTGATGGCCGCAGTGAGACGAGGTGAAGGCTCGTCGTTTTGCGAGTCCGAATCGGCAGTATCGCTGAAGCCGTCGTAGGCAGAGGCGGCTGAGAAGCTGCCTGACCAGGTGCTATAGCAAGGCTCTGGAGAAGTGATGAGGGGTGAAGACTCGTTGGTGTGCGAGATGGATGACTCTAGGCCAAGAGCGTTCTCGCAGTTGGAATGAGTAGGACTGGATTGCTCGTCGACGGGAATGATGAGACCAGTGCTGCTGTTGATGGAAGGAGACGCCTCGCCGTTGCTGTGAGCGGCGCGCAGCTCACGGTCTGGAGAAGGGGTGAGCTTGGTGGAAACGAAGCGGCCCTCGTCTCTCATGTACGGTTCCTGGATACGGGCGCGGCGCTTTGGAGTGCGACTGGGACCAGCTGTGCTGAGTTGCGAAGCTGGTGCGCTGCGTCGCTTGGGGAGGCGGACGTGAGCTGTACTGTGAGCCGTAACACTGCCGCCGAGATCCTCGTTGAGCTTGAGCGTCTGGAGATGAGAGGATTCCTGCTTCCGTAGGCCGAGCTTGATGCGAAGTTCCGCGCAGTCATCGCAATTTGCTATCTGGAGCCGGCTGATGTGGTTGCAGTTGCCGGCGTGGAACTGTTGCTCGTCGTCGCTGTTGTCGTCGTCGTCTGGTAAGCCGTAGGTGCCCATGATGTCAGTCTTTCTGATACTGGACTCGGGGAAGGCGCGAACGCTGATGGTAGTGGCAGGCGATGAAGATATGGTAAGGTACGGAATGGAGGGGAGATGGCTGATGTCGATGTGGAGGATGAGAGAGATGAAGGCAGTCACGAGGATCTGCCAGAAGAGCATTGAGGAAGTGGGAGTATGTGTGTGTTGAGCGTGCCGAAGCTGAAGACTCGAGATGGAACCTGAGGCGTATGCAGAATGCAGGAGCGCAGTGGATGGTGGTTGTCAAGAGGCTTGCGTGCGTGCTTTTGCAGGAAGGCTCGAGTCTGAAGTGGGAGGAGAGACAGAGGCGGGGTCGATGTTGTTGTGTGCACGCGCAGCTTGGACAGAGAGGTTCATATGGTATGGCAGCAGCCAGGCAGGTCAAGCAGCAGCCAGAGCCAGGCACACTTGGGCGGCGGGGGGCAGCTTTGAGACGAGCACAGCGGCGGCAGTGGCATCACTCAGTGGAATCAGGTCCTTCTCCTGCTCACTGAAGCCAGCAGAGCACCCGGGCACGCTGGCGCCAACGCGCCGGCGGCCGTGGCCCTAGCAACCAACCAGCCAGCACCATGGCTTCGCCCGGAGGAGCAAATGCGCGGAGGGGCCGCAAAAGAAACACAGGAGCACAGCACCAAAAGCCCACCAGCCTACAGCAGAAGGCGACTTACCTGTGTAGTGCGGCGCGGGGAGGCAGAGGCTCTGCAAGTGAGCGCACCCGGCAGAAGGCGCAGTGCAGCACCAAGCGACGACGAGAGCGGTGATGCTTGGGCTTGGAGGTTTAGTGAGCCAGCCCGGCACCTGACGTTGGACGGGCACGCGCCAGAGCATGGGGACCCCCAACCGGCCCGCCTGGCGCCAAGCCCCTGACACGAACCGGCCCAAGTCGCGTCTACTTCCTTGCAGGCGCCTAAGCTCCAGCATCCTTGTCGTCGCTGGTACTTCCACCCGTTCTTCACCTGCTCATCACCTTGGTTTCACCTGCACATCACGGCGAAGCTTGCGTTCAGCTCAAAATAACAAGAGGAACAAGCCCAGTTAGGCACTATTCGATGTTCTTCTTTTGTCACGATTCCAAAGCACAGGCTTGTGCAAGCCCATCAACTCTCGGGGCCGCCTTCGATCTTTTCCCCGTGACCTGCCACATACCCCTGCCACTTCGCTAAGCACCAAGCGGTCGGGACCCACATCCGGCTATTCTGGACACTAATCATCCAAACCACATGGCCGGAATCCGGACACATACTGTCCCAATCTTGTCATGAAGTGCATTGGCTTCTACTTACACAGTGCAGATGACGATCATTGTGAACACGATTGGTATTGTTGCTTGGAAAAGTGAGGCAAGGCTGCAAAATCAAACGCCCATGATGCTTATGCTAGATGAATCCAGATCCCCACGGCCTTTTGTGTGAAATGCCGAAAACCAACTTGTCCAGGCACCCGAAATCAACTCAATCCACATTCAAATGCCCGTCATCTCTGTTCCGCGTTTCCCCCTCACAGCTGCGACATGACCTCGCCCAGCCGGCGCGTGCAGAAGGTGTTGAAGTACTCGTTGAGCGCATCAACCGTCCCGCTGCCCTCGACCAGGCTGACGACCATGGCAATGTACCCGTCGGGCCGGACAACCACGATGCCGCCCTTCTCCGGGTCGATGCCCATCTTGGCATGGGCGGCCGCACTGGCGCCCTTGGGCGCGCGCAGGTCGAGCCTGTCGTCGGCATAAACGAGCCCGCGGTACCTGCTCAGCAGCTCGGGCACGTCGCGCGAGACCTCAATCTTGCTGTGCGGCGCGGCGAAGATGGTCGCAAAGGTGAAGAAGATGCTGTGCGGGTTGTACGCCTCGTGGTGCGAGACCTTGTCGATGTCGGACCGCAGGAACGAGGTCAGGTACGACTTCTTCTTGCCGCTGAAAAAGGCAAAGTCCTTCAAGGCCTTCGCGCTGACCCCGGGTTGGCCAGCAAAGACGTAAATGCGGAACGAGCCGTTCAGAGGGATCTCCTGCTCCAGGTGCACGACGTTGGCGTCGGCCACGCGTGTGACGTTGGCATTGATCATGAGCCGGCCGGTCTCGAGCTTGGTACCCTTGGGGTGTATCAGAGATGACTGGGCCGGGTGGCTGGGCGACCAGTTGAGCGCGTTGGGCTTGTAGGCCACTCCGTAGCCGCTTGTGAAGGCGCACGACTCCTTGAAGGTCTTGACGAACTCGTTGTCTTCCATGAAGGAGTCGCTGCTGTTGTCCGACGCGGCCTTGACCTCGTTGGCCGCTGGTGGGCGAGCCGAGAAGAGCTTTGCGTACTTGTTGTCAAAGGCGAGGAGCGACTCGGCAACATCCTTGCGTTCGGGCTCGTATGTCGTTAGGAGCGCGCGGGCAGCGAAGCCGCTCTCGACGGCGTGGATCTTCCAGGCGAGGTTCTGAGCGTCGAGGAAAGCAGTGTTCATGCCCTGACCGGCTTTGGGCTGTGCTAGAGTTAGTCTCTGGGAATCCCTCTAACACAAAAGGACGAAAGGTTGGATCACTTACGCTGTGGGTGTGGCAAGCATCACCACCGAGGAAGACACGGTGGTCGAGAGTGTACTTGTCAGCGATACCCTGGCCAATAGGGTAGGCCGAGTACCATTCGACTCTCTCCCATTCGATGCTGTAAGGCTGGAGGATCTTCTTGGCCGAGGCCTGGACCTCCTCGACCGTGGCTGTCTTGCGCGGGTTCCAGTCGGGGTCAGTGGACGAGGCGAGCTGGATGTAGAGGCGGACCATGTTGTTCTCGCGGGGGATGACCATGATGGAGCCGTGCTGGGAGTGAATTGTGCACTTCATCTTGATGTCGGGGAAGTCGGTCTGAACAACGCCGTCCATGACACCCCAGACGTGGGCGATGGGGTCCTTGTGCGTGATGTTGATGCCAAGCTGGTTGCGCACCATAGAGCGCGCACCCTCGCCAGAGAACAGGTACTTTGCGCGAACAACCTGCTGGAAGGTACCATCGGTGTGCTCGAGGTGGACCTCGACAGGGTAGTCAGGGTTGGCGTGCTCGTCGGAGGTGAACGAGGTGATTGTCCACGGCCGCTGAACCTCGACTCCGTGCTTGGCCAGGTCATCAATGAAGACACGCTCAATCAAGCCCTGGTGGAGAAGAGTGGTAAAGGGGTACCTGGCGTCGATGAAGTCGGGGCAAGACGCCCAGGTGCCAGTCCTGGTGATGCCGGAGCCGTCCTTGGGGGGGTCCCAGAAGGCAACCTCGTACACTTTAGCGGGCTTGTGAGCCATGATGGCGGGCTTGAGGCCCATGTTGCGCAGCAGGTCGAGCGACCTGGGCTGGATGCCATCCGCACGACCCGTGGGCGTGGGCTCAGAGCGGTTATCAATGTGCTTGATCTTGTAACCCCAGCGCGCAAGACATGTCGAGAGCATGAGTCCTACGGGACCAGCGCCGACAATGACTGTGGAACCGGAGGGTCAGCTGGGGCAACTACATGAAGCGGAGCAAGCCCGTGGCAGGAGCTTACCGATGTCATAGTACGGGTGGTTCGAGTTCTTTGATGGTTGCTGCTCCATCATGACGGTCTTGGCGGCAGCACTGCGGTTGAGAGCGAACCGGGCTCAGGCGGCTTCGGCGCAAGTGCAGTGGTTGCAGTGTCGAGGCGGCAATGACGAGATGCAGATGCTAGTGGAGAGGCGAGGATGTCAGAAAGCAGAGTTTGGGAGGGGAAACAAAAACCACCGCAGCACCTGCTCGTCGAGGATGGGGGGCCATTGATGCTATTTAACAGCGCCGGCCGTGACGTGAGGCCACAGTCCCGATCCAAAGTCCCGATGGGGGCCCTGGGGGCATTTGTGGGTGCGGCCTGGCATGGCAATCGATCACGGCACCCGCAAGGCACACGACTTTTGAGTGACGGCAAACGACGCCGGGAAGCAGGGCCCGGCCTCTCGCGCCCAGGCCTGGGGGCCTCTGCCGCGAGCTCTTGCCTGCGCTGTGAATGGACGCGCCGCTCGCCAGCCCCGCCCGCCCTCGACTCCGGGATTTGGGGACGGGAGTTTGCAAGTGGGGCCCGGCCCACAGCCTCGTGTGGGGGATCTCAAGACTTCCAAGATTGCCATGCGACGCACCACTTAGGTAAGCGCCCTCGTCTCGTCTCTAGCTTCCCCAAAGCCTAGATCAGTCAGTCCAAGGGTTCTCCTCCACTTCCCCAACCTCTGGCCTCGTCTGCCGACCCGAGCCGAGACGCGAGAGTGCGACCCTGAGCACCGGAACCGCAATCGTGCCCGCTGGAAACACCGCGTCCGGGCTTCATCCTTTGGCAATCTCCGGATCATCATTGGTTCAGGCTGTCGAGCCTGGCTCTGAATCAGTTCTCTGTATACGAGGCTATCAATTTCAACGCCGTTCAACAAATGTCCCTCTGTATGACCGCTTCTCGTGTAACAGATCAATACGGACCCATCTATGGGAAAGAGTCTGCAAAGACGAAAGCCTGCGGCACGGCACGGCAGCACCATCTGGCGATCACGTCACATAATTCTCGCGTTGCATGACATTCAGATAACCCTATGGCAGTGACTTCTATTCTCCTTAGGGCATATGCTATGTTTAACCTTCGCTCGCTGAGACCAGCCACACCAAATGAACAACGGCTTCACAATCGATGCTTGCCCTCACTACCATGCAGTCAGGCTGAAGCTGTGAGGCCCATGTCGGCGTAAAAGGCATCACTGCTCGGCTTGCGGCCAAGGAACTGCTCCAAAGTCAGCATCTCGTCCTGGCTCCCTCCCCGCTCCAGGACTGTGTGGCGGTACCGCCGGCCCTCCTTGCCGTTCATCGGGTTGCCTTTGAACACGGAGTAGAACATGTCCGTGCTGTACACCTGCGATGACAGGTAGCCATAATATCCAGCGTCATAGCCACCGATGAGGTGGCCAAACGTCGCTTGTCCGTTGCCCCACGTGCTGGGCTCGCCGAGCGCTTCGGGTCCAGACAGGCCGGCAATCTCAGACCGCAGCTGGTTGTAAAGGCCGCTCACGTCCAGCCTCTCCAGCTCCGCGTGGCTCTTGGGGGAATGCACAGTCATGTCGAAGATGCCAAAGTGCAGCTGGCGGAGGTTGAACAGGGCATCATTGACGTGCTTGGTCGAGATGAGCTTCTCAATGAGCTCGTCGGGAATGCTGTTGCCCGTCTGGTAGTGGCTGGAAAGTGATTTGAGCTGGCTCGGGGTCCAGCACCAGTTCTCCAGCATCTGGCTTGGCGCCTCCACGAAATCACGAACAGTAGATGTGCCGTGGAAGCGGCTAGTGATTGTACGGCCAGCCAGATCGTGAATGCCGTGGCCTAGCTCGTGGAACAAGGTGACGACTTCGTCGTGTTTCAGTAGAGAAGGCTTCGACGCCGTTGGCTTTGAGAAATTGCAGACCAGAGCGGTGGCTGGGTATCGTCGTGTTCCATCGGGCTTCAGGAAACCCGGCTGCAGACTAAAGTTTGCCGCATGGCCATACTTGCCCTGGCGAGGATGCAGGTCAAGGTAGAGGTACCCGACGAAGCCGTCGCCCTCTGATGCATCGTCCCACACCGAGAAGATGATGACGTCCTCGTGCCACGCGATGTCTTCAGCCTTGCCAGTTGGTGACAATTTTTGCCGGTCATCGGACCCGAGCTCGACGAAAACGAGACCAAAGAGCTCTTCAAAGATGTTGAGCATGCCCTTGATTGTGTTTTGCAAGGGGAAGTACTCGGCAATTTGGTTCTCGTCGATGCTGTACTCCTGCTCGATAATCATGCGGTCATAGAAGCGGTGGTCCCAAAGGTAGTAGTTTCCATCGGGCTGCAGTCCGCGTGACTCCTCGTCCTTCTTCTTGAGTGCATAGAGCATTTCTCTCTCCTTAACACCTCCAGGACCCAAGCGGGTTCGAAGATCCGACAAGAATGTGTTGACAGTGTCTGTGGTCTTGGCCATCTTGTCCTCGATACGAAATGCTGCGTGATTCGGGTAGCCGAGGAGGCGAGCAGCCTCGTCGCGAAGCAGGATAGCCTCCTTGAAGAGCGGCACGTTTTGGTTGCACTAGATAGGCCGAGTCAGCCATGCTCCCCGAGAGAGTGCCCGAGTGGGATACAAACCTTGTTCTCGTTGGCGATGAAGACCTTCTTCCTAGTGTCCGGGTTCTTGGCGAATTTGAGTGTCGGGAAGAGGTCTGGGTATTTGAAGCTCAGCTTGACCTTGCCAGCATTCTCACCCTCGCCCTTTTCAAGCCCATCGATCACATCCGCGGGGACGCCATCAAGCTCCTCCTTGGTGAACCACAGGCCGCCATTCTCCTCGTTGAGGGCCTTTTGAAACTGGATCGTGATCTGGCTCAGACTCTTCTTGATCTCCTTGAACCGGTCCCTTTGCGGACCCTTGGGCAGCCCAAGCCCGTTACGAATGTAGCCCTTGCGCTGCTTTTCGAGGAGCCGGACACGTTCTGGCTCAAGCCTAGGCTCGTTAGTCTTCTGGCCCGCATACGCGGCGTCAACGAGCTGGAACACGTCTTCCCGCATGTTGCACTCGATATCGAAATCGTCCATGAGCTTGGTGGCCTCGGTGGAAGCATTGCGAAGGTCCTCGTCTGCGGAGACGTATTGGTAGAAGCCAAGTATACGGCCAGAAAGCTGGGACTGGTCTTCATCCTCGATCATGGGGGTGAGGACCGACGAGAATGTCGACTTCTCAGCAGGGACCTCTGCGACCAGCTTGTCAAAGAGGGAGCGCGTGGACTCGCACAGGGCCTTGGCATCGTCGACAATCGAAGTCTTGGTGCCGACAAAGGTCGGGGGCGCCTGGGGCGGGGTCCTGTACTTGTCCGGGGCCATGGTGGAGGAAGTGACGTGCCTGAGGTTGTACGGAGACGGCAGCTTTGAGTGGTACAGTGGGCGAAGGTGGGTGTGGCTCAAGATGGAGCTGAACCGGCTCAGAGCTCGTGGGATCGCCAGGTTGACGAGGATGGCGAGCAGGCCAACGAGGACTGAGACAAGCAGGAGGAGGAGGAGGCGGCGGCGGGGGAGGGGTTGAGGGGCGGCTCGCGGCGGGCGATGGCGGCGGTTGTGAGCTGCAGGCGGGCGGACCATGGGAAAGATGATGGCGGGAGCTTGCTCCAATGAGGGCGCGGGAGGAGAACATCGCCAGATCAAGAGTCTCCGCATCAAGCGCCGGCCTGCAACGCCAGCCTATTCCATCGCGCTTCTTGCATCGCCCACCCCCCCCCCCCTAGCGGCCGAGGGAGGGGCGGGCAGGCAGGGGTGACGCCAGTGTGGGGGAGATACTGTACCAGTGCTGCATCCAAGACTCTTGATTATGTCATCTCACGATGCATGCAACGTCTGCTCCATGGTTGCGGCTCAAAGGCAGGTTCCATCGCCTGCCGTGCAGCGTTGCTGTGTCTGAGCTGCCTGTGGCCGACTGATGCCGGGCTCCAGGACCTGCCCGCCATCAGCAGTAAGCGGTGTTTTGTGATGCTCTGTGCCACAGCAGCCGGCCTTGGCCTCGACAAAATCGAAGACACCTCTGTTTTCACAACTAAGGAGGTCCTCGTCCCGAACCAGCAGTCTCATCATGTTGCTGTACTTGGCAAGATTGCATCAATTGACGTCAACGGCAAGCATGGCTGATGCAAAGGACCGGCTACACTACAATGGGGTGGACTTCGGTCCCGGATGAAGGGTAGCAACTGCACCAGGCAGCTGCAACACACACTTGACTTGCAGGGCCCTTTGTCAGCTGTGACTGCCACAACCGCACAACCGGGCCTTCAGAGCCTGCCATGCGTGTCAATGCCAACTCTGCAGCCTCACTCGCCATTCCCCTTCTCAAGTCCAGTGATTCAAGGCTTCCACAGCTTGCCCATCATTTCTTGTCCATGGCACAGCTGTCTCTTGCCCCTGCAGTAGTGCCAAGTCGCCAGTGAAATACCCAGACAACGGCCATCATGAAGGGTTTCCGCCGCAAGAAGTCCAACGCCGACTTGATCAAGCCTGCTCCTTGTGACCCTATGGCCAGCCCTGTCCAGAAGCAAGCACCCGGCGATGTCGAAGAAGAAGCCGACGCGGAGGCATCGGTACCACCAATATGTCGTCCTGGCTACAGCGAGAACAGTAATTTCACTGCTTCCATCTCAACAGTGGGCAGATTGTGGCTGACGTTTCATCTCCCAGAATGCCGCAACGTTCTTGTCAGATACTGTGCTCATATCCCACGAAACTACCAGTACAAAGATGGCATCCAGCGAGTGAGTAAGTCACATTTTGATGTGGGTTCCACGACGTACTGATGATACCCAACAGGTATTCCTTGTCCTGCGAGAGCATTTGGGAGATGAGAATCTGGATCTTGCGGGCGGCGTGCTCTATGAGCTGATCGAGATCGACTGCGAACACACGGACGACGCTGGTGCTGCATACCAGCGATGGCGGTACGACCACATGTGGCGACATGTAAGCTGACAAGCGGTCTTTCCTTTTCTGGTCTTTCTTGTTCAATATGAGGCTTAACACATGTTGCTCCCCAGTCTGACTTCGAGCTTCCGCATGTCCCGCACATGACAACAATCACACCGTCGATAGTACCTACACCACGACTCGCCAAATGGAGAGCCACACACCCAGAGAGATACCCCTTTGTACTGTCCGACTCGGCACCAGTCACAGCCAGACCATCCTCAGAACCCAGCTGCATTCGGTCACAAAAAGCTTGGCTCATCGACAACACTTTCTACATCTCTTCTCGACAGCTTGGCACTCGACCTGTAGAGCTATGTTCGGACCCCAAAGAGTTCCACAAGATGCAGTGGGCCACGGTTGGCCAGAGCGGCCGTCTGGTACAGGAAAGAGAAGTGACCATTGCCCCATCGATCTGCTGCGCGGACCTCCCGTCGCCAACAACGATAGATGCGCCGTCTCTCCAGTCGCGCTCAAGCAGAAGACGTTCGACATTTAGATCGTCCCGATTGTACAAACTGCTGAATAAGACGGACCAAAACACAATTGTGTCACAGGCGAGCCAGAGACGGCATAGTTGGATCCCTTCGGCTCTGGGCTTCGAGTCAGACCAGCTTTTCAGTCGCAGGCGATCTCGAGTAGATCTTGCTGTGATTTTGGTGCCTTTGCCTGACGCAAACAAATACCAAAATGGCATATTCGCAAGGAAGAACATGCTGGTGGAAAAGGGTAATGCTCTGCCGCCATATCTGCCTCTTGGGCATATGCCGACAGCAGAGACCAAGGCTACAGAGTCCATGATGGAGGCAGCTCAGAGTAGCCAGTTTGGTGCGACATCTGAAAGGCCCTTCCGTGGCCCCTTTACACCCCAGCTCGGATTCGACGGTGGGCTCGACTTCCAATGGTCGAAGTCTGCATCAGCTATCAAGATTCGCCGCTTCGACGTGTCACCAGACAAGGACGAGTCGACGGACTTGATCTGCGAGAGTGACATTAGTCCATGTGCTCAGGTGCGCCGAAATATCTGCGCACTTCGCAGGCGTCGTCGTCGGGGGGTCATCTTCGATCTACCTGGCGCCCCTCCTTGGGGGACTCAATCACCAAACCAGAGAGTGGCTACCAGGCAGGGCAATTTCTTCTGAGTTCATTGTGGTAGGGCATAATGAATGGTGAGCATTTGAGTCTTGGCACATTTCGTGCCCTCACCAGCCTCGATAATCAATACTGTTGTCGGGTCTCACGGTGTATTGAGTTGCTTGCTGGATCCGACTGCATCGGAACACGCTTGGAAGTAGAAGTATTCATAATTGCATCACGTGCGCTTAATTCAGATCCATAAAATCAGACTCAGCCGCGTGCTTCCAGACTACGAGCGAAATGCCTTCCGTTCATTTCTGGTACCAGTTTGCACGTTGAGTGGCATGCGGGCAAAAGATGATCAGTGCTGGTGGATGCTATTCGAGGTCACTTTTCGATTTTGATAGCAGCGGAGCTCATTTTGGGATAATAGGGCTCTGTCTCGTGATATGCCTCACACGCCTTCGACGCAATCTGGCACTGTGATGATAATGCTATTATGAAGTCCCCTACAAGACCAACAAGCGGCCACCTCAGCAGGGCCACAATCAAAGTCACCAGAGGTTTGCATCCATTCTTATCCGACATTTCGGGCATCTTCTGGTCGACGTCCACGTAACGGAGCCGTAGAATGGCGTTCGTTCTCAAAGAATTCCAGCACAGGCTTGCAATATAAATGATATCCACCGTCCATCCTTTCAAACGAAAAGCCCGCGTCCCCCTAGCCTGTGTTTTCCTGATTCACTTCCATGTATAACAAGGTGGTTCAAGTCGAGGGGTGGGCTGTGATTGCCTGCTGTTGGTGTGGCTTTTCTAACAGCAACATCTGTGTAAGAAAGATTTCAACTTCGTGGATACTCCTGGACTTGGTGTATTTTGCCGAATCAAAATATTTTCTGGGAAGCAGCGGCATTGGCATTCGCCCATTGCTCTTTATCAGTTGCGATATGCACATATCGTCAAGCAACTTCTGTGCTGTGAATCCAGTTGCACCCCTCTTCTGTCGGGACCGACAGCATCAATCCAGACCCGACTCTGCTTCCACAGCAACGGCATCTACTCACCAGCAGCTCAGATCTTCGCCCACCCGGATTCTCTCACTGCACTTACTCCCTACCCCTCCTCCATGTCCTCAACTCTCCCCTCCTTCCACCTTCATCCTTGACAAGCGGGATCAAACAAACTCGATTGTTCACTTCATTCTTGTCACCTGGGACACTCAGTGATAATACCACGCCTTGATACAAACAAAAGGAACTTCCCATTCCGTCTCGAGGCAAGACTTCGACCTCGTCGTCGTCGTCGTCGCTCGTGGAGAGGACGCGACTTCCCCGTCCTGTTGACCATTGCGTCGCGACACAACCGCCCAACACAGAGATATTGAGCAAGTGAGTACGACGCCAATAATTCGTAGCTTCCCTTCGTGATTTCTCTTTCCAAGAGCCTTCTTTGATTAACCCATATGACAGCAAAGTCGATTGGCCACCACGTCTGTTGGCATTGCCGTCAAGGAGAGAATCCCCCCCAAGGATTCGCACACCATCGCCTTCCTCTCTACGTAAGCACAACCGAATGAAGCGTACGAGCTGTATACCAACTAACCCGTGACGCTTCAGCAATCAGCTTGTCGACGGAACTGACAAGGAAAAAGTCCTTGTGGCCCACGATCAAGGTTCCGCACCAACCTCGGATCTCGAGGCGCGTCGTTTACCTTGTTCCGTCAGTAAGCACCATCCTACTGTCTTGACAGTATTTCGCCGACTCACATGTAATAGTCCTCAAGGGCTCCGCACCTGCCGGAAGCGTAATCACTCACCAATGAGACAATATGAGCTACGATCTCAAGCAATTTGAGGGTGGTGGCCCAGGGCCTTGCGTCGGCCCAAACTGTTGCAGCGATTCGCACACTGAAACTGAGCCGGTCATTCACCCACAGGAAAGCTTCTCCTCGTTCTTCCACGGCCAAGAGCGAACAGAGCAATCCCGCGGAACTGTTGGCGAGTTCCGCGGCACCAATGATTTGGGAAGTGCAGGTCCCTCTAACATTCCGTTGACACCCGCTCCTGTTACACCCATAACTCCTGCCATTCATAGCAACAGATGGCCCGACAGAGAGGCCGAGTTTTCTGCCACTCGACGCCGTCACGATGGCCATGATGACCCTTACACGGCAAGTCATGATGCTATGTTCCGCAGGCCCGAAGATTCGAGCCAAAGTTGCCACCAGCAAGCCGACTCGGACTACGAGAGACAACTCGAGAGTCGTTATGGCCCAAACCCTGGCTTCAAGATTCGACAGCCCAGTCATGAAACCTTTCACGGCAGAGACATGGTGCGTAATCGCGAGGGACCCGGTGCGCATTCCTGTCGCCCTGGCCAGAGCAACCATCTGCGACCAGAGGCGATGTATCGCAATCCCAGCCCCGGCTACTTTCAGCCTCAGAATCAGCAAGTCAGCCCCTATAAGCCTGTGGTCCAACCTGACCAGCCTCGTGGAGTCTACAATGATGCAGAGGACTTCCTAAACGAGCGGTACGATCGACGTGCTGAAGGTTCCCAGTACCCACCCAGCAAGCAATTGCGCCCGGAGAGTGACATGACGACCTTTACACAGTTCATTGAGCCCGATGTTTATGCCAGCCGTCGTCAGGGCCTCCATGGTGCACCAGACTATCGGTCCAATCAGGCTTCATCACCTGCATTTGCGTCTCAGCCTGGTGGTCCCAGCAATGACTGGAAGGGCAGAGGTGACCTGGAAGCCGCTTTGAGAGGAGAGTATCATACAACAGACCCTAAAGGCAAGGGCAAGATGCCAGCGAAGGGGCCTGCCCGTCTTCGTCCCCTCGAAACCTCACTCACAAACTACAGCGGAACCACTGCCGTCAACCGCGGCCCCAAGTTTGCTCCCGCCCCGGTCTCATCGGTCTACAGTTCTGATTCTGATAGTGATGCCGACTACGGCATCACGACAATTCCCGCCAAGCAGGCCGATAACATGGTGAACATCCCCTTCGATGGCTATAACCGCATCCAGAGGAACAAGGGTGCGCCTCAGCAGTACCTTGAGGGCAACGGCTGCGGACCAGCAAGGTACGTCGATGTCCCCGGCACTGGTTCAGGTGCTTGGGCGCAACCCAAACCCCGCAAGAAGCCGCGACCCATCATCAAGCTTGGCGACGCTCGCGATTTTGGCTATTCAAATCTCATTGAGGAGAAATGCGGCTGTGCGACCATGATCGATTGTCGCCCAGAGCCGACACCTTTGACGGGCTACTTCAAGGAGAACGGGCTGCCTCCCCTTGAGCCGAAAAGCAAGAAGCTCTTTGGAGAGGGCGGCTGGTTGGAGAACACTGCAAGCCAGGCCAAACCATCTGATAATTCGGCTGGGTTCAGAGATGCCCTTGGCACTTTCTTCAAGAAGGCCAAAGACATGGTAAGTGAAAGCATCTACCTCGACGGTGGGAGGCTGTTGTTGACACGATTTCCTCGCAGGCGAATGAGTTGAAGACCAACACCCATGCTCGTTCTCAGAGCCAGACCTCCGCTACGTACAATCCTCGGGTCAAGGTCAATGCCCTGGTTGTGTCACTCCGACCCCGCGAGCAGGCTTTTGCCATGATGGAGGTCGAGGTCAATGCCGTGACCTCACTCTCTGCCTTCATCCACAAGCAGAATCTATTGAACCTTATGGACCACAACAAGATGAAGAAGATTGAGGACATGTGGGTCGCAAAGGGAAACATGAAGCCAACTTACTACCGCTACAACTTCCGTACCCAGATCGACATCCTCATTGCACATGTCGACAAGTTCCGCTTCCACGGCCCGTCCCAGAACAATCCGGCCGTCATTGCTGGTATCTTGCACTCTGCCAAGCAGAACGCCCGCAGCATCATGGTCCGGGCTTGCGGCCAACCTGACTCTGTCATTGCCAAGCAGATCATCGACTGCCAGATCCTGCTGGAGCTCATTGATGCGTCTCCTGAAGCCCAAAGTGCCGTGATGGAGGTAGCCTACTACTTCAACATCATCGTTGAGCGTGAGGCCACGATCCGCGAGGCCGAATGCATCAAACGCGAGGAGCATCACCAAGTGCTCGAGCGGCAGCGCCAGATTCTGAAGGAAACCCCTGCGACTAAACAGGCCAAGGTCTATAAGAGCTTTGTTGACCCTTGCGAGCGTGTCGCCACCGGACCATACTTTGAGAACAACGGCAAGGCTGGAGTCATTACCGCTGAAGAGTTTGATGAGGCTGTCATCAAGGCTGGCCGTGAAGCCGAGGCTCAGTCGTTCATGATGCGCAAGACTGTCGAGGCTCGCGAGAAGGGCATCTTCAGCGACTCTGCTGACACAACTCTCGCGCCTGGTGCTGACTTGACCAAGCTGGGTGAAAAGGACTTCTCTGCCTCCAAGGCTGATCTGCTTACCGGTTCTGCTGCGGATGACGCTCAGACGCTCAAGACTGCCGCTGCTATTCCCAGCAATGCTGCCGGTGATGAGCTTCCCCGGCCCAATGGAATGTACTTGGACAGTGGTCGCAACCTCAGCAACCCCAGAATCTTCGACTTCTCATTCAACTCGAGCAGTCCCGACATGACAAGCAGCAAGTTGCGCGAAAACGGTGCCCTACTCAGCAATAACCACAACAACAGCAGCGCGCTCTCGCTGCCTTGCGACAACAATGCCATTACTACTCCCAGTCCTGGTCGGACCCGTGGGAACTACAGCAGTTCAGGTCCCGCTACCAACGCTTCTCCCCTCGCAGATGACGATGGGTTCACCGAGATCCCCCTCTACGGTGTCAGCTCTCACGGCGGCAGTATCAACAACCGACCTGCTGTCTCCTCGTCGCTGCGTCAGGAGTACACCTTTGATGATTTCGATGCCGCCCATGACGATGCTCACAATGCTGTCGGCCACGACTCCCTGAGAGGTCGTGATGTGGCGCCCGAGCAAGAGGCCCCCTCCCCGAACCGGTTCATGAAAGTTGCACGCCGGATCGCGTCGCGCAAGAACCTGCGTTAAGTGGGAGAAGCTGAGCCTTGTCCTTACTACTTCTGTCTTTGTTCTTGAATGCTTGTAAGGCACAACGTGACCCCTCTGGTGGATTTGCATTCGAGAATGTGTGATTTCGTTGAGGTGTTTTGATTTTTTCACGGAAGCATGATGATACCCCGGGTCCCCCTCTCGCGTTGGCGCGTCTTTTGCCATGTCGCACAGGGACCGCAAGAGCATTGTTTTGAGAGCAAGGCGCAACGAGGAATTTGGCATTGTTATTGATTACATCGAGGCGAAATGGCGGCCGCATCTTGGGAAGGCGTCTTTGGCATATTTGTCATCTTGGACAGGTTGCAGATCGTGTTCTTGGCGAGATATCCGTCATCTGCCCAAACTGGATGCCACCTCATGAGAGGATCTGTCATTGAGCTAGGATGAAGAGGCAAGATGTTTGTTCTCCTATCTTGTTTTTCTTTCTTTTTTTTTCCTTTCTTTTTCCTTTCCTCCTTTCTGGGGCAAGAGAACGCCTGGAGTGAGTTGATCCTGGAAGAAGTCGTCAAGTTGAGAAGGATGACGAATGATTGACGGTTTTCTCCAGGCAATCAGCTGTAAGAAAGGAGGAATTCTTGTTTGTTTCGGAGCGGAAGAAAACCCAGAAAAGCACAAAAAAACATAGAAAACACAAAAAAAACCAGTATTTTTATAAACTTGTCGTCTACCCTCTATACATTGTGAAAATTCGGAATTGAGCAGAAATGAAGCCGTCGCCAGGTTGCCGAATGCGCCGGATCCCCAAAAGCGGGAGCCTGGATCCGGATCTGCAGGCTGCCGGATCACAGACCTGAGGGGGGCGGAAGCAGGAGCCAATCTCCACCACCCAGCGGCCCCCATGACGCAGGCTGCACCTGCTTGCATTCTCGACTCGACAATTCCATCTTTGTCAGACCAACAAACTATCGCCATCGCTCATCCCGTGCCTACGGACCACTCGCTATTCTTTTTCGCAGCCTGTCACAGGCATTCGGCTATACTGTGTGCCCCCCTCGCCGCCAGCACCCGCGCGCGCGCCGCACCCTCGTCGCATAATCCCGAGCTCTTTATCGAACCACCCTTCCCGATCGGCTTTGTCGCGCTCGAGGTGGACTGCCAGTCATGTCGAAGAACCCCAACCAGCTGTTCCTCCTCGCGGACCACATCAAGCTGTCGCTGCTCGAGCGACAGCGCGCCAAGACGCTCGACCTTGGTGGGGATTCCAAAGACGGGCACATCTCGCGCTCGCTTGAGCAGTTCAAGGACGGCTTGGCAGCACTCCGGACGGAGCAGGCCAGGCTGGAGGAGGCTGGGGATGAAGAGTAGGTGGCCCTTCGTTAATAGCTTCAAAAAAATTGCCGTCCCTGGTCCTTGGATGTCGACAAAGTTTATGAAGTCGGCACTACTGGAAGGGGTGCGCGCCCCGAGGCATTTCGCCCGCTCTTGCGCCACTGCCTATTTACCACAATCGAAAGCGGTCACACCGCGCCGTTCGCAAAAGTGCTGTTGAGGGACGAAGACGATATTCGGACACGATGGGACGTTCCATCTCAAAGATCCAAAGCTGGCTAACACGCAACACAGTGGCGCCCTCACAATCGACGATGCCCTCCCAGGCCTGCAGAAGCAATACGACGACCTGACCTCGCAGTTCCACGGCTTCGCCTCGCCCGCCACCGAGTCCTCGCTCATGCAGCCCAACGACCCGGCCCTGTCGGAGGACTTCCGGCACGCAGCCACAAACCCGCGACGACCGGGCGGCGCCATGTCTGGCAACCGCACCGCCTCCTCGGCCTCCAAATCCGTGCGCTTCAGCGACAACCCTGCTGCCGCCTCCTCGTCGTCTCCCAATGGCGGCGGCCGCAGCAGCGAGGAGGACGACCTGGAAGCCCAGCTCTTCGGGTCGCGCTACACGGACGAGCCCGAGGGCGAGGGCTACCGCGACACGGCGTCGCAAATGTCCAACGTGCAGATCCACGCGTACCACCAGCGCGTGCTGGACCAGCAGGACGAGCAGCTGGACCGGCTGGGCGCTAGCATCGCCCGCCAGCGCGAGCTCAGCATGCAGATTGGCGACGAGCTCGACGACCAGGTCGCCATCCTCGACGACGTCGACGCCGCCGTGGACCGGCACCAGGGTCGCCTCGACCGCGCCAAGCGCCAGGTCAACCGCATCAGCCGGGCCGCCGGGGAGAGCAAGCAGATGGTCATCATCATTGCGCTGATTGTGATACTGGTGCTCCTGATCGCCATCACTAAATAAGTTAAAAAAGAAGAGGGGTTCAGAAGGTGTCTGCTGCCCTGGTGCTGCGACTTTGGCTTAAAGCTAATCTCGTGTGGGACCGACCACATCGTGGGCTCAGTCGGCGGCCTCGCCCATGCAATATCGGGGGGCACAAACCAGGGCTGCGTCTAGAACTGATTAAGTTACGGCCTGGTCCGGTGTGTTTCTGGTGTCTGGCTTGTCCGTTTTTCTTCTCTTTTGTTACTCAAGGCATTGCTATGGTGTTGATTGGCGTTTTGATTTCAGCTTCTTTCTGACCTTTGGGAAACAAGTGGATGGTTCAACCTTATATACCGAGATGTAAAGCTTGGCATGCAACTGAGCTTAGTATACGAGTACATACAAATAAAAGCACGCCTTCGAGCTCGAAGTTGAATGCTGCTTGTCTGTCCCTCTGCCGCTCCGTGTCTCAAGTCAGCCAAACATTCAATCCCGCGGATAAGCATCGGTTGCGGATTTTGTTTTCATATTTCGCTACTTGCAGCACCCTCATAGGCCGCCGATAAATCGTACAATACTGGGCTGTATCTAGCAATGATGTGATTTGCTAGATTCTTGGACATTACATTGTGCCTCGCCCATTTTCTTTTTCTTTTTCTTTTCCAAAGGTGGAAAATCGCCCTCGTTGCGCGTCAATGTTCATTCGACAACAAGAACAAATGAACCATACCAAAGGGGTGACCGATCTGCTCAATTAGATAACAAAGGTTTCTTGATGCTGCATCCTTGGGCCCGGTATCCTCCCAGCTCAAGAATGTGGATTGCGCGGCCCCTTTTCTTTACATGCCGTCGCGCATGCTGGTGCCGGCCTTCTTGTTCTCCTCGGCAGCGGCCTTTGTGCGCTCCTGGAGCTTGCTGATGTCCTCGTGCTCGTTGCGGTCGGCCTTGACGGCCTCCTCGCTCTCCGAGGCGAGCTCGGGCTTCCAGTGGCCCTTGCCGGACTTCTGCTTGGCAAGCGAGTCCTGCTTGTGCTTCTCAGGGTCGTACTCGGGGGAATCGGCTGTAGAAAATGCGGCCGCGAAGGAGGGACCATGTTGTTAGTGCTATTCTGCTCCAGTGGCAATTGGTATGTGCGAGAGTGTGTTTGATTGACCAGTCTGCAGTTTCGCACGAGGCTTCTGTTCGTGACCAGCCTGCGTCTCTTGGTTGGAAGTATGGTCCCAGCTGAACGGGGCCATGTAGGCCCCAAGCCATGGGCACACAACTCTCGCCGGAGTATCAAGAGGTGCACTTACGGTCAGCACTCTCTTTGTGCTTCAGGGCCGCCGAGGTGGTGGCGAAGGTGCGAGGAACAATAGCAGGCTGCCTGGCGACGGCCCGGGTGGCGGAAGCTCTGACGAGGACTCTGGGAAGCATGATTGCTGAGGCGATGTGGAGGGTATGGTGTCTTTAGGGGAGAGAGAGAGGGTTAGTAGAGGAGAGGAGAAGTGTCGAGGAGGGAAGAGTGATGAGGGGAAAGAACCAATTGGCAAGTAGGAGAGGAGAAGGACGGGAGACAAATAGCGATGGATGGGGATCGTGGAGCAGATTGACCAGTCCGGGCCAGTCGATTCGACGTGCCTGAGCTGCATGCGTGCTGTCACGGGCTGGCAGTTGCGATGATGATGCTGCTGCAGTTGCCGGATGACGTCACGATGGAGTATGGGGGCCCACCGCCGCACCTGCCCACCAGAGCATTACTTATTCCTTAGCTCAAGATACGTACTTACCTTAATAAGTACTCAAGTAATCATCCACCACGGCAGGAGATGCCACGATGGAGCCGAGCCGCATCTGGCTGCCGGCTTACTTCATCTCATGCCCTGCCGGCGGGCGTTGAGCTCCGCGACGCTCGGCACGTCTAGATCGTCCACTCTAGGTATTTTTCCCGACGGCCCAGACCCTGCTGCAGCCAGGGTGCGATCGCATAGCACAGCCTCTGTCAGCACGGTACTCCGTCTATCCCTCCGCTCCCCCCTCCCTGTCATATGTCCTGGTGCTAATCTGAAGCACGCTGGTCAGTCAGGGTGCAGTGCTGATGGCCAAGGCCTTATCGGCATCAGGGATGGCGTCGCCGTCAGATTTGCACATCGTGATGGCATCAGCAAGACCCAGAGCATCATGGCCCAACTCGCGCACTTCCAGGATGCCTCACAGTTGTGATCGCGCCACATCACGACAGGCGATTGGCTGCTCAGCCCCAAGCGGTCTTTGAGGAACAAGGAGCACATGCTGGACAGAATCGCGCCATAACCGAGACTTAAGCCGTCGCAATGACAGATAAATAAATGAGCTGACCACCGGCGCACCGAGGACCAATCTGCCAGCCATGATGAGAAAGGCATCCTGTCTCGAACACCACGATATCTACCCGCGATGGACTTTTTTCGAGCATCGACCAGCCCAGCACCCCAGAAGCGGGCAAGCAAGCCAAAGGTCCGCACCGGTTGCGCTAGGTGCAAGCAGGTTCGTCCTCATCGCCCACTGCCTCTGTTTCTCGCCACGTCGCTGCTTCGTCTTGGGCCATCCTGACGTGCCTTTGCCTACAGCGCCATATCAAGTGTGACGAGGCTAGGCCCGCCTGCTCCACCTGCTCCAAGAGCAGCGCCGATTGCCAGTATATCATCCTCGAGCGCAAGAAGCAGGTCCGGCGCAGCAAGCCCCGCGCATCGGAACAATCCAGGCCCTTGGCCACCATCCAGCCCGTTCAGCGCAACCATGTCGAGCTCGTCGGCGTCCCGCGCGGCGTAGGCTTTGGCCCGCGGACGACGGCCATCGAGGCCGCCTATTTTGACCAGTTCCGCCTCATTGCCAATGTCGAGCTGGCCCATCCGGACCTGTGGGGCCGCGCAATGCTTCGCGAGAGCATGCGCGACGACGGCGTCCGGCACGGCCTCATGGCCCTTGGTGCCCTGTCCAAGGCCCTCCACGGCAATCCTGACCCCAGCGTCCGGCGGCTGAATCTGACTGCTCCTGGGTTTCTTGCCAATACACACTATCAAGCTGCCGTCTTACACTACACGACATCGCTGAGGCTGCTACGGAAGAGTCTTGCCCAGGATGGCGTCACACGCAACCCGCGGGGCGTGCTGCTGACGACGTTCATATTCATCAATTTTGAGAGCATGCTGGACAACGCCAGCGCCGTCGACATACTTCTGGCGAACGCTGTACACGTCCTCAGCAGCCATCTCGTTTGCTTCAATCGCAAGGGCAATCGCATCGCTGCCAATGTTGACGATGAAGGCATTGCCATTGCGGAATACCTCCTGCCGCGGCGGGCCTCCATGTCGGCATTATCAATACCGCTGTATCCTACCATGAAGCGCGTTCCATTCCCAGTCTACTCAACACCGCCGACGATGGACATCCCACAGACTTCACAGTCCATGCGCGCCCTGCGGCTTGTGTGGGACAAGGCCAGCACATACTATGCCCTCTGGATGCTTCGCTGCACACAGGCAGAAGAAGAAGGCATACCCATCGATCCAAAGCGATTTGCGTGGCAACAGAGCGTCATCATAACCAATCTCAACTACTGGGAAGGTACTATGAAGAAGATTCTTGCAGCGGAGACAGACCCCGCCAAAAGACGATCACTGATGCTGAGCCTTGTCGCCATCCAAACCCTGCTCGGCATGGTTCTATGCTTTGCCGATCCTACCATGATGGCCTGGGACGCCCACACGCCACTGTTTAGCGAAGCGCTAGACTTCGTCGAGTCTGCCATGGCGATACCACGGTCCCAGTCGGGCAAGAATGATGAGCATATTTTCGACGACTCGATTGTTCCGGCAGTGGAATACCTGTCGCAAAAGTGCCGGGAGAAAGGGCTTCGGCGGCGCTGCCAGGATTTACGTGAGATGCTGGGCCGGGCCGCACATAAGTGCGGGTCCACCTCCAAGGAGAAGACAGTGCGGCTAAGCATCGGGATCCTCGTGGCGGTTGAGGAGGCGGGCCGAGACGGGAACGGTTTTCTCCCCATGGAGTCGCGGTATTCGTGGACCGGTGCGACCTGGAATAACGACCGTACTGAGCTCACCGTCAAACTGACTGGCACAACGTACAACCTGGACGGCACCAAGGCGCAGAAAAGTGTCGTATATCACCCGCCACTTGACACGGCAGCGGCTCCGGTTGGATCACGTCGTCTCGAGGCACGTCCCCGGGAAATCACACTGGTGGACAGCAGGAATAGCTCATGGCCGTAGTGGAGGCCTGTCAAGGGAAATTTAGGGTCGGTCCGGTGCCGCGATAGAAAAAGGAGGCATTGCCTAGTGACAGCCTCGCAGCTTCTCAGAGCTTCTGTAGACTATAGAATATCAAAGAATCAAGGGGGCCACCCAATAAAAAGTTCACCGCTCCTGCGCGCGCCCATGATATTCCCAGGAATAGAACATGCAACTAACAATGAAATATATGAACATAGCAAGTTTCCCACTTCAAAGCCAGGTTGACGAACAAGTCCGGGTCTACTCGACGCCTCGGGACCCACGCCCATGGCGCCCGTTCGAACCTTTGTGACTGACCAATGCCCCTTATAGACCCCTCGTAGATAGGAATGGACACAAATCGGGTACGGATTCGGATAGAATAGTTTTGTCGCTCGAGGGAGTGAGTATGTAAGCTGATCTTAGTGAGCTGTAGCAGTCAAAAAGAAATATAGAATGATACAGTTACATATGACCCTCGTTGCGAATGGGAAGTAGTGCATGGACATTGCTCACATGGTGTCGCTTCACACTCAATATTGCACTTTGGGCATGCATTTGAGGATATTGACAGGAGACATCAGCTTCGTGTAAAGCCTCGTCTGGGGTTGTGCGATAACTTTTCATCGCCAGGCTAAGTTGAGTGCCCGGCCTCGCTTCGTTCTCTCATTCAGTCATACTGTGTTAAGTGGTATCTTCTGCCGCTCCTGCTGCTGATGCTGCTCCTTTTGCCCCTTTCCCGGTTTTCCCCTTATCTAGAGAAATGATATTTATATATACACATTGATTGTTCTTGGCCCAACACCTCTCCGCGTTGAACCCAGACCTAGAACGCCCCAACACCCAACCGCACGCCTTCCAATCACGATGGGAGGGAGGCGGTTTACGCATCCTCCCACATCTCCTTGGCGATCTCGACCTCGAGCCTGATCTTGGCCCACTGCTCCTCCCGGGACAGGTTGTTGCCCTCCTTTGTGGAGCTGAAGCCGCACTGGTGGGAGAGGCAGAGCTGCTCGAGGCCGCGGGGGCAGAACTCGGCGGCCTCCTTGAGGCGGCGGATGATCTCGGCCTTGTCGTCGAGCTCTGGCTTCTTGCTGCCCATGACGCCGAGGACGACAATCTTGTTGTCGGGGAGGTGGCGCAGCGGGGAGAAGTCGCCGGAGCGGGCGTCGTCAAACTCGAGGAAGTAGGCGTCGACGTTGAGCTCCTTGAAGAGGACCTCGGCGACGGGCTCGTAGCCGCCCTGGGCGAACCACTGGGAGCGGTGGTTGCCGCGGCAGAGGTGGATGCCGATGGTCATGTCGGCGGGCTTCTTGCTGAGGGCGGCGTTGATGAGGCTGGCGTACTGGCGGGTGAGGGAGTCGGCGTCGCCGTTGTGGCGCTGCTCGGCCTCGGCGCGCATCTTGGGGTCGCAGAGGTATGCGAGGTTGGTGTCGTCGAGCTGGACGAAGCGGCACCCGGCGGCGTAGAGGTCCGCAATCTCCTCCTGGTAGACGCGGGCCACGTCGTTGAAGAAGGCGGGCTCCAGGGTCGGGTAGGCGTCGGCGCTGATGGTCTCGCGCGAGTTGCGGAAGTGGATCATGGTCGGCGACGGGATGCAGACCTTTGTCGTGATCTTCTTGTCGGCAGAGGCCGGGTTGGCGGCGATCTGGGACTCGAGGAAGCGGAAGTCGTCGACCTGGATGGGCTTGTCGTGGCTGATCTTGTCGACGACGACGAGCCGCGGGGGCATGGTGCCGCCGACGCTCACGTTGGTCGAGGTCATGGCGCCCCGGAGCTCGATGCCGCCCAGGTGCCGCAGGAAGTCGACGTGGAACCACTCGCGCCGGAACTCGCCGTCCGTAATGGACCGCAGGCCGGCGGCAATCTGCTCCTGGACGGCCTGGGCAATGTGCTTGTCCTCGACCTCGCGCAGCTGGGCGGCGGTGATGGTGCCGGCAGCCTGCTGGTCGCGGGCCTCGAGAACCTCGGCGGGCCGCAGGAACGAGCCGACATGGTCGGCACGGTAGACGCCAGTGGGGAGAGGCATCGTGACTTGTGGGAGGAGGAGATGGGTGGTGGTGATGATTGGAAGGGTCGAGGAGTGGTTTGTGGGAAGGGAGGATCGGACGAAGGAGAGAGAAAAAAGAACAGGAGCAGCCCAGGGTCCTTTTCAGAATTTCAACCACCCGACACGATGCGGTCCCCTTTATATTTGGTCCGATTGTTTTCCCCGACTCGGAGGCGTTCCCCTCACTGAGGGGCTCTCCATTCTTCTACTTTAGCTCGAGCGAGCCCCCCCTGGGCATCCACATCGCCGCCGATATCGACCTGGTAACAGCCTCGCTTCGCTTGTCTTACTGCGCTCGAGGTCGGGCTTCACTTCAAGTATAAGCTGTGCTCTCCAAGGCATCTGTCTCACCGGGCATCGTGAGTTGCTTGGCCGCCGCCAGAGTTGAGTGACATAGTATGTCCTCACAGCACAAGAATCCCATTTGGAGAACCCCGCACATGCTTGCCGGCTATTCGCTGTCATCAAGTACGCTCTCATTGCACGGGGACATACTCCAAACCAGTAGAAGAAGCCTCTGCAGTCTGACACACCATATGCCACAGCCCACCAATCGAGCAGCTGAACCATCCATAAACAAAGTTGCTGGAGTTCTATATAAACTGTCTTCCCCAATCATACTAATCAGTTCAAGCAGTGCACCTGCATCTGTCTCACAAATCCAAGTCAAACTTGTCTCCCCTCACAGCCGGCTAAACTAGGGCGGCACCCATGGTCCCTATGTCGCTCGCTGGCTGGCTTGCAAAAGTAACGGACGGCCATGCCGCTTTTCCCCACAAAAGACCGGCCGTACATGGCGCCGGCCGTCGCTCCCACGGCGCAACCAACCACCGAGCCCAACTACCGAGCCTCTGCCTCCAGCCTGCGCAACGACTCGTCCCCGGGTGGGGCGGCAGCGTCTAGACGCTTGCCTCATGCATCCATGCATGCCTGCGGGTACTTGCAAGGGATTCTCTTGCAGGGCTGCTTCTGGCTGGTCCGCTTGATGGCCATCTTTTACAGCCGTTGGTTCTCCCATTTCTGGTCATGGCAACTAACTTCAGTAAATATTTCATTATTCAATCTCATCCAGTGGTCTTGCACGGTTCAGATCCAAGAACTGAGGACCATCTCTGAAAGATTCCCGTATTCTTCCAAGTGTCGGTTCGCATAGGACTCCGTGCGAATCAAGTCACATCGATCGAGGCTCATAGTCAAAGTCAGATATTTGCATTAAGTAATTTTTCTTCCTTGATATCAAATGTCATGGATGCAAAATCAGGCTGGACGCAAGGCTCGGCCTGAGTGGCCCGTCCAGCATGTGTCCAAATATCAAAGGTAGCCCCATATCTCGTGGCCCTTCCACGTTTCCTAGTTTTAACCAGTTTCGCCAGACGCCATTTCACCAGTGTATGCTTGTGCCAACCACCATCTCGCCAGGCCGGCCGGATGCGCTTACTATGTATGTACAGAGAACGAGTATGATGCGAGATTGGGCTGCAACGGGCCTCAGCGCCGTGATGCAGTTGAGGTTTGGATGGCGATTTTCACATAATGTACAGTCGGTTGCAGGAGATGGTCCACGTTCAGGCACCAGGAGGCTTGGCACCTCCCTGCTGTTGTTGAGCAGCAATCGACTGGTACCACAGCGCAAGATACGCTTGGTATCCACCATCTGTACATGGGTTAGTTTTCATGTCAATCCCAACTGTAGAGCTCACTGGACTTACAAGGTGCATAAGGGTCCTCGCCGCCAGGAGCAGCAGCGGCACCGGCCGGCGCGGCAGCAACTGGCGCGGTGTTGTTTTGTGGCGCGCCATAGGTCGGGTTGTCGTAGTCGCGGCGGCCGCCCGGGCGTCCACCACCACCACCTCCACGTGGGCCTCCGCCATTGTTCTTCTGTTGCTTGCAATTTGCGTTAGTGAAATGTTCATGGGAAATAACGCACGTTGTGCTACTTACCACTGCGTCAACCTTGTCCTCGATCGCTCGCTTGGCGCGCTCAATGGAGTCGCGGGAGCCGACAAGACCAATCTCACGCTCAACCTCACCAGGTCCGGATGACTGGGTAACGTTGATCTTGCATCCCGTCGAGTTCTGCATCTCACGAATGGTCTCGCCTCCTTTGCCAATGATCATGCCAACGGCGTCAGATGGAACGTAGATGCGGTCATTGATCTTGTCACCACCGCCACCGCCGGAGAAGCCGCCACCGCCATATCCGCCCTGCTGGTCACGGCCATGGTCACTGCGAGGAGGACGGCCGCCGCCCTTGGGGCCGCCATCGTTGCGGCTATCGCTGTCCACAATCTCGAGGATGAGCTCTTTGGCCTGGGCAGCAGCCTCACGGGTTCCAATGAGATTCACAGGTCGCAAGCCGTTCACGCTCTTGTTCTCAGCGACGATATTGATGTGGCAGCCACTGCGCTCCTGCAAGTCGCGGATAGTCTCACCACCGCGTCCAATAATGAGGCCAACAGTGCGGTCAGGTACCATGATCTGCATGCAATCCTCACCGTCCTGGGGGACCGGGGCTTCTGGACCAGCCCCGGGGGGACCGCCACGACCACCGGCTTGGTTCATGCCGGCGCGAGCAAGAGCGCCCATGCCGCTGTCCTCAACGATCCTGTTGATCTGTGCCGCTGCATCAGCACGGGCAGCACGAGGGCCGGTGATTTTGCACTGGCGGAACGGCTGGGCCTTGTCAGTTGGAGGGACAAATTGCACGCGACAACCAGTTGACGACTCGACGCGACGGAGGTTCTCGCCCTGCCTGCCTATGATGAGACCAACAAGGCTGGATTCAATCTCGATGGTGTCAGTGTCATCATCGCCACCACCGCCACCACCACGACCGCCACGGGGAGAGAAGCGTCCGCGAGCACCAGGTGACCGAGAACGATCGCGACCATAATCACGAGAGCGGCCACCGCGATCATCACGACGTTCATCTCTGTACGGGTTGTAGTTGTCATTGTACGCATCACGGCGCGCATTCGGAGAACGAGAACGCGATCTGAACTGCCGCGAGTCGGGGTGTGGGTTATGGCCAGCATAGGCTCCGGGAGGAGGTTGGTACGGCGTGATGCCCTTGTCAGCAGCATAGGCTTTCGCCTGAGCAATGGCATCGGCAATGTTGACAGACCCAGAATTGACAGGCTTGATGGCACTCAGATCAAAAGTTCCGGACGAGGAGGGTTGAGGCAAGCCATACGCGCCAGCATACGAAGGAGGCGCGGGACCTGGAGGGGCTCCAGGGGGATAAGCTCCAGGTGCAGGACTATAGGCAGGCGCTGGGTGAGGCGGCTGAGCTTGGTTTGGGGTCGACGTAGCCGGCGGTCGTTGAGCAGCTATCAAGAACGGAACGAACGGTCAGATTCCAGATCGCGAAACAAAAGAGAGGCAGTGAGGGAGGCCACTACCGGGGACGGTCAGCGGGAAAGCGAGTCGGAACCTACCTAGGGCTGCGAGGATGGACTCAATGCTTCTTGGGGGTTCGGCCATCTTTGCGATTCAGGTTTCAGTGTTGGCCTTGAACGGCACTAGCAGAATGCTGACAGGAGAGATTCCTCGTTGCACAAGAAGCACCAGAGCGAGTCCTTTTTCAGAAGTGTCTCTTAGAATGCGAACACAGCAGATATCGAACACGGAAGGACAAACAGTCGGCGTGTCGTGTCGTGGCTTTTTCTTTGTCAAGGCAGGTGCGAGTTCATGCAGCGAAATCGTCCAAAGGCAGACAGTCAAAGCATGCGAGTGTCAAGGGCGCTGTAGAGAATGCGATCGATGTGACAAAGACGCGTTCAAGCAGAGGCGAGCACGGAACAGGTTGCCGAGTTCAACGAGTGAGGCCTGATACACAGAGGCTGCGTCTCCCAGATTCACTGATCAGTCAGGCCAGCTTTATGCTTGTGACAATGCTGGGGTAATGAGCGAGGCAGGCGTCTGGTTGTTTGCGAGAAGTGGTCGCAGGCAGTCTCAAGGTTCAGTGTCGCAGGCTGTGGTTGCAAGAGATCCGAGGTGTGCGTAATCGACAAGAGCTGATAAAATCACGCGCGATGAACGACGCGGTTTTGGGTTGGTTGTGTGATGGAAGAGAGCGGGAGAAGACGACCCTCGGAGGCACGAACAGGGCGAGAAGTGGTTGAGGAGAAGGTTGCGGCGAGAATGCAGGAGGCCGGGAGGAGGCTTTAATCGGAAGTCGCCAGCAAAACTCTGCTCCAGCTGGCCAATTACGCAGCAGTATCTTAGAGCACTATCATGCTGGGCAGCAAGAATCCACACATGACTGTTAGTGCATCCACCGGACGAATCAGCCGCCAGGATCCACATTCAAGCGGGCCCTTTTGGAGGCTCCACCAACTTCATGGACAACATTGGAACGTCTCAAACAAGGGCAATATGGAAAGCCTCTCTACGTGCCTTTTGTTCAGTTAGATTGGCTGGCACTCTGCCTTCAGAGTCGTCCTCTTCACTATGACATGACACAGTCCTGTAGATATCTGCGTCTTGATCATCGTGTCCTGCAAGAACTTCCAATCCTTTCAGCCACAAGAAGTCATTACCGGTACCGAGAATACCTGAGAACCACGCTCTGACTTTCCATGGTTTCAAGGCCTTGAAGATATTTAAGACGAGTTTGGCCTCTGACAATGACACTTGCGATGCAGCAAACAAAGGGCAACGCCCTCCAGCCGGAGATGCTCGAGTGAACGATTGGCCAATTCGGCCTGTGCATGGCCGTGCTCACAGCGGCTGATATGCCACCATACCCATCGCAACACCCACGAATACAAGTGGAATTGTGCAAATTGCCGCAGCTGGGTTCAAAGGTCAGGCAAGTGCTGACCATGCCCAGGAGCCTGCCCGATCTGCCATTCCCTGACTCAAGGGTTTTTCTAAAGTTCAAATCTTGGCCGTGGCTGGCCAGTAAGGTGTAGTTGCAATTACAGGACAAGAGGGCACTGTCTGGCAGGCAAGCGGATATCCATGAACGCGAGCAGGAACGTCAATCATTATTGTGGAAGCTCTTTGAAGGCGTGTCGCTGGTGCCGGTCCATTGGGGAAAAGCACATTGTTGACCCTGATGAAAGGACCCTGCGGCGATACAATACCTACCCGTTGCCCAGGCACTCAGTTACCAGGCGACTGTATCGCTCCCGTAGCAACCCGCACGACCTCCCTTGCCGCCTTGACTGCCACCAAGAGCCTGTTGCCCAACGCGCAGCGGACAGTGGGACATTGTTTTCTTCAAGAGCAATTACCCCTCCTCACTGGCAATACTCATCACTTTCTCACCAACCTGTGCATCCAACACCCCCAAACAAAACCCACAAGCGAGCAAGACCACGCTTTCTGGGCTTCTTACCTCGCGCATCGCTGTTGTTGGAGCTTTGGCAGCACATGATTCTTCATTCCTCTTCGTCAGCTCCATCTCGTCCACAACCACACTGAGTCTGGGCGGTATAGGTCGAGCAGGTCAGCCAGCCAACAACGACACTTTTCCCTTTGGCCGAGAGGCTCGACAGCTTGACACTGAAACGTAAGGCCCACCATCGTATCTCGTCGATTGTGATTCTAATCCGCCTCAGGCATAATCGTCGCCGACGCACAAACCAAGAATTTTCAGCGAGACCTCAGCATGTCTCAACTTCCGGCTCTAGGCCGCACCGCAGCGGTCGGCGACACCACCATGTCCCAAGCCCAGGTCTCCATTGAACGCAAAGAGAAAGTCATCCCTCTCGCCATGTTCGTTCGCCAGCGCAAGAAGTACAACCGCCTCGCTATTGAGAGAAACAAGTTGCGCGCCGAACGCAATGAGCTGGCACGCCAGGTGACCAACGACGTGGTCCCTCGACTCGCGTTTGAGCAAGTCCAGAAGGATCGGGCCGATGAACGTGTCCGGACCAGGACGGCTCGCCGCGAGGCCAGAGAGCTGCACTGGGTACTGATGAAGGAGGCTGAAGTCAGCCGGGACCTCGAGGCCCGCACATGCGAGGCGGTCCATCCAGGACTGAACCCCGAGGATCTCGCAGAGGTCCAGCGCGAGATTGACCGGCTCCAGCTCGAGAACGAGCGGCTCAATCTCCGAGCAGCAGAGTATCCCCAGTGCAATGAGGTGGAATATTGGCGTCTGGAGAACGCCGACCTGCAATACAGATATCGTACCATCTGGGAAGAGAAGCAGGAGCTCCAAGCCGCCCTTGATGAAGCCCTGCAGACTGCACCAGTCGAGGCATCGACCCAGACTCTTGCTTCGAATGATGGCACTCAGCACGTCGGAGAATGCCTCGACACTGCCGAGAACCACGCAATCGAGAGCGCGTCTGCCGCCGCAACTCAGGAGAATACTCAAGAAGCGGAGAATGCCCTGGGAGAGGAGCTTGTTACCAAGTCTGCTTATAAGGACCAGGGAGAGGAGAACGCTCAGGGAGAGGACACTGCTACCAAGTCTGTTAGACAGGATCAGGGAGAAGAGACTGCTACCAAGGCTGCTGGAGAGGATCAGGGCTAGGAACCCTTTGACGACGCCAGCGCCGGCATTGTCGAGCACCCTTCTGAGAGCATGTCAACCGAGCATGCCGGAACCATCGCGGCTGAGGGAGCTGAGACAGACGACGACGACTCGAAGTCGACTGCCCCCTCTGAGATCCTTGAAGAGGACCACATCACCGGCTCTGTGTCCTCTTTCCTCCCAGCACCGCCTCCTTCGCGCGCAGAGCAGGACGCCGCGGCCGCAGAGGCAGCAGAGAACAGCGCTGATAGCCGCTGTGAGAAATGCCACACCACGACGGAGACCCTGCTGCAGAACTGCGCGAAGTATCTGCGGGACGTGGAAGCGCAGCAGGACGAGACCGAGTGGCTCGAGCGAGCGCTGGAGTACGAGAAGGATCGTAATGCCGAGCTGGAGAAGGAGGTGGAAGAGCTCAAGCTCTACCGTTTTTTCACAGGCTACGCAATTGCCAGAGGGATTGTAACACTCGGCAACATACTGCAAGGTCTGGCTGGCCGCCCCAGAACTGAGTAGACCGTGCCCGTGCAGGTCCGCTCAAGCGAAGGTCAGGGATCACAAAGCAGCACACTGAGTCATTTCCCATCCAGGTTGGGACTACAAGGGTATTATGCGTGATGACAGCCTTCACCTCACAATCCCATTCATGTACAGGACCTGGTTGGCGGGGTAGTTGCAAGGTAAATACCCCGAGAAGATTTGAGGCAAGACTTTCGAGATACGGTCGTCGGAATTGTTGCCTGAACGAGAAGATGTTGCGGTTGAGGAAGAACAGCAAGGACTTTCAGAAGAAACAAGTTGTGAATATGGCAAGGAGATTCTCATAGCAACGACAGATCAGATAACCCAGCATTACTGCACGAGTATGCGCTGAAACTTGATAGCACCGCGCGGACACCTATTAAATTGCCTACGAGACTCTATCTGTGTGCGATTAGGTACTCGGCATCATCATGCATAGGACATCGCGCATCTGACACCTCATCATCCAGATGTCTACGACAATATGTGCTGTCCCAGCCAGCGATTAAGTATATCCTGCCATGCCACCTTCGGCCCATCAACGCCGAGATGCACCCCGTGCGGCCCGTCCGGCAGGACAAGCAACTCGAACGGCCTGCCCGCGTCCGCCATGGCGCTGGCAAAGACGAGCGCGTTCTGGGCCTTGACTACGGGGTCGTTGGCCGTGTGGAACAGGAACACGGGCGGCGTGCGTCCGTTGACGAGATACTGCGGCGAGACGGACCTCGCGAGCTCAGGCGAGGGATCAGGTCCCAGAAGCCGATCCCTGGAGGGTAGATGTGCGGCGGGAGTCTCCATGGAAATCACACCGTAGGCCAGGATGCCGAAGTCGACGTGCCGGTTTCTCTGGAGAGTGCCATTACTAGTACTGGGGTCCAGGTTGTAATTGTTTGTGCTGAGCAGCGAGGCCAGGTGAGCACCCGCGGAGAAGCCTACCACGCCGAGTTTCCCGGTTGTGAGCACGCCTTGCGCGCGAATCTGGGTGACGGCCTCGAGGGCTTCGATGATTGGCTTGGGGTACAGCGGTGCTGGGGCGTTGAGCGTGGTGCTATACTCGAGCACCCAGGCGTGCCAGCCGCGATCGTTGAAGAACTGGACCGCGTCGGACCCTTCCCCGTCCAGGACGACGGTGGCATAGCCACCGCCGGGAATGATAAGGATGCCATGTCCGTTGGGCTTGGGTGCTGGGTAGAAGACGAGGTTGGGTGCCTGTGCTTGAGGGAGGTATATGCGGGTCATAGTGAGAATTGCGGCGAACAGCAGTTTTGTGCTTGGTGAGTTGTGCAGGGAAGTCTTACACTTGGCCAGAATCAGGGGGTATGCCACGGGAGAAGAGCGATCTGAGATAACCGTCGCGACAGTAGCGAATGCTGTGCTACGAGCAACTAGTTTCTAACGGTTCGGATGAACATCATGCAATAGAACGATCACATATTGCAGGCTCTGTGGATCATGCACTGAGCATCTGCAGCAAGTCGTCATTTCGACACTTGATGCCACATCAAGGTGGATAGACGGCAAGACGTGCATACACGGCCTGATAGTGCCAGGCTCGCATCAAACCAGCACCAACATGCCCATCTGAGGCGGTTGGCTTGGACCCTGCCAACGATTGTCGTCGTAGGCTCCTGGAGAGCTCTGTGCTTATACCATAGTAGCGTTTCCTCGTGAAGATGCTTGCGTCTTGCAAGACCCCTGTTCCCACCGACGCTGTCATCGAATCAAGCCAAGCAGGGCTGATGACTCGCGGGTTTTGCTCTCAACATCGACAGAAGCCGATAAAGGCTCCCACACAGAAACTCCTGCAAGGCCAGTCGAGCAAGGATGGCTTTCGAGGACGCAGATCGATATTCTGATCTAGACAACGCTCTCTGGCAGCGAGAGGCCAAGGGAACGACTCGGAGAAGGCGGGGCAAGGAGTGAGGAGTTTCTGCCAGTTCAGTCATTGTCAGGGGTGCTGTGGAGGTCGTTCTGCCCCGCAAACTCTGGACACCCGCCAGCCGCCATGCCAGACTAACTGTGCTAAGGAGGCCCCCTGCTGGGTATGGCATGCATGCAGCCAGCCTGGGAACCTGGAAGGACCAAGACTCAGCCCTCCCGCCGCCGCTTCTCCGACAAACCTTGCTGCTTGGCTGCTCTTCCGCTCGTAACCGGCCCGGCTAAGCAGCGTCTCGGCAGCCTCGTCGCAAGAACCGCTTCTGCTCGCTCGCCTACGTGTTGCGCCGCCCTCTTCGCCCCTCCCGCCGCCTCCCTCGATCTTCCAGCTCAGAAGCGCTCGTCTTTGCGCCGGTTCCGGGCGGCTTCTTCCGCTTCCGACAATCGCTATTACCCCGGTCTGTCAAGTCGCCGGGTCTGCCTCTCGTCCGGCTTAGGCGCAAACCTCGAAAGTGTCGCATGGGCACTCGATTCTCTGCGTCAATTGGCCGTTGTCTCGGCTCGCCAGCTCTATATTGACCGCCAGGCCTCGTGCTGCAGATTACCAAGTCGCTCGCGAACGTCATTTACGGCAGTCTCCTGCACCCTCCCGCAAGCCGCCTTCACTGCGCCCAGGTCGACACTGTTGTACCGAGGTCGTAGCCACATCCTGCGTATAGTCCGGCACCTCTACCTTGCCAAGCTGGCTGCACACGTGGTCCTCAGAGAGGTGGAAGAGTGACCCAATGGATACCAAGGTCAAGGACAAGAGGGCTGGTAGCGACGCGAAGCCGTCCTCGGCCAAGGACAACTCATCAAATAATGGCGCAGCGCCAGCTTCGCGGGACAGCTCTGTGCACAAAAGCCCTCGGAAGAGGCGCAAGGTGAACCACGGTAGGTGAAGCCGTGATCTTGGGTCCAGTTTGGTCGTGGTGATTCACCTTTGGGAAGGCTCCGCGACAGCCAGCTTATGGTGTGTCCTGCTGGTTGTGTGTGGCGGCCCGTGGGCTTGATCCCGTGTTCTATGCTGTGAAATCTATCGTTTCCCTGGCTGACAGTCTCGACTCTTCTTGCAGCTTGTGTTTACTGTCGCCGTTCGGTAAGCACACGGCCTGCCCGACGCCCTCCCCCGAGGATCCATTGGTTTCACAGCGCCGCGTATATGCACCTTTGTAGGGCCTTGACCTTGTCACGCCTCTTGCTCCCTGTATTAGCATTGTTCTGCAAGACATGGCGCTCGTGCTGGATCCGGTCTCAATGTCCAGGTTACTGACAACATGTGCATGGTGGCATGCAGCATATGACGTGCGATCTAGTATGTAAGATTTGTTGTTCTTGAGTGTTCCTGCGCCTCCAGCATTCGCATTTCTCTTCCTTGTGCGAACACTCTGACCAACGGCTTATGAACAGGAGAGACCTTGCACGAGATGCATCAAGCGCAACATCGGCCATCTTTGTCACGATGAGCCGCGTGATCCCGACACGAAGAAGCCGAAGCCCGTTCGCTCCACTTCGTCAGCTGGACACGAGGAATCAGACAAACAACCAGATATGGCTCAGAACACAGTCGACCAGGCGTCCCGCTCCATGGCACCACCAACGTTCGACTCTAGTGGCGCTGCACAGAAGGAAACCTTTGGGTCGGGCTCTATCGGACAGTCTGCAAATCCTCTCACGCTTGTAGCACAGTCGCCCGTTTCCGCGTTACCAGCCACTACATCCAGCCGAAACCTCGATCAGTGTAGGTTCTTGTCCAACGTGATTTTGCGACGCGTGGGGTCCCGCTCAGAGCTCATGTTGACTTTCTCTTTCGCACGAATTTGCAGTCGCCGGATTCTCAGACACCTGGCTCAGTGGACGGGGTCAATTTCACGACATGCACAACTACAACACGCAGTACTTGCTCACCCCAGAGGTGCATAGCGAGTTCAATCTGCTCAATGACTTTCTAAACACTAGCTTGCTGGACGACAACGCCATGCTTGACGAACACGGTGGCCTCTACCGCCCAAATCAATCTGGCCAAGCAGACATAGCCAGTTTCCTGACCGGAGGTATGGGGAACGGCCTCCTGCCGCCAAGCACCATGCAATCCGGCGCCATGGGGCCTCCAAATGCCGAGCACGGAGCCACCATCTCGCGCCCGGGAAGCACGTTGCCACCAGACAAGACGAGAGAGTTCTACTTGCAGGCCGCTGATCCTTCTGGCAATGACACTCCGGAGGAGCGCATGCAGCGCGTCCTGAAAGCAAAGTACGATGCGGGCATGTTGAAGCCCTTCAGCTACATCAAGGGATACGCACGATTGGGCAAGTATATGGATGGCCATATAGCTCCGAGCTCGAAACAAAAGATTCTGCGCCAGCTAGATCGCTTCCGGCCCAAGTTCCGTGAAAAGGCCCAGGGCCTCACGGACATGGAGTTGATCTATGTCGAAATGTGGTTCGAAAAGACGCTGATGGAATACGACCGCGTGTTCGCTGCCATGGCGGTCCCCGCGTGCTGCTGGCGCAGGACGGGCGAGATTGTGCGAGGAAACAGGGAGATGGCGGAGCTGATACATGTTCCGACAGAGAGTCTTCGAGACGTGAGTTGCACCAATCTCACTTACGATGCTTACGCGTATCCCGTTCTGCACTGACTCCTCACAATGCAGGCCAAGCTCTCGCTGCACGAGATCCTGACTGAAGACTCCCTGGTTCGTTACTGGGAGGAGTTTGGGACAATCGCCTTCGATCCTGCGCACGATACTTTGCTCACGGCTTGCGCGCTCAAGAGCCCAGACGATGACTCGAAAGATCCGATTGTCAATTGCTGTTTCTCCTTTATGATTCGCAGAGATGAGCACAAGATGTGAGTTCCTTTGGTCCTTGACTCGAGGCAGCCGGAAAGCGTGTTACTGACTGCGATATGGAACAGACCCAGTCTGATTGTCGGCAACTTTCTTCCCCACGATCCAGCGCATTAAAAGTACATAATTCATTCTGGCCGCTCGACTACATATTGATGGGCCCAATACATCATTTGTTACTTGCCTCAGGGCGTCGTGTCATGGATAGCGACAGATCATAAAAGCATATTACCTGTTTCACGAAAGCCATGATGGGAGGGAGAATAAAACCACATTTCAGAATAGAAGACCCCGCGATGCCCTGATCTGTGCTGTCCTTTTTTGTCCCCCTGAGTGATCTAACCGACATTTCCCTGCCCTTGTTGATGTGTTGAGGCGTCGCCTGGTAGTCGGTGCATTTGCATTTGAGCGCGCACTGTCGATGGTGTCGGGAAACGGAGCAACCACGTCCTTCGCACCTTCCCTGTCTTGCACGACAACAACATCTGGCATTGATGTTTGGCAAGCTGGACGCCCAACCCAGGACCACCAACTCTGCGCATACACACCACGTACAGTTCTCGCCACGATATCTTGTCTCGGGGGCGACGACATCTGTGCTGATCCGAAGAGCGCGACAGGAACAGCCAGCTCCCCAAACAGTACGACACACTTGTGATGCACGAGAGCCAGGTCCAATGTGATGCCTTCAGCACCAGATCGCCGTTCAGCTTCAGCGGAGAGCCTGGTCAAGTCGATCACATGTACCCAGCCCTCGTATCCGATCATTCCCATGTTCATTGCGCCGCTGACAATCCCGACTCATCACAGCATTCTGCCACGACCTGCGCAGAGAGTTCCCGCACACGACCGATGCTCCTTCCAGGAAGGTCCTCGAGGACAAATTAGAGAGCCACATCCACACGGTCGCATCCTCGTCGCTCAAGAACCTGGCCTCTCCACAGTATCAAGAGCTCGACACAGCAGGCACGGATCTGTGGAACTTGTGCGCGCGCCTCCGCCGACAGAGCCAACACAGTGATGCCGCCACCTCGGCCAGTACGCCCTCGAGGCTGCTGACCCTCGTTCGCCTATATTCGTTCATGATTCTGGCACTCGCGCAGAGCAGTGCCGAGCACCACAGCACTGCCAACAACCTGATTCGCCTGCACAGGCTGGCGATCAAGACAGGACGAGCTTGCATAGGTAGCTGAACCCTGCAATCTTCGCCCACATGCATATACGCTGCCAGGCACTTTCAGGACTAAATGAGTAACACTGGTCCTTAGATGAGGGCGAAATCTCCCTCGCTTCCGACGTACTGCGCAAGGCGGTTGAGTACAAAACTATGTTGAGCAAGCTAGAAGATGCATTGCCAGAAGGAGAAGGTCCAGGCTACCGAGCACCAGAGACGGAGTGTTGGATGCTGCAGACTACCATCGTAAGTTCTGCGCGATGCCCATTGATCTCAGGAGTCGTCCTCGCTCACCCCAATAAAGGCCTGGAAAGACAATCGTTTAGAGCTTGTCGAGCACTTCCACACGAAGCTCGATGAAATAAAGGGCGACATGACGACCGAGCACATTGAAAGATTCGCCGACACCATATTTGCCATCGGACAGAACCTCTCCGCCCGGAATGAATGGTCCACCGCCACCAAGTGGCTGCAAAGAGCGTATATCTGGATCAATACCCCTGAAATCGATCAGCTCTCCAAAGAGGGGGCAGAGCTCAGGCTGGCCATCACGAGATCACTCATCCAAGCGCACCTCCACACAGAAGCTTCCGACAACATGGAGCAAGCCGAGAATCTTATTCAGTCCTTAGAAGGAGAAATTGGCAACACCATGATGGTCCTCCTCTTGCGGTTAGAAATTCTCGTTGCGACGCCTGGGGAGAGTTTTGACTCCTCGTCGTATGCAAGTGTGATGCGCAGGATGATAGAAACCACCGAGATGTCTGACATAACATTCAAGGTCATCGTTCATCATATACGCAAGCTGGAGGACAAGAGTCCAAGCACGTCAATGGACCTTGTCGATCAATTCTTGCGGATGAAAGTGCTACCCACTACCCGTGCGGACTGGATCGAGCGTCTTGTGGTGCTTCGAACTCACATGGCAACCAGCCACCGAGAGACTGAAATCACGTCCCAAGGAATGACTGTTCTTCTTGATCAAATAAAAGACGTGGCTCAGACGCCTTTCTCGGCTACAGCGACCAATGCCATACAAACAGTACGTTTGTGAATACCAAACGCCCACGGCTAAATAGCTGACGTCAGATCCAGTTGCTGTGGAAGAAGATCGATGCCAACTACTCCTCTGGCGAATATGCTCTGGCAGTCTCATGGTGCCGCGTTGCGTTGCATCCAATGCTCGAGCAATGCGGCCCCGTGAATGCAGCCAAGATATCGAGGTCTGAATTCGATGTCCCGAACATTAAGGGCGACGGCTGATTTGTGTGCAGAAAACTTCTTATCTGCGCGGCAGAAAATAACGACCTAGAGACTGCGATCCAAACGTTTCGTAACATGAGCGAGTCGGCTCGAAACGAGCCCAGCTCGCTCTTCCTCGGTTTCAAGATTGGGATACAAAGTGAGAATGCATTGCTTGCACAGGAGTGTCTTGACTCTATCGCGCAGCAGACCACTGCCAATATGCGGTATCTCTACGCTTGTTGTCTAGAAGCACAAAAGGTCAACGAGAAGTCCTGCGTGCTGAGTGCTCTGCAGCATATTGCCCGCAAATATGATCAGTGCGCGCAGGGTTCTGTCCATACTCCAGCCCTGCTCCGCAGCATTATTCGACTGCAGTTGGGACTTTTGAATGACAGTGTTGAGCAGCGGGTACAGCCTCAGACTCTACAAGCCGACATATGCGACACATTCGAGGCCAGCAAGTTTCTCCTTCCAAAACAGGGTGCCATCTGTTACATTTCCGTTCGCTAACTGTGATGATAGCCGTGCACCTTCTCAAAGACGACCCACGAGACGAGCAAGGTGACAAGCTCTTTACAATTGCTGAGCTTGATTGGTTCTGCAAGAACGCATACAACCTTGGTCTGAAGCACACTGCTACGTGGGACATAAGCCTTGTCGTCCGACTTTTTGAGGTGTGCATATCCGTCATGCAATACTACCCGCCAGATTTACCAGCACAACCGGCTTGCGATATCCTCCTCCGGAACCTTTTCTGTCACTTTATGGTCGCCACGGCCCTTCTCGCCATCGCCCGCGCTGAAGACAATATCGAAAAGCAACTGCAGCACTACCTCATAATGCGCAAAAAAGTCAAGGCGTTCGATGAGATGCTCGAATGCGAGAAGGGAAAGCTTGATGACGTCCTCATCGATGATCTCGAGCTTAAGCTTTCTACTCTCTTAGTCTTCGATTTCGAAGGCGCCATTTGCCTCAAGTCGTATGATGACCTGGATAGCATTATCTTGCGAGCAAAATTGCTTGAAGAGGCAGCAGCGTATCAAGCCATGGCAGACTGCCTTTTGAGAGCCGCCAACGTCCCAAGCCAGAGTACGTTCACCTCGTACTTGTACGTGGAGTGTGCTGACACAAACCCTCACAGCCCTCTATGCCACGCTTCGAAAGCTTGCGAATGAAATCTGGGCCTTGGAGAGATTCAATGTTGACAGAGTAGCGAAGTACATGCGGTGCCTCTTGCAAGCAATGCTGCCTTGCAACCCGGACTACCCTTTGCGTATCATTGAGGAAGTGGTCAGATTTGTGAAGGAAGCAGCCGAGGTGAGTGTGCCGATTGCTATCGTATGCTCTTGGAAGACTGACATGGTGCGCTTGTAGTCCGACAACGCATTTCCGGATACTGAAGTGGAGTGGTTCATCGCAACAGCGTTCAACCACGGGGTTGATCTTTATGGAAATGGCGAGGACGAGCTGAGCAAGAAATGGTTCGGCTACGCCATGACACTTGCACACTACTATCAAGATGGCGGCATCATGGAGAAGGACTTGCAGGAAAGAAGTACACGGCTGCAATGGGACGGCTGACTTGAACCGTAAGAAGATAGCCCGCGTGAGTAACGTGTCGGACATTGAGAGCTTTGCTATGTGCTTCCGCCACAGCATGCTACCAGCCCAGACATTTGACATCTTTTTGCTTGATGAAGCAAAACACTCATGGGCTTCTACCGATGATCATTTCCCGCACAGTTTCCTCCATGGGTGTAGCCTTGACTCCGACTCGGCCGAGCAACTCAGCCAGCGTGGAGTCGTCGACATGACACTCACCATCCTCAAGAGCCGGATAAGTCCTCGCCCACCACTCGACAGCTGGTTTGCTTTCCGGTCCTGAGCGGGACGTATACGTCGCAATGTGCTCGCGCAGGGGCACGATCTGGACCTTGATTTTCCGTGCGGTGGCTTTGGCGGTGGTGGCAGTCTCGGTAATTAGGTTCGCCACCTCAGCAAGCGTCAGAGCTGTTGAAGGCGGGTTAGAGAGGTAGAATTTTCTGCCAAGGAATTCATTGCTTCTGTTATCGCTGATCCCTTGGTTTCCTGATTTGAGGAATGCTGCAAGCGACGAGAGCACCACGGCGCTTCCAACACCCAGGTCCTTGATGGCTGTCCAGCTGATCTTGCCGTCGCCGGCTAGTTTGACCACCTCTTCGCGCCCCTTCTCCTCTCCGGCCTTGTCCTCCAGGTACGCCTTGGTGTCGAAGTAACCCAGGTACAGAGGCCAGGACTCGTTGTACAGGCCCTCCCGGATCACGGTGCTCTGCAGCTTCCCCTGTGCAGCCAGCTCCGCGAGATAGGCCTCAGTCCGCAGATGCGCCCGCATGACGCCGGCCTTGGACTCTCCCTCGGAGGCACCATCCTTGACATTGTGGCTGCGCCGAGCGGCGAAGCTGCGGAACCCAAAGGCCAAGCTGGAGTAGACGAGGACCTTGACCCCCGCGGCCACGGCGGCATCGATGGCGGCGAAGTGATGCGCCTCCCGGCCAGTACCGGGCGGGGCATCGTTGAAGTCCATGGATATCCGCGGCGTCGAGACGAGGAAGAAGACGTCCACGCCGTCGAGGGCCGCGGTGAGGCTCTGCGGGTCGTCAAAGGTGGCGTGGCGGACTTGGATGCTGGGACTTCCCGATGATGAGGAGGAGGTGGAGGCGAGCTTGTCCCACGTCTCGGACCCGGGCTTGGACGAGGTCAGGGCGATGATGTTTGCGGGCGGGTGCAGGGCGTGCTCGAGCAGGGCGTGCAGGGTCGCGCCGCCGAGCTTGCCGCTTGCGCCGATGATGGCTATCGTCGGTGATGGTGAGTTCGTGGTAGTGGCCATTGCTGCTTTACGTTTTTCTTTTTGATTTTCGTTATGTTTTTATTGATAGACACTGGAAGACTGGATGGCACCCAAGCCACTTTGCCGGGAGAGAGGAGGAGACTTGAAGACTGTTTCTTGTAATTCGGGCTTGCGTGATGATGTTGTCATACGGTGGTTTCAAGTCGAGATGTATGGAATTACCAAGTCGATGCTTGCTTGCTAAGCGGGCCTTCGTGGTGCGGAGAAGTTGGAGAATGGTCCCCACAAGGAGGGGGGAAGAATAATTCCCCACTGGCAACTCGCATTGATGATGACGTAGCCACGACAACTTTGATCGTTATGTTCCAGAGAGGGGTTGTATTCAGAGTGTTTTGATATCGGCATGAGACTCTCGCAACCGGCGTATAATTCTCGTTTCTTTGCGTTTAGAGCCGCTTCCAAGATGATTGAGGCACAATTGAGCCAAACTTTCCGTGTCAAGCTTCCTTCATGATGAATATCAATTTTTACAATAAAACAAACTACAAGTTGACCGGTTACCAGGTAAATATATGTTCTCCAGCGGACCCGCGAATCCCAAAACACCAGACCTTTCAAATGGCAATGAAAAAATTCTTCTCGCCATCCTTTGGCACAACGCGGGCTTTCTCCATGATCGGGTCGACACAAGACAGTCTGATCCTCTCTGGGGTCGCTGGACTCTCCAACCTCAAGAGCCCATCAGCCTTGTCCTCGCCATTCGTTGCTGTCTCGCCGGCTCCTCCTCCTGACAGACCACCTCCGTGCTCAGCCAGCAGCGCCTTGACCCCGTACTGCGCACGCGCGCCCTTGAGCGCATCGCGGATCGCGAAGAACACCGCGCTGCCCATGAACAGCGGCGGCTCGCCGACGCCACGACTGCGCTGGATCGTTCGCAGGTTCTCCCACGTGACGCCCTTGAGCAGGCTGACGTTGAACACCTGCGGCACGTCGCGGAAGCCGGGGATCTTGTATGCTCCGGGACCCTTGGTGAACAAGCTACCCGCAGCCGGACCGTTTCGAAGCCAGAGTGACTCCTCCATCGTGAACAGGCCGAGGCCTTGCAGGAACGCGCCCTCGATCTGTCCGTAGTCGATGGATGGGTTGATGGACCGCCCGACGTCCATCTTGATGTCGGCCCGAAGGCAGGTCCAGGTGCCCGTCAGGCAGTCGATCTCGACCTCGGCAGCAGTGACGCCCTGCGTGAAGTAGAAGAACATCTTGCCCTTATTCTCGCCCCAGGTATAACCGATCTCGGGGGTCTTATAAAATCCGTTGGCACTGAGGTTGACACGGTCAAAGTACGCCGCGTGGGCGAGCTCCTTCATCGTCGCGTCGGGACCGAGTTTCTCTCGGTAGGGCGCCAGGCGCGCGTTGAGCTGCTCGCAGGCATTCCAGACTGCGTATCCGTTGAGGTCGGAGGATGCGGAGGCGGCGGTGGGAGAACTATTGGCGACCGTGTTCGTGGACGTGTCGGAGATGTAGACGTTTTCCAGGGGCACCTTGAGCGCCTGGGCAGCGAGGGTGATCATCTTGGTGTGCAACCCCTGGCCCATCTCAGTGCCGCCGTGGGCGACGAGGACAGAGCCGTCGTGGTAGATGTGCACGAGCGCGCCGGCCTGGTTGAACCACAGCGCCGTGAAGGAGATGCCAAACTTGGTCGGGATGAGGGCAAGTCCGCGCTTGCGCCACTTGTGCGTATCGTTGAACTCGGTGACGGCCTTGCGCCGGTTTGCATAGTCTGACTCCTCCATTACCTGCTTGTACATGAGCGGCACATGCCAGTCCTCGATCTTCTGGTTGAAGTGTGTCGTCTGGTCGTCGGTGTACATATTGATTTGCTGGAGCTCTTCGACGGGCAGGCCCAGTCTGTCCGCGACCTCGGCCATATATGACTCGGTGATGAACATGCCCTGCGGGCCGCCGAAGCCGCGGAATGCCGTGTTGGACATGGTGTTGGTCTTGCAAAGTCGACCGCGGACGTGGACATTGGGGATATAGTAGCAGTTGTCGACGTGCGTCATGGCGCGTTCGCACACGGCGGCACTGAGGTCGAATGACCAGCCGGCGTTGTTGAAGATGTCCACATCGAGCGCCTGGAGCTTTCCATCCTTGTTGACACCCACTTTCCATTTGGCCAGGAACGGGTGCCGCTGTCCTGACATGACCATGTCTTCATCACGGTTCAGCATGCATCGGACTGGCCGCTTCGTCTTCTGTGCTGCAAGGGCGCAAATTGTGCTGAGCGCGACACATCTCGTCTCCTTGCCACCAAAACCACCGCCAAGACGCTTTACACGCGCAACGACCTTGTTCGAGGCGACGCCCAGAATGCGGGAGGCAAATGCTTGTCTGTGCTCACTCGTCAGCATCCGTGTATTATATATGGCGGGGCAGATTGTACTCACGTCTCTGTAGGGTTCTGGCTGCTGGACCAGATCTCCATTTCTCCGTCCTCCGGCTTGGGGATGGCCACAGTAGCATTCGTCTCGAGGTAGAAGTGCTCCTGTCCACCCATGCGCGCGATGCCCGTAAAGGTGTAATCGCAGTTCTTGAAAGCCTCATCGACATCGCCCTTCTTGATATGCCTGAAGAAGTTGTGGAAGCTCTCCTGTTCAATGGCCTCCTCCATCGTGAAGACGGCAGGAAGGTCTTCGTACTCAATCTTGACGGCACGCACACCTTGAGCGGCCTTCTGCTGCGAGGTAGCCAGCACGATCGCAATAGGCATACCAGAGTGGAAGACCTCGTCCTCGGCAAAGAACAAGTCATCAAAGTTGGGTGCTCCCCACTTGTTGTCTTCCGGACTATGCAAGTCGTTCTTGTCGACGACATCTACTACGCCGGGAATATCAAGTGCTGCCGAGTAGTCGATGGACTTGATTTTGGCGTGGGCCCTTGTGGACAGGACCAGACATGCGTGGAGTTCGTTCTTCATGGGCGGGATATCGTCAGTGTACTGCGCCTCGCCCGTACATTGCTTCATGGCAGCAACGTGATTGCCAGCCTTGCCTAGCGTCTCCATGGCGTATTCCGCAGTAACCTCGTCGTCCCTCCAGCCAGATGAAAGGGCTCTCTCGAGCTCCTCTACAGCCTGGCTGTCTCCGTGCTGGCTCTCCGCATTCAGCTCGCCGAGACAGTCCTGGTAGAACCTGTAGAAGAAACTGAGAGCCAAGGCGCGACGATATGAAGCCATGCCTCCGGGCACACTGAAGCTCAGGTTGAAGTCTTCGCCAAGAGCTCCCATGGCACCCTCGAGCGTCTCTGGGTGGGCAAACATCTTGCCCTGCAAGTACTCGTTGGTCCTCTTTGCCGCGACAGTGAACGGAGCCATGCCGCCGAGGACGAGATTGCAGTGTTCCACCGTGCCCTTCTCATCGACCTTCAGGTGGAAAGCCCCCGTCACGATAGCGATGTCATCGTCCTTCCGCTTTGCTTGCTTGTATGCTCTAAAATAGTCACCCTTTTCGCGGTTGACGGGAATGCGGATAGCCGCAATAATGGCATCGTTAGGAAGCGATGTCTTTCGGTAGCCGGTGAAAAAGGACGACATGGGAAGTTCTGTGGTCTCCTTGGCTGACTTTGCGATCAAAACACAGTTGGCTGCCATGAATACTGGGTTCAGGTCAGAAATCGGAGATGCTGTCGCCAGATTTCCAGCAGGCGTGCCAACATTCCTGATTTGTCGCCCAGCAAAGTACTTGAGCTGCTTGTGCATCGCCTCAAATACTTGCCCTTTGGTCTTGCCATAGTGCTTGATGGCCTCCTGGCAGATGTTCTCCAAATCGGTGAGAACAACATTACCCCCGATTTCCAGGTGGTCGTCGTGGAACTGGTACTGCCGCAGCTCAGGAATGTCCCCGACAAACACAGAGATAGGGTACTGGAGCGCCTTGAACTTGATCTCAATCTGCGTCTCAGTGCTGCCGCCAATGATCTTGGCACCAGGATAGACGCTCTTGATCTCAAGAAGCTGCTCGAGCGTGACTGGGCGATACCAACGCTTGCGCTTGTTCCCAAAGGCTAGAGGTTTCAGCTCGTGCTTCTTTAAAGCTGGCGGAAATATGAGCTCCGTGTCTGGCTTGTACTCGATGAAGCCCGGTGGCGTGAAACGCTTGATCGGCTGTCCGTCGTCAAGACTCTTGCTCTTGCAGCAGCCTCCCTTGGCCGCATCTCCATTGCCATTCTGCTCCATGCAGCAACCAGAGCCACCGTTTGTCTTGCTCTTGCCGCAGGCGCTTTCGGCACTGAACGTCCGAGCAGCATCGAGGATGGGCCGGTAGCCAGTACACCGGCAGAGGTTGCCATCAAAGGCCTCCTCGATCTCGTCCTCGGTGGGGGTGTCGTTGTTCCTCAGCAGGGCATACAAGCTCATCACTATACCAGGAGTGCAGAAGCCGCACTGGCTGCCATTCCCCTTGGCAATACGCTCCTGCGCTGGGTGTGGCCGGTTGACATTGCCGATACCTTCCACGGTGATGACATGCTTGCCATCCAGACTGGCCAGCGGCGCAAGACACGCATTCACGCTGGCATGGTAGATCTGCTTTGTTGTTGGGTTGTACTGGCTGATGACGACTGTGCATGCACCGCAACCGCCCTCGGCACAGCCACTATGTCGTGATAAGGAATCAGCCTGGGATCAACGAGCAAGCAGTAAAGAATGCAAACCTACAGCTTTGTGCCAGTCAGGCCTATGCCTCGAAGATACTCGAGCAAGGTGACTTCTGGGTCTATTTCATCGAGCACAACCCTGGTGCCATTCAGGAAAAAACGGATGGTGTCGTCAAATGCCGTGGTCAATGCAGAGGCCGGGAGCATCTTTTCTGGCTCTGGGGAGATGGCGATGGGTGCCATGATGCTGAGAAGGCGGAATCGCCAAGTGACTGGTGGATGATGGCTGCAAAAGGAAGAGGACAAGAGGTGATAAGGACCAAGACCCTTCTTGTATGGCGATCTCGACCTAGACCATCCGGGGTATCAAGGTTGCCACTAATTGGGAACTTGGGGGGATGGTGGTATCGGCTCAACCAGGATTCTGACAGACAGCAAGGACGATTGCTGAGGCGAGACGTGAAAAAGGCAGGATGGGGAAAGCTGAGGAGGATCCCGCCCGAATCCAGTCCTGTCTCACATGGGAGCAATGGGGTAGCTCGAGGCTTGCTTGTCTCGTGCTCTTCTATGGCGGGGTGTGGCGACCTGCTGGGCGAGGCCCTATCTCAGCCGCCCGCGCTTCCCTATCAGCAAAACGACACGATCTATCTCGTAAGCCAACCCGACACTGTGCCCTAAAAGCTTGTCCACGCGCGGGAGAGCGAAAGGACCGCACTGGACGATGCTGGGCAGGCGCGGCCGTAGACAAATCAACGCCAAGGGATATGCTCTTAGCTCTTAGCTTCTGGGCCGCACCCAGGATTGTCTCCCACACCAGCGGCGGTCTGCGACGGGGCTCGGTGGGGGCACCCCACAGCTCGGCAGCGGAGGGCTCCATCGCCATCGGCCGGCTCCGCGGGTGTCCCTTGGGAATGCAGCTATGCAAGCCGGGCACGGCAGAGAGCATCCCAGCTGCAGACAATTCACGTAATTGATGGTTATCACGCCGCAAAGCCATCTGACAGCGCCGTAGTCTGTATGAGGCTTTGATTGTGCGGATCGAGAATCCATATCTGGATAAGAGAATCCAAATCTGGATAGTTCCTGTGAGCAAAACAAGCCCTGCTATCTGTCAACGTCTCCCGTGGTTGACTGGTTTGGTGTATGTACGACCTCAGACACTCCAAGCTAAACATATCTCAGCACGTCACTCATAACCACACCTACGAACCAATTCAACGCTATATGCTTGTACAATATGGTAGGTCAAGGCTATAAAGGCTGCTCATTTTCCATCCAGCGTGACTGGATCCCACTCAATGTCGAGGTCATGCCGGGTCTATGTGCTGTTGTACAATATCCCATACATTTACGCATATTTCTACAAGTTGTTGCTTCTCCTGGCAGCGAAGCTTACCACAGCTGCTCCTCACTTCGCCTCGTCTGCAACCTCCGTCTCCGCTTCGGGCTCTACAGCATCCTCCTCGCCAAAGGACGTATAGGCCGAGGTCTGCTCGGTGCGGACAATTTCAATCTGCTTGCTCGCCCACTTCTTCCACGACTCGAACTCCTTGTCCTCGAGCTCGAGGCCAACCTGCAGGAAGCCCTTGCCAAAGTACGCACCCACAGCACGCGCTTCTTCGGCTGCTATCCTGCGCTCAACATCCTCTTCTTGGCGCAACTGGTAAAACTCGCGTCGGGCAGCATCATAGGCCTTGACCCGGGTCATGCCGGGAATGTTGTACATCATCCACATTTGGCGTTGGACGACACTAGATGGTAGAGAAACATGTTAGCCAAGAGTCTCGTTTGCGCACCTCCATTCTTCCCAAGGGCGCCACTGCTGGAATTCTTCGTACCTCTCACCAGACAGCTGCATGCCAGGCTGCCTGAGTCCATTTGACCAGTCGTATTTCTGAGCATCCTTTCCGTCCGTCTCGACAATCATGCGTGGCCTCGCCAGCTCCCAGGGGTGGTCTTTGTAGAATTGGCGACGCAGAATGTCCTCCTCGTATGTGAGCTTTTGGGGCTGGAAGAGCTTGCTGGCCTTTCGTGTCCGTGATGTGATCTTTTGGGGCTGGTGCTGTTGTGGGTATGTCCGCGTGAGGATCTCGGCTGGTGGGTGAGCCGCCACGATGTCGTACCATACGGGCTTCTGGGTGCCCTTCCCTCCAATCATGGACTGGTTGAGCAATGCCGTTGCGGTCTGGAAAACCCTTGGCGGGGCCGTCTGTCGTACGCCGCCCATGACTTCTTGCTGTGAGGATGTTTGTTGTCGTCGCTGTCGTGGACGATGAACAGGCGGGTTCAGGTTCGTGGTCGACCAATGCGGACTGATGTGTCGCGGGGCAAGCACCTGAAGTGTGCGGATCAGATGCGCAAATCCCTTGCAACAACACTGCTCCAAGAACTGGAGGCACCGAGAGCACAAGCTTGGGGTGTGATGATGCGATGCGCCGCACTGAAAGCTCAAAGGCGTCGAGTGTCGAATTCTGAACAGCAGCCCTCCAGCCAATGGCCTCCACGCGCGCGGAGTCTGCAAATTCCAGGTCCACGCCCGCAGTGCCCCACTTATAATTCCGATAGCATGGCCCGCCATCAATTGTATCAAGACACTTATCGGCCAGGCCATATTTTTCGTCCAAAGCTTCAAGCATTGCCTCGACCGCGAAGCGACGTCGCAGCAACAATCGGCGCTCATTGCAAGCACATCGTCCTGCGCCGCTTGTTCTTGACTGGCCCAGAGCAGCCCTCCTTTTACCGGGCCCCCGTCCCAACCCCCGATCAGCTCCCCACGCACAGCCCGATCGCCCGCCAGAGCTCCCGATGCCGTTGCGGATATAATCACCGCAAGCTGTCACAGCAGGACGACCATGACGGACAGCTCATGAAAACCTTAGGTCGAATAGACGGGTCGGTCTACGGCGCGATACTCAGCGGTCGACCCTCGTCAGCGAGCAGGTATGCGGCACTCTGCACGTCACCAGGTAGTGCGGAGCCTGGTCGCGGCAGGGCGAGGCTGTACCACGCCGCCTGCCGTCCGGTCAGGCCTGGTCTTGGGTCGACCGCCGACTCAACGCAGTTCAGACCGTGGGTGGACGCCTCCCCAAAACGCCTGCGCCATGATACGGCATTCTCCAGAGCGCAGGCCAGCACATCCATGGCCACAACGTCCGCCCGCCCACTTGCTGCCAACTTCTTTACGCGCCAGCACCCCATCACCGCAAGACGAAACCACGCAGCTCATGCTGCTGCCTCAAGCCCAATCTACAACTCACGCCGGCCTTCGGATCACAGAGAACATCAGCTGAGGCACCACCCGCTGCCACGCTCAATGCCCTCGACCCGCGAGCTCCTGGACTTTGTCGACTACATTGACGACGACACAGTCGAGGACCATCTCGAATTCCTCAATGATCCGTACAGACACAGACATGCTGTGGCCGATGGGCCCAATATCACCATCTCGGACGACCCTGAAGACGTCAACATGCAAAGCTACAATCAGTACCAAGTACAGGATCCTGACCAGATGCGACGAGTAGAGGACCTAGCCGACGGCGTTTTACAACGGCTCAGCAAACCCAACAGTATCACCTTGGACGAAGTATGGGCTCTGTACCAGAGTATCCCCCAACCTCGGGTGTCGCCTCTGCCCGCCAGCCTTCGGCATGCACTGCTGGCAGCTCTTGGCCGGGTCTCTAGAAAGAACTACAAGAACATGCTCCGCTATCTCGCCGTCATTGGGGATGTCAAGACTGCTGGCTTCGCCCTCCAGCCGTGGGAATGGAACACGGCAATGTCTTTCGCCAGTCGTTATGTTGCGACAACGTCCGCCGTGGAACTCGAGTCCGCTATCCGCACGTGGGAAGAGATGGAGAGGGTGTCTGGCGTGACTGCCACTGACGTGACGTTCAACATCTTGTTCGACGCTGCGTCCAAGGCAGGCTGCTTCAGCTTGGCCGAGATGCTCTACGAGGAGATGTTGCGGCGGCATCACCGATTTAGTCGCTACCACCATGTCACACTGATCCATTTCTTTGGGCTCAAAGGTGACAGCAGCGGCATCCGGGCAGCATACCGGGAGATGGTGAGATCAGGCGAGATCATCGACTCCATCGTTCTCAACTGCGTTATTGCAGGCCTTCTGCGATGCGGAGAAGAGTCGTCTGCCATGGAGGTGTACGAGAAGATGAAGGCCAGACATATCCGGAGCAAGAACATCCCTGATCGGAACTACAGGCTGCAAAAGTCCATCACCAAGGTCCTTATGATGTTCGCCAAGGTCGGCAAAACATACCCAGACATGCATCCAAACTTCCAGAAGTCCGCCTTGCTGGCGCCGGACTTCTCCACCTACCGAATCATGATCAATCATTACGGCGTGGTAGTCGGAGACCTATCCAAAGTGGCCCAATTCCTCGACGAGATGAAATGGTTTCGGGTTCCGTTACACGGGGCGATATTCCTAGCCCTCTTCAAGGGTTTCTCCGTCCACGGTGGCGAATCCGGCGACTGGACCGCAAAGCGTCTACAGAGCGTGTGGGAAGCCTTCCAAGAGGCTATGGATACGGGCGCCGGCGGCCTCCACATCAGCACCTGGATGGCGATGTACATATTGCGCGCCTTCTCGCTCGTGTCCACGCGCGAGGAGATGCTCGACATCTACGAGGCGCTCCGGTCGCGGTGGGATCTTGATGCCGCCAACACCAAGTTCATGCTCGACTTCTTCGGCCGCTTGGTGGACAGCAAGAAGACTCATGCCCTCAAGGGCCTCGGCACGAGACACACTTATCTCGCTCCATGAAGCATTACCTAAGCCATTGGGTGGTTGGTTGGTTTGCTTGCCCCCTTCACCTTACTACATTCTTCCTCGTTGTCATGAGTCGGCATCTTTGTCTCCACTAGCATTGGTTGGGTTTTTACATCGGGTCATGAGGTTTTCTTGTTGTACATATAGATATATCCTGGGCATGAGATCAGAGCATTGGGTCGGCGCGGCTTTTCGACGTTGAGGCGGATGGATGTATATAACTGTACCATATTGTGACTATGAAATAATGCATCAAATTCATGAAATAGAACAAACCGGAAAGGGGCAGCCTGAAGTCCATGGGGCAGATGTGCTCGATAAGCACTTCTCCTCTGGTTGCTGGAATCGACCACATGCTTATTTCAATCAATCGTTGGCATGTGAGGCAAATCAATTCGAATTCAATCCACGAAGATCTCTTCTGCATCAATAAAGCAATGCCCTGGTTGGCATGATACACACAATTGTGAAATCACAAGACTAACCAGGCAAATATGCCCAATCACATGAAATGCATCACCAGACACACTTCACCATCTCTGACTGGCCAGGCATGTGCTCTGGTTGCAACCTTCGGACTGGCTCAAAGGCATTCATCAATCCCACAAGAATCACAACGACTGTACCAAAAGTCACTTAAGACAAATGAGATGGATTTGATAAGCGGGATATCTTGAGCGAACCCTTTACATCTATATTTTCGGATTCCCTTAGTGCCAACCAAGTCGAAGCAGACTTCCCCGCTAGGTTGTTTTACACGGTGTCATGCTCCTGCCGGGGAGATAGCGTTGCTCCCGAGCTTGAGGATTCCTACGACATAAAAGAGACGCTTAAGCCTTGGGCTTCTTGGTTTGCCAGACTACAGAGCAGATATAGATAGTTAGCACAGCTGTTCTCGGAAATACATTCGACACGAAGCTTGTTCGCCCGATCCGTCGAGGTCAAGAAAGCCGTCCACGCGCCAGGAACGTTGGAGCTTTCTCGATTGACCGCGAATGGGAAACCCAAGAACGTGTGTGATGGTTGCGGGATATGACGCACTGGCGATGCCGAAGGGCAAGAAGAAGCCGGTGGCCATGTAGGCCCAGTAGCGGACGGCGAAGAAGCGAGTCTTGGTGTTGAAGGGCAAGTTGGAGTAGGGGCCCTCGGGGTAGTGGTAGGGCGACGAGAGACGGGCGCGGGTGGCGTGGAAGGCGCGGCGGGCAACGACCTGCTGGGCGATGCGCGGGCTGGCGCGGGCGGCGGCAGAGGCGATCATCTTTGCGAAACGAGTCCTGAGTTAGCGATATGTTGCCGATGGCGAGGAGGATGGCGCAATTGGTAGGTACCTTGACGGTGGCTGTGTGGTGGAGCGGAGATGTGGTGGTGAGAGTGTCTTTCTGCGGGCTGCGCTGCGAGGTGGTGGTTCGACGTTGACAATGAGGCGATGATGATTTGCAGGCAGGTCGTAGGTCCCGCTGCCGGAGAGTTTGCCAGGCCTGGCGTTCACCTGCTCGGCTAATATTTCGGCCCGGCAGCTGGAGGGTAGCTGCAGTACGGGCAGCTTCAGGGTACAAAGGTACTTCCCACGGACAGCTCCCGCCCCACTTCCTTCCCGGCGGGCGTGCCTGAGGACATCAACTGAGCTGCATGCATAGGCTGCGCTGGGGCAGTTGTTATCGGCGCTTATCGCTGGCCTTTTTTTTCTGGCCCTGCAGCAGGTCAGCCAGGGCCCTGAGGGCAGCCGGCGCCTTTGTCTTGCTCATGTGCTTGGATCTCGATCCCCGGTCAAGACTCGATCTTCACAGGCAGCTTCTGCTCTCTGCACCAACAACCGCAGCGACTGGCTGCCTTCGCCGGAGCTGTGCCCGACTGTCTCTACAAAACACCATTACCCGAGCTGCGACCGTGACAGCGTCGCGACAAACCTTGTAGTCCTGCGACGTGCATCTACAGCCGCAGCCATGGACGATTTGTTCAACGTCTTTGACGCCCCGGCCTCAAATGCCAAGGCGCAACCGAGTTCCTCGTCCAACAACAACACCAACAAGCCCCCGCGAGCCAAACGGGAGAAGCGAAGCAAGAAGCGGAAGGCTGAGGATGTCAGCCACGCGACAAATGGTCATGCTGCGACGTCAAATTCCGCTCCCGAAGCCGACCCGGCCGACGTCGTCCCTACGTCGCCAGAGGATGAGGATCACGACGACGCCGCTTCGGATGATGCGATGCAGGATAGCAAGCGCCGGCGCAAGGAGGGCGAGACCGCGGATCCTGTCTTGACCGACACATTCGAGACCGCCGCGAGCCGCGAAGTTGCGACAGCAGCAGGCTTCGCGCCCACGGCAGAGGAGGAAGCCGCGTCACTCGTCCTGTCGCACAACATTCAGCATCAGGTCGCACTCCCGCCTGACCTCGACCACGAGTATGTGCCCCTGTCGGAACACAAGCCTCCCGAGAAGCCGGCCCGCGAGTGGCCCTTCACCCTGGACCCTTTCCAGCGGCTATCCATATCTTCGATTGAGCGAGACGAGAGTGTACTTGTATCCGCGCACACTAGTGCCGGAAAGACGGTCGTTGCCGAGTACGCCATTGCCCAATGTCTAAAGAGGAACCAGAGAGTCATCTACACGAGTCCCATCAAGGCCCTCAGCAACCAAAAGTACCGAGAGTTCAACGAGACGTTTGGCGATGTGGGTTTGATGACTGGAGATGTCACCATCAACCCTACAGCCAGTTGTCTGGTCATGACAACAGAGATTCTCCGGTCTATGTTGTACCGCGGCTCAGAAATCATGCGCGAAGTGGCTTGGGTTGTCTTCGACGAGATCCACTACATGCGCGACAAGTCTCGTGGTGTAGTTTGGGAAGAGACCATCATCCTCCTGCCTGACAAGGTCCGATATGTCTTCCTTTCTGCGACCATCCCCAACGCCTTCCAGTTTGCGGAATGGATCGCCAAGATTCACCGACAGGCCTGCCACGTTGTCTACACAGACTTCCGACCGACGCCATTACAAAACTACTTCTTCCCCGCTGGTGGCAAAGGTATCTTCTTGGTGGTCGACGAAAAGGGTGTCTTCCGGGAGAACAACTTCAATAAAACGATGCAGATGATTGAGGACCGCAAGGGCGCCGACCCCAATGACATTGACGCGAAGCAAAAGGGCAAGGGCAAGAACAAGAAAACAAGCAAGGGTGGACGTGACGATAGCAGCGGTGACATCCAGAAGATCATCAAGATGATCGTCACAAAGAACTTCAACCCAGTCATTGTCTTCAACTTTAGCAAGAGAGAGTGCGAGAACCTGGCAATGCAGATCTCCAAATTTGCTTTCAACGACGACAGCGAAAAGGCCATGGTCCGCAAGGTCTTTTCGAGCGCCATCGAATCCCTCTCCGAGGAGGACCGAGAGCTGCCTCAAATCACAAATATCCTGCCTCTCCTAGAGAAAGGTATTGGTGTGCATCATTCAGGTCTTCTGCCAATTCTCAAGGAGACCATTGAGATTTTATTCCAAGAGGGTCTGATCAAGGTGCTCTTCGCGACGGAAACCTTCTCCATCGGCCTCAACATGCCCGCCAGGACAGTCGTCTTCACAAAGGTCACCAAATTCGATGGCCAGAGCGTGCGGCCCCTCACATCTTCCGAGTACATCCAGATGTCAGGTCGTGCCGGTCGTCGTGGTCTTGATGATCGTGGTATTGTGATCATGATGGTAGACGAGAGTCTGGAGCCTGAAACTGCCAAGGCCATCGTTGTTGGACAGCAGGACAAGCTCAACTCTGCCTTCTACCTCGGCTACAACATGGTTCTCAACCTGTTGAGAATCGAGGCAATCTCACCCGAGTTCATGCTGGAGAACTGCTTTTACCAGTTCCAGAACAGTGCTAGTGTCGCTGGTCTTGAGCTCGAGCTGATGAAGCTGCAGAAGGAGCGTGAGGAAATGGTCATCCCCGATGAGGCTACCGTCAAGGACTACTATTCTTTACGGAAGCAGATCTCCGACTACACCGACGACATGCTTCGCGTAATCCAACACCCGGAACATTGCCAGGAATTCTTGCAGCCTGGTCGCCTCGTACAGATTCAACACCCCAAGACAAAGAAGGATTTTGGCTGGGGTGTTCTGCTTGACTTCACCAAGCGGAAAGAACCTAAATTCGGCGAGCCCGACTACGAGCCGCAGGAGTCGTACCTCATTGATGTCTTCCTCCGGCTGGACCCGAGTTGCGACCCCTTTGGCCACGCCAACCCGAACGCAGCCATGCCCGATGGCGCTGTGCCGGGTGGCCAGGGTGGCGACGCCATATTCGAAGCTGTTCCTTGCATGCTCACATGTATCAAGGCGTTGAGCCAGATCCGTGTCTTCATGCCCAAGGAGCTGAAGTCTCGGTCAGACATCGAAGGCGTCCGCAAGCAGGTCTCCAAGTCTCTGCGCGAGGTCGAGCGCCGATTCCCTGACGGTGTTCCGATCCTGGACCCGATTGAAAACATGAACATCACGGATGACTCGTTCAAGAAGCTTCTGCGGAAGATTGAGGTCCTCGAGTCAAGACTGCTGTCAAACCCTCTCCACGGCTCGCCGCTCCTGCCCGGTCTGTGGGAGCAGTACTCCAAGAAGATTAGCCTCACAGAGCAGATCAAGGATCTCAAGAAGAAGATTGCAACGGCGCACTCCATCGCACAGCTCGACGAGCTGAAGTCGAGAAAGCGCGTCCTGCGACGACTGGGATTCATCAATGAGGCCGAAGTCGTGCAGATGAAGGCTCGTGTGGCGTGCGAGATCTCATCCACCGAGGGCCACGAGCTCGTTCTCTCAGAGCTGCTGTTCAACAGATTCTTCAACGAGCTTTCGCCCGAGCTGTGCGCCTCTGTTCTGAGTGTCTTCATCTTTGAGGAGAAGGTCGAGGCGACGCCGCTGACGGAGGAACTCATGAAGCCCTTCAGCCAGGTGCAAGCGCAAGCCCGCATCATCGCCAAGGTCAGCCAAGAGAGCAAGCTGGAGGTCAACGAGGACGAGTATGTGCAGAGCCTCAAGTGGCAGCTGATGGATACCGTGTACGCCTGGGCGAACGGCAAGCCATTTGCCGAAGTTTGGTAAGTTTTAGTGCCTCCCAGTATAGCCGTCGGCTCCCCCTTACATGCCTCAACGCTTCTGCTAACCATCCTATTTTTCCCTGATACAGCAAGATGACGGACGTCTACGAGGGATCCCTGATCCGTCTCTTCCGCCGTCTCGAGGAGCTGCTCCGCCAGATGGCTCAAGCCGGCAAGGTCATGGGCAGCGAGGAGCTCACCAATAAGTTTGAGCAATCCCTGGCCAAGATTCGCCGCGACATTGTGGCCGCCCAGTCGCTGTACCTGTAATCCTTTACTACACATTCATCGTCGTTCTTGTGGTCCCTCTCAATATCGATTCCCGCCCCTCCTCCCTCTCAGACCACCAGTATGCTCGCGTCATCCTTCTCTCTCTCTCTCTCTCTCTCTCTCTCTCTCTCCCCTTTGGCTGGCGGATCCAGGAAAATCATACCTTGTTACAGCATAGTTGCCACCCTTACCGCCCGCTACTAGCGCGCTAGTTAGATTATGATGGCTTTTGCAGAAGCGCATTTGTACGGAGTTTTTGAGTCGTCGTCATTGTTTATCGGTTTTTCCGCGCTCCCTCGTCTGTAAAACGTGTCCACAGGCACATAGTCAGTTTTGGGAATTTTTAAAATCAAAAGAAAGCGCTGCCTTGGTTCTTGAATGCCTGTCTGTCCTCTTCAAGGAAGAATTGTGACTGACTGACTGACTGGTTTACATTTGACTGCCCATGTGGGCTGGAGCCGACTTGAACAACATCTGCCCTGGACATCGCGTCGTTGGTGCATAGATTTCTTAACATTGTCTTTTCACCAGGGACCCGGGGTGCAACGACGTTTTTTTGTAATATCTCAACATGCCTTTTCAAGCATTGATAAGTTAATAGCACTCAGATGTCTCATTGGGTCAAACTAGAAAACGCCGTACCCTGCCCTTCAATGCAACCTCCTTGCTTATATGCCGAGTAGCTCGACACATTAAATGCTGCCGCCGCCCAAAGTGCCCTCTTGTAACCTTCCCGTCCGCCCATGCTATGCTATGCTATGCTTATGTAAACGAGGGAAAGAAGACCAAAACACGAACGCTGCCCTCAGCAAAAGGGGTGCCCTCCCCCGGGGGGGAAGGGAGAGCAACAGTGAAATTTCACATTACAATATGGACAAGATGATGAGCAACGACTGCGCCAAACAACACATTGCCGTACAGCACGACATCTGAAGCGCTAGCAAGTCCAGAGTTGTTGCCTGACCACACGAGGGTGAGCAGAGCGAGGCAGCCGATGACCTGGACAAGACCGACAGTCGCCCAGGACGGCCGAAGCAGAGATGCCTGCGGTCCATGCCGGATCTGGTGGTCCACGAGCAAGTCCGCCGTGAGCCTCAGAGACACCATCAGAGCCGCGCAAAGCGATGCGAGACCGACGGTGGAGCCATAAGTCTCGGTGCTCTGTGCGGCAGTGTTCCAAGCATAAGCAGCTCCAAAGACGACCACGAGTTCCGGCAAGCGCGCCGTCAGTCGCTTCCGGCCAAGCGCGCTCTGGTGCGCGCCAGGCGTGCGCGTTGTGGCTGACCCTTGCGAGTCTAGCTCCTCGCCGCGACTTATGCTAAATGAAGACGCGAACATGTTTGAGAGCCCGTCCCTGGGGTCGTTCCGTGCTTCTGGGGCGTAGAACTTTGGTTCTGCAATGTTGAGGCTCGACGCTTTCTCCACGAATGGTGATCCCAGCTGCACAGGCTTTTTGTTGTGGTCGCGAGTGAAGATGCTGGTCTCCTTTTGGGGCTTCAGTGTTTCTCTTATCGTTGGCCGCGAGGGAGGGTTCCTTAATCGCTGGGCTGGATTGGTTGGTGCCGGCGGTACCTTGTACCATATTGGCCCTGGTTTTGGTTCAACAGGAATATCGTTGAATCGTGGATTGGGATTTTTCACATTGTACGAGTTGTAGGTGCTGAATGCTCGATGCTGCGAAGTAGATGGGGACCAGTCCATCTCTTCATCGTAGTGAACAGCAGGAGGCGCCTCCTGGATATTCGCAGACAGGCCAGACATGTCCATCAGGTTCCCGCCAAGATTCGATCGTTGAGTCTGTCCGAAAGGAGTGCCATTGGGCGATCTCGAAGGTAGTCTTTGAGGGTTGAAGACCAGGTCAGATGGGTCATCGTCATCGTCTGGCAAACTTGGCCTTGATGGCTCATGAAGTATATCGTCAAGAACATCGCCCAGGCTATTGGGTTCTTGGTGAGCAGCGACTGCTCTCGCAGGCCTTTTGGGCGTGGGCCCCTGTTGCTTCTGCGGTCGTCTGAATAGTGGCGTGGTGTCTGTGCGAATGGAGCCAGGTGCCATCCGATAGACCTAACGAACGATCAGTGAATGCCGTTCCGCGTATCGGAATTTGTTCTAGTAACCTACATATAGGGTGAAAATGGTTAGGAATACCTGCGCTCCCAACTGTGCCGACGGTGTTATGCCATGAGTCTGGGCATACTGCGATGCGGACAGCGACACCATTCTCACAAGGACTGCAAGCAGTTGGTACGTGTACCACTGCTTAAATCCAATGATATGAGCGGTGAAACCACGAATTGATTGCTTGAACCGTGGATTCCAAGGGAATGAGCACAGGCCGATCTGGATGGCCAAGGACAAGACGCGTTGTGAGCCAAGAGAAGACCTGGTCACCTGTCTCAACATGCGCGCTCCTGACATGGCCCAGGCTGACTCTGTCTCCGCTGCAGCCACACCATCGGCAAGCAAGCCGCAGAGCATCACTGCATGCCATGCGAACTGCAACACATAGCTCCCGTGCCACGCCCATTTCCCGCCAACATCTAGCAAGTCGAGGACGCTCCAGTTCTTGACCTCTGCGCGCTGTGAGCGGGTCTTGGTGATCATGCGTTTGAGGTGGTCCGTCTGGGCGGTATAGCTCGCTTCGTGCAACCGCTTCTCGACCCGTGGCTCGCAGTCTGCGCAGACTTGGGGGTATCGCCTCTCGAGGTCCGTACGGAGCAGGTGGTATTTCTTCTCGCGAGCGAGGTACTCTGCGCCGGTGCTGTCTTCGGGCCACTCGAACTGGGCCAATGAACTGCGGAGCATGTGCTGGTTGCGTAGGCACGTTGCGCAGAAGAGCGAGTCGTGGGAAGCTAGTGGGGAGCTGGGCGAGGCTGACGGAGGGGACGTCGAGGCGCGGGACTTGCGAGGGATGGCATACTGGACGGGAGTCCTGTCGACGGTAGGCGGGTCTGTGATTTCTCCATCCTGTAGAAACAAGCACTTGTCAGCGAGGCACCGGGTGAGGTATGATGCTGCCATGGTGGTGGCCGGCCTACCTTGTCGAGCCAGTTGGTGGCCTCGCAGCTGGTGCAGTTGAACTTGGGCTGGCCCTCGAAGTAGAGACTCGAGCGGCGGCCGCAGTAGAAGCAAACGAGCCTCCGCCGGGCCCTGAGCGAAGGCATCGTCAGTAGTCGTGGCGGCGGCGGTGGTGGTGGTTGTGGTGGTGGCGTGGCTGTGGAGGAGCGTGGTCCTGGTCAACAAATAAATCGAGGCGATCGCATCGATAACGGCCTGAGCTGCCGCTTCCGTCATGGGTCACAGCTTAATTGCGTCTTGTTTGGGGCGGCCACATGGGACGAGGGCGCCAAGGAACTGGGGGGGCCCCCTGCACTTAGCGCCAGGTACCAGACGACAAGTCACACTCCATTGATGTGTCACCTGCTCGTGCCTTTCTTCAATCTACTTATATGTATGAGCAGCATGGATCGCATGGAAATATTTCTGCGCTGAGCCACAGCTCTCTCTTCCCGTCCACTTGCTCGTCTATTCGACTGCAGGTTCGTGCCAGCCATGAAAGCACCCAAACTCAGCTCATGACGATCTGGCCATTTGGGAAAGCGAACAAGCGCCAGCTCTCTCCAACGTGTGTAGTCGACAGAACATCGCCATACTTCCTCAAAGATGTATCCCTCACCGCATCTCATACTTGACCTCGCTGCCAGGGCATACACACTGCCGCACATTGCCCTGCGCCTCGCCTTCTTCTACCTCCTTGGCACTCAGGTCTTCCCCAAGGCACGCCAGTCGACCTTCGCCGCTGTCGCTCTGTCAGGTATCGGCCATGCCCTGGATCAGTCAGTGTTCCAGAGGTCCGTAGCAGTGATGATGCTCCTGGACTTGGTCACGTTGTGCGGATTGATGATTTGTTTAGTGGTGAGCATCCTCCTCTTCACGGTTGTACAGTGGGGGGGCCATGGGAAATTCCCGCGCTCTGACTTACACAAAACCCAATGTAGCAACGTCACTACACGCTCACGCAGCTCCGGCCAGGTCTGAAGAGCGTCGTCGGACCACCAAGGCCTACCTTTGTTGAGCACTACACCCTGTTCGTCATGGGATCAGGTGGCCACACCGCCGAGATGCTTTCCATGATCGAGCGGAGCATTCGCCCCCTCGGCCTTGATTCCAAGGGGACAAGGGACTTCGGAAGAACTAGGCAGCTGCGCCGCTACATTATCTCTCACGGCGACGACATGAGCGTGCGCAAAGTGCAAGCTCTCGAGGCAGACATCGCCGCCCGCTTTGCCGCCATCGGCGCAGACTCTGGAGCCTACGACATCAAGCTCGTCTCTCGCGCCCGGCGCGTCCACCAGAGCTGGCTGTCCACGCCGGCGTCCTTCGCGAGGAGCATCCTGAGCATCGGCGCCGCTCTGTTCGCAAGACATTCTGCTGCTGCTGCTGCTGCTGCTGCTGCCGCCGCCGGCCGCTCACAGACAGCAGCAGCAGCAGCAGTAGTAGGGGTGTCCGGGCCGCGCTTCCCCGGCGTGATTGTGACCAACGGCCCGGCAACGGCCTTTGCCGTGGTCCTGGTGTCGCACCTCCTGCGGATGGCACGTCTCGTCCCGCAGACGCACATGCACGCCATCTATGTCGAGAGCTTCGCCAAGGTGTCCACGCTCAGCTTGACGGGGAAGCTCCTGTATATGCTGGACCTGGCAGACCAGTTCATCGTGCAGTGGCCGAGGCTACGGGAGAAGTATCCCCGCGCGCAGCTCTGCATGTACTTTTCAGTAAGGCCGGCGGATCCGGTCGTCCCTGTGGTTTGAAATGCCTTGCAGCCGGGACTGGGACAAGACTGTGTCACGTATGCACATAGATAGTGGAAGAATGCCAACAAGTACCATGATCTCGGATCTCTCAGCTGAACAGAGCGCAATTCATGTACTGTGCCCTTGCAGTTGTCATATCTATACAGCGAGAATCACCCTGTCAATGAATACTTAAGTATAGAGCATTCATGTGTTTTGATTCTAGCACTAGATCGTCTTCTATACAGGCAAATCGCGTGGTGGGAGATGCATAGTACGCATCTCCATCAAATCTCTCACCACGAACTCTCACTTGGGATCTCTATACATGTAAAGGTCTACAAAAGTCTCCCCAAGACGAAAGCAAGGAAGCGCACCTACTCCTACTCGGCCTTGATGTACTTCTTCAGCCCCCTCAACCGCTCCTTTGCGCCCTCGAGCACATCGTCCGGCTTGCACACGGCGAACCGCATGTAGTCCTCGGCAATGTGCGCGTTCTGCTCGGTATAGAACTCGGTGGGAGGGATGGCTGCGACACCCAGCTCCTGGATCAGGAACCACGCAAGCCGGAAGTCGCGCGGGCGGGAGTTGACGTGCGGTGGGAAAGGGTAGCCCTCGGGAACCTGGACCTTGGCCATATTGACCATGAGGAAGTAGCCGCCCTCCGGCTCCGAGTAGGGGAGGCCGAGCTCGTCAAAGACCTCGGCGAAGAGGGCGATCTTGTGCTTCATCTCGGCTATGGAGGCGTCCCAGAAGCCTTCCGCGTCGGCTTGTTCGAAGCCTGTTTTTGGGTTTATCGATTGTGGTTAGTGTGCCGTGTTCGCGTGGAGATTGATAATGCAAATGGTCCGGTAGTATGGCTTTGGTCGGGAGGAGGTAGAAGAGCTCAGAATGGGACTGGTACGTACCGACGGCGCAGGCTTCTTGTAGCGGTGACACAGAGGAGTAGCAGATACGCGTGTGAGCAGCAGAGACGTGCTGAATCAGGTGAGGAGGGCCCATAAGCCAGCCTGTGTTTGCGATCACGCAGATTTAGCAAATGAAGAGGACCGCTGTGAAGTTTTCATCGTGGAGCACAGCATCGCACTCACCGACTCGCCAGCCTGTGGCATAAAAGTTCTTGCCCGCAGAACCCACTGTCAGAGTGAGCCGCTCAATCTCGGGTGACAGAGTGGCCATGCGCGTAAAAGGGACATAGTATAGTCTGTCATAGACCTCGTCGGACAGGATGATGATCTCGTTCTTCACGCAGAGGTCTCCGATTCTCTGGAGCTCCTCCTTGGAGAAGACCTTGCCGACCGGGTTGTCTTGGCGGTCTCAACATTAGCCAGTGCTGGGACAGCACAGCAACTAAAATTTCTCAAGTGCAATGGGCGACTCACGAGGGGTGTTGATGACAATCATCTTAGTCTTGGGGGTGATGGCCTTCTCGAGCTGTTCAAAATCAATTGTCCACTCCGAAGCTGAGCTGGTCCTCGTGGCGCCATCTTTGGGAGGGGTGAGCGAGCAGTACACAATCTTGCCACCAGGAATCTGAATGTTGCTGATGTACCTGGAAACAAGGGGCAGCCAGATGTCAGTGCCCATTTCAGAGCCAAGCACTCATGAATTCCTACTCACTGGTCGAAGAAAGGCTCAAAGACAATAACCTCGTCTCCGGGCTCGATGAACGCCATGAAGGCACTCAGCATACCTGACAAACAAAACAATCGTGAGCCAATGTTTCAAGACCATGTTCACCATGAACTACATGGCACTTCCAGAACAACTGGATCCAGAGACGTACCCTCATTAGCACCGGTCGTGATGGTGACCTCGGTCTCGGGGTCCAGTTTGCGGCCCCATTTCGGCGAGTATGCGTCGGCAATGGCCTTCTTGAGACGGGGTCGACCCTTTGTCGGGCTGTACTGGTTGCACTCGACGCGGTCGAGGGCATCTTTGGCGGCCTGTATGATGAAGGGGGGCGGGTTGTAGCCGAAGAATCCTTGGCCCAGGTTGACGATGGGCTGGTTCGGCGAGGACGCTGCCGCCTCGTTGATGATGGACCTAGAAGTGCATGGTAAGCCACAGTCTTGTTCCGGCGAAAGTTCAAGGGTGCTGCGGCGTAGTGGAATCGAGGGAATTGCTTACCAGACGTCTTGCCTCTGCCCGGCTACACGAGCAGCGGGCTTAAGCTTTGAGGGAAGACCAGTAGCCATGCTTGTCGAGAGGAAGGCACGAGACAGGCAGCTGTACAGAGAGGATGGCGCAGGTGCCGGCAGCAGGGAGGGACAGGAAAGAGGTGCGAGGACTCGTCTGCGCAGGGCGTTCATCAAGAGTGCTGTGTGCTCTTATAAATCTTTGGACCGGGTGTGGAGGGGTAAGCATGCAACGATGCAATGCGGGGACAGGTCCGATGAAGAGGCCGTCCGGTGCGTCAAGGCGACGAATCCTGGCAGCGGAGGGCAGGCTGAGGGGTCTTGCTCACAAATACAAGGACGGGCAGTCGCAGCAGACGACAGTGGTGGCCTCGAGCCGTCGGAGGCGGGATGCGATGCGACGCGATGCGATGCGGGCGGTCGTGGGGAAGGCGAGCGGGAGGGTCCTCAGAGCTCCGGTCCGGCGCAAGTCGTCATTCGGCGCCGCAATGGCGGTATTGGGCGTCGTGCCTGCCACATGCGGTACCGGGGCCCCAGGTGCCTGCCGTACGCCAATCCCGTCCAATGCCTGCCCTGCAGCTTCCAGCAGTCCTCCTCCAGCTCTTCATGTACCTCTGTCATCTAATATCCATCTGCCCGTCTGCCCCTGGCATCCCACGATCAAAGCCTCCACATCCTCCATCGAGCAGTGGTCCCTGCCTCGCGAGACCATGCACGCGCGCCTCCCGACCCGAGGACCTCTCGTCCAGCTCCCGCACCGCTAAATCACGCGGCACCTAGGCCATGGCATCCCTCAAGCCGCCGCTGGCAAAGCAGCCATCCGCCAACCACCAGCTTGGGGAGCAGCCCCTGCATCTCACCATCCGCTTCGCCGCCTCGCTTCCCGATCTCGAGCTCGACATTCTCCACCCCTCTTCAACCACCGTCGTCTCTCTGAAGCATACAATCCGCTCCCGTCTCGATGCCCCCGACTCGGAACGACGCCTGCGCTTCATCCACGCCGGCAAGATCCTGCCCGATGCCGCTGCCCTCAGCACTGTTCTCAAGGCCCCTCTACCTCCACCGCCCCGCGCCGACTCGACCGCCGGTAGCTTCGGCGACTTTGCCAGCAGGCTGAGCGGCAATCGAGACAAGAGCAGGACACGGGGAGACAGTGGCGGCCATGATGATTCCCACGACTCAGCAGCCACAGGGGGCAAGGGCAAGTCTGTCCCTGGACGGCCCCTGGCGCAGCGCATCTACGTCAACTGCAGCATCGGCGCGAGCTTGACTACCGCCGAGCTCGAGGCTGAAGCAGAAGCGGCAGCCGCGCCCCCAACCGCCTCGCCATTGTCGCCCTCGCGGCAGCCTTCTGCGATCCCCTCTCGTGCATCAACGCCGCTCGGTCACGATGGCACGCCTCTCCCGTCGACGACTGCAGCGCCGCGGGGTTTCGACAGACTTCTGAATGCAGGGTTCACTTCTGCCGAAGTCAACCAGTTACGGCTCCAGTTTCGCAGCCTACATTCGAGCCGTTTTACCCCAGACACCATGCCCTCGCCAGACTCGTTCCGGCGGATGGAAGACGCATGGATCGACGACAACCATGCCGGCAGCAGTGGCGGGAATACAGATGGCGGCGGGTCCGCAGGGGCAGGGGCCAGCTGGGGCGAAGACGGTGGTGCCGGAGGAGGCAACACCGGCGGTAGCACAGACACCGACGAGACCGGACTCGCGGGACTCACCGATGTTATGATCCGTGGCATTGCGACGGGGTTTTTGTGGCCGCTGGGTTCGGCGGGCTGGCTCGCAAGGGAGGAGGGCCTCGCCAGTCAGCGATGGCGCTTCATGGTTGGCATTGGGATTGCATTCAGTTTCCTCCTCGGTATCATCAGGACGATATCTGGACCGGTCGAGTAAGAAAATGCTGGCGCTATATGCTGCTGGAAGTTTATAAAGTAACCGGGCATGCAAGAAAGTCCCGTGTACCTATAGTGCTTTCTACACGCACGACACAACTGTTTGGGAAGCATCGGCGACGGCGTTATGGTGCTTATATATTGGTTGATCCCACGGGTCTTGCTGCTTCCTTACCCAGCAGAGCACTTTACATATCCCTCAGAAGCAATGGTTGTGTACACTAGCTCTAGACAAGATGCAAATTATGGACCGAGATGTTGGCAGTCACTACAACCCTGGATTGCCGACAAGACACAAGTAGCAGCGAAAATGCACGCCGGGAGCTGGCTTGGGCCCGACGTCGGAAATGTTGACATGGGTTACACCGTGCTGCCTGGCATCGTGCTCCGCGGATTGCCGGCAGTTGTCAGCCTGCACCAGCCCCTGCTAGCACGATTTGAGCTGACGGAGAACAGGCCAAGAAAAGGGGGGAAAGGAGGCCAGCCAGCGAAGAGCAAGGCGTGGCCCACTGTGACAAAATTAGGGGCCATTAGGCAGGGTGTCTAGGAGAAAAAACAACAATTTCCACGCGATGCTGCGGAAGGGGCGGAAGAGGCAGACCCCCTGTCGCGACTTAGGCTGGGGTCCAGTGTCGATGATGCCCACGGCCATGATCAGATGCTGAAGCGGGCAGGCGTACGATTGTAGCGCCACTCTAACGTGGTCGGACGCCGAGACGGTGGTGTGCTGGGCTGACCGCGACATCTCGTGGTGGGTGGGCCAATGGCTACAAGGTACAAGCGGTGTCGCAGCTTCTAAACAACGTGCCCTTAAGGTACGCATTGTACCTTTAGGTAATGCCAAAGTTAGGGGGCGAGTGGAAGGACCCTCCCTCACCACTCCCAAAGCAGGTACCTGCAAGTGCGCATCGTCGAAACCCCTGCCTGGCGGGCGCTAATCCAGTCGACAATTAAAATCTCCCGTCCACCACTTGCAACCACCTCCGACCCTCTGTGCTACTTCTGTGCTTTCGTGCTTCTAATCAGACTTGACGTTCCCTACTCTCCCGCCACCTGCCAGCAAGCCCGCTCTTTCTGAAGCATCTCGCGACCACTTGCGCTCCCTCCCGTCCCTTGTCTTGCATCGCCAGCCAGTATCGCCCCCCGCCGCCCGCCATGCCCGGCCGCACGCTGCCGACCCTCACCAAGGCCGAGGTCGAGAAGCACAGCAGCGACAAGTCGTGCTATGTCACCATCGGCGCCAACGTCTACGATGTCACAGAGTTCCTCGACTCCCACCCGGGTGGTCCCGAGCTCATCCTCGAGTACGCCGGCAAGGACATCACCGAGATCCTCAAGGATGAAATTTCACACACCCACTCCGACTCGGCCTACGAGATGATCGACGAGTTCCTCGTCGGCTTTGTCGTCCAGGAAAAGCTTAAGCCCAACGGCAAGGTCCAAAACGAGATTGTCGATTCCCAGATCAACGAGAAAGTCAACCAATACGTCCACCCCAGAACCGGCATGTCGTGCGAGGAGGACCTCAGCAAGGACACCGACGCCACCTCGGACTACAAGACGCACAAGTTCCTCGACCTCAACAAGCCTCTCCTTATGCAGGTGTGGAGAGGGGGTTTCTCCAAGGAGTTCTACCTCGATCAGGTTCACCGGCCGCGGCATTACAAGGGTGGCGCCTCTGCTCCCCTCTTTGGCAACTTCCTCGAGCCTCTCAGTCTCACCCCTTGGTGGGTTGTGCCCATGATCTGGGTTCCCCCAGTCTGCTACGGCACATATCTTACCAGCCAGGGACTCGGCAGCCTCACAACCGCCATGTGGTGGCTGGGAGGCTTTGGACTGTGGTCGTTGATCGAATATGTGATGCACAGATTCCTGTTCCACCTTGATGAGTGAGTGCCCCCAGGACTGTCCTCACACCACACTATTGAGCGAGGCGAAGACTAATTGGCCTTGCACAGCTACCTCCCCGATCACCCCGCTGCTCTGACCGTGCACTTCCTGCTCCACGGCATCCATCACTACCTGCCCATGGACAAGTATCGCCTCGTGATGCCACCGACGCTCTTTGTGGCTCTGGCTACTCCATTCTGGAAGCTCGCCCACACGCTCTTCTTCTGGGACTGGAACGTCGCCGTGGCCGTCTACTGTGGCGGTGTCTTCGGCTACATCTGCTACGACCTGACGCACTACTTCCTGCACCACCAGAACCTCCCACTCTGGTACAAGGGTCTCAAGAAGTACCACCTTGCCCACCACTTCCTGGACTACGAGCTCGGCTTCGGTGTCACCAGCCGTTTCTGGGACCAGATTTTCGGCACCGAGCTACCGACGGCCATCAAGACCAAGTAGAGGCCTTTATGTGTCGAGAGGAAGGCTTGCCGCGACTGTGCCTGGACCGCACAAAATGCAAGTTTTTAATAAGTGCAGCAGGTTTTTCTCTCTGTTCCGAACTGCTGATCCTACTCCATGTGGGAGCACTTTGCGAACGCTTCACCTATACCTGATACGACCGAATACCAAATTTTTAATACATTCAACCTACATGATATCTAATTCAAGAACGACGCCAGGCAAGAGCCATGGCGGACATGAGCGACTGGTCCTCGGTTATGGGAGGGTCGATGATGATGCATGAAGCACCGGAACAGGAAAGGGGCCAAGGGCAACAGATAATAGAACCAGGGATGAGGGACGCGTTATGGGTATGCCACGCTAGGGATACCCAAGAACCTCTTTTAGGGGATTCACCATGTTGTTTTAGGCCCAACAAATGCTTAGTAGCGTTAATCCATGTAGGAATGAAACGGCGGAGGAGTGGCACAAAGAACTCCACTCTCAAATCATGGCATACGGTTGGCGAAGTGACTATATGCAACAACATTAGGATTTGGTGACTTGATCGATCGTTTTGGGCGTCAAGACGAACAATTGGGCCAGCTGTGAGCATTTACTGCCCATGGCGCTGCTTTACTGGATCACGAGCATTATAATGTGTCTCATGGGGACATGTCACCTGGGAGTTACACATCTCGATACGGAGCAACAACACAAGCGCATCTGGGACATGGTTCAATTCAAGTTGCTCGTTTTCTTTTTGTTCTTTCTCTTCCACTGGAAACTGGTGGCACATCAACACCTACACCTTCTTACGGCAAAGTATGGCCCAGAAACCGAAGACTTTGAGTGCGGCGAGGGATAAACCTAGGTACACTGAAGAAAACAAAAATTGTAAGCAGCGCCGCAGCGAGGGATGTGAAACGCGGACCAGGTGGGAGTGGAAGAGTCTTCTCCCTCTGAGAGCGGTGTGATCTGTACGGATTTTGCACATATGCCATTCGTCGTCGTCGACCTAGAAAGATGGATTACTGTGGCATAATCAGTTGGTGGCCCAGTTTGCGATTTGATTCTTACGCAGATTGGGTGTCGAGAGTTCTCATGTCGTAGAGGGCGGTTCCTGGTAGTATTCTTTCTTGGAAACGCTTTTGCTTCAAGGCATTGGCTTCGACGAGAGCGGTCACGACATGGAATCGTGACGCTGTGTAGATGATCGTCTGGGCCGAGTCAGCACAGTGCGCAGTGAACAAGCGGCGGTGTGAAGGACCAACTGCTTTGTTCCTGTTCATGGCGTGGTAGAGAGGCAATGATTAGCAACTCAGATGGCCTTTGTGCGTGAGAACAAACTGCTGTAAACAGCGTCGACAACAGGCGATGCGCTGATCATGCGCCCGCCAAAGTACCGGCCGTTCAAGCCTTTGATGGCATTTTCGCCGCCTTGGACCTTGTCGAATTTCAGATAGATGTCGCCTTGCGAGTTCGGGTCGAGCGAGATGTGGACCACGTGGCCATATTTGTTTTCGGCTTCCTGTCGAACGTCATCCTCCAGTTCTTTGGGCCAGTTTTCACCTTCTTCCCTGTAGTGATGGGTCAGTAAGAATTATCGCTTCGGATAAAAAGGCCTGGAATATACTATACTTACTCAGCTGGGTCAAACATGTTGCGCAAGAGAACACAACGGCTGGCCATGTTGACATTGACAGGCAGAGGCTTGGTCTCGGTCTTGGGCTTCAGGATCTGCCGCTCGTCACGGCCTGGAGCGGCCGGTTCATCTGTTCTAGCGAGTTTCCGCATCAGAGCATCGCGACTATAGTTGTTAAAGTTGACGCCCGCAACATCAGTGTCGTCGAGGGCGCTGGCGCCGCCAGTCTTGTCGTTATCACGGCCGCCAGCACGGTCGAAGTTGGGGTTCTGTTGGCCACGACCGCCAGCTCCGGAAAAGGCTGATCCCTGGTACTGTTGGTTTGGACCCTGGAATCTCTGCAAGAGATTGGCAGTTGACTCGGGGGTGAACTTATCGTTTCCAAGACCAACACGGATGGGTCGACCGGCGAGGTCGAAGCCATTCATCTTCTCGAGAGCTTCACGCGCTTGGTCGGCGTCCCGGAACCTAGCAGACTGTTAGTGGCACATTCGTAGAAAATGCATCACGTGGGGAATCGGGGTGCATTAAAACTCACTGGACAAAGCCATATCCGCGGCTCCTGCCATTGTCATCTTTCTGCAACTGGACAAACTCTAGCTCACCAAAAGGCTCGAACACGTTCTGCAAATCCTGCTCGGTGATGCTGAAGTGGATGTTACCGACATATAGGCGGTGGAAAGGTACTGAGTGAGTCTGGCCCCCCGAACCCTCTGGGTTGCGGACTTGACGATTCTTCTCAGCTTCGGTAAGCTGGACGATGACAGGGATACCTAGTAGCTTCTGGCCAGTGAGCTGAAGTGCGGCAGTGACGGTCTCCTCATCCTTGAATTCAACGTAGCCGACTCTGTCACAATGTTAGCATGATACTCTGGAATGGCAAAATGCTCATGAGGGATGGACAACTCACCCCTTGGATCTTCCACTAATACGATCCTTGACAATCTGGGCCTCATTGACGGGTCCGGCCTTTTCAAAGAACTCCTTGAGTTCCTTCGTGCGCAGTCTGGCAGCTAGCTGCTGGACAAAGACGGTACGCTTGTCCCGCTCGTCCTCCGTAGGCTGGGGTGTAGAGTCGCGCTTCGGTGTGCCTCTACCACGGCGACGATCATCATCTCGACGATCGCGCTCGCGGCGGTCATCACGGTAGCGATGGTTGCGGCGGGGTGAGCGAGATCTGGAGCGTCTGCGGCCCGAGTAGTGGTCGTCGCCTCCTCTGTATCGCCGTGAGTTTTTCGGCCGGTCATCGTCGCGACTCCGGCTACGGCGCCTACCACTTCTATGGCTGCCAGCGTCGCTCCGCGGCGTGCCATGGCCGTTGCGGTCTCCACTATGATCCCGGCGGCGAGGGCTGCGATCACGACGACTGCCTCGTTCTGAGCTGCGGTCTCGGTCGGGGCGGTCGCTGCGCTCAGAGCGTGGGGTGTCTTCCGGTTCACGGCTTAGACGGCCGCTTCTGCTCTCGTCGTTCTTGCCGTTTGCTGTGGACTCGAGAAGAGCCTCGACATCAAAGGTTGCCATATTGTTTTCGTCGGCCGTGAGTAACGGCGATGGGTACGCAGGAAGTCCGAAGAAGATCGTGCTCGGATAGTCGCTTGGCCGCAGTGACGACTATAATGTTTGGTCTCAGCACGGGACGCCTGCTAGCAGCTGTGCTGAATTGATGTCAATCTGCACGCGCAGGGAACTGTCGTGGGCGACTGGTTGAGGATGCGGTCGTGCTGGCGGTTATGGACAGGGAGAAGGAGTGAAATGTGGTGGCTGAAGCCTGGGCCTGCAAATCTACGAGAAAGTGGGCACGAGACTCGAGATCACCTCCACCCTGCGTGCAGGCTTTGAAGACGCGCCTTACTCATGACATGCCCTTGTCTCTGCTTACCTAATGCCAGCCAGCACGAGCAGCCCCAACGGCCGCCAACAGCATGTGACAGGCTTCCTGCGTCCCCATTCACCTCACATCCCTCGGACTTTGAATCACGGGGCGGAGCCGGTCCTCTGTCTCAATAGGCTCATCGCTTGCATTCTTGCACATAGCTGCAGGCCTCCTTTGTTCTCTCATTGGCACTTGGGAAACCATTGCCATAGTACGTACAGTTGCAATTGCATGATTGCATTCCAAGCTTTGCCATGCTTGCCAGGCATATTTAGCTTCGCATCAACACGAAGCCCAGCGCGATAGGCTGCTTCCAATATGGTCGATTTGTTCCTCTTGCCTGTTCAGGCTCCCTATCTAGCCGGGTCCATTGGCTTCCCATCTCGAGCAGTCCCCTTCCCATGACCATATCAAGACAAAGATGTCACCACGCTACCGAGCCACGCCGATGACACTCTGACTATGTCTCTGGGTGCGACCGTCTTCTGCAGCTCCGGATACTTCCCCCAAAGCGATTGGGACGGACCACGCAGAGTCCACCGAGTCCTTGCGGCGAGCCTCATCGGAGACGCCTTGCGCCTTTGGCACAGCCGAGCGTCGATGTGATTTCGTCTTCTGCCAGAACATCCACCACGAGCCCTCCTCAGGCTTCGGCTCGCGCACATGGCCATCTCCGATCCGGGCAGCCGCCACGCGGGCATGCCTCTTTATGGTCAACACAAAGAGAGTGCCAGCCATTAGTTCACCCTGGTTTAGCATCTGCAGAGAAGCTCGCAGGGGCCCGAGGGCGCGAGTCTCGCCAGACTGCAGCTTGTACGGGCCTACTGTATAAGCATAATAGTAGAACATGGCGAAGAAGACCATCTCGATGTTGACGATCATCATTGGAATGCCGATGCCAATGTCGACGGGGCTCAGGTATGCAGAGGGGACGAGCGGCGAAGGATCTAGTGCTGTGAGGATCTGGTAAATGACCTGTATGCAGATATCTGCGGTCAGCAGTCGTCTTGTCTTCTGGGTGTTTTTGAGCATCATCACTCACGCTCTGCAGAACCTGCAGTCCGATGAGGAGCTTGAAAGCCCACAGCTTCGACATGGTCCGGTGTGGCTGCAGCTCCGCCTTTAGAGGCATGTATGCTTTGATCACGGCGACCACCGCGACAATGATACTCACCATCTGCACAATGGTGATGGGCAGATGGGCAAATTCGCCGCTCGTGCTCGTAAGGCAATACATGTTCATCGAGTGCGTGATGCACGTGGCGATGGCGCAGATGACCATGACAACAGGACACTGGAAGACAAACGTCCATTGCCGGCGATAGCTGCCAAACTTCTCCATGATTGGGCGGTGATTCTTCTTGGCCGGCAGTATGAGTGTCTGAAGGAATACCTCCTTGAGATTCGTCTTGTCGTCCTCCGGTTCCTCGCTTGCAGCCGGCGAGAGCAGCAACCAGTGCATGAGCAGGTAGAACCACGTCAGCGCCAGCGCCTCGAGGACCTTGAGCCAGCCCTCCAGCCAGACATACGAGTTTGGCTCGGCCACGGTAATGAAGGTGCCAACCGCGTACAGGGGAATGAAGGCACATATTCGGAGTATGTGTAGCTGCTCGCGGGGCTTCTTGATGTTGCGGAGGTGTTTGCAGATCAGCCACCCCATGCAGAGCACAGTGAAGGCCATGCATGCCCCTGCCGTGATGACGCTGATGTCATGGAACGTGTAGTTGCCGGTGATGGGAAGGCGGTCCATCATGTAATCGGGTATGACCATGGGAACCGGGCATTGCCCTGGTGCCAGCGACGGCGTCGGTGTTGATGTTGCCCCAAGGGCTGGTGCAGAAGTGGCGGTAGCTGCCAGTGTGGGTGTCGATATGAACGAGGAAATTGTTGATGATATTGTCGACGACGCGCCGCCGCTTCCAGGGACCGGAGGCGGTGGTGGTGCTGGCACGGGGACTACTGGTCCCGAGCCGCCGTGATCCGCCATGGCCAGAAGAAGGTTTGCGATGTCTCCCGTGTGCTTCTGATATGAAAGGACTGTATAGCACACGTTTGATTCAATCAGTGATGGAATTCAAGCAAGAAAGCTCGGTAATGCGGGCCAAGGGGTTGCCTTGTGTGAGGACCAAACTAGCAAGAAGTGTGTAGCTGTGAAACGTAGCACCACGCGGGTCAACCGTCGGTTTTGAGGACCGATTTTCGTCCCACTGGCGCGCTCCCAGGTTTTCATGGCAGCTGTATGTTTTGCGGCAGGTAGTATGATGTCCGACAAGGCCCGGCGTGTAAGCCACCACTGGTCTGTCGAAAGTGCTTGGAGGGCATGATGATCTTTCCAGGCATGTGCAGCGCAGCGGTATTTCTGCAGCCGGAGTCGGACATTTCGGCTAGACGGAGGTGCAGCATCCTCGTGCTTCTCTGCATCGAATATGCCAACATGATTGCTGCTTGGCAGACGTTGGGCGGCCTCATACTTGAGTGGTCGGGTGTCGCATGCTTGATTCAATATTTTCATAGGTGCTCAGACTTTTTGAGATTTCCTGATCCGCGAAGACCTCGATTGAGAGAGGCGCCAGGCTGAACAAAACGAGAATCGAGAAACTGTCAAGAGCCGCGCGGAGGCGATCATTTCGTAGAATCTGGTCATACCTCTGGTATGAGTGCCCCAGAAGCACAAGGCGCTTCTGGGACGGCAGTTAGAGAGTGCGAACATGCCGGGACGCTATGCGCTCGTGGTATACCAATGGCCTGAAACATCATGGATACCATGACGAAATATCGGGTGCCCAGCCGTTCAATGATTGTTCTGTGCAGTCGTTTATCAGGAGAGTGCCGTTGTCCGGCTCCGCCTCGAAATAGTAAGCACTGGTTGAGTCCAGGTGTAGTTCGCACAATGCACGGGAGAACCCGGGACTCATAGGTACATGTCCTCTGATTGGCTTACGAAAGCCAAAAGGCTCAACAGACATCCCAAGCTTAGCTGTTTCGCAAAACTCGTTGCACAAGCCATCAATGTCGAGTGGATCAAAAATGTACTGGAGAGGCCATTATGCGAGCACCACTGCTCTGTAACCACCTGCATACTTTTCGTGTCTTATGGGCAAATTTTAATATGAAACAGCACCTACACAATTTCTTGTCTCTTTCCAAATCCTCATGGTATTTCAAGGCGTTGAGCTGTGCTGCTGGGTGTTTGCTCGTGCGGCAATTCGTGTCCGCATTCTATGTAACTTGTATAGGAATGGTAATCGTCCTCTGGCATGGCCATTTTGAGCAAAGGCAGCATTGTAGCATTGTGGTTCAGCAATCATCCTAAGTTATGCAAATGCATCTTCCACTGTGCTGTGCTGGCCTCGTGCTGTCGTATCTGGTCTTCTGAGTTGCATTCTAGGCAGTCAGATGAATGACACCGCATAACCTGGACAATGATCCGCTTCACCCAAATGACCGAAGCACAATCGAAAACTGCCCCGAGTGTCAACGAGCGAGAGCAGGTGTGGCGTGCATGTGCAGAGGCTGCGGAGCCCCAGACCTCACGACGTCCTCACATTTCACATGCCAGAATGTCGACGACGAATCGTTCCGACGACATGCCACGAGCACCACACGATGTCTCATGCGTACGCTTTCATATGCAAATCAAAATTACAAGGCTCGATCATTCGGGACCGGTTGATAATTTCTGGTTACCTGTCTCTCGGATGAAGTGTACTTGCAGCCTGGCGAGGGTGCAGCCTTTCTGTACAATCCGACCTTGATGCCAGGCCACCAGTCTGGAGAAACCAACGAGAAGCAAAACGTAATTGGCATCGCTGCGTTTCGCAGAACAGCCAATATTTGCCATTGGTATGATTCTCCATAAACAATCTGCTCCGCATTGTCCTGGTTGTTTGCATCGCGAATCGGGAGACGGCCAGTTTCCACAACCATGGGAACGATGTTCCAATAATGCAAAGCTTACGTCTGACAAGCGTTCATGAAAGAGAAAGTCGAGCGTTTGCGTTCTGTCTACGACGGGAAGGATGATTGAGCCTACATGGTAGTAGTCTGATGTACACCCTGGAGTTGCGTGCGTGCAAAACGTCTTGATATGCTTGACTGGCAACTTGATCCCTCACTAGCTATCTCGAAAGAATATTTCTAAATGGTCTGCATGTTTTCTTGAATGGACTAACATCGTCGCCAAGCTTTATTCTTTAGAAAGCTCTGAGCATCTCTGTGAGCTCCCTTGAGTGTCCGAAGAGCATGACCCGAGAGCCCAAGAGCGTCCCAGCCGGCACGCCCTTCACCCCGGCAACGAACAAGACGCTGAGCACAAGACCTAACGCAGCGCGCAGCCCACGGCCAAAGGAGGAAATTTCATTGCTCCGTTTGCAATGACTTTGTGACTCTACCCCTCTTCCCCTCCAAGGTTTTCCTGGCTTTGTTCACCTGCAGAGTCTGCTTGCCTCCCATTGTTCCCCTCCAGGTCCTAGCAGCGCTGAATCTCCTTCACTGAGAATTCACAAAGCCTCGACAACTCCTCCATCCTCCACGGCCTCGCGTCCTCTTTCACTCTGCCCCCTCATTCGAGGACCTCAGCCTTCACGCGAGGCATCACCGTCTTCCATCGTCCTTTCAGCCTCTATTGCCCTCTCACTCTCCGTCGGCCCAACCCTGACCTCGCCGTCCTCCAGAGATTGAGAAGATCAACCCAGGCGTGCTCGGCCCCGAGTCCCGTCAACATGCCGGGACCTCCAAGCATCGCGAGCAGTGACTCGAGCGGTGGCGGCGCCCCGCTGCGTCCTCCTTCTGCGTCTAGCACTGACGATGACTTCATGGGTAACGAGTCTCTGTCTCAGGACGCGACCATATCGCCAAAGGAAGGTGAATCTGCTCAGACTGACCCCAGCAAAGAGGAACTTCCCTTCATGACGGCTTCGAACCATTGGAGCTTTCTGCCTCAGTACCACGGTACCACTTCGCAGCAGGACAGCCTTCGACGGACACCTCTATTCCCCATTCAGAGCCCCCTTGAAGGCGCATTCCCTCCCAGGGAGAATCTGTTTGCCCCCCTTGAACAGGACTTGAAAATCCCTCGACCCGTGCCGGCAGCGATGGACCCTGTGACGCCTCAGCGGGCATACGTACAGCAGGCTTTTGCCCAGCAGCGCAACCTCGCCGCGCCACAGCAGCAGCCTACTACAGACGATGAGGCAGCCCTTCTACAGGCTTCTCGCTCGTTTGGAAACTCTGAAAGCTCTCAGAGACCCAAGGTTACGTTCTCATTCCCCCTTGTTTCTGATGCTCATCATCCGAACGTCCGCCCTGGTCCCGACAGCGACTCTCAGCACGCTGGTCGTGGCAACCAGACCCAAGCCCATCTTCTGAACACTCAGACACCATTTCGGGCCATGGACCAGTTTGAGCATCACTTACTGCAGCTGCAACAGCTAGGCTCCCAGCCGCAGGCTTACTCGCTACAGAACTTGAGCCATGGCCAGGGTCATCAGCTCAATCAGATTCCTGGTAACCAAGCTATGGGTACTCAGCCAGTGACCATGAGTCAGATGCCCAATCATCAAGCGGACCAGAACGTGTATCCTCCCCCTAGCGGCGGACTTCCAGCCTGGCAGTCTGGACAGATGGCTTCTGCAATTGGCGATCAGGTAAGTGCTTACTTTTGTGAAGGTCATTCGATCCTCGATTCTGACAAATGTAACACAAACTAGTCGAGTTGGCAGAGAGTCGGAAACATTGATAGTCGTCTTCGACTTCTGAACCAGAACGTCACCATGACTGTTGGCCTCCACAGTGACCTTGGCATCAACTGTCAGAACACCACTCACGACATCAGTAACATGATCGCTAACACGGTTCACGACCTCACTCGTGAGCGTGACTCTGCCCGACAGTTGCAGGCTGAAGAAGCGAGTCGCTGCAGGAAGCACACCTTGGAGTCAGGCCAAGCGTGGGATCGCGAACGTACAAAGCTCAACCGCGAGCTCTCAGCAGCTACTGAGAACGCAAAGTTCTGGAAAGAGCAGACCGTCCGTCTCAAGACACAACTACGTAGCTCCCAGGAAGAGGTTTCAACCATGGCTGTTGACCATCAGCGCTTCAGAGAGCACCACACCCTCCTCCTTCGAGCTTACAAGAACCAGGACGAGGCCAACCACACCAAGATCCAGGTAAGTAGACATTTCCTGCGTATACAGCCTCAGCACTGCTTCGGAGAAACCTGGAATAACACATAACCCTCATGGATAGGGTCTGGAGGCCCAGATTGTCGGGCTTCAGGCAAAACAGAGTGCCGCCGGAAGCTCTCGTGGTGAGGCCAGCGCTGCTACGCCCCAGGCAGAGCCCAACAGCATGGCTCTGGTTCGGTTGTCAGATGTCAACCGCACTTCTGCTTCCTACAGCACGATGCCCTCTCCTGCTCGGAGCATCCCTGAGGCCCGTGGTCGAGCAGAGTCCATCAACACCGGTGATGCTACAGATGTCAACGTGAACTTCAACCCTGAAGCCCCTACTTGGCAGCCGGCGGCCAATGGCAAGACAGACTCTACTACTGACAACCCGCCTCCCCGCGCTCCGCGTGTCATGAGACTAACGGCTGCGGCCGCATCTGCTGCAGCTCGTCACCTGCGTAGGGCCGAGGCCAAGGAGTCCTCCAGCCAAGCTTCGACTTCTGCATCTGCATCTGCTTCCAACGACACTGAGCAGGCTCTTGTACCCCTGTCCACCACCACGCGTACGGCTCAGGGCATCGGCCACTTCCAAGATACTTCTCTCCTTGATGCTCGTTACGCTGAAGCCTTTGGAGACTTCCGACCTGTCACTGCCAAGTCCGAAGCTAACGGTCAGAAGGTGATTACCTTTCCCCCGGCCCTTTCCAAGAATCTTGTCGAGCAGCTCTGGGCTCAGGCCCGCCTCAAGTCCTCCTGGGGCCACAACGACCTGAAGGCCGCCCTCGAGCACATCTACGAGGTCATCAAGGGCTACGTGGTCCGCTGCCACGACGATGAGCCTTTTGTGGTTTCCGACACCAACTTGGTGCTTGATGACCCTCATGTATGGGAGTACATGACTAAGCTGGCCATCATTGACAACCAGCATGGCTCCACACACATGACGTATCTCTTGAATGAGCCTCACTACCGCCCCTATGTCGTCCAGCGCATGATTGTGGACTACATCTTCAAGAAGATGTTCAGCCCTTCCATCTTCCTGGGCTACTCTGCCGACATGGACGGTCATCTAGCTGCTCTTCACCACCAGATTGTCTCCATGGGATCGTGTAAGTCTTATTATTACGTCTGTCAGAGCTCAAAGTGTTGTCGGACCACGGCTGACGTCTTCCCCTCTCCCATAGTGAAATTGAGCTGCAACGACGCCAAGGCTCGTACCCGTCAGAAGGTCATGGAGGACCACGCGAAGCTTGCCCGAACCATCCTCGGACAGCCAGATGCCGCCACCTTCCGCCGTGCCGTTGTCGACAAGCACGCCTACCTGCTGCTCAACCTGGTCAAGTCCATGCGCTGCCAGAAGGTCGAGGAGAGAGAGTGCCTGCGGCTCATCAAGGTCATGTGTGGCGCCGTCTAGGAGACCGCCACCAAGACATGGATCAGCGGTATGACTGTCCACTACTACTTCCCCGACTGCGGCACCAAGTTCCAATACCCCGGAATGGAAGCCCTCAATGCTCGCCAGGTCGGCCGCAACGCGCACCAGCTCCAGGCCGCGCAGTCCCGCATCGCCTTTGTGGTCACTCCGACTGTGACCCTCCGCGACGAGCGCGAGAAGGGCAGTCTCAAGACATACGGCATCCGCAAGGCTGAGATTCTCATCATGAAATAAGGTAAGTGCATTCTGTCTCTGGTTGTGGCTGTGGCTGTCTCATTGTCTTCTTGCCCTGACTTCCTAGTGTTTACAGCGCAATGTCTTCCTGCTTTCTTGGGACTTCCACACTTGAGTGGCGATAAGCAAGACAACGTCTTATCATCGAGTTCCGAAACAAGCTTGCGCATGGTGTGATATTTCGTCTTCCAGACTGAAGTTCGGCATGCATACATAGGTACTCATCGTACTTACAATAAGTTGGCTGTCATGTTCAGCACAGCACACTTGTTTCTTGCACGGCTCTCTTGAGAGCAGTGAAGATGTGAGAGTAGTGGGGGGTTTTCTTGCACAGGATATCTGACTGCCCGTCTAGGGGCCATTTGTGCAGGACTGGAAAAAAAGAGGCGAGCAGGGAGAACGGAATCGGACATTTGCAGAAAGCTGCACCAGGGTCCATCAGAGTTGGAATTCTCCATGTAACTTAGCCATGAGCAGGGTTACGTAGACAAAGACCTTCATAGACCTTGCCTTGCCGCGTGGCGATTTTGCACGTGCTGGTTGGTGGTGAACCTCGCGTCAAAGGCTTCGCAAATGGATACTGTCGTAATATTGAACCCCCCACGGGCTCCGTAGCGACGAGCCCATCAACCTTAGCACCTAACAACGCTGGACCAGGCTCGTCAACAAAGCTCAGCAACCATTTCTTCGCTGCAGCAAGACCCGGGAAGATGGCCGAGCGGTTATGGCGCTGCGTTCAGGAACTCCCCCTCTTCCACACACCAGGGGAAGAGGGAGACCACAGACCTGTTCAACGAGATGATAGTATTTCGCAGTGGAGCAATCCTCGTGGGTTCGAATCCCACTCTTCTCATCCTTTTTGCCGTCCTGGTGCGTGCACAAGGGTAGACATCGTGATGTTGTTCTGTTGGAGTTGCTGTTTTGCTGCGAGAGTGTGGTGGTGGTTGGAGTGGTGTCAAGCTTGTTGCAAGTTCAATGCGCGAGTCTGTTGAACAGGGCGCGGTGCTAGTCAGGCAGTATGCCTACTCGTCTGCGTGCCTGCCTCTGACATTCATTTCAGATACCATGGAAAGCCAGCTTATGATCTTTTTGTAGATGGCTGGGCACGGGTCCAGCAACACACATGAGTGAGTTTTATAGTGTTTGGCATGGCTGGCAGACGTTGTGGTTGACACCCAAAACTCCCTGCAGCTCTGGCCCAATAGACGAGTGCAGAGCCCAGCCAGCAACGGAACAACTCAGCCTTGCCAAGGACAAGGCATAATGCATCCCCTCCCCCCTTCCTGTGCCCGCCCTTTATGGTGACCGCTCGTGCGAAACCGCCAGGTCCGTTCCTTTTCAGGTCTCAGGAAAGGCATCAGATGATGACTCCAGGAGGCTGCCGCCACCCTCGGGCTCACAGGGCTGCTCGCCAGGATGCCACAAGCCACAACAGTCCTGGCGGACCTCGCAACACGGCTCTTTCCAACAACCTGCACCACAAGCATCGCCCATGGCACGACACAAGACGCCCAGATCGGGCACAAAGGCGGCGTCTACGCCGAGCCGCTCGACCCGACCACCAAAGAGATTCGGGTATTGACTGTACATCCTGCTCCGACTGCAACGCCAGGTTGGACCAATACTGCCAAGGGAGATCAAGACGATAGGGACCATGACACGATAGTCTGTTCTCTTGCCACGGCACGTCTTTATCCAGCTGGCAACACCATTGCGGGCGGAAAGGGGGCCGCTGATCCACGAGATGCTCATCCGCTACACTTTACAGCACTCTCCTATGTTTGGGGCGACCCGTCGGACCCGGTGAATATCGTAGTGAATGGCACAATGATGCCCGTCACGCGAAGCCTTGCCCAAGCACTTCGCCACCTCCGCCGGACTGCCGTGCGTGAGGTGTTGGACAGGCTCTGGGTCGATGCGCTGTGCATCAACCAAGGTGACGTGAGCGAAAAGAACCACCAGGTGCAGATGATGGGCGAGATATACAGCACGGCGACATTGGTCATTAGCTGGCTCGGCGCAGACGTTGTCAGCAATGTGCTGCTCCCTCGTGATACTGCCAGCAGCAGCAGCAGCAGCAGCCGCACCATACTTGACAGGAGGAGCGCAGCATACGCCTTTGACCTCGCTGGCCGAGTGGCTGCCGCTTCTCGGCGAGCTACAGACCGGCAGGATTTCTCGGCTCGGTGGCTCGAAGAGTTTCCTGCCCTGTGGCAGACACGACGCAAGACCGTTCCCATCAACAGACCTCCCCGCAACAACGACGAGACCACTCCCTCGGGAATAGGCCACTACTCGCCACCACCAAAGCGGCAAGACACGACCAGGGTAATCACACAGATGCCTCACTGTTTCAACGCCTTCAACGCCTTCCGCAACAACAAGCTCTTCACGCGGGGCTGGGTGTTCCAGGAGAGCGTCCTTGCCCCAAACGCAGTGTACTTGTGCGGCGACAGCGCGATCAGCGCGGACGAGCTCCTCGAGTGCGACAGCGCGCTGGGTGAGCTGCGTGAGAAGCCCGCGGCGGACCTGCCCAAAACCATATCCGTCCGCGACCTTGCGGAGCTCCGCAAGCCGGGTGCGTATCAGTACTTCAGCAACCTGCAATGGATCCGTACTGCGCGCGAGCACAAGGGCACAATATCACTCTACCACCTGCTCTTGGGTAACTCGGGATTGTTTGTGACTCACCCCTTGGATAAGGTGTACTCGCTTCTCGGCGTCATGGCACCGCTGCCGGATGGTCTTGGTGCCATACAGGTCGACTATGCAAAGTCACCAGCCCGGTTGTTTTCAGAGGTCGTGGAGATATTCCTGCATCAGCAACGAGATCTGCACTTTCTCGTGCAGGCCGGCCTGGGAAATGGTCTGGGTGTGGCGCAGAGACAGCCCGGTCTGCCTTCATGGGCACCCGACTGGGCGGCGCTCACGGCTGCGGACCACCTCTCGGCTGCGGGATGGACTGAACGTGCAGTGCCGAGAGGCTTTGATACTGCATTGGCCACGTGCCTACCCGCCGAGGGGATCCTCAAGGTCTTCGGCTTCAGCCTTGACATTGGCGAGCTGACCAGTTCAGGCCGGCTAGATAACATCGACGACGCGATTGATCTGCTGTGGGAGACACTGGAATCGAAGAGAGACCAGCCATACCCAACCGGCATACCACGAGCGCAGGCCATTGTCAGACTTTTGATGGAGATCCATTCAGCGGGCTGGGGTAACACCTTAGAAGTGCCATCGCCGTACACGATCGAACAACAAGCGGAGTTGGCTCATCTCGACGCAGAGGAATTCGACTGGCTGGATAGCACCTATCAACCGCCCTCAGACTCTTGGTACTATACTGGCTCCTCCTCGTGCTCGTCCTCGGCAGGGACTCTTTCCGACTTTGACGACTTGATCAGCGAAAACGAACTCTTGGATCTAGAAGACGACTCAGACTCACACATGAACCCTTCACCAACGGATATCAGCGACATGCTCCTCACCATGGCGCACAGCGTGCTCACCTCCCTCCCGCCCTTGTCCCCCTCTGAGCCGCCAGCGCCGGCGCCGGCGCTGGCCACCACCAGCGATCCCCCACACTCCGCGTCCTCGCCCCCCTCCACCATAAAGAGACCCCTGGGCTGGGCTCCCGAGACGCGGTCCTTTGCGTCGTACTTCCAAGAGCACTTCCTCGGCGCGGGCGCACCGGTAGACGCGGAAGAGCTTTACAAAACCACGGGGTTTCCCTACGACCGCTGGCGCAAAGCCATGGCCAGCGACTCGAGATACTGGAGCCGGCTCCAGACCACCTGCTCGCGGGGCCACTACGTCGTCGAGACGAGCCAGGGCTACGTGGGACTGACGACGTGCAACGACGTTAAGCCCGAGACGGACATCCTGGCGGTGCTGCCGGGATTCCGGTATCTCGCCGTCCTACGGCGCAGGCACCAGCGAGGACCAGGCGAGGAGGAGGAGAAAGGGGAGGAGAAGGAGGAGGAAGAGTATGAGTATGAAGACGAGGCGCAGGAGTGGACGTTTATGGGCTCGTGCAAGATACTCGGGTTCATGAAGGGCGAGGCGTTCAGAGGCATCAACGGGATAGACGATCTCTATGCTATTGGAAGAGATTTCGTGCTCCGGTGATGTCGTCGGCGGCTCGGTAGTTCAAGCGTTACAAAGGGGCATCAGGACGACAAGATGGTCTGTTCAGTTCGTGTAGAGCCCACGCTTTCTCCGTCATGAAAAAAGGGAAGCAGCAATAAAGCGTCAGCTGTCGGTTATCGAGTACGGAGAGCGAAGTCATCAAAGGATGTGGTGGTCTGCAGTTTATATCCGCGAATGACTTTGGATTCGGTCAGAGCGTTGGGTGTATCTGTACTCATGCACAATGGACGTGCGCATTACGAACTGGGCGAGTTGTCTTGTCTTTAAGTCGAGCGGTATACGTGTGATTTCGTGTTTCCAGCAAGCTATTGGCATCAGACTCGCACAGCTCTACTCAGAATCATGCCAGGCTCTGTCGGTGCCAATGCTCAATTAATGTGTCAGATATGCCTGGCAAGGATGTTCACCGCAGTTTATTGTTATGATTAAGTCTGTCGTCCTGTGCAGAGGCTTTCGGAAGCCATTCTCTAAGCAATGTCTTCTTGTGGGTATCCTTGAACGCCTACTCGGATGCATCTCTAGTCCTGGCCGTTGTTGCCGTAATGAATCCCGAATGAAGCATCCCGAAAGCGCCCATTGCACCAGAACTCCTGCTAAGCACCATTCAATCCGGTGGACCTGCAAGGCTCCAAGGTCTCAAGTCGCAGTATTAGGTGCTTGCATATATGCTGGTTCCCCTTGCCTAGAGGCTCTCAAACAAATGTCCGACCCTGCGTCGCATCAAGATCGACGAGTCTCTACACGATCGAGTCTTCGGACTACAGCACCGAGGACGACCTTGAGAACTGTTTCAGAAGTAAGCTGTGTGCTGGTGTGCCTCCCCCGAAGGAAACTGGTGCCGGTCTTGGTGAGATCAGGTCTGGCATCGAATGTCGTCGTGTCAACGATGTCCCGCATGCCGGCGTTGTTGCCGGAGCTGAGCTGGTCGTCCATATCCCGGAGAGCCTTGGTTGCTTCTGGGTCGTTTCCCACCTGGAAGAACTGGATTCCGACCTGGTATAACGGCGCATCCTTGTCGTCGAGAATCTTGGCAACCTTGACAATCACCTGGTCTGGCTCATCATTCGGCGCTCCGTCTGTGATGACAATGATGTTGAGCGGCTTCAGGCACGTCTCGTCGCCGGTTTCATCCACCTTCTTCTTGTACAGGTTGGTGTATGGCCTGAGAATGTACCAAAGTCTCCTAGCTGTAAGCGTCCCATTTCTAGGTTGCACCTGATCGAATATGCTCTGCACATGCTTGGGATCTCTGACGCCGCGATAACCGGTGCCCGCCGAGCCCTTGGCACGGTCCTCTGGCTGGTCCGTCTTGTGGTTTAGGAAGTAGATGTCGACGCCATCTTCATCGTGAGCCGTGCAGATAGGCACAATAGCCTCGAGCACCTTCCGCGTCTCCTCCCACCTGCTGCCACGCATCGAGGCCGAGTCATCGATCAAGAAGATGGTGTCAAAGGCAGACAAGAAAGCGTGCGGGTCTTCGCCTGTGGACGCCGAATGGCTAGTGAGACGAGGATGAGCTTGAGACGGGGACGAAGGAGGCAAGGACGATGCCGGAATGACTGGCGATGGCGGCTGGACGGACCTTGTGGCTTCCGTGTATGATGGAGGGGGCGCCAAAGAATCGCTCGGAGCGGCTGTGCTGGAGGGAGTGGCATTTGGTCTGCGGAAGGCCCTGGAGAACATCGAGGAGATGGGCGACTTTGACTCTGGCTTGCCCATCCTCACGGCTTTGGGGATGGGTGCTTCTTGTCGGTAAATGTATGAGCCTGATGGACGGTCAGAAAGGGGAGATGGGAATGGAGTCTACTTTGTTCTGGGAGGAATGATGTGTGGGAGGAGGAGAGCGGTGTCGACGGCAGGAACGTGGAACGAGAGGTTGCCATTTATCAAGTCATGTTTATTGGCGTTTGTCCTTATGACAGCGACTGACTGACTGACCTTGAAACTGCCTCGCTTCTGATGCAACAGTTGCAAACTGTGCTCGTGTCTTTGTCTCGGGAGTAATACACTGTCACAGAGCCTTTAGTTGTCCCACGCTTGACCCTCACAGGGTTCTTTATAGAACATCAACTTCAGCATTCCGGAGGTTCCACAGAGGGATGATGCCTGACGAGGCATTGTTGCGGCTCCAGAGCCGCGCCAAGCTCGTCTCGCGACGGAGACGGAGACGGGGCTGAGTCGCGCTGTGCCATCTCTGTCGACCTTCTTCTTGTCCGTACTGTAGTACCTGGGGTAAATATCGCACGGGCGCAACAAACATCCAGAGCCATTGTCGAAGCAGGTCTGGAGCTGGCTGATGTTGCCCCCCCATTGGCGGCTGTGAAACGAGGCGCAGCACCCCCCACATCCATGGATGGTTTCAACCCTGCGGCAAGGTACTCACAAGGCTGATCAATCAACCGCAAACAACGACAGGCACGCATGCACGCGGTAAACAAAAAGGACATGTTCTTGGCTCCGATTCGGCCATGTCTTCTTCACTGGCAATAGGCTACCAGAGCCGCATGCGCTCTGGGCGTGACGATTGAACCTCGCGAAAGTTTGTTAGCATGTTCATTTCTCCACTTCGACAAGGCGCAGCATGGCCCCAAGTTCCCCCATGGAAGAAGGGACGAGGGCATGCCCGGAGACTTGCCCTATTATTTCGCCGATAGTGGCCGTCCGTTCCGAGCACAACAACTGAGGCTTGTGCCAGTCTCTATCCCCTCACTCCATCGATTTGTCCCTCGTCGCTGCAAGTTATTCTCGTGGGCCGTGCATCGCGTAATGGACATGTTTCAATGATGGACTAGAACTATCTGTTCTTGACTGACTATCTCGAGGTGATACATGCAGGAGCGTGTCTTGCGGGCCGCCTGTCAGAATTAACAAAAAAAAAGCACTGAAGTCATGACGATGTTCGCGAAATGCGTGAGCATAAACAGCATAATTTGTTCCAGATGATGAGAGCTTCTTCTATGGTCTCTCATGCTCTGCCCCTGATATCTCTGTGCGACTACTTTAATCATGTCGCCATGTACATGCCCCATTGAGCTCCAAGCCGAGCCTCAGCAGCGGCTTTGGCTACTTTTCGACCGCGGCGTTGAGCAGCACAAGGAAATTCAAGCCCAAAGCGGAGCCGTAACCTCAACAGCGCGCTCAACGACCGCCTTGACACGGTCGGCAAATACTTTCTGGGCGCACTCGACCTCGAGGTCCTCCAGCCAGACCACCGCCGACATTTTGTCAACCTTGATGGCGACTCCCGGCACAGGAATTCCCAGCTTGTGCAGCCGGTCGAGCTCCGCCTTCTGGCGCTTCTGGAGCCTCTCCTCCTCCTCGTCCTTGTCTTCAGCTTCGCCCATCTCTGAATCAGCTTCTCCCTCTTCTGTCTTTACGACTTTGGTGGTCGTGGAATCGCCAGTGTCGCCGTGTGTCGCAAGCTTGGGTAGTTCTACTGGCGAGACGTTGTCCTTGCCGAATTGTGCCTCCAGGAACATGAAGAGTCTATCGAGACGGTCCTCTGGAGTCGTGTTGGCGTGCAGATTACGCGTGGGAAGAGCATGGGTGTGAGAGTGCTTGCTCGATGACTCTGTAGCCAGCACTGGTTAGTCACAGTTATAGCCAGAAAGGAGCTTCTCTCCAAGATCACGGTGTCTCGAGCACTTACGTTTCACAGCAGCGGGGCTACTCTCGGTCGATAGGAGCACCGCCATGACAGCATCAGCAATGCCATCGTTAAGCATGTTGCCCTCCCACTCGAGCTCGACTTCGCCATTACTGCGGTAACGCACAGTCACACAGCCCATCACGAGGTATGCAGCCACGGGTTGTGTGACTTCCTCATCGGCCTCCTCCTCCTCCGAGCTGATCTCCTTGTCACCACCATTCGTCGCTCCCCCATTCTTTTCCTGACGGTTCTTGGACTCGGGCAGTTCTTCGATGCTACCAAATGTACCCTCCAGCGCCCATTTGATCAGGTCCAGGCCGGCGGCGCTCAGTGTGAAGCGCTGCCTGCATGCGATTGTGGATGTGGTCAAGCCTGCATACTCGCGGAGGTCCTCTGGATCCATGAGCGACATCTTGAAGTCGTTCTGCACAATGACGCCGGAGACGAGGTCTGCCCCATGGTCATCTGGTGTCGGCAGCAGCTGCGGCGGCGGGATCGAGGCCAACTTTCCCACAACCTTGGCGACCTTGTCTGTCTTGAATGGGATCTTGAGCTCCTCACAGTTCCGAGGGCTGAAGACCTTGACCTTGTCGACTTTATTGGCGTTGAGCGAAAGCAGTTTGGACTTCAAGCGCATCATATTGTGTTGCTCGCCATGCACCAGGATCTGCAGTTTGGTCAGTAATCAGCAGCAACCGGTTACATGACACCAGAGGTACAACTTACCACCACTGGAGCCCCGACTTCTTCTATAAAGTCCTTATTCTCGGTGCCGTCCACGTGAGCTGCAAAAGAGTATTCGGCAACACTGCACCTTCGAGGAATCAACACCTTCTCAGAGTCGGCGCCTGGCGCCCGGCGAATCGCATTGGTGTTGCGGGACATGACTGCCTGGATCTGGTCGGGCTCTTGAACAATCTGCTTGGCCATGGTCCCTTCGACGCTGTAACCCGTGATGATGACTCCGTTCTTCTCGTTGGGTGCCCACCTTTCAAGCAGCTCTCGACTTACACCATTCTGAAGCATACCAGGAGCGGCAAGCATTACACAACCTCCGACGTCCTCGAACCTGTCAAGGCTCTTGAGCGACCGAATGTATTTGAAGTCCCACGGGCCTCCCCGCCCAGCAGCGCCACCTGATGCCTCGGCTTCAGCCATCCTCTCGCGAAACAAACGCTTGATGTTATCGTTCATTGCTCCCACATAAGTCTGGTACACCAGCATACACTTGCGCGCCAGGTTACTGGCATAGTAGATCGGGAATTTCTGGTACTCTTCGTGCTTATCCCAAAACTCGTCGAGAATGAGGAGCAGCTCCTGAGCTCTGCCCAATGCAAAGACAGGAAGCAGTGCGCGTCCACCACGATTGAGAATGCTGGTGATTGTCTTCATCAGGGCTTGTTCCCTTTCCATGCGTGGAACATGGGTGGACACGCCGTAGGTCGACTCCGTGATAAGCACGTCGATTTTCACACCTCTAGGTACCTCGGCGGATACCAAATGCCGGTCATGTTCTCGCGAGTAATCCCCAGTGAAGAAGATCTTCAGACCAGCAATCTCGATGAGATACATGGCTGCTCCCAGTACGTGGCCAGCCGGATATGGTGTGATTCGTATGGACGAGATCGTGTGTGTTGTGTGGTAGTCAATCGCCTCAATCTGAGGAAATGTGTTGAGATGGTCCTGTTCTGTATAGACAGGCTGCGACGTCGGGTTCGAAGATGTGTTGCCCACGCGGATGCTGTCCTGGATAAGCCACTTGTAGATGGCTTTCGTGGGATGTGTCATGAACACTCGTCCTCGGAAGTTCGTCTTCGCCAAAACGTATGGCAACGATGCGGCATGATCAATGTGGAAGCTTTTTCAGGACACGTCAGCTCTATATACATCCAAAGCGCGCTCAGGCACTGCCCATCGTGTAGGAGTTCGGGATCAGGAGGTCACGGTGCTCGACCAAGCGCGTCAGGAAGCCAAGGGAAACAACTTGTATTGATAGCTGATGTATCTATCCCCGAGCCGGGCTGCGAACAGAAGACACGCCAAGTGCGATGGAGGCATGAGCGCGAATGACAGTTATAAAAAACGTCGTCTCGCAGCGCAGGAGCATTCCCGCAGATTCCCATCCAGCCGACAAAAGAAAGTTGCACAGACATACAAGAACGACAGCATTTGAGAGGGCATTTCAGAGGCACGCTTACTTACTGTGTAATGAGAAGAACATCAACAGTGCTCAGGTCAAAGTCATCGAAAAAGGGCAAGGCAGCAAGGCCATCGTACGCAGGGTGTTGACCAGCATCAAGCTAAGGATTTATCAATGTCAGCAACGCGCCGCCTGCTTTGTTTCAAGACATTATGACTTACCATCACCGTCTTCCCCTTGTATTGCACGATATGACAGGACCTGCCGACTTCATTGCCACCTCCCAAGCAGAGAAAGGTCAGTTCATCCGAGGGGTCGACAGGCTCGTCTGTCACAGGCGTGGCCATTGCCGCAGCCTTCCGCTTGGAAGCCATCTTGCTAAGAGCCGCCTTTTCTTCGAAGTGAGTCTAAGATATAGTTCTCCAGCGCGTAGTACGAGACACGCTTGGATATCGAACGCGCCTTCGGGATGAACGCGATGTCGAACACGGTGGATTGTACGCTGTGTTGGACCGTCAACGCGAATGTTGCTGCTACACGACCTCGCTGGACGTCGCAGTCTATGGATGGTGCATAGCGAGCACTCGAAGTCACCCGGCGGGATCTCCGAAGAGAGACAAAGTGCAGGGGGTGCAGCGGATGCGGCGCCGTTGTCGCGTTGATGGCCTGGTCAGTACTTCACGAGGCAGCGTGGTGTGAATTGCAAAGGCAAGCTCGATGCTTGCTAGTGGAGCTTGGGAGCATGACTAATGCCTGCGGGATCGAGTACCCGACGCATGGAGCACGCACAGTAGCTGCCGAGCCACAACGAGGCGTGCACACACGGTGCGAAGCAATCGAGTCAGCGTGGCTGTCGAAAGAGCTCCTTGGCTTAGGTAAGGTGAGCAGGGTGCGTGCTCCCAGCCCAATCTCTCCAGCTCTCCTTGGCCTACCTAGTCCAGGACGAAGGTGGAGACCGCGCGGGAGCCGCGAGCAACGCCTGGACGGGACATTTTCGAGAAGGTCCTTCCCAACTGCCAAATCACCAAGTCTCACTCGCGCCGCGCCCAACTATCGAACCACAGACTCGCGCCCCTCCCCAGCATTCGCTCCGCCTTCGTTCACGCATTCTTCGACTCCGCAGCTTCTCGCGACAGTACCTTCGACCTCGTGACTACCCACGAGCGCGCTCTACACAAGTCCCGACGACGCGTAGCCCGACTGATCTTCCTTGGCGATCGAGCCGCCTCTGATGAAGATTCCTCAATGGATGGATGCTCCTGATTATCAGAACTAGACAGGCGCTGTGCCTGCCTGGCTTCTAGTCGCCCACAGGCGCCAGTGCGCGCTGCGTCACCGATACGCGCAAGCAGTAGTTGGCCCTGCGCCGTGCGCTTCATTCAGGGTCTCTTCCTCGCCGTTCCATCGAGTCATCTAGTCGCACACGGAATCTGCGCCGACACCATCCCTCTGTCTATGTCTGCTGAGTAGGCGGGACATCGAGCACTGTCGTCGCGTGAAGTCAGCCATCGTTTCGACGCGCACCAGGTCGTTCAACACACGACAGCCACCAACCACTTACCCTTCCATCATGTCGCAACCACCCTCTCAACCAGAGGCAGCGCCTATGCCGCAACAGCCCGCTTCTCTTGGATCGCCATCAATAGGGGGGCAAGGCGCGAACTCGAGCCTTGGGATGCCGCCGAACAAGAAACCCCGAATTTCTCCTGGCCCCCCCTCGCAGCCTGGGTCGCCTTATCCCGGGTCGCAATACAACAATGTCCCAAGTCCTGGTGTGTCGACCCCAGGCATCATGACCCCAGGCGCTGGCGCTCCCTCGCCAGTCAATGCGCCGCTCGCGAAGCCGCCTGGACAGCCGGGAAATTACACATCACCATTTCAACGCAACGGTTCTGCGACGCCAGTACCGACACCAATTCAGACACAACCGCCCTCGCAAGCACCTTCTCAACCGCCTACACCAGGACCGACGAACAGCGGCCTGCCCATGCCAGTTGCTTCAGCCGGACCAATGCCACAACCAACGGCGACCACACCTCAACCATCTACACCGAGCGCGCTCTTGCCTACACCACAGGCTCCCCCTAACGCGCCATACACAAACGCCACGCTGATGCCCATTCCATCGCCCAGTACTCCAGCACCCATGAGCGAGATGCCACCTCCGCCTCTCAATGCTTCGGCCTCCTTCTCGGCCGCTTCGCAGGCCAAGGCTCCAACGAAAAGCTACGCATACGAAATGGACGACATGTTGGCAGGAACTGGAATCAACTTGGAAGAAGAGCAGGAGCTGATGAACGAGTTCGAAATGCGTGAGGGCCTGGGCTCCCACCGACCTGGCGGGCGGAAAACACTATACGGCGCAGGTGCTGCCAACCAACCACCAGAGGAGTTCGACGCTAAGACTCAGGAAGAATTGGCTGCGGAAGCTGCCGACAAAGCTTGGAATGAAGCTGCTCATAGGCTAGCAGTTACCAGGACGGTTGAGATCACGAGCCATCTGCTGGATCCCGGTTTGTTACACCGGAGAATGGCAGCGATTGCATCCCGCAACAACCTGAGTCTCAACCTGGATCTCCGCTCTGATGGCAAGAGCCAATATATGGGTCGCCTGGCAGCTCCAGATTCCTTTCCAAGGCCTGCAATCAAAGTATCGACAGCTAAAGCAACAGACGGCACGATTGTTACCACTCATGGGTCGTTTATACCGAAGGAGGCATTCCTGGTGGACCAAATTGCTCTGCTCTCGATTGCGACCCGCGAACATTTAAGGGGACTTCTCACGGACGCCAACAAAAAGTCTATAAGCCGACAGCAGAAGACCCACGGGGCAGTACCTCCTCCATGGACACCGGCCGCTTCTCCCGGCCCGGCAGCCGCCAATGGTGTTGCAGGTGCAAGCCCGGCAAGCGCAGGTACCAGTGGCATCAGTCCAACCACGACCTCAAAGAAGAGTAAACGGCCTATTGCTTCCATGCCTGTCGAGATATTTTGCTAACAAACATAACCAGGACCTGTGGAAGCGATGAGCAACGGACTGCCCACGCCAGTATCTGATGCATCTCCCACAGTCAACCCATTGGTGGAGGCAATGCGTGCGCTAGGCAAAGCCAATCGCAGTGCCGAGGAGGCGCGGTACAAGAAGCGACAGAGGCGTCTGGACCAAGCAAACAAGAAAGAGGCTGGTGCTGATGGCACGCGGGCTGGATCGGCTGCCCCTGGTGCCGAGGCTGGGGAGACCAAGGCACCCACGAAGAAGGAGGCAAAGAAGTCGGCCAAGATGGCGGAAGCCAGCAGCACTACGGTCAACAACACCCTCAGTCTGTTTGCTGGCGGCAAGAAGAAAAAGAAGTATTCTTGGATGGCGGGCGGAGGTGCTGCAAGCGGTCCTGGCACGCCGCAGCCACAAGTCGGAGGCGCGCCAGGCACACCCGGCGGCGCGAACACGGCCTCACAAAAGCCCAATAATGGGCCGCTGACACCGAACCCGAATCCGCGGCATTTGCCGGGTGTCTGGCGAGAAGATGGACCGACGGGCAAAAATATTCAGCTGCGGGACTGGATTCTTGTCTTGGAAGACCGAGGGCAGGACATTGTCGCCCTGCAGAAATTGTACGACAAGCTGGACAAGTCTGATCTGGGAGACAAGGTCGGAGCCGATACAGACCCCTAGTGCCGTCAGACCAGGTGGCAGAGCTCGGGAACCAAATTCGACCTGGGTCAGCAATTGAAAAAAACAAAATTAAAGAGTCTTTAATGCGAAGGTGACCAATACCCAGCCTGATAGAGGCAGCAACCAGGTACAGAGCTGCACTGTTCTGCAGGCCTCCTCAGTTTACACCCCTGTGAGTTGGAGGTGGTGCATCTTGTATAGGGCACTGGCCTGCGGCATTATGCTTGCATTGGAGACGGCAGTACGATACGATGATATTACTATCTTTCTACTTTGGCTCTGCTGGGTTGCTTTTCGTACCACACAGCGTGGCGTTGGCATTTACCGGAGGCATATTTGGCGGGGAGGATGGTAGCGGAAGCCCAGAGGGAGGGACCTTGGGCATTACTTGAGTATCTATAGCCTGCGCCGCCTGGATCGAAACCTGGTGGACGAAGGTTAGACAGCACGGCGCTTGCTGTGAGAACAAAAAGTCGACGTATTCCAACACCCTATTATTCGTTGCGAGCCCCAGAAGAGATGCTTGCTGCTTACCTTATGGTAGTCACAAACCTCATCCCTCATCGTATTGATATATGTGTGCACTGGTGGTTTTGGCTCGTTCCGGACGTCGGAAGTGGCGGTTGGCTCCACTCTGCTCCGGTGTCCGGGGCACCTGCTGCCCGCGCCCGCCCGTCCTCTCAAGATAACACCGTCGACTCCGACTACACTGGCCACGGTTGCCGTGACGTCCCCACGTACCTGACGAGTTGCTCACCTCCAGCTTCAGCGGGCGTCCAAACGGAGATGCACATTGCCAGGCGTCTGCTCTTCCGATCCACACACTCGACATTGCGAACTCCCGGGACCAACATGATTGTCAAAGCCGTACGTCCCTACCACATCTACCACAGAATCTCTACAACCTCTGGGATTCCTGCGAACGATGCGCTTGCAGGCGATGGGTCGGCCCTATGGGACCAGTGGGAACCCCGGGACGCATTACATTCGTCAAGACTGCTTCAATGCTCTGGGCCACCAAGATGACCAATGTTCAACACGTTTGCTGGATGTAACCAAACTGACGCTGTCTTATGGCGTGCGTGATATATAGGCGGTTGGTCAGATATGCTCTGGCAACTCGATGACCAAGAACCTCGACCAGTGCACGAGCCTGGCGAGTAAGGCTGCCGCTGCCGGTGCAAAGGTACGCCTGGGTAATGACTCTCTTGTTTCTTCATGTCGTGGTGGTAGTCCCTGGATCAGGCTGGCTGTTCCCATCCTGGCATGATCTCTGAGGCGGCTTGTACAGAGCACATCTTTAGATGCATTGCTGCTTTCGATGCTAACTTTTCTTTCCTTCCCCTTGGAATCCATCCTTTTTTATCACATCCTTCCCCTCGATCCAACTGATACTCACCAGTTCATAGGTCCTCTTCCTCCCAGAAGCGTCCGACTACATCGCCACATCCGCCTCCGAGTCTCTCGGTCTCGCCGAGCCCATGGCCTCTTCGCCTTTTGTCAAGGGTCTCCAGGATGCCGCAAAGCAGCACAACCTCGCCATCCACGTAGGCATCCACGACGTGGCTCCAAACTCTTCATCCTCGTCCTCTTCCTCTTCCTCGCCCACCAGTCAGGAGCAACAGCCCCAGAAGCTCTACAACGGGACAATCTACATCTCCCCCGACGGCACCCTCCTTCACCCCACGGGCACCTACAACAAGCTCCACCTCTTCGACTACGCCTCCCTCCGCGAGTCCGCCTCAACCCAGGCCGGGTCCGACTTCACCCCTCCCTTCCCCTCCCCCATCGGCCTCCTGGGCAGCCTGATCTGCTTCGACCTGCGCTTCCCCGAGGCCGCCCTGCATCTCGCCAAGCCACCGCCGCCGCCGCCGCCTCCTCCTCCCTCGTCCCAGTCCCAAACCCAAGAAGCCGCCGCCGCCGCCGCCGCCCAGGTCCTGCTGTACCCGTCCGCCTTCACTGTGCCCACGGGCCAGGCCCACTGGGAAGCCCTGCTGCGCGCCCGGGCGATCGAGACGCAGAGCTGGGTCGTCGCGGCCGCCCAGGTCGGCAGGCACCACGCCTTCGAGGAGGGCGGCAAGAGGGTCAGCTACGGGCACAGCATGGTCGTCGACCCCTGGGGCCGGGTCGTGGTCGAGCTCAAGGGCGTCGAGGATGTGAATGCTACCCACAGTGTAGATATCGAGGCGGCGGTTGGTGGTACTGGCAAGGGCAGCAATGTAGGCGAGCAGAAGCAGCAGCAGCAGGAGCAGAGGTGGGAGGCCGTGGACGGCGCCGTGGGCGAGCTGGGCGTGTTCGAGGTCGATCTCGACCATGTCGCCAGGGTCAGGGAGCAGATGCCTTTGGTCAGGAGAACGTAAGTCCCCGTCTGGTGGTCGCTGTTGCTTTCCGCCCTTTCTTCTTCTTACCTGCGCTTTATCGCTTGCAAGAGGGGGAGGGGAAAGTGTTATTTCTTGGTCGTGGCTGACAGTGACTTGATGTGTCATCACAGGGACCTATACTCGAGCTGTTAGGAAGTGCTATGACGAGTAGGGCAAGTGACACAGAGTAGCGGTGGTACGTCTCATTTTCCGTGCTGCGGTCGAGGTATCAGAAGGCAATACGGCGAAGAATCATGGTGATATAAGCGCTTTGGTCTCGTAGCGTAGACTCTCTCCAACTGGGCCAGATCAGCAGCATGTCGCGAAATAGCAGAAGCCTACTAGTGTGAATCTTCACAGCGTGAAGACATCCTCCTGGCGCGTACACTTATCAGACGAAACAATGTGCGGGCAAAACACCAAAACACCAAGTCTGTGATGGAGAAGCCAACGAAGACATGCATAATCACATACGCACGGCAGTTCAAAAGTGAAGCAGGTTCGACTGATTTGACATTGGTGTGACAACTTCCGCGAGCGAGAACAGGACGGAGTAAGTGCACGGCAGCTACCTGAGAAAAAAAAAAGAAAAAAGAAAAAAAAAAAACAGTTGAGACCATGTCAACTGACCTCAATAACATGTTGCAAGAACCGCCGTGGCCATGGTCCAACCCGAAAATTCATGCAAGGACGATGCATATTTTTGCCCACGCGCCGTGTGATGTCGTTATCCTTAATCATTGTCATACCCTCGCGCGTAAAAACACAAAAACGCCGCTCCAATCGCTGCAGCCGGTAGTACGACTTTTGAGACGGGGACTCCTCGAGATCCGTAGAAAATGGCTAAACAGAGAATCTCAAATGTGCTCGCTGCAGGAATTCTCAGTAGATGTAGTGGGAGAAGAGGCCAGTAGTGTGGCCTGGGACGGGTAGTGTACAAGTTCGTCAGACTCAGCCAAGCCGAAAGACAAAGCAAGGTCGCTCGAGAAATCCACCATGCTGCTGATTGGGACGACGGCCAGCCATTACTGGGCAGCGGGCTGTCTTGGTGCGCCACCACGCCCACGGCCACCATAGCCACGCCCGCGACCGCGTCCACGACCTCTGCCACGGTAGTTGCGGTATCCGCCATCGACACTCTCCTGGCCGAATGTTTCCATGTTCTTGCGTTGTTCTTCGCCGCGCCAACCGGGACCGCCGGCTTTTTGGCCACCATTCTCAGCACGTTCACGCGCCTCGCTGGAGATGTTGTCAAAGAATGATTTGGTCTTGTTGTATGCCGGTGGCGCTGCGGGAGCAGCATCCTCTGACACCGGGGTCTCGGCTGGTGTACCATTCGGGACTTCAGACAATGGTGAGCCAACTTCAGCAGCCTGCGCCACGTCCTGCTTGTTGAACTTGGCATTCGCGGCGCCAAAGTCGAAGTCTTCCGTGGGAACCTCAACCTTGCTGCCTTGGACATTGCCGCCACGTCCACCACGGCCACGGCCGCGGCGGTTTGCGTTGACCCGCATGTCATTGACCTTGTTGGTCAGATTGTCGATCGCGGCGTTATTGCCATGGCCAGTCACTTGGGCAGCAGGTGCAGCTGATTGTCCAGCGCCAGCTTGGTTCATTTTCGCCATCGCAACCGCAACGGCAGCTCGAGCGGCGTCCGTAGCATCCTGCAGGCTCGTGGCCTGGTTCTGGTTCTTGCCAGCATCGGCGCCGGGTTTTACCGCAGCGGCAGCCGCAACAGCTGGACCTCCTTGCTTGGAGAAAGGAACGGCAGGCGTAATGCGATTGCTCTTGGGACCAGTAGGAACCCCCTTAGTTACTGCTGCCGGCTGTTGCGCTGAGGCAGTGAGGGAGTCGGCAGTGGCCTTAACTTCAGCCACTGACGGCTTCGAATCGACCGGAGGTGTAGGAGCTACGCCTGGAGCAGCCGGTGCTGAAGACTTGGTCTCTGAGGACAACTCGACCGCAGGACCAGGAGGACCGCCTGATCTGGCCTTGTCACCACCAGGCCCTTGTTGCTTGTCTGAAAAAGGGCCGTCTCTGCCACCTTGCTGCTGACCAGGACCGCCAGGCGGGCCGTGAGGACCCGGGTAGCCGAAGTTGTTCCAAGGACCAGGAGCCCCAGGAGGGAAGCCTTGACCCGGAGGGAACCAGCCCGGAGGAGGCGGGTAAGGCATGCCATTGAATCCTTGAGGAGGCGGTCCGCCACGACCCCATTGTCCCGGAGGTCCAGGAGGGGGAGGGTAAAAGTGGTTGGGCTGCTGGAAAGCGCCAGGACCACCAGGACCACCAGGACCACCGAAGCCAGGAGCACCTGGCCCGCCTTGTTGCTGATTGCCGGGTCCGCTGGGAGCGTTTCCAGCTGGGCGAGCGCGAGCCTGAAATCCATGATCATCGTTAGCAACTTGCATTTGGTCACAATGACTGTGAGATAGCGAATTGGAAAAGAAAGATCATGGCTATTGGATCAGAAGGAAGGCAACGGAAAGTATCAACACGGGGTTATGCGCTGTTCAGTCAATGACAATAGGTTTACATCCGAAATGTTTCGTCATATCCAATTTTGTAGGGCCGGGGAAAGCCCAGCCACGTCTGGCGAGTTTGTGTGAAGGCAAGGATTGTGATGAGCAGACTTACGCCGACAATCGCAGGGTCATCGGGCACCTTTGGAGGGCTGTTCTCCTTGGCTGGTGCCGCCGACTCGATGCGCAGATCCTTCACATCGCTGCCACGGAAGACGATGTACTCGTAGACCTGGTCTGAGGGACCTATCTCCTCGTCCGGATTGCCCTTGCGGCCTTCTGTGCCAAAGGACTGGACATTCTCGAGCGAGACGGTCGAGTCGTCGCTGTTGATGTTGTGAAGCGTGCCGCAATATCGGATGTCGCTCTTAGAGATGAGGGATATGCGAGAGCTAGCGGACAACGCGAGGTGCGGCGTTAGCAGCCGGAGGTGCCCAGAGGTGGCGAGACGCGCGCGGAAGCCGCGACAGGAAGCTCTTGGTCAAGGTCCAGGCAGCTTGCGTCGCCGACTTACCCAATGAATTCGGACATTGTGTACTCTGGAGGGCCTGCGCACTGGGCGCAGCGGAAGGCAAGAAGAAGAGGCGAGAGAGGTCGGGCGAGGAAGGAAAAGGCCTGGGAGGGAGAAAAGGAAAAGGGAGAACGGAGCTGGGAGGTGGGGAGGGTAAGGGCTCGGGGAGCAGCTCGGCGCGAGCAAGGCGTGACGAGAGGTGCAAGGTGGACAGTTCGCCCACCAGGCTGAGCTTACGCCGCAGGGTAGAGTGGAGTGGAGGAGGCTGAAAATGCAAAATCAAAGGTGGGCGCGGGGAGTGGCAGCTGGCCCAGCCACACGCGCGCTCCAATCACAGCGGGCACCAGGTGCCTGTATTTTGGCCTGGCTGTGGCGCGAGCTTTCGTTGCACTAGCCACAATACTCATCAGACACTCTAAACGCCCTAGCGGCGCTCGTGCTGTCCACCAAGTGACCGTACCTGATTGACGCCACAGTCACAGACGTGGAAGCTCAAGAACATGTGCGTTTTGGATGAAAAGTGGACATCTTGTTTCCAACCCAGATGTTTTGCGAAATAGTAGGGTCGGCCACTATGATGGAGTCGGCCCATTGTCGGACACCGATTGTCAGTACTGCGCGTGGTAGAGATATTCGATGCAATGTCGAGGATTTCCTGAATCGCGCCCAAGTGCCGACATGGAGAACAAGTAGGAGCACAACGCCCAGTGAACCAGGCGCAAGGGCTTGTCAAGGTTTTCGACCCATGCAGACATGTCAGATTTAGACCGAGATGAGACCCAATGGTCCGATATTCGGTGCATCCTGGAGCGACAGCACAGTTCAGAGGCTCCGGAAGCGTACCTTAGTAATAAGAGAATGCCTGAAGCAGCAGTGGCCCCACCACCGCCGGCCAGGCTTATCGCGTCAGGGTCCCTGCCTCTTGCGACAGCACGCAACGTAACCCCGGCCTCGCACCAGACTGCGCTCACCGTCACCTCCTGCCGCGATAACTGCTGTCTGATGGGAGGCGCCTCACGGCCGCCTGCGCCCGAATCTCACCCTCCACACAAGCTTTTTGCTTCCCGTATTCCCCACCCGCCATGAACGTTAGCAGACCCTGATAGAGCCAGCCCGGATTCCCCAGGGGCTCGAGGCGTGCAAATCATCTGTATAAGTGCCCCCGTGGCCCTCTGTCGAGTCCACCACGGACTCGCCCTCCCAAGGCCTGCCATGACCTCCCCCGGCGAGACCGGCGACATCACGACCCCTCTGCTCTCCACTACCGCCGACAACACCCACATTGGCCCCAACGGCACGATGAAGGGTCACGATGGTCAAGTGCACTACGGCACCACGGGGATCGCGTCCACCTCCGCCGTAGACCACGAGGGCGACTTTGTGACGAGGAACGAGGAGGAAGACCTCCGCCGGGGCCTTCACCAGAGGCATATCAGTCTTATTGCCCTCGCAGGCGCCATTGTAAGTCCAAGCTCTTCTGCCACCATGAATTCGGCTTCGTCATCAGCTACAAGCTCGCTCTCCTGGAACAGAAACTAATACGGGTCCAGGGCACCGGTCTGTTTCTTGGTCTCGGCTCCTCGATTCAAACGGCAGGCCCATTGGGAGCCCTTCTTGCGTATGCCACTATCGGGCTCGTGGTTTGTGCCGTCCAGTTCGCCCTTGGTGAGGTGACAGCCCTCCTGCCCGTGACGGGCTCCTTTGTGCGCCATGCCGAATTCCTCGTCGACCCGGCGCTGGGCTTCGCTATCGGCTACAATATCGTGTATGGAAACTGGCTCTCCATCCCTGCCGAGATCAGCGCCATCTGCGTGCTCTTCCAGTACTGGACCGACGTCAACTCGGCTGTGTGGATTGTCCTGGTCATGATTCTCACTTTCGCCGTGGGTATCGCCTTCATCCGCGTCTATGGAGAGGTCGAGTTCTGGTTCGCCATCATCAAGATCCTCCTCATTATCTTCCTCATCATCCTCGGCCTCGTCATCAACCTAGGGGGCATCCCCGGCGTGCCGCGACTTGGCTTCTACTACTGGCAGGTGCCTGGGCCTTTCGTCCCGTTCATCGCCGAGGGCAGCTGGGGATACTTCCTCGGGTACTGGGCCGTCATGTCCCGCGCCGTCTTCTCCTTCGCTGGCACCGAATCCGTTGCCATGGCGGCTGCCGAAACCCGCAACCCACGCCAGGTCATTCCACGTGCCTGCAAGCGCGTCTTTTTCCGTGTGTCCCTCTTCTACATCCTTGCCGTGCTCGTCGTCGGCATGCTCGTCGCCAGCGACGATGAGCGCCTCGACGATCAGAGCGGAACTGCCGCACAGTCGCCCTTCGTGATTGCCGCCAGCGCCGCGGGCATCGCCGCGATCCCGTCCGTTGTCAATGCCGTCGTCATAACCTCGGCCTGGTCATCGTCCAACCAGGCCCTCCTCGCAGGCACGCGCGTGCTCTACGGCCTCGCGCTCAAGAAGCAGGCACCACAGATATTCCTGCGCACCACCTCGTGGGGCGTCCCCTACGTCTGCGTCATGCTCCAGACAGCATTCATGTCCCTCGCCTTCCTCAGCCTGTCCAACGAGGCCCTGACCGTCTTTTACTGGTTCGTCTCGCTGACCGCGTGCGGCGTGCTCATCTCTTGGATCACGATCCTCGTCAACCACTGGCGTCTGCTGCTCGCCATGAAGAAGCAAGGCATCCCCGCGAGCAGCCTGCCCTGGCACAACTCGTGGACCGCCTACACGACCCCAGCCGCGCTCGTCATGTGCGTGCTCATCCTCTTCACCACGGGCTTCCCCGTCTTCGTCCCGGGCGGCTGGGACGCCAACAGCTTCGTCTCGTCCTACCTCGACATCCCGCTCGTCCTGGTGGCCTTTGGGCTGTGGAAGTTCTTCAAGAAGACCAAGTTGGTCGACCTCGCGACCGTCCCGATCCGCGAGGCACTGGAGGAGATCGAGCGCAACCCGGAACCCATGGAGCCGCCCAAGAAGGGCTGGGAAAAGGTCGCTGGGTTTCTGTGGGATTAATTGGACCGCAACCAACAAGGTCAGGAGATTGGCAAAGTCGTTGGGGGTTTGTACCTTGGCGGCTATCAAGACTTGCAGCGGAGCTTGCGTGTGTGTCGGTGTTTTTCTATTTGTTTAGCATCTGCATAGAGGTCTACTTGCATCTACTCAAGACTTGAGATACCCATAAATGTTCAATAGAATCACAGAATACATGAACACAAGCGAAAAGGTCCATTCACATCGGGGAGTTACCCACACGCGCCACATGTCTGCAATTGTGCGTTTTCAGCTTAACACGTTTGTACCTTTACGCTTCAGCACAAACACTACCGCCACGAGAGCCTCGCAACATTAGTCGAATTTGCCTCCCCATCTCAGTATGCTCGCGTGGCTTGGAGATTTTCGAATCATTCGCTCCTGGGTATCCTGTGACAAATCATCCTTACAATCGCGCTCGTACATGCCCCATCTCCAAATCGGCGGCTGTTTCCAACACTCTCACACATTTCAAGCCTCTGCCATATCCATGTCCGACTCCGCATCACTATCATCATCACCATCATCATCCGAAGACCCCTCACTACTAGTAGTGTCGGCCGGATCGACGTCACCTGCTCCCACAGCCGCCGCTTCTTTGACACCAGCCTCCTCCGGTCCATCGTCTTCTTCGCCCTCCTCCTCCTCCTCCGCATCATTGTCACTGGACTCGTATCCGATCAGCTCTCCGGCCGATCTCTTCCCATTCTCGTTCTTCCTGTGGTGCTGCTCGCCTTGCCGTGGCCGCACAGGCATCTCGCGGTGCTTGGGGGCCTCGTCGATGGAATACCCCTCCGGGAGCGGTGCGCCTTTCGGTAACACGTGAATGGCGGGGAACTCGATGATTTCGAGGCCGGGCAGGATCTTGGCGAGGCTATCGGCCGGATTCAAGGGCACGAGCTTCTGCGTCTGCCGCGAGGGCACCCGGGGTTTGTGGTAGAAGAACTGGTAGTTGCTTTCGACGGCAGCCTCCTTGGTAGTGGCAGTGGTGGTCGAGGCAGGGATTGCAGCTTGCTGCCAGGCACTCGAGGCTGGCGACTGGACTGTAGCCGAGTGCGCTGTCCAGGCGGATGAGGACGAGTTCTGCCCACCACCGCAGTGCTGGGTCTGCGGTGCTGCTGTCTTGGCAGCTCGCCCTGCGCTCGTCTCTTCCTTCTGCTGCTGCTTCTTCGACGACTTCTCGGCCGCACGCTCCTCGTCCGTCATCTGCGTGTGCCGAAAAGAGGCGAGGCCGGCTTCGAACCCGTGCGCAAGTGGTGTCTCGTCGAGGATCTTGTAGAGAATCCTCGTCGGTTGTCGCCGCTGCCCCCTCCTCTGCGTCGCCTCGGCCGACTCGCGGGCCTCGTCGTCGTCCCTGTTCGGGGCGGCATCATTACTGGGTCCGTCGTCGTGTTCGTGCACGAACCACTCGACCTGCCAGTTCATCGTGCGCGTGCGCTTATTCCAGCTGGTCTTGTTCTCCCGGGCCCGCGTCATGCCGTACGGCACGGCGGAGACGTGGATGCCCAGCTTGCGCAGGCGGAACTGCGAGTTTTTGTCCCACCGGCGCGACGACGCACCGTGATGGCTGTCATTTCCGTATCTGCCGCCATCGTTGAACCGCGCTCGCTTGTTCGGATGGTGGTGGTGGTTGCTGTTGTGCTGGTGGTGGTGGTGGTGCTGCTGCTGCGAGTGCTGGTCTCCTGGCGGCAATATGTCGCGCTCGTCCCGCATAATCTTCTCGGCCGTCTCGATCGAGCGCTCAATCTTTGTGAGGAAGTTGTAGTCGTGGTCGATCCCGGCGTCGGTCTTGAGCTTCGAGGGCGGCAGGTAGACTGTCGGATCGCGCTCGCCGCTGCATGATGACCACTTTTTATGCTTTGTGATGCACTGCAGCGAGCATGTCCGTGTCGCGCAGCGCGGACACTTGTACTTTGGAGTCTGGATATGGCAGATTGTGCAGAGCGAGGTGAGGAGAGGGTCCGCCATCGTGGCACTGAGGAGAGAGAGGTGCAGGCTGTCGGGGGTTGGAAATGAAGGTTGGCCGGCTGTCAATGATAAGGATATTGCAATGTGTAAGGACCAACTGCTGCTGGAGACTGTGCCCAGAATCGCTAGATAATGAATGCCGCCAAAAATGTCTTCCAGGGCCAGAAAAATAATGGTAGCGGAAAAGTGGTTACGCTGCGACGAGCGTCATTCGGAGTAAATATTTGGAGAGCTCATGCCTATCGATAAGGTACAGCAAGCGCCTACCATCGGAGGGAGTCCAGTTCACATGTGAATAACCTCATCGACGACGGCAAGTTAATGACACACAGAGTCACTCAATCCCAAGTAAAACCTGTATTTGCATCACGTGCACTTGGACTTCGCAGGAGCAACATCTCTTACAGACAGGAACCGCCGCCGACCACAGCGTTCTTGTATATGGCAGTACCATGAGCGAGCCAGACATGAAGATCGACCCCGCGCGAGCCTCGACGCTGGTCTCGCAGCTCAAGTCTGTCAGCGACCGTGTGGCCGCCGTCGCCAAGGGCCGCAATGTGAGTTTTTTTTTTTCTCCTACTCTCTCCCTCTCTCTCTTTTCTCGCCTACCAGACCACACGCACCCAGACAGATGGGCTAAAATAAACACACATTGCGGACAGGTCCGGCTCGTAGCCGTGTCCAAGCTCAGGCCGGCCAACGACATCCTCGCGCTGCAGCAGCAGGCCTCACACGTGCACTTTGGCGAGAACTACTCACAGGAGCTCCAGCAAAAAGCCGAGCTGCTGCCGCGCAGCATACAGTGGCACTTCATCGGCGGCCTGCAGTCCGGTGAGTTTTTCAGTCTTTCTGTGATGGCCTTCCCGCTCCCCTTTCTCGAGATGGGGGGGGGGGGGAGGTGTGTCGTGTGCCCCTTTGTTTCGCCAAGTCGCGAAAGACAAAACTAGTACATCTGACTGACTTGCAAAAATAAAATAAAACCCCCCAGGCCACTGCAAGAACCTCGCCAAGATACCCAACCTCTTCTGCGTCTCGAGCGTAGACACTCAGAAGAAGGCCCAGCTCCTCGACGAGCACCGGGGCAAGCTCCTCGCCAGCTTCTCCAGCTCGGCGACCACAGGGGAGGATGCGACCAACGCTGCCGCCGCCGACGCCAGCAGCAGCGGTAGCAAGCCGGGGAAGCTGAACGTGCACGTCCAGGTCAACACGTCGGGCGAGGAGTCCAAGTCCGGGTGCCAGCCGGGCGACGAGACGCTGTCGCTGTGCAAGTTCATCGCCTCGGACGAGACGTGTCCGAATCTCAACCTGCTGGGCCTGATGACCATTGGCGCCATTGCGAGGAGCGTCGCGACCACGCCTGAGAATGAGAATGAGGACTTCGTGCTGCTGAGGCAGCAGCGGGATCTGGTCGCCAAGGAGCTGGGCTTGGCGGATCCTGAAGAGCTGGAGCTGAGCATGGGCATGAGTGAGGACTTTGAGGGCGCGATCGCGCTGGGCAGCGGCGAGGTCCGGGTCGGGAGCACGATATTTGGCGAGAGAGGGCCGAAGAGCGAGGCCAAGATTGTGGCATAAGAATGGACTCTGCCGCGATCACAGCGCAACCTGGCTTGATTGGGCCCGGCTAGTGGTTGAGTCATTCGTACGAGAGACCACGGTCGCAAAACTACATGTCGCCGCAACAGTCGTTCAGGTTTTCACGTCATCAGGTCTGCTCATTGTGGTGCCCTGAGTACAGGATCTCCGGTTTTACGTGTGATAGCCGAGTTTGAGCATTCGCTGCATGCATATACAAAACGCTCATGATAATCACCGTCTAAGAGGTTCAGGCACACCCTCTAGGAACCCAACCAACGCCACTCCAAACTCCTGCGCCACCCTGTCGCCTAACAATGTCATGCCTCCTTGTTTTGTATGCTGCCTACTCCAAAAAAACTCGGACCAAAGTGTCCCAGGACCTATTCTTGGGCAACGACGGGCTTGACAACGGACTCGTAAAGTTCCCTCTTGCGCGCATCCTTGCTCTGGGTCCACTCCTTCTCGACCTCGGCCCAGACGTCCCACCAGATGCTGTGCTGCGACTGAATGACGTCCTGAGTGTCAAACTGCCGCGACTTCCACGGCTTGTCGAGGATGTAGTGGAGGATCCTGACCTGGTCGTCTTTCCACAGAGACGAGTGGCAGGAGCGCATGGGCTTGAGTGCGTTGTAGATGTAGGGCAGCGGCTTCCACTTGTTGCGGTAGACGATGGCAAGGAGGTCCTGGTCGAAGAACAACATGGTGGGCACGGCGGGGTCGGTGTTCATGGCGTGCATCAGAGCATCGTATTGCGCCTTGGACGGCTGCAGGATAACGGTACCGCTGTTGAGAAGGTGGTGGTTCTCGGGGACCTTGCCCTCGACAATCGCAGCAGGCTCGCCAGTCTCCTGGTTGGCAGCCGTGAAGGCGCAGTTCTCGGGGACCCTAGGGTTGGTGTGTAGTGTCAGCTGGGCGAAAAGACCTTTGATGTGGGTTGATGTGCTCGCTGCACGATTGCCGACTCACCAGTCCTTGCTGTAGTGAGCAAGCTTGCGGGGGTTGCATGTGCAGGCATGGGTGCTGGCAACCCAGCCCTCGGGGATCTCGACGTCCATCATGTCGTCAATGCTGTGGAGGATGACCTGGTCGCTGTCGAGGAGGACGACACGCTCATACTCGGTGAAGCCCCAGGGGGCGAGCTTCTCCCAGGTGCCCTTGTTGATCTTGCCGTCGCGAGGGGCGGGCTCGATCTTGTCGACGACAATGGTGGGGATGCCGGCAGCCTCAAAGGCCTCCATGTACTCGGTGTCGGCTTCAACATCGCGGGTGACCATGACCTTGAGCAGGTAGCGGCTGTTGGTCTTGCGCAGGCTGTAGTTGAGGACGAGGAGGCCACCAAAATAGCCGCGATTCGTGAGGAGGGTGGTCCATATCTTGGTCTTGCTGTAGGGCTCGCCCGCAAGGTTATGCGTGGGGATCGTCATGGCGGAAGATGTGTAAGTGACAAGGCTCTGAGGTTCAATTGGGTCGAGGTTTGCCCAACAAGTCAGGAAGCAGTGGGTTTGTGTAAAAGGGAGAAGACGAGCAAGCCAGAGGGGCCACGAGTCGCGGGAGCGAAAAGACACGGCAGCAGCTATTTGGGGAAGCTGTGCCGCCGTGCCCGGAGCCGGCGAGCAAGTGGAGGGGTGGTGGTGGTGGTGGTGGTTGTGGCGGGGCACCGGTCAGGAACGGCCATGGATGACGTGAGGCACTTACTTTCCCATGGCGTGCCTGGCGCCGAGCGGGACCCTCCAGGGCCCAAAGTGATGATCGCATCACTCCAAGCCGAGCCGAGCGCAGGCGTAGACATGCCCGGCGGCTCCGGCTGCTGACCAAGCCCACCAGACGCCTCGAGGTGGCCCCTTGCGCAGGCACAAGAACTACACAGCCAGCATACGACTGCAAAGCACGTCATCAAACCGGCCCCCAACTCTGCTGCTGCGGTGCGCCCCTTCAGATGCCCCCCAGGGCCGCTGCCAGGCCCACGTGCTGGCTCTGCAGATCCCCACTGCCCAATCCGGGTCCCTGCAGCGGCCTGGGCCTGCCTGCACAGGAAAGGGGGGGGATGAATGGCCAATGGATCTCACCCCATCTGACATGCTACGATCGTGCACTGAGATCGTGCTTCGCGAAAAAAAAAACACATTTGGCAACCCGCATACTGTGTGTCGAATCTCTAGAATTCCCAGATCGTGTCTACAACATCATCATGCCCCCCAGTGGAGTGACTGTACACAAGAAACACCGCCCGTCTGCTTCCTGCACAACTTGCAAATCCCCATCTTCCAACCTAGCCAACAGATTTGGGTTTCTCTTGCAAAAAAAACCAAAAGAAAAACTGCCAATCATCATATGCTGTCACACCCCGGCCCTGCTGACAGATAGATGGGTCAAACTGGCAAATACAGAAATTTGGATGCTTGCAACACAGGATGAAGGCCCTTCACACCGATGCTCTGGTCCTGTGTGCACGCGTCGCGTTTCTCGCCATCTGCCCAGCAGCCAGGGACAGCGCCTCCGCCTGCATCTGCAGCTTGGCCTGCATTCTCTCCAGCAGCTGCTGCTGATCTGCAAGTAGCTTCATGGCAGCAGTAAGTTGTTGTTCAAGGACGGGAGCCCGCGAGCCGCTCAGAGGCATTCGGCCGCACTGAGCCTGGTCCTCCATCGTCACCGCTGCCGGTCCTGCAGAGAGCACACGCCAGTCTGGCTCGCCCGGTCCCTCTCCGAAATGAATGGGAGTCTGATGGTTCTGCGATCTCGTTCTTGGTGCTGACGCACTGGTATGAGCTGCTGGCATCTAACAAGCAAGGTCAACCGTGGTGCACAGGCGTTTCGACCTCAGGAGCACAGCCGAATACAATCTGGCCACGCCTCGCAATGCCTTCAACACGCGGGATGATGCCGACAGTGAGGAGCCCGAGCTCGCTACTGCTGCCATGGCGGCGCTAGCTTGGGGCGTGCCCCGCTGGTCAGGGCCGCACAAAGTGTAGACGTCTGGACTGCCTGACATGGGACAGTATAAAATCTCTGGAAGGGTGGTCGTGCGGGTCGACGAGGCCATGCTCGTGGTTTGACTGGCGGAGGTACTCATCCGAGTCACCGCAGAAGACGTCGCTGTGCTCAGGGAGGTCGCAGACACGGTCGAGGAGGGCGTGTCTGGATCGGCAGCAGCAGGTTGCTCTGTCGCAGTTATCGTGGTCGGGCGCACGGTGTGGTATACATACCGAGTGCTGACGATGCTCATGGTCGTCCTCATCAACCGAGTTTCTGAGCCATGGTCTCCATGAGCTTCTGATTCAGGAGCACCGCGTTCCTCGTGCCAAACGCCGCCGAATGGATCTGTCGGGAGCGCCGATGCTGTTGTCATCGTGAGCGAGGCTGAATCTTCTTGGATGGTAGGGATCGAATCCGCCAATGCTGGTGAGGTGAGTAATGAGGAGACTCCGCCACCTTCTCGAAGGGCGCCATCCCGATGGGACGCAGCGGTCATCAAAACAAGACCAACTACGAGGGGCGAGCCATCAGCCACTGTTCCGCAATTTTTGTAACTTGAGGTCTTTCGGGGATATAATATTGTACTCACAACCAAGAAAACCAACGCCCATAAACACGACAATCGTCACGGCAATGTATTTGCACAGAGGTCTTCGGTAGACGATTCGAGGCAGCTCTGCTGCTGCTGCTAATTGTGAAACGTCCCATCGAGCCAAATGTCAGTAATCCAGTTCTGACAGGTCTTTTTGGGCCCACGGTGAGGAGATCGTGATGATGGGATTCTTTTTGTCGTGCGTGCGACGAGACTCACCTGCAGGCTGCTGCAGCTTGGCCTTGTGCACAGAGTCTTGGTCCTCCATGCTAGAGCAACTTTCTTAGCGGTGGGTGACAATCTCGTCGACTAGGCAGAGCACCCTCAAGCCAGGCTGCGTGATCCGGAGCGTCTTGGTGTCTTCCTCGGCCAAGGACAGGATGGGAGCCGATGTGGCTGGGTCGGGTGATTATATTCTCTTGGATATGTCAACAGTCAGGGCCTGTGGTCGTTGAGTTTGGTGGAGAGAAATCAAGGAAAACGTCCGTCATGCATCTCTCGAGGTCAAAAAGTCCTGGACAAATGCGAGGGGGGACGCGAAAGGGTGTGTTGCGTTCGTGGAACCTGGAAGTCCTGTCGATAGCGTAGCGCCTGGAAATGAGCGTGTTCGTTTCTGAGCAAGGCCAGGCGCTTGCAAATGTAGTACAAACGCTCTCCCCCTCCAATCTTTTTGCTCGCCCTCAGGCGGTCTACAAGGCAGCCCAGCGAGGTAGGGTCGCGTCTCACGTCTGCTCAAGTAAATCTTTGCGGTGTTGCCGTGGAAATGAAAGTCGTTGTGCGGCACGCTCTATGCCTTTTAGGCAGAACCGGGGAATTTTCTGATTCATGGTTTGGTCTGAACATTTCTCCCTGGCTGGGTGGCTACGACATGTGGTAGAGGAGAGAGCGGAAAAGATCCGTGCCATGCAGTTGTCTCGTCTGCATCTGCCTGCGAAAGTGCTCGACGATCGGTAGCTAGCACCATGATTGGTAAGGTATACACAAATGGGAGAGCGAAGAGGACGACTCTGTCCACTCCAACGACTCTCGTGAGCCAAGTATTGCTTCTTGTGATGGCTCTTCGCTCTTCCGATCACTATACTGGCCGGCATATCTAAGCAAAAGGAACGGCAGGCTCCAGAGTCTGGCGACTAAAGATTGCTTGAATTTGGCACGTGTTGGGGCGGGATCGTTCAAGGCCAGGGATCTCGCACAAAACATGTTTGCCTGTTCCTACTAGAACAAAAAGTACTGAATGACGTGCCATGAACTCGCCTAGCAATCGACATGGTGTGAAAAAGATCTCGCACGGTTCAGACGTAGGCATTACCAGAGTTTGCTCAGCTCAGGGACATACATACACACACACACACACACAAACACAAGCCATCAGGGTGAACTGCGCCCCCTTCCGCTTTTCTTCGGCTTCGACTTGTTCACAAACGCCCAAGTTAGTTGAGAAAGTTGGGAAGAGAGTAAATCAACAACTGAAGGACAATGAATGCTGCCTTTTTGCACTGCTATGTAGTAAACCAGCGTTTTCCCCGTTCCATTCGTCATTCTCATGCATAAACAGAATAATCATCCCCAGACTCTCGCAGCATGCTATGTAACCATCACATTGCCAAATACATTAGATATGTCTTGCCTCGTCGGCCCTTCGTCCCGCACAGGTCTCGTCGACTCGCCTGCCGCCACCCTGGCCTCCATTAGTTTCAGCAGCACGGCTGGCACGCCCTCGTCCGTGGCGCGGATGGTCAAGCGTAGCATCTGAGAGGTCAGTAGGTTAGTTTTGTGGCTCTCTTTGTTCAAGGTCCTTCAAGAAATGAGCAAACATACCTGCGTCTCGTAGTTGGGCTCCAGCCGCAAGAGACAACCAAACTTGCCACCGCCAGAAGTGTGCAGCACACTCGCTCCGACAAAGTTCTTCGTGTTGGGATCAACGCCCTCAAGAACGCCCCAGCGGAATCCTTCGATGACCTTGCGCACAGAGCTGGCCGTGATGGCATTGCTATCCGGCTTGCCAGACAAAGTAATGATCTGCTGTGCCTCGCGGGGTGCACCGCCAATCTGCTTCCACCTTTTGAAGAAGTCCTCCGCGGTGAGATCGGCAGCGTCCATGAACTTGTGGGCTGCGATCGGGAGCTTGAGTGTCAGGGCCTGGAGGGCACCAGCCAGATAGCTGATCCTGACGGTCGGGCAGTTATTGAACACCTTTTTGCATTCAAACATGATAATCTGCCGTGTCTGACCTCCTGCGGGGATTGTGCTGTCCGGAATGCCCTTGACATCCCATGAGAGGTTCTGCTTGTCGCTCGCGTCGAGATCCAGCGTCGTTGTGAACGAGCTGATGGAGGCTGGCGTCTTGTTGGCAATATATAAGATCAGGCAAGCCATCTGCCCCCGATACTCGGAGCGCACTCCCACTTGCAGCTGGCCATCCTCAAACAAGACACCATCGGCCTTGAGCATAAGCTTGTTGAAGCCAGCTTCCCAGCCCGGTGACAAGTGAGCGGCACTTGCCAGATTTGGCACTTTAATGACCTTTTCTGGCATTGGCCCGGCGTTCATGTCGAGTCCAGAGAGGTCATGGGTGTGCCCATTGAGACCGTTGGAGGCACCATTGCCATTCAGCGGCGCGTTCGAGCTGAACACCCGCTTAAGCCCAGGTTGCTTCGCCATGTTAAGCTCATTGGTGTCGGCATTTGCGTCCTTGCCTCCCACGACCCAGGTGCGCTTGTCGCTAGTGTTGGCATGTTTTTGGTGCAGTCTCGAGAGCAGTGCGGACTGACGTTCCGGGAATGGTGGCATCTCGTCGCAAACAGTACGCAGGAGGTCTTCAGAGTGCAGCGTCGCTAGCGTCAAATACTCGTAAGCGCGTTGTTGCAACTCCGAGTCGAGCGAGTGGCTGTAGAGCTCGAATGCGTTCATCAATTGTGGCTTGATTTCCGGGAAGAGGTTGACGAATTTGATGAATGATGACAAGATCATTGCCCTTGTGCTGGATGAGCAAGCGCTTAGCTTGCCGGACAGAGCAATGAACTGCTCAATCGGACTGCACCCTGGCTCCTCCGCAATGAGATGACCAAACTCCCCAAGAACGTAAGCACCAATCTTAACCAAGGTCTCGTGGCAGTGGTCCTGCTTGACGTGTTGTAGGGTGTTCTGCGCAGCGTAGACCTGCAGCTCTTCGTTGTTCGTGACGATCTGGATCACTCGCTGCCAGACCTCGTCGCTGAGGTGATCGCCAGCAATAGCCACAAGGCGGAGTGACACGTTGATGTACCATTGGATATCCGTGGCATACTTCTCCGTGAGAATGGCAATCTTGAGAGCCATTTCCTCCCGGAGGGCAAAGTCGGCATTCTGCAGATAATGCAGAAGCTCAGAGACGATCGGCCCGGAATTTGTCGAGTCGCACATACTATATAGCAAGTCGAGACCCTTCCTCCTCACACTGATGTCGCGATCCTTGAGAGAGCCGAGAATTACCTCCTGGTGCTGCTTGATAGGCTCAAGATCTTCCGCGCGTGCCGCCAGATGCGTCATGGCTTCAAGACCGAGATAACGAACATTCGTCTCCCTGGAAGTGATGAACCTCCCAAGGCGGGTCGAAATCTGCTTCATCAATGCATGTTCCGTGTCGAGGTGGATGATGAGGTTGATAGCCTCGAACAGGACAGCGTTCTGCGCATTGTTCTGCTGGACGTTCTTGCTCGACTCCATCGCCAGGTTCAAGATTGTCTGCAACGACTCTCGGATCATCTCACGCACGTGGCTATCCTCTGCAAAGTTGTTAGCACGCATAGCAGATGTAAGAACCCGGACAGTAACTCACCAGATGGCGGGAAGTATTGAAGCAGCCTCAATAGCTTGACCTGCAACCACGGACATGGCACTTTGTAGTAGAGGTAGTCGGCTGTGAAATCCCCATCGACGAGTATCCGCTTCAGCCGGGTCGCCGCCTTGACATATGCGCCCTTGTACTGCTCCAGATTGTCCTGGGCCACCGTCATGACTAGCGAGGTCACAGAGAGTGCGACTCCCAGGTCGATGTCGTCCATCAGCGATATTATGCGCTCGGCCCATTGTGGCTGCACGATGTCGGGGTGTTTTCGGTACAGGCGAAGTAGGGTAAGCGCCGATTTCTTCTTGACGAATGCTTTGGAAGTTCTGCGACAAACTTAGTATCTCCAGACAATAGTTCCAACAGACGCTGGCGGACATACGGTGAGATCAGCAGTCGATGCACTTCTCCGCTGAGCGCCTCGCCCATTTCCCGGCCACCCACGTTGGCAATTGCGTGCAAAGCCAAGCAGTTGAACAGTTCGTTGTTGTCGAGGAGGTCTTTCCGGATACTATTAACGACCAGGTGCAGCAGCTCGTGCTTCTCGTGTAGGAACAGAGTCATGGCGAGGTATCCAATCTGCTTTTCGGAATACTTGTTGGCGGAAATAAGGTTGACAGCTTCGAGGTGTCCGAAGTCGACATTCCATCCGAGGATGTATATGTACAGCAGCTACCACAAGTATCAGTTGTTGTCGCTGGTTGGATCCGCACAGCATTATCCGTACCTTGCAGACATATTTCTTCTTGTGATATCCACTCAGACTTCCATCTGCGATGGGGGGATCAGTAAAACAGTCCATGGTCCAGTCGCATGCGCATAGTCTCCATACCCTTGAACTTTTGTCTGGTTTCCGGGAGCCTTTTGTTAGTCCCTGGCGTCGAACACGAGCTCCCACAGTTCTGCTCACCGAATGTTGGCTAGCTCTTTGTTGATTCTCTTCTCTTCGAGCTCTCGTGCGCGGGCGTTTCTGAGGTCGGCAATGAACTGGACGAGGCCGCGCATGTTCGAGTTGTTTGCTGACGAGCGGCCAAGGAAGCCAGCTGCCGCGGAGGAAGCCATCTTGGGCGGTCACCGTCGCAGTGACGCGCACGCTCCGTCTGTGGTGAGTTCGCTGCTCGCGCCCGTCGCCGTCGTCGTCGCGGTCGTCCTGGTGTAGATGCTTTCCCGGACAGGACCCCCTATCTCTGTGTATGCGCGACGTCCCCCCTTTTGTCGGCTCTCCGCAGCATCCGGGCGACGGAGTGAACAGTCGCACGTGCGTCAGGCGGGTGCAGGTGGGCGACAGGGAGTCGTCGTCTCGTGCCGGCACCGAAGGCTTCTGGTGTTGTGCTGGAGGCGATTCGGGTTGAGTTGGGCACAGAAGAGTCGACGGGAAGCGATGGTACAATAGGATGCAGCACCGAGTTGTCTTGTGGGGAGAAGAGGAGCACGAGGGGAGCCAAGGCCACGCGCAGCCAGGGCTCAGGGGTCAGTCAGCTTAATTGCCAGAATCCAGAGCAAAGGGCCCACTCCAGACCTCCACCTCTCCAATGTCCCGCCTGGAGGAGAAACAAACTGTGGACAGCTGGGCTGCAACTGCTTGCAATTCTGTGTACAGACAGCGAGGACGGCCATTGTGCGAGCCAATGCCAAGGTTGGAGCCACCCCGGCTGGGTCTTCACCGGTGTCTCGATCGTCGAGGATCTCACATCTTCGGAGCATCCATTGATGTCCCTAGGCGGCAGATACTATTCCGGGTCACTTCCGCCTCCTTCAAGGCTTGGAGAAGTGACCCAAGCCCATGAAGAGTTCATGCAATGAATAAACGCAGCCCACACATGTGTTATTGCGCCGTCGGTCGGTAGGGGTACATGGCGTGTCCCCGTGCCTCGAATTGGCATCTTGGGGAGACTTCCATCCGGGTGAGACCCACACGAGCTTCCTCCCCCACTGCTGCAACGACCCGAGACTTTTTGAGACATCACGATCTCGTTCTCCACGCCACGCTAAACGCACTGCCGACCCCGTCACTCCCAGTCTCTTCTTCCTCACCACCTCTCCCCACGGCTCAGAATGTAGCTGGTCCTGCCCACAGCCACCATGCACAGGAGGATAATCGCCACGGCTTGCGCCCGCCTTGCACGGCCGCTCCTCCACAATGCCGCCTCAACCTCTCCCAGGCTAGCAGCAGCCGCAGCAGCAGCAGCAATAGCAACACCCACCTGGGCCCGGCGCTCCTACGCCTTCCAGGCCGCCGCGCCCCCATTGCACCAGGTCTTCAACCGCCGCACAAAGTGGCTTCAAAAGGAACGCGCCGCGGCCGACGTCGAGAGCAGCCGCACGGCCGACTATCTCAAGGACGAGGTCGCCATCCGGCTGTGCGAGCGCCTCCTCGACATCAAGCGGACCTACCCCAAGGTCCTCGACCTCGGCGCCAACAGCTGCAACGTTGCGCGCGCCCTCGTCCGGCCCGACCCGGACCCGTCCCCGAGCATCCCATCTCGGACCCGATAGCCAGGCGCATCTCGCACCTCACGGCCGCCGAGTCCTCCGAGACGCTGCTCTACCGCGACGCCGACCTGCCCTTCAACTCGGAGATCAACATGACCCGGGAGGTGCTTGCCGACGAGGAGACCCTGCCCTACCCGGCCGACACGTTCGACCTGGTCCTGTCGTCCCTCGCGCTGCACTGGATCAACGACCTCCCGGGGGTGCTCGCGCAGATCAACAACATCCTCAAGCCGGACTGCGCCTTCATGGGCGCCATGTTTGGCGGCGACACGCTCTTCGAGCTGCGCACCTCCCTGCAGCTCGCCGAGCAGGAGCGCAGGGGCGGCATCAGCCCGCACGTGTCCCCGCTCGCCGATGTCCGCGACGTCGGCGGGCTCTTGGGCAAGGCCGGCTTCAAGATGCTCACCGTGGACGTGGACGACATCATCGTCGACTACCCAGACATGTTTGCCCTCATGCAAGATCTGCAGGCCATGGGCGAGAGCAGCGCCGTGCTCGGCCGCGAGATGGGCGCCATCCAGCGCGACGTGCTGCTCGCCGGGGAGGCCATCTACCGTGCGCTACACGGCAATGAGGACGGCAGCCTGCCCGCCACGTTCCGCATGATATACATGATTGGATGGAAGGAAGGGGGTGACCAGGCACAACCATTGCCCAGGGGCAGCGGGCAGATCAACCTCAAGGATGTACTACAATCTTCATGAGTGTAACAAGATATGTATAAACCATTATGTAGACGCTCGCTGTGAGCAGATTTTCGCCGACTTTACCGGTTACATTAGTGAATTCGGACCGTATCCACACCACGAGGCGCTTCACGAGGCTCGCAAAGGACAGAGTCAAAGGTGTCGTGGTGATCTTGGTTGTTTTGTCTTTTCCGTACCGTCTAAGCTCTGTCCCGGCGAGCAGCCCTTCTCAAACACTTCTCGTCCGGCTCTCTAAACCTTCCGCCAGTCGGTCATGCAGCGACCTACACTGCCCAGACCAGCAACGTCCACCACCTTCTCGTGCCAGCTCAACAGTACGCTCATCGCCTGCCCGCCAGACTCGTTCATGGCGCTCGGCCGGCCGCTGACCTGGCTGAAACCGGTGGACTGGGGTGTGGCCGCTTGCCTCTGCGCCTTGGCACTGCCACTCGATCCGCCCGCCATGCCCTTGTACCTGCGCATTGGATTCTTAAAGTCAGTATCCGCTTGTGAATCCTGGTCGGGAAAGGGTTGACCCGGCAGTTGGAGGTATTTGTCGCTGTGTGACATTGTGTGAGCTGGGTGTCTGCCTACAGGTACTTCATAAGGACGTCGAGGAGCTCGCTGCCGCCTTCCGAGCCGTAGATGCGTTGCAACATTGGTGTCATGTCGCTCGCCTTGATTGATTGTAGAACCTCGACCACAGTCTGGAGGTGGGCATCCTATTGTTGTGGGAACAAAGGGGTCAGTCTCGAGCTCGACAAAAACAGCGCCGTGTCCCTGCCCACCGGCCTCGGGTCGTCATGCAGCCATAGCTACAGTCTGACGAGCAAGAGACCTGGTAGAAGCTGGGTTCCGTTACGGATGCATGCCCAATCGCCATACCTTTGCCGCGTCGGAGCCGTTGTAAACGGGCGTTTCGAGGCAACCCCTCAGTGCGCCCTCGGCATCGCCGCCGCGCAGCAGCTGGCGGACCTGGCCATTGAGCTGGCGGACGTCGTCCTCGGAGATCTCGGGCAAGGGCGGGTGGAGGGTCGAGAGGTCGAAGTTGAGGGACGAGTCTGGGTCGAGGGCATCGACGTTGACGGTGCGCCAGGCGTCGCTGAGCGAGTCAGCGGTGTGCTGCTGGATGATGGACATGCTCGATGCTGTGCGGTGCTGAGCTGGTCTGGACGGATGGTGTCTGTGGGCAATGGGAGAGTGTCGCTGGCTCGTGGATCGTGGTCGCAGTGCCCTTGTCGATGGATGGCTTGCCGTCTGCCTTGGGATCGGAGGTGAGTGTGGGGTTGGGAGACTGACGTTGCGATGCTGCTGTGTGCTGCTCGAGCTCGAGGGCACTGGCAGTGGTGGGGACGCCTCAGAGTGGGGCCATCCCGCCTCCACAGCTTGTGAGCTTCCGTGCTTTATGTAAGACAGCTGCCCTGCAACAACCTTCTCCAACGGCATCCCCTCAGATAATCTGCCTCCAGAGTATGTGCCTTCTGTCGATTCAATTTTTTTTACATCTGTACTGTCTCTATGAATCCCAGGCTTTGATAAGGAGACCACATCCGTGGCGAGCCATCATAATGGCATGACACCTACTTCTTGATGAGGAGGTAGGCACAATCATTTCATCGATATTCGTGCTCGTAGCAATGACAACATTTGTCACCCATAATATGTTTCAAGACGGGATTGAAGCTCTTGATGGACAGGGCAGACCATGGTACTGCACGAATTAGGTCTCTCTAGCTTCTAGATACCACAGAGATGTGGAGCGAGCAGCCCATCATAAGCCATACGCGACAGCAGTAAGCCTTCTCGCGATGTGTCAGAGAAACAAGCCGACTGGACATTCGTGCTGACCCTGATCTTCCAAGATTATTAAAGCTTTGTATTTCTAGATTCAAACGTTCCATTATCATATTTGCTGTGAGCTTGATCGGGCTAGTGAAGTTAGGACGACACTCACTCCGAGCAGCACTTGCCATGTCTCGAAGTAGTCGCTGCTGTAGTCGTGCCTGCCAGCTCGCAATCTTTTCTGAGATACAGTAGCCATTTCCAGCGGTCCATGTCTTGACAGGAGAATCGAGAACTTCTCATAGTTTTGCCCGCCTTGGAGGGCTGCAAACCATCAGCCCCCTTAATCAGTCTCGCCATCCCGTGCCCTATTGCGCCATCTGTCGGCCAGTTTTCTTGTCCAAAATCCATACCACAATCCCTTTCGTCAAACTCATCCTCATCAGTTACATCATCGCGGAAACACACTCTCCGAGTCCAGACCAAACAACGCCATCTGTGACGTGTGGGCGAGTTTTCCAAGCGTCTAAATTCCCAGTCCAACTGCCTAGGCTCATTCGACAGATCCCACCGTCATCATCGGAGTCCCGAAAGAATAGACCGACCTTCACATACATTGTGTTTACGCTGAAAGCTCTTCAGAAGTACGAACAAGATGCTCGCCCCTCCACCTGCGGCTCCTGCGCCGTTCGATCCTCATAGCGTCCCTCCTGTGCCCGAGATCAATCTGCCGGAGACCAGACTGGCTGCCCCTCCGCCACCGCAAAAACTCGGCCGTCGAGCTCGCGCCAAGCTCCGCGCCAGCCAAACTCTTCTCAACGTCGCGCTCGCCATGAATCCGGCCGCGCCGTCAGACTTGTCAGCCACCACGGGCAATGCTGCTGCCACTTTGCAGTCAGGGCGAGGAGTCTGTTTGGAACATCCCGGTCGGAAGCCAAGGCGATCACCCATCAAGAACCTTCGGAAAAGAGCCAAGAAATATGGACAGATTGTCGTCGATGCGCTCTAACTAACAGTACGTGGGCCGGCAAGGGTCTTAGGTAAACCGGGAACTGAATACCTGTCTCTTAATACCAACGCCAAAATTCAGAACTGCGACTGAGATCATGCGCTTGGTCAAGTCTGCGTTAGGATAACCAGTAGCACTTAAACACTACAACACTTAGACAGCAAATCATCCCATTCTGTACTATTCGTAACATGGCAACCTCACAGAAGGCTTTTACGAGACAGAACTCTGCCATCGGCCTCGGGATAGACCGATATGTCGCAGTGCGCCCGAAGGTGACGAAAACATTCCTATCTGGCCTGTCCAATGTCCTCACATGTTGTCCGTAAATGCCTTTTTCTTCCCAGGGACATTTTCTAGATCATTGTAGCTCCAGATCGCTAGATCTATTTAAAAAAAAATTGAATATTAGTAAAACTCAAGTTTCCCTGCTACTGGGGGAGTCTTGAAACTGCATTCAAAACAGCCAAGCTGTTTTACGACAAGATGGTGTGATACAGCTATCAAAATGACCATTTCCGAGACAAAAATAAGGCTGAACTGGACAATTCCATGTCATGTTCTTGCAAACACCTTACCCCCAAAGTCAGAAGCAGTTGAGAAGGCATGTATTCGGCATCTAAGAAACCCCTTGCAACTTCCTGTGTGTCATGGAACCGCATTCCTTCCAAGTGGTCTATGCATTTTGGGCGACTGGGAAGCACCACGCGCTCCAGGCATGCCGGCCCAGGATATCAGAAAGCAATTCGATACAGAGACATGACCTAACACCATTGTTTTCTTGTTGCAGTGGTTTCCTCAGAATGACATATGACAGAGTGCCACGCAGTCAGGAAGCAGAGATAAGCAGGGTCGCAAGAGCAATATGCATCACACGTGCCACGAATCTCGATATCGTCCTTCAAGCTTAGCATTTCAGCCCACGAGTCGCCACCAGAGGAAACGGGGGAGGAGCCACAGGTACGATCCACGTGTTGTGCATACTTTGCTTGCGTGTTTCCATCTGATCGTCTCGAAAATCACGTCACATTTTTTGGGCCCTCAAGCACTTGGCGGAATGAAAAGGCATTCTCTGATCAGCCCCCCCCTTACGTACACCGCTCATCCCCTCGATCGCTCCATTCAATTGATACACGATGCAGATTTTCTCGTGAACCAGCCAGCCAGCCAGCCACTTACACCGACACGCAGATGATCCCGGTCGTTTCGTCACAGGATGCCACCCACCTCGTCAGCCAAGTCGGACCAGTCAGATGGCAGCACGACGATAGGAATCACCACCACCACCACTGTCACCTTCAGACAACCAACACCACCACTACCACCACTACAGCCGCCACCGCCGCAACAACAGCAAATAACAAAGGAGGCTTCGACCAGGGGGGCGGGGCACTCACTATGACTTGTTGCTCCTCACCGCTTCCTGTTTTCCTTGGGCTGCTGGTGTAACGGAACTCCACGTTTTCGTCTAAAATACAAAGCTGTTGGCACAATATCCGTTTCCCAACATATGTACCACAAAATTGAATTTTTTTTTTAAAAATTCTGAAATTATTTAAAGTCAAATTGATTTTGCAGTTTACACCCATTCCGTCCTGATATCTATGCTGTTCTACCATGAAATACATGTAGGCCAGCAAGAAGATCCACGTATCTGTGATAAAGCTCAAAGAGCTCTCGAGCCAACAAAAGGTGTCCCCTTTATCGACACAGTAGTAAAATGAGCCGTCCGTTATTTCCAAGTCTCCCGACAGATACAGAGTTTGCGAGGCTAGGCTTTGGACAATGATTACGTTGTCTGTATATCTCTAGCTAAGTTTTTTTTGTCCGCCTGCAAGCTATCGGAAGTCAAGAGCCATTGGCATGCTTTTCTGCCTCGGGTTAGTAGAGACGGGCTGAATGGTCCATGATCTATTCTTCGCGTTCCTTCTCTTTCATGCCAAGAAGCCGCCGGGAGGAACCAGCACTTTGCCTTTCTCCCCATCCCAACCCTAGCGCCGTCTGGCGCGCCTTGTCGCCGCGAGAGAAAAAAGACGAACCACGAAACATGCTGCATCCTCTTCTCTACTTGCCACAAGTCAGACAGGAAATCTCCATGCGGCCGACACTAGCGGAAACCCCCGGAGGCCCGCAAGTCTCTCCCTCGCGGAAGATGCGGTCTGGTGATTCGGGCAGCCCGATTTCTAGGAGGATATCTAATTAGCACAAACCAACCAGGAAAAGCGGTCTGTCGGGCCGTCCTGTCAAACCAGTCCGTGATGAGCAAGTTGGGAATACCCTGCAAAAGACGTCGAGTCGAGAAAAAAAGTGTCTTCCTCCTTCCCTGCGCCGTTCCAGCTCAGTGAGTGGTCACACACCCTGGACCAATCCCGCAAGGAGCGGCTTCCGCCTCCCGGAAGTGTTCCTGACACGACAAGGCGGGACGGCGTGGCCAGACATGGTCGATCCACATAACCCGCCGAGCTCAAGACATTGACCGAGTTTCCACAGTCACCCAAGGGTTCATGCTTGAACTGGTCCTTGCGGCGCTCGTCCCAGCCTCCCGGGAAGCCATACGCGTTAGCGCCGGTTCTTTCAGAAGAGCAGCGGGAAGCTTGGAGCCGCTCACCGGTTAAGATCCCTGCTTGGAGCGAGCTTCGCCGCTCGGCCGGGCGACTGGTCGCACGTCGCGTCGGACAACTAGCTGATCACAAGCCGAGGACAACTGAACTTGCCCCAGCGACTCACTATTCTGGATCAATCTTCAAGCCGGAAAATGTAGCTCGCAGTGCCAGCGTAACTTTTCCCAAAGTCTAATCGCAGTTGCCAGCGAATGACCCTCCGAATGTGGATCGGGAATATGGTTCAGGCTGACTCATTTGCATGAAGGAACGCCAAGGGTGGTATTTCATGAGGCCCAGGACGAAATGTGAAGGCCACATTCCTTGCGCGCAATAAAACCTTGTCGGCCCTGTAACTTCAGGGTCGGTGCCCCTTGTGATCCCATCAACCAGGGTAGGCCGCTCAAAACGTGGTTTCATCTCACATCGAAGTCGCCCGGAAAATCCAGGCTCCACCGAGAGAAGTCGGGGAGTTGTCTCACCCTTGACCATGTCCGAGGTGGACTTGAAGGCTGCACAAAAGCCACAGTCAAAATTGAGGTCGTTCCGGCAACGACGCTTGTTCACCAGGTCTGAGCTCGCGATGGAAGCAACCAATGCTTTTTATCCCAGCCAGGGCTATTGCCACATACCAAACAGCGAGTGTCGTGCGGCCGTGAGACAATGATTTGTTTTTGAGAGTCGGCTCTCTTGAATCTCTCATGTCACCCAGCACCTCACAACACCCAGGCTGCAGAGCGTCGATCTCCAAGTCGCAGCAGTAACAGTCGCCCTCGTTGCTCTCCACCACCAGCATTGCTCACTTCTCCTTTCGGCTGGCTCGACGGGCCCAGCGGCCGTCTGTGGCAACATTGCCTGCCGAGCTGCCTAGAAGAAAGGCGTGACAACGGCAGTTACCGTACACTGGCAGGTCCGTGGGCGGGGCCGAGAGCCAGGCAGGGAGATGGCCTGTCCGGAACGGATCCGGTGTGAGGATTTGTTGCAGCTCCGCTGGAGGCTGGTCATGGACCCATACGGATTTGCTGGGTGCAACGGCTTGTGGAGCTCGCACCAAACCTGCCCACGCTGGGCATGATGATTGTGATGCGCGGAGAGTCGCCGGGGATGAGTGGTTGCTCATTGAATACCACAATGCCGCTCCGCTAGCCCCCTTGGAAGCTCAGGCCTGCCTGTGCCGTCCGGGCTTCTGTGTATGTGTACCCGGCGCTGTGGCACGACCCAGGCACTCCGGCCACCTGGCGGCCCCCCTGAGGCACGACCACACCGCTGGGTCGATGAGTGCCGGCGGTGTGTTTCGATCTTGAAAGGCTTTGCTGATTGGTCTTGCGAGGGTATTGAGGGACGGGACGGCATGGTGGACTGAGCTGCTGCAGGTACGAAAAAGTCAACACCGCCATGCTCCGGCGCTGCGCAGACGGACTGGGCCGATCTGGAGACTCGATGTGGTGTAGGCCAAAGTCTCGTCGTGGATGGGAGGCCCCACGGGTAGTGTATCCACGAATCGGATCCGAGAGTGCCCTTCTGGGCCTCCCACGACAGAGGACATGACTTTGAAAAGGGTTGTCATTTCTTGACAATGCATGGCGGTGCCCTGTGACGAATACTGCGATTGCGTAGGCAACGGATGGTCTCCTGCTTGTTGTTACCATTTGTGTCAGTTGTCACCTAAAGTCGACCAGGAACCCAGGTCCGCCACCGGATGCTCGCTGTGGCAGAACAGACCTGACCGGCCCATGCTGGCGGGAGCTTCAGGCACACGGCCAATGGCTCGTCAGAAATTCTGGGCACGGCTGAAGCCAAAGCAAGTCTTCGGTCGGGCGACCAAGCACTCGAGCGCTCCAGAGAGCTGGAGCTGGCATTGGCAGCGAGAGGCGGCCCGTAGTGCTGGGAGGCGGCAGGACGGGGAAGTACCCACGGCGCGGCAGGCTAATGCAGGAACAAGTGCCAGGGATGGAGGCTTAAGGGTGGTGGAGTGCCATGTGGAATGTGCCAGGGGCTGCCGGCTTTGCAGCTCGAGGTTGTGTGCTCCATGAGGTGGCTTCGGACGAACTGGAACAGGCACCGCCTGGCTGGGCGTACCCGGCAGCTAGTGTGGGAATAGCAAAGGACGCGGATGATATGAGGCAGGCTCCACGGACGGAGCGTGGCCCTCTGGGTGGGTGGAGCCGCCCATTCTTTTCTCTCGCACCCGGCACTCCAAAAGCCCATTCAATCTCCTGAGGGCCCGGCGCAGGCTTCTGGTTTGACGTAATCAGGGGTGTGTCCGCAGCAACTGGCATTCTCGCTTCCGCAGCAGCTGCCCACTGAGCAGGGCCGGGCCCTTCGAGCAGAATGTCACGGCAACCTCCTGTACGGGCTCACCAGCGGGCGGACCAGGCGGCCGCCAGGCCATTCATTGGGAGGAGGATGAAGCCCGACGTAACCTCGTCTGCTCGTGCGTGTTTCATCAACAACAACACGGCACACAACAGGCAATGCTGCGATGCTCTCTTGCCGCCAGCACAGGAACCGGCAACGCCGTCGACTGGACAGATTGCATGCTGGCCCGACGCCGTGTGGAAGGACTCGACCATTCATGCGTGCCCTACCTACGCGCGCCCAGCGGGACACCAGCCGGACCTGGCGGAGGCGATCATCGCACGGCCTGACGAGCAAGCCCATTCCCGGCAATGGTACTGCCAGGTCCGCCCAGAGCACCGCCCGCGCTGCCAGCCTCGTCTATCTGCTGCCGGGCGCGCCGTGTTCACGACCGTCTGCTCCAGCGTCCATTTATCTGACAACGGTTCTGCTCGCATGAAGTGACGGCATCATGGTGTGTGCGCAGGCCGGCTTTTGACACATGTGTGACAGAGCAATACGACCGAGGCACTCTAAGTCGGCTGGTGGCCTGCTTTTGGCGTCTACAGCTATCGGGGCGGCCTTACCTGCCTACCTTAGGTATCCAAATCCTTGCCCGGTCTGGGGTCGCATGTGGCTCGACACCACTCGCCTATCGTCCTGTTGGCAGTCCAAGGATGCAATGCAACGCCGCGACCACAAAGTGCATGCATGCTGCCGTCTGCCGTCTGCCGTGCCCACCTGCTTGTTTCGCTGTGAAAGTTGACGTAGCTTCTTGACCAAATGAGCTTCGAGGTTGCAGTCTGTCCGAGCTGGGCCGTCTCGGACTGGGGATCAACACTATGACGTTGCTGGAGTATGGAAACACGCGTCTATGACATACGGGTATCAAAACTGGTAATTCGCAAGCAAACCACCGAGGATCACAGTGCCTGCAGGCAAGATGCTCGCTGCCTTTGGAAGCCATGGTTACTGTATTTTGTGGTGACTCGTTTTCATATCAGGTCGATATCCAAGCATGGCGCGACCCGAAGCTTTGGTTGATTGTGGATACGACCTCTTGGGGCCCATCTGCTGCGGCAGAGCCACGCCAGCCTCGGATGCTCAAGCCCAAACCTTCCAGGTTGATTGGAACTTGGTCTGTCCACCAAGGAAGTGCCCGCTTGCCTTGCTGTCAGGCCAATCCATCGCCCAGAGTGGACTCAGAACATGGAATCCACCACCGAGCAGAGGATGCCATTGCTTCTTGTCTCGACTCGACTCCGCCACAAAGCAGCGGCCCTGTCTTTTGCTCTGCCAGTCCGCTTGGGGCTCTGTGGATAGTGTAAGGACCTTTATGCACAAATTGTGTGGTGTCCAAGTTGCATCCGCCGCATAACGATCAACCCCTTGTCGCCGAGTTATGCCGGATCTCGAGCAGCCCCCCACCACCCGTCATGCCGAGGCCGTTGCTGTGCTGAAACAGTCCCAGCTCATGATCTCCATTGCGGTCGAGAGGCCAGTGTCTCGAGGCCGCTCATCGCCGCCGATATGCACGATCTGCTGCCGTGGCCAGACCAGAGCAGCAGTTCAAGCTGATTTTCAGCGGCATACGACTACCGCAATAGTCTCAGATCCGACGTTCAATCGTCACACAATCGGCCCACAGAGGACTTTCGCGAAGCACTCTGTGTCAGGCTTCACCAATTTTAGCATCAACGTGTGCACTCGAAACCGACAAGGTCGCGATGAATCAGTCATGAGGCGATATCAGCTACCGAATGTGGGGTGACCCCCGAGCGAGCCCGTCCACTATTATGCCTGACCATCAGACGAACCTTGCCCATCGGCTTTGAGGTTGAATTCCCCGAGTTGCCATTCCGCTGGTGGCGCATTCGAGCTTCGTAAACGGATGGTGCATCGGAGTGCAGTCACCTATTCTCGAGGTCGTTGGGAAAGCGCCTCTCACAAGGGGCCGGGTAACTGTTCCGTGCACATAATGCATGGCTAGATCCCGCCGAATGCTGTTGTCTGCCTCCCCATGCGGTTTTGAGATTCGCGCAACAGCCCGAAAATGGCTGAAGTCCTTGTCGTGCCCCACGTCGTTTGGTCCGAACGTCAACTTGCAAGGCCGAGTTGACGGATTCTGGCAGGAACCAGTGTGTGGCCCGTCACGTCTGCACGAGCCGGTTGAGTCGGCCGTCCTCATCCATTCGTCATTCTCCCACCGACTCAGAACGAACGGCCCCGGAAACCAAAGGTGATTTCCATCAAGACGTCGAGTCATTGATCAGCTGTCTGTGCTACCGGCCGCGTGGTCGTCATGGAGTGTTGACCAGCAGAAGTGGCTCTGGGCGACCTGGCCAAAATGTCGGAAAAGGGGACCCCTTTGACACACGGCATATTATGAAGTTTGGGTTCGAGGAAGCCATGACTCAAGGCTCTGCGCCAGCCTTGTCAAAACGCGGGTGCTGCGCTGGCAAACGCAAGGCCAGATTTCCCAACACGGAACCCAATCATCATGGCGCAAGCGGCAGCATCGTCCCGGAGCTCAGACCCGTGGCAACGGACCTGACAGGGCGACGGGTACAAGCTACCTCAACGAGTTCGACTCAAGAGACGAGAGACAACGGCACAGGGCTGGTCCCTGTCGAGACGCCCAAAGACACGTTCGAGAAAAATTCGAGAAATGAGCAGGCCCGCTTGGGAGAGGCGGCCAGGGTAGGGGAGATATTTCCGGAGTGGAGCAGACAAGCCAAACGATGGAAGGATCTCCCAATGCCCCCTGCTTAGTCACATTCCAAGAGGCATCGGCGACGTTGTAGGCCCCCTGTTCCCCGGCCAAGGTTCCGTGCGCTGGGTAATGAATGACATTGTGTGTGTGTGTGTGTGTGTATGTGCCCAGGGGGGGCGTTGCGCAAGTCACTCGTCACAATCATCTCAGACGCGAGACAGCGCTGCGCGGCTCCCATCCGCGGCGGGCTAGCTTCCGGCCGGCGGGATCAGCTCCCTGGCCCAATGGGATCGCAGTCGCAGCAGGGAAGGGCAGGAAAGGACCAGGAGCTGGGTGGCCGAGCCCTGAATTCTGGTGGCTGAGGTCTTCCGCATTCTCAAACAGGTGTCTCGATCGGCTCGACCAAGACCACATCCAGAACCGGGCCACACAGGAGGCGGCGGCGAGTGGAGGGTCCTGCTGCTATTGCTGGAGCAGTTGCACGGGGGAAGGGACAGAACTGGCTCGGGACCTGCAGCAGCCTGAACTCTGCGCCGTCGAGCAGTGCCATCATGCCCGCGGCGTGGGGTGCAACCTCGCGTGGTTGGTTGCGATTGTGGCCGTACGCCCACACCAATGGCCGTGGGGACTCTATTCCCAGCATGCAAGTGACACGACTGATGGGCGATGATGCCAAGCTGACGGGAGCGCAGGCGAGCAAGGCAGGGAGCCGGAGGAGGAGGAGGAGCGCCAGAACAAGCAGTGTGGTGCGTGTGTGTGTGTGTGCGTGCGTGAGTAGCACACGAGATAGACAGACAGACAGCCAGGCGGATGGACACGCCCCCCTCCCCCTTGCCCCTATTTGCGCTGGGTGCACGCCCGCAGCTCGTGTCCTGTCTGGCGGGCGTTGCGCTAGCGAGGCCGCGGGCGTGGTCGCGCCCTCGCGGTGGTCGCACAGGGCAGCCAGGTGCCTGGGACCTGCGGCCGGGCCACCAGCGCAGCGCCATGCACCCCATGCACACGCCTCCCTGCCCTTCCAGAAACAATGGGCAGAAGAAAGGAGGGCGCCCCGGTGCCGTCCCTGTCCCTGCTCGAGCCCGCCCGGGGGACCTGCTCAGCGAGTGCTGGCCACCTCCAGGGCTCATTTGCTCCCAGGGCCAGTTTTTCCCTAGCCTGCCTGCCTGAAATGAGCACGCCGCCAGGCAATCAATCCCTTGGGACGCCGCCGACACGCTCGTTATAATAAGAATTGAGGGCGCCGCCCCTTCCCACTCGAGCCTGTCCAGTTCCCAGATCGACTTCCCCATTGCCATCGGCGTGTGCTTCATTGTCTTTGCTCTTCCTCCGTCTCCCAGATACCAGAGCGTCCTCTCCTTTCCAGCAGCAGCACCGCACTTCGACCTTCGCTCCTTGCTTCGTGCCCTCCGCTTACACCACCACTCAGTCGGCCCTGTACAACACCTCGGCACGCGCCCACCGAGACAAAGCGACAAAAACTTACTGTACTCTACTATCGTACCATCCAGAATAATACGCCAGGCCACCCGCAGCTGCGCAAACTCTCCCATAGGGTCCTCGCATCGCTCCGCCGGTTCCGAACAACGCGCACCTCACGCTCCACATCTTCAGGTGCCCCCTTTTTCGTGCGCCACGCACAAGAACAGATATAATCGTCGCCATCGCTCAGATCCCCTGAGACGCCTCGACGTGTGCTCGACTCGAAGCCGAGATAACTCTTCGACCGCCTCTTTGCCAGCGTCAAACCCCTGCCGCAGCTGCATCAGAGCCCCAAAGTTGGACCAATCCCGCGTTGCTGTTGCTTGCTGGCCAGCATTGACACGTCGCCCCCAGACGACTAGCCAAACAGGTGAGTCAGACGTGCAGCTTCCTATTGAAGCATTCCAAGCTTCCCGTCTCCTGTGTTTTATGAGTTGCGGTGTGCGTTTCCGTTGGGGTTGATGCCCTACGGCCGCCATCTTGACCGTGGTCCGTCTTTGGTCAGGCCGCTTTTTTCCCCAATCGGGGTTCAAGTGCCTGTGCCTAACGGCCATTTCACACTTCATATATATACCGTCCGTGCTTGGTCACAGAGTGTCTATCGTGATCACCAAGCTAATCACAAATCATGTGCTCAGAAAAACCCAAAAAACGTTTATCCAAAATGCTCGCCAGAGACACCGACATGGTGGTCATGGGCCGTGGCGCGTACGACACAACCGGAGTGCCCAAGCCTCCCCCGCGGCCCAGCCCCAAGTAAGGGACCACAGTTCCCTGGATTCCTCCCTTCCGCATCCGAGCTCAATACCTCACGCCGCAGCCACACACGGCGCCGTGTTGGTCTGGACCTCGCCACTCACGACCTTTTGGCTCGTGGACCAATGTACCAACACTATTGTCCAGAGGACCTCTTCGGTACTGCTGCGGACCATCCACTCGGTGGATAACGAATCCCCCCACGGCTTTGTCCCTCCGAACCTACGCTGCCGCCTGAGCTTCGGATCGCTTCTTGCCATACACCACTACCTAATGCTTGGATTTCGGCTTCTTGGTTACTTCTTCCGTTCGGCTATACACAATCGGCTCGCTGCCAATCGTCTCTCTCCTGTTCAGAGACATCATGTTATTTTGGTTCCACTCGTTTCAGCACATCGGGTACGCGGCTTGATTTTCCACCGGCGTTTACACATAGACGGACTAGCGACCACATTGTTTCTTCCTTTTGGTGGGCCTCGGCGCTTGAGCCTGCCCCGACGGGCAATCATCCGCACGCCCTTGGCCGCTTCCAACCATACAACCTTTCTAATGACGCCGCAAACCAGCTGCGGCTAACTACCTTCCATGTTTTGGAATTCACTCGCTTGATTACATGGGTTTTGCGGGATGGGTCAACAAAAGTACTTTTGGGTTTGGGAACGGAAAAGACTTTGATTTGGGACATCGCATATAGATTTGCTTTTGGGGATTACCTGCTTCTTTTTTTCACGGTCTCGAGTCATCTTTCCGTTTTCATCTTTCTTTTGTCCTCCGGCATCATGGTCTGGCCGCTCGCGTAGCCAGAGAAGAATGTGGCACCCACCGCAAGGTGCCCACATGCACGGCAACATGTAACATATCTCGCCCTCTTGCGTTCATCCTTTTGGTTTCAGAGATACAAGAATCCCTCCACACGAGTCCAAGCTGTCTTGACTCGTTGGAGACTGGGACCCAGTTTATAGAAGATACCCCCAACTACACTGTTACAGTTCTCTGTTTACCCTACTGTCCATGCCATTTGCGTCGATCCCCTTTGAGCACTTTGAGCACATGAACAGGCGCCGCTCGCGGTGCTCGGTTTCTAGTCGCTGAAATGTCACTATTGAAAGTCTATCGCGGGATCAGACCGCCTCAATGGCTACTGCGGCAGCCCGTCCACCCAGAAGTGAAGCGGGCCGATAGCCAGGCTCTTCTGCTCCAAAAAGGTGTGTAAGTCATGGGTGACGCACTGACAAGGGTTCCAACCTCGAAAGATGAAAAAAAAAAAAGCATCATGGACGTTTCGGGAGCATGGCAAAGTCAGAATGGGCGAGAAAAGCAAAGAGATCGACGCGCCACGCAACGAAAAGGAAGAACATGACAGCCCGCTCGCTTGTCTCGCCCGACAGAGCGTAAGAGGGCAAAGGGTGGGAACCCCCCCAAAAAGACCACCCTTTTTGGACGTGTTTGCATGGGTACGTGCAATGGTCCGTGGCTGGTGCCAAGCCGTCCTCCGTTGTTTCTTGATTTTTTCTTTTTGTTTGTCTTGGATTTTTGTGCGAACGACTGTGTGTGTGTGTGTGTGTGTGTGTTTGGATACGTGCTTGCTTCTCCCTTGGTTGACCTTGGCCTGTCTACAAAAAGGGTGTGTTGTCTTTGATGCGGATCGCTGATGGCGTTTGGCAGCAATGTAAGACAGCGCCTGGCAGGGGTTTTCTGAGCGGATGCGCTGCGGGATCGCACGACCTAGCCTATGATAGGAGGCTTGAGACTTTTGCCTGCCAGATCCGAGACCCCGTTGGCGATGCTTGGACGGCCTGACATGATTGCGCCACGGCACCGAGCCGGGAGTCTGGAGCGATGATATGCTTCAATCAACCCCCAGCCCGGGGAACCTGAACTGCCTGTGCCGTGTCGCCTGAGTGCTCTCTCCATCTCTGCCAAGAGAACTCTGGTCATAATATGCAACAACACGGCCCTCCCTATCACCACGGCCGCAAGCACCAGTCGGGCCGGCAGACGCTACGATGTAGCAGTGGTTGCGTGTTTGCTTGTCGCCGTCCCGTTTGCTATCGACTTTTTTGGGTTTCGGGGAAGGGGGGATGTCGCGCTCACAAGGTTGCCGAGCGGACCAGTCACATATCGAATCAAACTGAGCCGGGCCGGCCCCTGTGGCCCCAGCCAACACGCGAATTGGAACAAGGTCCGCCCGGATACGCATCCGCGGAGCGCTCTACCGCTGCGGGCTTCCAGTGCGCGCGCAAGCAGGGTAGCGGGAAGAGCAGAAGAAAAAGAAATCGCTTCTTGCGAATGCCGGCCCCCAGGCGGCAAACGCACTTGTGAGTCAGGTCAACTTAGCCGGCGTCGCGCTTCTCGATGGCATTTTTGGGGCATGCCTAACGCGACTCGTCTTCTGGTCTGTCGTCTATGCGCTCGGTACTGGCCAGGAACTGCTTTCGAGATCCGCCTGCATGCTCGCGACAATGGTGCATGCCCACAGATTCCCAGCCGAAGGAACGGGATGAGGCTTGGAACCGGGACAAGCAACATGGAGACTCCACCAGCATGCATGGAGGGCGGGCGAGCTAATGCGCGCTGCACAGCTACCGGCTTGCTGGGTCGAGGACGCTGGCCGTTCCAAACCTTCGATCGAACCGCGTAGAGAAGCAGGGATGACGGTGCCAGGGGGGAGGCCGGGGAGCCCAGGGAGCCTGAAGCTGGATGGGGGCGTGAACGCATGGGCCTTGTACCCGAGACGTCTGGGCTGTAATTGCGAGTCGTCGCTGGGCCCACACCTGTGTGTCGCGGTGCCTGGCTTGTGCTCGCAACATGCAGCGCGCGATGACACGCCATGCGCATCCAAGAAAACCGGACGTCCTACGCAGTCCTGCCAGAGCACGGCGCGGCTGCCCGGGTGTGGGTGCCGCGGTCCGTGTGCGAGCATTCTGAGGAAGCCCGGCCGAGGCTATTGTGTGAGTGTGGATGTATGTGTGTGTCGTCTGCCGCGTGGCATGACTCGTCGCGGGAGGCGTTGGTGGTGATGAGAAGCTCGAGCGCCGTCCAAGTGCTGAGTTGCAAGGTTGGTGTAAATGGGATGGAGGATCCGTCCGACACCTCCAGCCCTGTTCCTATCGTTGGCCTGTCGCGCACCTGCCTGCCTCACCTTGCACGCAGCCGATCCTTTCCAAGAACACCCCGACAAGCAAGCACCAACTTGGCCCCCCCTCAGATCTTTGTGTCATTGTGCGTCTGTCAGAAACCCCTTTGTCTCTTCACGTGGCTAGGCGTGTCATCTTCTGCCGATTCCGCGGTGCTCGTCGTCATCACCCAGCTTGTATCGAACCTGTGCCTCAGGACGCAGCCTCACGGCCCCATGGTGATTGAGGCTGGCAAAGCGCCGCGACGCAGACGCGACGTCAAGACAGAGGGACTAATACGACGACCTAATTAATATCCAGGCCCGCCGCGTGCAAACCCAAAAGGCGTGCCTGGGACCTTCTGAAGAACGCTAAAGGCGCAATTTGGGTGGCTACCAGCGATTGACATTGGCGTCTCCACAAGGCTTCAGACGGCCCAGACACGTTAAATATCGTCGTCCCAGGGGCACGTCGCCCAGGCAATGGGCATGCCTTGGCTGGGAGATCTGTGTGCGTAGCAATCAGGGCATGAGTTGATGATCATGTCGGGCCTGGAACTCCGTGGTAGGTCGCAATGTCCACAAAGCCATGATGCGACCATGGACCCGGGATCGTCCACCCGCCCCTATCCACAGGCTCGCGCGTCATTTGACAATCTTTACAATGACGGTCCAGACTCCCGAGGTCCTGTTCCTTCCTTTAGCCTTCTATTGGGCTTCCCCAGCCAGGCACCCGCCCCGGCTGCCCGGGAGTGGCCGCCGCCGGCCCGCCTTCTGCAGCTACACCAGTACCACTTTCTACAGTCACGGTGGACGGCCTCGCTGCTCCCACTCCACCACTACCGAAGAGCCGTGTGCTCGACTGTTCCCGTGACGGATTGTCGACATCCGTCGATCCAGAGCCTGAGCCCACATGCAGGCAGGACCCTAAATGCCCCGGTGCTCCGCCAAGCTTCGCAGCGGATTGTTGAAACATGCTGCCATACGAGCAGGTCGTGCGAGTCTATTGTACACAGCCCAAACCACCCTCGGGAGTGGTCAGCATAGCGTCGTCACCTATGCACCATGGATTTCACATTCAGCGTTGTCCCTACAAATCTGGTCAAGACTCCTGGCCAGCTCGATCCTCCACGTATCGATTGATCACCAGCGTGGCATAGCAAGCTTTCGAGCTTGTAATCGGCTAATGGACTTCCTGTTTGTAGATATATCCCCAGCATTTCCGGTCACGGCTGACCTTGGGATGCAATGGCACATACAATAAGCACCGTTGTACCCCCAGAGATGACTCTACAATTCCGTGCAACACCAGGAATCCTGCAAGCACTTTGTCTCATCTTGCACTTGCCTGATCCGTTCACCGGTCCATTTGTCATTCGTCAGCTTACTTGTATGTATCCGCGTCAACGTGGACGTGGGGGTGAAGCGAACCCCCAATCCGATACGGATCAGCCTTCTGCGAACTCCTGTGAACCCCCACATATCAACATCATCCGATTTCATAAGTGATATTGCTGCTGAGGGTTTTCTTGCATCGTCTAGCACAAATGGGCTGTCAACGTGATGCAAGGGTATGCCTGCGACTCTATGATCTGGACTATGAATTTGCCATTGATATGGGCAGTCTGACGGGCAATTTGGTGTTTGAACCACGATATTGGAATATGATACGCTTCGGAAATTGCCCATCGTCAGACCATATCTTGTCCCGTCACGAAATCTTGTGCTTCAAGCAGCGAGAGAGCGCCAGGGAACTTGGTTAGTATGGCGGCCAACCGAGTCGGGGCTGAAACTGCACCGAGTGTACAGCTGAGTCCGCAAGCGAGCTGCCCATATCGTCCACGAGCTGGTCATTCCCCAAGGACCACGAAAACCTGCGCTTTCCTCCTCCTGTCCCATCAAATGGGAGACCAAGTCACGTCGTTCAGGGACACGTTCATCCTCTCAGTTGACGGACTTCGCCCGGGCAGTGGTGACGCCTTAGCAGTGCGTTCAGGGAGGCTGCAACGGGCTCCACGCCGCCGACCACCGTTCACGCTGCTCTTGCGAATAGCCATAATCGCAAGAGTTGCCAGTTGGGGAGGCCTTGACTAGCCTAATGTCAACGCTCGCTACGGGGCACGATCTCGCAACGCGCGACAGCGTGCAAGTGAGACGACTGGGCCCGCCGAATGACACATCGGCATGCACCGGCTCCCTGACATCACCTAACCCCACCACAAAGCTTTTAGCTGGATGCCCCGCCTGTCATAGCACCGGCATCCGGACTGACGACATTCTATGTCCTTTTCGTTGATGCATGAGCATTTGCCGTTCAGACAAATACAGACGGCAAAGCCTTTTCTAGCTGCGTCTCTGGGAAATTTCCGCATCCGCTGTACGGAACCGGTCGTGCAGGGTTCGTCCTCTACCATCGCGCACTTGCCCAACGATCTCGGAAAATGTCGAGCAGACAGCTCCGGAAGTTGCAGAAGCAGCGCGAGCTCGAGGCGCTCGAGGCGCAAGCGGCAAAAGAGCAGGCCGCACAAGAAGAGAGCAGTGAAGACGAGATCCCCGTCATCCGGTCCAAGCCGAGCACCTTCTCTGGGTTTGCGGCTCTTGGAGGAGGCGACGATGATAACGACGACGAGGACAACGAGAACGACCTGGAGGATGACGAGAACGACCTGGAGGATGACGACGACAAAGGGCAAATGAACCCGTCTCGAAAGAAAGACGACACATCAACGGCGGCAGTGCAGGAAACGCCGGTCTCCTCCAAGAAGAATAAAAAGAAGAAGAAGAAGAAGGGCAAGAAGGACACGCCGACCACAACAGCCACCGCGCCGGTAGCAACCTCCGCGAGCGAGAAGGACAACAAGGCCGCAGGCAATGATGAGGACGATGAGATTGACCGTGCGCTGCGGGAACTCAATCTGGCGAACAAGAATTCAAGGTCAAACACTGCCGACGACGGCAGGAGTCCGGAATCCAAGGCGTACGAGCGCATCTGCGAGCTACTCCAGGTCAACACGCACCACCTCAAGGTCATGAGTGAGATGCGCAGGATGTTTGGTCGCGAGGCCATCGCCACCGTGCACCGAGAGGAGCAGGAAGAGCAGGCTGCCGCTGCCAGGAACAATCAGCGCCGTGGCGGGACGCACGAAGTTGATCTCGAGACATACCTGAAGGGCCAGCGCGGCCAGAGCCTGCCCGAGGTGACGCTCCGACGCAACCCGTTCCTCGATGGCAAGGAGTCGTGGCCCAAAGCCGCTGTCGACGGTCTGACCATGGAGGAGGTGCGCGACAGCACTCTGTGCAGAGACGATGAGACTGTCGAGTTCCGCCTCGTCCACGACCCGGCATACAACGAGAAGGAGAAGTCGTTCTTCTCTCTCGTGCAAATGTTTGACCCGATGCAGCTGGTTCACTTCTTGCACCGTAACCCCTACCACGTCTCTACATTGATTCAGGTCACCAAGGTCGCCAAGCAAGACCAAAATCTGTCACTGGCAGCAGACTTGTGCGAAAGGGCACTCTTCACATTTGGCCGCGTGTCCATATCATTGTTCAGAAAGAAGATGCAAGAGGGAAAGGCGCGACTGGACTTCCGGCGACCTGAGAACCGCCAGTTCTGGCTCGCGGGATACCACTACCTCAGCAGCCTGATGCACAAGGGCACGCCTCGTACAGCCCTCGAGTGGTCGAAGCTGCTTTATAGCATGGACCTGAGCGACCCGTACGGCCTGATTCACTTCATTCACATCTCGGCCCTCAAGTGTCACGAGTCAGCCTGGTTCATAGATTTCTGCGACTCCGAGGCGCTCGACGAGTGCGACACCGCCCAGGACTATATCAGGCAGAGTCTTGTGCTTGCGAGGCTGCAGCAGGACGACAGGGCGGGCGCGAAGACGCTGCTCATCGAGGGAATGGAGAGGCTGCCGTGGCTGTACAGCTCGCTGTTCAAGGCGATCGGTCTCGACGTGCCCAAGGTCATCTGGGGTTTCACTCCAAGAGACTCGCACGAGGAGCTCTACGTGGAGCTGTACGTCCATCAAACCAAGAAGCTCTGGGACAACTCGCAGGCAACCGCGCTGCTCAAGGAGGCAGCCGCCCTTGCATCCAAGCCAGACGAGACCACGTTTGCGCCACTGCCAGTGGTCGGCAGGAATCTCGCCCGGTTCATCTATCTCGACAACACGCCGGCGCTCATGGGACTGGTCCCAGACGGGATGCTGGCGTCTTCGCCGAACTGGGAGTTTGACCCGCTCCCTCCGCTTATCACGGAGAACATATTTTCATACGAGTCACAAAAGCAGCCGTGGCAACCGTCAGGCCCCGCGAACCTGACCAACATCAGCCCTGCGCGAGCCAGACAGCTACAGCGCATCATTGAGCGCATGCAGCGCGCTGGAGGCAACAATGAGGAACTCATGGCCATGGTGCAGGAGCTCCAGGCAGCACAGCGCGGCGAGGGCGATGACTGGAGCGACAGTGAGCCGGAGCATGATGACGACGACGACGACGACGACGAGCTTGAGCTCGCCACAGCCGGCGCGCGGACCCAGGACGACGAAGACGGCGACCAGCCTCCACGAGCGCCAGGGACAGCGCCGCGCTTGTTCAACGGAGCGCTGCAGGCGGTGCTGAACGCCATGGGGATTGGAGGTACCGGTGGTGGACAGGCCGCGCAGGAAGCCGCGCAGGACGACGCGCGGGCAGAGCGACAGCCAGCACCGGCGGCGAACACGGGGAATCAAGGGCGGATACCCGGCGCGTACGTGGAAGACTACGACGACTCGGAGGACGAGGTACCTGCGGGACGGGATGCGGGCAGGCGCTGAGGCTGCCAGCAAAATGATACGACTGCGGTATCAAGCTGTGTATACTACTTGGAAAGGAATCTTTGATGAAATGGCCGTGTCATCCGATGTCTGGGGGGGGAAGGTCATCAGGGAGTTTCAAGTGTCTGAATGCCCGATCCTGGATGAGTCTCTGATAGGACACGGGCCGGACTTGCATTCGTGCGCATGTCTGTGATTGCGCTGTGGCATGTTTTGTCGCGGGCCGATGGTGCAACATCGTCGAAGGAAAAGGGGGTTTGGGAAACTTGCTCATACTTTAATACATTGTGCCCCCCGAGATGTGAAGGCGCGGGCGGGCCGTTGATCCTGGCCGGCCGGGGGGCGGGAATGAACCAGCGGTGGTGGCCCAGAGGTTGACGACTGACGAGTCACAACGGCACAAATACGATATTTCCGCCCATAAATACATACTACGATGGTCCCCTTGTCAAAGAAAAAGCTTGTCTGGTCGTCAAAGGGGGGGGGGGTTCGCATATGCCATGTTGATCGAGAAGCAGTTGCTAAAACGTGCTCATGTGTTTCGAGTCGGGGTTGACCTCCGTGTTTCGGGACGCACGGGCAGGGTACGCACGCTAGTTACTCCCATAAGGCGTTTAGTGGTCTGGCGACAACAGCGTGCCTGTGATGCGCGAGGCACGTGCCTGAAGTATGAAGTGAGGGTTGAAGTTGCCACTCCATTCAGCGTCGGGCAAGGGTTCCTCGGGCAGTCACGGGCGTCAGTAATTTACGTCCTGTTCTCTGGCCGAACCCATATGGTGTCCTGAGGAACAAAGTATGCAGTTTCAAGAACGGCCCCTGAAGGGGGAAAGAGGCCCGGGCAGGACGGCGGTTCTCCCACCCCACCACACGCGGCAACGGACCCGCTCCGTCCGCGGGAGCTGGGACAGCTTCGTTCGTTCCAGGCTGGGGTGGGCTGAGGGGGAGCTCTTTGTGCGGTGCTGCTGCTGCTGCTGCTGCTGCTGCTCTTCCGTGCTTGTCGCTGCTTGGTCAGCCCCGCCTCGATTTATAAACTCCCGCCTTTCGTTCGGCTGACCACGACTTGTGTCCATCGCTTTCGTGTCTACTACTGTTTCATTCCTCGACGTTATAACTACACGTATTACCAACAACTATCACGTCCACTCGCAGACTTCGCCAGACGACATTGCGACAGCTGCTTCAACCTCGCCGGCACGCCTGATCTCACACAAACACACACACACACAGACACCATGTCGGACCACACCTACGAGTTCACCGTCACCATGACCTGCGGCGGCTGCTCCGGCGCCGTCGACCGCGTCCTCAAGAAGCTCGATGGTAGGTTTCTGAACCCTTTCCGCTCTTTCTTCCACCACCCTGTGAAATTGGCCCGGCCCTTTCCCCCCCAGAGAGGCGAGGAGGCGTTACGAAACAGGGGGAAGCCCCCAGAGTCCGGATATTTGGAGGAAGCGCGAGCGTACGCACAAGAGCCGCCGCAGCTTACTTTGCCTGCTTACCAACTGGGCCCCCTCGTCGGCGTCCTTCCCAACCAAACGACAGATCCCACTGCCAGCGCCTCACACCTCCCGCCGCCCCTCCTCCTCCAGCCACCCCGTTGCTGCCAAATCATTATTCCATGCTAACTCTTTTTCTCTCTGCGCGAAACAGGCGTCAAGACCCACGAAGTCACCCTCGGCAGCACACTCGGCAAGCCCGCCGAGGAGGGCACAGTCAAGGTCGTCGCCGAGCCGACCCTCGACTACGACACGGTGCTCCGGACCATCAGCAAGACGGGCAAGAAGGTCAACTCGGGCAGCGCCGACGGCCAGCCCCAGAGCATCGAGGTGTCTGCTTAAGCTTCCGTTTTTGCTTTCATTTAAGAGAAGAAGACTGGTTGTGAGATGAAAAAGACATGGGGGAGAGGGGGACAAGAAGAAGCACCAGCACCAGCAGCAGAAGAAGCAGAAGAAGGATAAAGAATACCAAGCGTTGCAATTCATGATAAATATACATTTTTCTTTCGTACTTTTCCCTTCACAGTGACATGGGAGGTCAGAGGCCCGGGCACCATGATGGTGAGTCCAACGGCTTCCCGACGTGGGGGATACTCATTTTGGCCAAGCAACGAGCCCGGGTGGCGGGCCTCGGAGTCTACGCCGCGGACCTCATACACACGAGAAGATTGATACGAACGCATGTTTCGAGGTATATATTTGCGGAGAATCAGCTGGTCATGACATGCTGCTCGAGAGCTCGGCGAGGAAAACGTTCCGTACAAGAAGCACCCAATGGCAAACTTGGAGGCTCTGTTCCAGAACTTTCGCAAGTCCTCTTTTCTCGCGGTGTTCCATCCCGTGGGAGGAATCCATCAACTATTTGAACTTCAACATCGAGGATCGCCCTGTGCCCCTCGGCGTGATTTTGAGCGCACACTAGTATCAGACTTGGTTCATGAGAAGAGTTTGTTTGCTCCCATCTTGTCAACCTTGTGCTGCCAACCCATGATCTCGAGGTGTCACAAAGTGCAGTCATTGGCCCACCATCACTCCTCTTCCTCGCTCTCGGCCTCGTACTCCTCTCCAGATAGACTAGCAAGGGCATTCTCCAATACGCGCTTACACTGCCGCCGATATAATAGCGCCAGCTCCTGGTTCCCATTGCGCGGCGCTGCCTCCCCTCCCTGCTCGGCCTCGGCAGCCTCAATCTTCTCCAGATCGATACTCAACTTCGTCCCCAGCGCGTTGATAATTTCGTCTGTCAACTCGTCGGGGATATCGCCAGCCAGGATCTTCGCGAGCGTGACGCCGCCGCCGCTGCTGCCAACAGCAGAGGAGAGCCCTTTTGCCTGACAGACAGCCTCGTACAGCGATGCGACGAGCGAGTCCTGCACGTGTGTGTAGCAGCTCATGATGCGGTCTGGGTTTGGATTTGTTAGAGACCTCGCACGCACTGCGAGTGAGCTCGGATCTGAGATGGGCTGCAGGGATACGAGGTGCGTCGAGGCGAGTTGTTGCTCGGGGGACAGATGCTGTGTGGCGCCCGGCCGCGTCTTGATGTGCACGTAGTCGTTATGGAACTCGTCCGATTCGGCTAGGACGAAGCCGTAGCCCAGTAGCAGCTCCGCGTTGGTCTTGCTGGCGCCGTAGTTGTTGAAGACTTGCTGTCCAGAGGAGTACGGCTGGCCCGTCTGGAGCTCGCAGAACGCGGGCTTGCCTGCTTCGCTGCTGTTGCTCTCCTCAGGAGTCTTCCACGCCGTCTTAGCCTGAGGGTGGTGATTGCCCATGTCGAACAGTGGCAGCAGCACGGAGAAGTCGTCCGGTTTTGCTGTTAGTGACAGAGCCGTGGCCGCGGGGATGGTGAGGGACTGCCGGAAGCTACGGCTTGCAAAGATGCAGTACGCCCACTTGTATAGCTCTGCCGTGTATTCCGTCGCCTTGACGCCGTTGTTACTGTCCGAAATGGCTGAAGACAACAACTGGATCGCTGCGGTATACTCATTCTCGAGGGTTGCGTTGATCTCTTGGACGGCAACATAGGCGTTGGTTCCACAGAGGCATTCAACATCCTCTGCCGGCCATGCACACGGTAATAGGCCCCCTGTATTGCTCTCTGGTTGGGGCAGAGTCTGGATATACGGTGCCCATGGTGATGCTGCGCCTAGGAGATGCTGCTGGATGAGGAAGAATCTACCAATGACGTGGGGCGGTGTTTCTCTCAAGAATCTCGTTGGAAAAAAAGTCGCTCCCGCTAGAGATTCTCCTTCTGAAATGGCGCCGTTGCTATTTGGTGCCGCCACACCCAGTGATGCGGCCGCGGGGAAGTCTGGGTGCCCGCTGATGGCGTTGAGGAAGGACAGAGACCTGACGAGAGGTAGCTTGACGATCGAGTCCCCAGGAGAGATCGATTGGCCTTGTTTAACTCGTAGCGAGCCCTCAGTGTCCTCATCAATGTATATCTCAACAGCCGGGTGCAGACTGCCGCCAGCAGCCTCGACCCATGCCACGAGCGCATTGTAGCGCTCAGAGGCGGAGGTGGCCATGGGGAGGCTGGTTGCGCTGATCGTTGGGGACCGAACGCTCGAGATGGGGATCATTCCGCCGTGTCAGATCTCCAGGAGTATGATAAGCTTGGGGCCAGCTGTAAATGTTGTTGGTATTGTTGTTGCCCTGCAAGTGAGCAGCAGTGAGGTCGTGGTTGAAAACCTCCTCGCCTGTTTCGAGTTGTGCGGGATGGATCTGCGCTGTGGGAGTCTTGTGGTGGGGACTCGAGCCTGCAAGATCGCCAACGAACCCCCGTGCCCAGCCACAACGGTGTAGTGGCATTGCTTATCGTGACTTACTGCTATGTCCCTTGGGAGAGAAATCATGCGGCCATTGTCAGCTCAGGCACTTCTTCATCGGGTGGGCGACATGTGATGGCTTGGCTGATTGAGTTGGCAGGTGCATTGGAGCATGTACTGTACGCTTGTCCCTGCCAGTCTGGCTACGAAAGCACTTTCTTTCGATACTCTCGGTCCCGAAGGTTCACCAACACCAGAGCATCCTCCACTCCTCGTTCTCAATCCAGAGCACATCCGTGGACTGTCATCTGGAGAACCAGCACTGCCTATACTGGCTCAAATCCTACACCTTCTCCCATGACTCTTTCCCCCTTACTGTACTTCCATCTTGCACAGCACAGCGCCTTGTTCGACTTCAATGTCCAATGCCCTGACACGCACGTCCTAGTCCCAAGTGAGAATCCTCGACAGGTGCATGGAAAAGTGACCTTCGATTGAATCTAGGCTGCTGATTTGGTATTTTCTTTCTGTCAATGATATAATGTAACCCACTCTAACGCCCGTGATGACCCCGATGTCGAGTCTTGAAACTACAACACCACCCTCCAACTTGACTTGTGGCAAGTCATCTATATGAATCCCGTTACCATGCTTGACCCTCCGACCGTGTCCGCTTCATCAACCAATCCATTTCCTCGCGTTCCTGAACATCTTGATCCAGGGACCGTACTGGCCCCACTGGCCGATCTTGTCCGAGGGAGCGTAGCTCGCCACGTCAGCCATGATGGTGCGCTCAGGGTGCGGCATCATTATCAGAACCCTGCCATCGCGAGACTTGACACCAGCGATACCCTGGGGACTGCCGTTCGGGTTGAAGGGGTACTGCTCGGTCACGCGCCCGTAGTTGTCCGTGTACCGGATGGGGATGAGACCATCCTCGTTGAGCTTCTGCAGGCTGGTGGCCTGCGATGACGAGAACTCGGCCCGACCCTCGCCGTGGGACACGGTAATGGGGAACGCTGAGCCGCTCATGTCACTGAAGAAGACGGACGGCTCGGGATCCTGGATCTCGACCATGGACCAGCGGGCCTCGAACTGCTCGCTAGCGTTCTGGACAAACGTGGGCCAGTTCTCAGCACCGGGAATCAGCTCCTTGAGACGGGAGAGCATTTGACAGCCGTTGCACACGCCCAACGCGAATGTGTCGGGCCGCTCAAAGAAGTTCTGGAACGTCTTGCGAGCATTCTCGTGCATGAGAATCGACTTGGCCCAGCCCTGGCCGGCACCAAGCACATCACCATACGAGAAGCCGCCGCAGGCAGCCAGACCAGTGAAGCCGGCCAAAGAGTAGCCGTCAAGGATATCCGACATGGTGACGTCAACAGAATCGAAGCCGGCAGCGCGGAAGGTAAATGCCATCTCAGCATGGCCATTGACACCCTGCTCCCTGAGGATGGCCACTCTTGGCCTCGAGTTAACGAGGCCCTTAAGCTGCGCAAACATGGGCAGACCCGTTTCGTTCAGGTCGAAAGTGAGCTTGTACGAGACACCAGGATCCTTGGAATCGGCCAGGGCGGCGAACTCAGACTCGGCACAAGTCGGGTTGTCCCGGAGCTTCTGCATCTCGTATGAAGTGCTGGACCACCACTGCTGCATCTGGGCGCGGTCAAGCTCGACCAGTGTCTTGCCAGATTGCCTGATCTTGAGGCTTTGCGTGTTGGTTGTGGGAACCCAGCCAATCTTCTTGATCAGACCAGGAGGGGGGCCGCACGTCGCGAAGCACCTGGTGAACCGCTTCTCATCAGCAGTGCGGATCTGGAAGACAGCACCGAGCTCCTCGTTGAAAAGCGCCTCGAGAACGTCCTTGGTGGAAGATGACTTGGTCAAGTGCTCAATGAAGATGTCAGCTCCGCAGCGGCCCGCGAACATCATCTCCGCGACTGTGGTGAGAAGACCACCATCAGACCGGTCGTGGTAGGCAAGCACGATGCCCTCCTCGTGTAGCTGTGACAAGGCATCGAAGTAGTCGACAAGAAGTTCCGTGTCCCGCACATCGGGCGCCTCGTTCCCGAGCTGCTCAAAACACTGTGCAAGAGCAGAACCGCCCATAGCCTGGAAGCCCTTGGCAAGATCAACAAACATCAAGCTGGTCTCACCAACCTCCTCGCCACGGCGCAGCTGTGGCGTCCATGTGCTGCGAACGTCTTCAACCACTGCAAATGCAGAGATGACGACGGAGACTGGCGCGGTGACACTCTTGGCCTCACCAGTGGCCTTGTCCTTCCAGGAGGCCTTCATCGAAGTCGAGTCCTTGCCGACAGGAATGGACACTCCCAACTTCGGGCACAGGTCCATGCCGATAGCCTCAACAGCCTCATACAAGGCAGCGCTCTCGCCGGGATGGTTGACGGCGGCCATCCAGTTGGCAGAGAGCTTGACGCGCCTCAAGTCACCCCGACGATCAGGCGATCCCTTGATGGCAGCAGCGCCGAGATTCAGGAGTGACTCGGCAACCGACATACGAGCCGAGGCGGCGGCAGAGATAAGGGCAAGAGTTGGCTTCTCGCCCATCGCCATGGCTTCGCCGTGTCTTGTCTTCTCGTCTGTCGCGAACGACGTGAGGGTCACAGCGACATCAGCAACAGGTGTTTGCCAGGGGCCAACTAGTTGGTCCTGGACGGTCAAACCACCAACAGTCTAGGGAGGTCAGCGAAATGTACTGCTAGCGGGCCAATTTCAAGCACTTACTCTATCAGCAATAGAAATAAGGAACATCTTGGATCCGACAGCTGGCAGGCGGAACACATTCTCAGTCGCACGTGTGATCGCTTGCGACACATCCATGGCGCCATACTTCTTCTCGAGGGTTGCAGCGGCGTCAAAAGCGAGCAGATTCTTCTTGACGCTCTCGACATTCCGCTCCAATTTGCGTCCGGGGGGGAAGAGAGCATCCATGGGGAGGTCAATAGGGACGACCTGAGAATCTCTGTCGGTTAGGACGAGTTTGGCGGCACCATCATTGACATGAGACGTCACGGTGCCGACACGAGAGAAACCGCAGCGTTCGCGTTCTGGTTGAATGTCAGTAGGCTGATCATCATAAAGACACAATGGTGGACTTACGGCAGATCTTGGTGAATCGGTTCATGCCCTTCTCGTTGACGAGCAGGACGTAGCGCTCCTGGGCTTCGTTGCACCAGATCTGGAGCGGGCTCATGCTGCCGTCCGCACTCTCGACTTGGCGAAGCTCAAAGCTACCACCGAATCCAGCATCCTTGACCAGCTCAGGAAGGGCGTTCGACAGACCACCGGCGCCAACATCGTGGATGAAGGCAATCGGGCTCTCGTCGCCAAGGGCGCAGCAAGTGTTGATAACCATCTGGGCTCGGCGCTCCATCTCCGGGTTCCCTCGCTGCACACTGTCAAAGTCCAAGTCGGCACTGGCCTCTCCTGCATCATTACTTGACGCAGCACCACCTCCAAGTCCGATCAGCATCGCGGGGCCACCAAGGACGATGACGGCTGCCGACTCCTCGACGATCGACGGGTCCTTGAGAGCATGCTGAGGACGGACAGTTCCGACACCACCAGCGATCATGATGGGCTTGTGATAGCCTCGCCAGTCAGCCGCAGACTCGTCGCCCGTGTTGGTAAGAAGGGTTCGGAATGTGCCCGTCAGGCAAGGTCTTCCAAACTCGTTGTTGAAGCGTGCCGAACCGATTGGGGCTTCGAGCATGATATCCAGACTGCTGGCGTAGTGGCCCGGACGGCCAATATCACTCTCCCACGACTGCTTGCTGCCTGGGATTAACAGGTCCGAGACCCAGAAACCACAGAGACCAGCTTTCGGCGATGAGCCTCGGCCAACCGCTCCTTCATCACGGATCTGAAGCGATCAAGTCAGTACGATTGAAGATGCATTGAAGGTAGTGTGCACTCACTTCTCCGCCAGATCCCGTAGCGGCACCTATAAACTGATCAGTAAAGGCACTTCTGCATGCATCCGAGCACGCACAACCTGAGACTTACCAGGGAATGGCGAGATAGCCGTTGGGTGGTTGTGAGTCTCGACCTTCGCCAGGATCTGCACAACCTCGCGGGTAAGCTTCCACGTGCCCGTCGAGTAGTCGGGCGCCCAGTAGTTGGCAGTCTCGCCCTGCATGACCGCGGCATTGTCGCTGTAGGCAGACACGGTGAAATCAGGGGCCTTCTGGTGAGTGTTCTTGATCATCTGGAACAGGCTCTTGTCCTTCTTCTCCCCGTCAATGGTCCAGGACGAGTTGAAAACCTTGTGGCGGCAGTGTCTGGGGTGTCAATGTCAGTGGACATGTTTCAAATATGCTCCCAGAAGCTGATAGTCGCAAGCGACTTGGCATAGGAAAGATCTTGACTCACTCAGAGTTGACCTGTGCAAACATGAAGAGCTCGACGTCATGTGGAGGGCGTCCCAGCTTGGTGAAAACACCCACAAGGTACTCCATCTCGGACTGGTCAAGACCGAGGCCCATTTTCTTGTTGTACTCTTGCAAGATCGCCAGCGAATCCTGGCCCTCGGCAAAGATGTCAACCACAACAAGAGGCGCGCGTTCGCGCTCGGCAAACATGTCATCAAGGCTGGGCTTCTCGAGAGCAAAGTGTTCCGTCATGCGGTCGTAAATGATATCGCGGAACGACAGGTCGGGCTGAGCGTTGACGTCTGCGCCATCGTACTCAATCGTGATGACGCGGCCTCTCTCGATGCGCCGGACCTGGTCCTTGAGGCCGCAGACGTGCGCGATGTTGGTGGCCTGAGAGCTCCATGGGGAAATGTTGCGGGGAGTGATGTAGACGTCGACAGAATTCGAGCCGGAAGACGAGCTGTAGGGATTGCTGGAGTCTTCGACCTGCAGCAGCTGCTTGATCTTGTCAAGACTGCTGTCGACAGTCTTCAGGTCGACATAGTAGAGCCGGCGACCACTAATACCGCGGATGTTGACCTTGCCGTTGTTGTTGATGCGGTCGAGCACCTTCTGAGCCTCGGGGCTCGAGAAACAAGACTCGCCAACCAAGACCTCGTACGGCATATTGGCTAGATGGGCGGAAGGGGATCCAAGACTGAGACAAGGTCAATGCCTATGTTCGCCCTGAGAACGCTTCCAGGCGAAAGCCACCATCCAGGATCGGGTCCTTCTTGGGTCGTCATATGAAAAAAAGTTGGCGGGGTACGGTCTTATCGGCCCCTTATCCGTGGTGGGGTCGAGCTAAAGATCGGAGTTGTAGGGTGGAAGTGCATTGGTGGGCCTTCCGTGCTCGGAGGTCGTCCGTGGGGCTGTGACTAAGTCGCTTGAATGAAATCCTCCAGGCGACATTGATTCTCGCAATACGAGAGGAAATTATCAAGATTAAGAAGCTACTGTCCAAAGCTGCCGCATAATCAGCAACGGAGTGGCAACGACGTTGGGTCGTTTTTGTCAAGCTGCTCTGCTTCAGGCCTTCTCCATGTGGCCCAGTTGGCCATTATCTTTGCTTGTAAACATCGTTGACATGACTTCTCGCGCCAGTTAATATTGTTCAACTTGCGAATCCCAAGCGAACTTGTCATCATGTATATATCGACGACAAAGAATGCCAGGCCCGGAGTCCTGCATACACACTGAATTGCCCTGGCCCAGAACCCCGGCGTCAGGGCGATTGCGCCCCTCACAGTCCATTACTCTGAATATTATTGGGTATCTACCTCGCTCACCCCATCATCCAAAATTCTGTATCCCAGGTCATGGCGTCCTCGGTGACCTGGTGGAGGGTTGTTAATGATGTCTCGTGGTAACTGGGGTCAAGCATCCAGCATAGACTTACCATTTCTGCCGACATGTATGAGGAAGAATATAAGTTATTGGTTGATTGCATTTCCGGATTCGCATGCTGAGACGATGGTGATGAAAGCTACACACGGCAGAGGCGCCAAATTAGCATACACGACAAACTCTCCAGGACGGGACAATCAATACGTACCGGCATCGCCGCAATGGCTTCTTGATTTGCGTGAATAGACTGCAGACCAGCTTCGAGAACGTTCTGCATGCCAATCTTGATGCGTTCCCTCTTTTGATCAAACGATCCGCCACAGCACGTCCCAAGAACGACAGTCAAGGCGACGAGGTCTTTCACATCCGTCCCTATTTCTCGTATTCGGACCATGAGGTCATTGAGAACTTCCTCAACTTTGCGCCTCAACCGCGGTGCTGACAGAAGTAGTGAAGACTCTGACGCCGCATGGCATGCCTCCTCGACGGTGTGCTCGGATCCCCTGGTGGAAGAGCCCCAGTTGGAGGACATTGGAGATTTTGCATCTTGGGTTGTATGCTTGATGTAATAGCAAACGCTAAAAAGAGCTTGCAAGATATCCTGCTTCAGGACAAGATGTTGTAGATGCCACACATGCGCATAATCTGGAGCTGTCCTGTCCATGTCGTCGAGATAAGACAGTAAAATCATGGAAGACCGGAGATAACCTGTCATGATCTGTTGTGGCGCGTCAGGGCCACCCAACGCGAAAGGTCGATAAAGAGCAAGAATGGCCCGCCGAACATGCATATCAAGAATAACCCGTGTCATCCATTGCCTCCTCGCCTCCCTAGGGTCGGTCTCTTGGGATCGAGGCAGTGCGTAGCGAATATCCTCGAAGGTCTTCTCCAGCTCTGTGCCTACATCGAGGACCGATTCGAAATCAGGCAAGCTATCAGACCTGTTGATCAAGTCTACGACTTTGAATCGCAGAGCCATAGTGCCAGCAGCGAAGGCCTGGATGCGGGAATCAGTATGCTGTTCTATGGGCCTCGTCTCGGGCAATTCCTCGATATCGGGGTGTAACTCGTCATCGTTGATATTCCTCGGTGGAAGACACGTGTAGTCCCCTAGGCGGACACACGTGGGCAGATTGCACTGCATCGAAAACTGAATGTCGAACTCGAGAATGGTGTACCAAAGCTTGCGTCTTTGCTCGCCCCAAAACGGTGTGATCTTCTGCCCGAATTCTGACGGATCCCGGTGCATGCCCATAGTCATGGCCATCCGCACAATCAGGCCAATATGCCTCCATGACTCCTGATCCCGCGGATCAACCATTCGTCGAGCACACAGAGACAAGACTTCAGTCTGTAAAGTGCGAAAGTCAAGCTGCTTGCCCCGGATGTTGTCGAGCCACATTCTAACAAGCGCTGACGCGGTAGGAATATGGATTCCTTCACGATCGTACATCAGCCCCTTGCCAGCACCATAGAATCGGTATCCTATACAGAGCATGCATAGGAGCTGTGGTACGAAGACTTCTGGCACCTGCTCCCCATTCCAATACTGTTCGTACTGACGCATGAAAGATGGAATGTGGACCGTGCGATAGATAGTTTCCGTCCCCGTGATGTATGTCCGAAGCAGTTGATCGCAGACCGGCCTGCTAGGAAGAATGTTCCTCATGCGGTGCTCCGGGGGCGTTGCTGATGCCACGAACATGGGCAGCGGGGTGGTCACTCGTGTATGTTCGTCGGAGAGTGCCTTATGTATTTTCTGTATGTTGATGAAGAGGTCTCTAATGTCTGCAGGCTTGTTCCGGCTGAACATGAATTCCTTGGCCTCTTCAAACTGCACCACAATCGCGTCAGTCCTCTAAGCAAGTTCGCAAGACATTGCGCAACTAACAGCGCGGCTCGGTACATACCAGATTCAGCAGCACACGGGTGCTCATCTGGCCAAAGAAGCGCGTTCGGATGCCACCCTTGACGGTCAAGCCTCGAATGGTCACAGGCGCTGCCGCTGGCCGGCCGTACCTGGTGCCGATATCAGCTGCTGGCGGACTCTTGGCGAGCAAGATGCGCTCGAGGCGCTCGAGCCTGATCGCATGGTCTTCGAGCAAAGTCGGGGGCGTCCCAGAGGCCTGCCCATCAGGTTGCCGAAGATTCAGCGGCTGCGACCAATTCCGCTTGACTGGGCGGTCTGCTGTCTCCCCGTCCGAGCCTTCCGACAGGTTGGCTGGATCTCCATCCGGCGCATATTTACAAGTGCGCTGCGATTTCTGACATTGTGAACACGGCAGCAGCCTGTCGCACTTGAGCTTGCGCTTCCGGCATTCTGCGAGCCTAGTTAGCACCCGGGAGAACCAGGAATATGGACCGAAGACACCATCGCCACGACGACTTTTCCCACTTACCTGTACAGGACTTGACCGGACGCGGGCGCTTGACACTCCGGGAGCCAAGGCCACCGGCGCCAAGGCCGAGAAGGCTGTTGTCGGCGTCTTGATTTGTGCCAGAGGGCGAGCCGAGGTCGTCCATGGGCTCCAGCAAGAAACAGATTTTCGCCCGAGGGTCAAGGGCAGCAGGAAGGAAGGCGCAGGCCAGACGGCGACGACAGTGGAGATGGGAAGGACAGGCGAGAGTCTATTGACCAGGACCAAGACAGCATAACGAAAACCCGGGCGGCGAAACCCCTTGTCCCAGGCAAAAGGGAGCGATTGCACGAGAGACTGGTTCGGCCGAGTGATGGAGGAGGTGGACGACACGGAGGAAGCAGCCGTTGTGGCACGAGGGGAGCGACGCACGCTGCGGAATATGCAGAGCGTGGCCGGGACGAAACATGCAAGTGCGGAGGGGCGTGTGCGGCGCCCCGACGGCGGGCGTGGCGGCAGCCGGTGGGCGCTGAAGCTTAGTGGTGGCCGCGGGGGGCCTCAGGCCCCTGGGTGCGGCCCACGCAGCACTAGAGCCACACACGCCGTCGATTCTTCATGGCCGCCCAGCCGACTTGCATGCACCGTCCCGCCTTCCTCTCCTGCCCAGGCGGTCGAATCCGAGCCCGGTGCTATTTTATGCCTGCAGCCGGGGGTTACACCGAGTCCTTGCACCCTACAGCCTATACCATGTGTCATCACCGTCCCCATCCCATCAGAGACGCCGCCGGCTGGTGTGTCTTCACGTTGAAGATTCGGTGGTGGCGCCCTCGCCTCCCGTCGCGATTTGGCAACGGACGTGTATCTTTGAGGTTCTGGCTGGGGCAGGCGACGCCGGGCAGCATCAGCACCGATATTCACACGTGGTAATGGCTGGCCCAGGCTCCCTCGCCAATCCGGAGCAGGCTGCCCTCTCCGCACGGCGATCGCCAAATGCCTGCCCGAAGCGACACGCACGATTGACGACGCACACGCATCTGTCAGACAATCCCTGCCCGCCCAGTCTCGCCCGCCCACTGAGCTCGGAGCACTGGGGCCACTTGTTGCTCCATGCACAACACGACCCTAACCTCGCCTACCCAGACACAAGGCCCATCGCATGTCCTTCCTTAATCAGCGCTGCCCACTGGCCCGGAGGCAATCTCAGTATCGGCCGAGCGGGCCACCTCGCAGAGTGACCGCCACCTTGCAGCACGTTCGACCGTCATCTGCTCCGGCCGGACCGGCTTCCTTCTGGCTCGGCTCACCCAAGATCTTCACGCCCGCCACATTAGCCGGAGGCAAACCCCCTGTAGGCCAACCACGGCTGTGCTTCGCGGCAGTTGAGCATCCTTTGCCTGCGTGCCTTTTGGTACCTATGCGCAACGCGAGGCTGGCGGGAGCCTTCGCTCCGCCGCGCCACCACGCCCCGACGAGTACCCCAAGCTCCAGACTTCTGGACCTGGCCCTAGGCTGTTTGAGAGCAGACTGCGGAATGCTGCCGCCATCCTCAGAATTTCCTCGTTATTAGCGCTCCATCCCCACGCGCGTGGCGTGTGCGCCCCATGCGGTCTGAAACAACCCAATCAGCCTGGTTGTTGCCCAGCGCCCAGCGTGGCACCTCGCGCTTTGATTGCATAGTGGGCGCCGACAATTTCGCTTTGTTCCGATCGCCAACCTTAATATCCGAGCACTAGTCAGCCATGGGACGCACCTGCACACTTGTCGCTTGTGTCGCCTGCATGACAACAGAACGCGACTGTGCTCAGCACTTGGTCTGAATCAAAACCAGCAGCATGAAAGGATTCGGGCATCACGAATTAGACACCGTCCCGAGCCCAATATCACTGCCAAGTGCAGAACGCAAGCAGCGCATCAAGGAGCTTGCCGTGTCCCCGTGCCAGGGCATGCTCACTGAGACATGGGTAGTCCCGTTGGGCATTGCAAAAATTCACGGATCTATCCGAGGCGCGCGCAGTTGGGTTTGAGGTTTGTCATGCATGGACCCTCAGCTATGCCACAACAACGGGACAATCGCCTGGAATTGGCCAGGCGCAGGTCAACCACTGCCCGTTCGGTTAACCGAATTCCGGAAAAGACCTCGCTCGAGTCCCTGATGTTGTGCAGGCCAGCCTTGTCTGTGTTCGAACTGAGAAGGTCTAGCCGCTCCCCATGATCCACGGCGCACACAACTCTTCCGGTCGGCCAAGAACCCCAGGGAAATGATTCTCCCTGGGTGCGATTATACGCCTCGAGCTGGGCGCGTCACTCGTGCTTGCGTGATTCGACAAAGGCCGAGAGGCCGACTTGCCAATCTGCAGCATTCAATGTGTGGCTCTCGGGGCTCTTAACAATGACGAGCGGGGACAAGTAGCAGATGCAATGCGCGAAGAATGTCAGCACAAGTCTGCCTGTCCAGCCATGTGTGTGTGGGCGCAACTCTACCCCGTATTCGAGTCGAGCAAAGGGAAGAATTGGGCAGTAAACAACCACCGGTTCAGTCTCTCCCCTGCATGCCTCCATGTTCTGGCATGGGACTTTAGCGCACGATATGGTAACAAAGTGACAGTTAGCAGGGGCTGCCAGTACCCGACCAGCCCACGGCCCATTGTCCCATGCAGGAAGTCGGCTTAGACAGTGACCGAGAAGTGGATAGCACACATGCAGGGCCCGTGGCAAAGCTTGTGCCTGCCCATGAGATGGCAGCCAAGACGGAGATGTCGGCTGTCAGCCTTGCCCCTCTTGGACTGAGCAGAGAGCCGAGACAGGTTCGTGTCGCAGCATGCAGCTGAGCAATTGACGCAAGCGAGTTGATGCGAGGGGTCGAAGTTCCGATGATAACTTACCGCACGTTCGGTCCGACATGATATTCTTGGACCAATTGGGATCTTGGCTGAAACGTTTGTCGTGTACGGCATTATAAGCATTTCGGACTTTCAAGGGCATGAGTGGTCAATTTCATATCTTGTCGGTGCCTCCTACGAGGATGCCACATACCAGCGTCCCCGTCCGCTTCACTAGACTTGCGGACCATTGTCAGCCTGCTACAGAGTCGATGCTTCCGCGGCGGTCAACTTAACCAGCTTCATACTTGTGCCGCCAGCGGGGCTTGCACCAGACACGGATACAGCAGACAGGAGAAGCTCGACCACTGATTGTCAAACTGGCAGTCGATAATGTCCGTCAATCAAGCTCGGTTGGATTGTTGGAGAATCCCTGGGCTGCATGATGCAGTCGAGCAGTAGGAGACATGCACATAATTACCATTAGACAATTCCTCTAGGTTCTAGCGACTAGGGGTTCGAAACGCAGGACCGGTGTTCACGTGGACATACAAGCGACCACCCCAAAAGGTAGGATCACACCCGTTTCGTCGCTATAATTGTTGGATCATGAGATTACCACAGTCTACAAGGGGGCTTCGTTCATCTCGCCAACGATGGAGATATGGGCGCCAGGGGCAAGCCGAGATGGTTCCTGGCGACGCAGGCGCGAGGAGCCCAATGGAGGGAGCGCATCTAGCCTACGATAGCGACATTATCACAATGTATCGAGGGGCAGAGCAGATCTGGGAGCAGCGATCGATACCGAGTCGTATATGTGATTTTGATGGCAGTGCGGGGCTTCACGGTCATGGATTTCCAACCACGTGGGATGCCTGGCTGGAAAGGACAACCATCAAAGGGAAAGATGGATAAATCTATCCATGGAAATCCGTGCAGATGCCCATTTCATTCGGTAACTTTGTCTCATAGGCATGCGTCGGCATGGGACTGTCCGCGCGCGGCGATATTGTCACTGTCATATCGGAAGCACTGCTCCAGCATAGGGATATCTCGCCGTAGGTCTGAGTCGCTATGCTATTTCCAGAATTGTTCTGCAGCCGCCACACCAAAGTGGTTTTGGCCGGGTTGCGGACGTGTTGGTGAAGTACTGCGGCGATTCCGTTGATGGTGCCACACCCTAGAGGCTGCTGAGGGACCATGAGCGCCGCTCCTTCGTACGGCGCAGTCCGTCCTCTCCGAGATATTCCCACGTATTTGGGCTGTTACCTCTAGGTGGTTCATTCCTTCGGAGGCCGAAGAAGTTCTCCACGAGTATGGATGGCTTCATGCCGAGACGAGTCAGTAAGAAGGGGTTTGGTGCTTTTATACAATTTATGTCTGTCCATCTGTATGGCTGCATCAGTCAGTAGAACAGTGCTGTTATCTTTCCCAGAGGAAACATATGGCTAAGCAATGGACGCGGTCGCCGGCGGTTAGGCGAGTTGACTGTGCGGAAGCATTTTCCGCCTCGGCATCGAATGCCGTTAAACTCACAGCAGAGGCGTCCAATTTAGACGAATCCGTGCCACAGGCTGGTGGCACGGGCGAGGACCATAATTATTGCACAAGGAAGGTTGAAAATGAAATCGCTAACCACCCAAGTGGGCATATCATTGTCATTATGATTCAGTCAGTCAGGACCTCGAGCATTGTAGGTCCGTAAATGCTGTGCTCATGCCGCCAAGTCCGCCACACCAAGTCTTTTGCGGCGGGTATAATCTCACATTACGATTTCCTGGCGAGGTATACTGTTGTCTAGCTGTAGCTGGACGTAGCCTTGACAAAGTGCTCAAAAGTATTCCGCAGTGCTTCCTGGAGCTGACGCTACGAAACACGTCGAGCAGGTATGAAGGCATTCTTACCATATCCACGGGCCGGACTAGTCTCGTGATAGTTATTGGGCCCTCGTTTCTCCCCGTGTTTCGGTACAGGCTATCATCCTGACGTTGTTCCCAATGGGTCGGCTCTAAAATGTCCCGGCCCAAGCCAGGCTTCATCCGAGCCCGAACATAAAGGCCCATCGCTCAGGTATATCGAGGAAAACATTTTTCAACAACGGAAGTCCTAGCATGGTTGTCAACTACTGACTTTTAGGACGAGAATAGAGCAAACCTCACAACAGCTTGGTGTCTAGTTGAGCACGGCTGGATAAGACCTGGGCTAACACAAGTGAGAAGCACCGGGAACCCAAAGAAGCAGCCCGCTGATCTGGACGACCTAGATGTTGTCCTCCACCTCAGCAGTTTCGAATCACAGGATGGAACTTCAAGGTGGCAGAAACGACCATATTCGGTGGAATCTATCCCGAGTCCCGTATGCCGACGAAACCACTAGATAAGTACGCAGTTACCAGACATCATCCACCATACGTACATTGGAGCCAAGTGGGATCACGACAATCCCGGACCAGCCATGGACGACGCATTCCATGGTGTTGTTCCACTACAGGCAAGAACGGAACATGGCGGCGACGATAACAACAACAATAACAGTAACTGCACCGCCGGCCAAGAATAGCAAACGCCCTTCACACATGTCCAGCACCGACGACTCTCTAAACACAAAACTCCAATATAACCCAATACCTGGCCATGTCACCTTTTCTTCCAACACTTATTTACAATAAACACACCAAAACCACATTCCGCCTGTGGTCCAAAACCGCCTTGTGCGGAGAAGAAAGTACAGATATGCCCCAAAAAAGTGCCGCCAGAAACAAGAACACAAGACACCACGAGAAACTACTGAACAAAGGACCCCAAGACAAGCAAGACCTCGGACTTCTTCCCACGGCCCTTCTGACAAATCGCAGAGTCAAGCGACTGCTCTTACTTACTCCTCCTGTTACATATAAACCTCACACACAGGTTTTCTTTCAGTAAAAAGCCGCCTTCCGGGGTCCGTCTGCCCTGTCCGTCAAACTCCGGCTGGTCCCTCCCTCATTTTCTCTCCGTGTCCTCCCTTCTTCTTCGATCCGGACCACGCAAACTCTGCTTGTTGATAAACACGCCGCGCGGATTTAACCCGAGCTAACCGCAGAGCAAATTTCTCATCGCAGACAAGACAAAATCACAATTTCTAAGAGATCCTCCATCTTCCATGAAGTATAAGCCAAATACGTACGCTCATGACAAGGATCCATTTAGGAACGGCGGCAAGAAGAATAAAGATAAATGAAGGAGGGAGAGAGAAGGGAGGTTCAAAGCTGTGCCGTGTGCCCTAATCTTCCGTCCGGCAACCTTGAGTTGGGTTTCGATAGCCGAAAAGTGAAAAAAATAAATAAACAAAGCGACACTGAAGGATCTTCTCTTTGGACATTCTCCTTTCGGAGTATTTTCTTTCTTTCTTTCTCTCGTCAGGCTTCCCCTTGCTATCACCTCATCTGCTCTACTCTAGCATGTTATCAGGACCGCCCCCCTTCTCCAACTGACCGCACACCCCTCACCTCCAAAAAGTGTGTTAGCTCCGAATGGTGTCCTGACGTCCTTTACAAGAAAGCTGACTGGATTTAGACCGCATTAGCGCGTCCGAGAAAAACCTTTCTGTCTTGGTTGAATTTTTCATTCAGCTCGTGTCCGAGTCCGGACGTGGGATGGTTCTGTCAGAGTCATCAAACTTCACAACTCATAACAATCACGGATTTTGCCATGTCATGTTCTCAGAATATGCAGTATATTTCAGCATGGTTAGTGCTGTCCTGGTGCCATCGCTGTCACATGTGCGACATCATGTAACGACCTCTCGCACCAGGCGTACGAAGCTCTCCGGAGAGAAGCATTCGCCGAGTACGGCGTGAGCCATATAGCTGCAATAATAGACGCTGCGGGCAAATTAAGAATTTGCCCGCAATGCGCCGCAAATATTCCAACAAGAGACCTTGAACTTACAAGGCAGCGCCCTGAAGCACATCCCTGAAACGTCCTTCTCTTTGTCCTCAATCTGTGTCCTCTGTGTCCTAGGATCTCTCGTGAGACGCGACCGGTGCCCGTAAATGTCAAGATAGTGCCAGCTGTCTTGGGACAGCCGCGATGATGGTGGTAGAACCAAAAGTTCTGGGTATAAGCTCGTGCCGTGAATGCCGAGTAGTGGTGAAAAATCAAAAGTGCCGTGGGTCATTCCGGAGAGTGACCGGATAATGGGTGTTCTCCCCAATCTCTAAATGTGCTGATAGACCCGAACCATGAAAAGATGCAGTTGATGTGCATGATCTATATGATATGAGGTGTGCGTGCGTCGGAGAGCACGAGATGCGATGAGAGAAATGCGGTTGGGTATCCAACATGGGAGGGAAAATAAAGTCACAAGTGGCTGCTGTATCGTCTATAACGTTGCTGTGGGCGGGGCGTTCGGTTCCATCGCCTTATTTAGCAGTGCTTCTGATCGTCACTGCTCGAAGACGATGATGTCTTCTGCTTTGACTTTGTGTGGTGTTGTTGGTGGTGGTGGTGGTGCGATGACGAGTGATGGGAGCGAACCTGTGATTGAACCGTTAGTATTCAAGTCGAAGGACATGAAGTACATATTGACGACAAGAAGCGTACCCGTTGACGTCCGCGTCTCTCTTCCTCGACAGGGGCGGTGGGCGCCTGCCTCTCCTCCTCATACCACGCACTGAGGCTCTTCCCGCCAAACATGAGGTCGTCATCCTCAATCTCTATGGGCTGCATCCAGCCATAGCCGTGGGATAGCTGCGTGTTGTCCTCGAGGGAGAAGTACGAGTAGGCGTCATCGTCGACGCGATGCGCGGGTGTCGAGGTGGTAACCATGATGAGAGGCGAGCCCTTGTGTGCCTGGGAATTGTGTGCCGTCTTGTGGGTAGCCTTGGGCGAAGTCCTGAGCGGTGATCGAGGCTGGGGGTGTGGCGAGTGCTTATGGTAGCTGTGTTGCGAGCCGGCGCGTGTTCGTGAGAGTCTGGTGTCGTCGGAGGCTCTGGGGCTGTTCTGCGTCATGTCATGAAGATGGAGGATCAAGAAGTTCTCCCCGGACGTGTGCAGCTGGCGGCGGGTGGGTTGTTATTGATTGTTGATGCGTTGGTGTGTGGGTGGCCGCGTTAAAGGGGGACAGGGGCGCGACACCGGAGGGGGGGCGGTGGTGGAGGGTGCTCAGAGTCAGCTAGCTCGGCAGGCTAGAAGAACCTAGAGGTGGAAGGTGTGGTAGGCTGACAAGCGGCGGACGCGTGAGCCTCTTTGTACGCCCCGAAATGTGCCGATCGGGAAAAGCGAGGTGGTGGGCCGCCGGAGCAAGACGAGAAACCTTTCGAGATGGTGGTGGTGGTGGTGGTGGTGGTGGTAGTGCTGCCTGACGGGCGTGGCGCCTGATGTGCTGGCGACGGTGGCTGCAGTCGTGTCGTGTTGCAGCGGCAAGGCCTGACTCACTTTGGATGCCGTAATACGCTGACGGGCACGTCTTGTGTGTGTCTGTGTGTGGTGTTGGTGTCAGGTGTTTGCCGATGATCCTGACTGAAGAGCCGAGTAGAGCAACCGGGTGATGTTTGAGGCAGATGATGAGGGTTGACAGATGATACTGCGTGTGCTGATGCTGATGGCGAGGGAGCAGCTTTGGAAGGAAGAGGGCAGCAGTGACGGGCTGGCAAAGGGGGGAGGGCGGCTAGCAGGCCCCTTAAGTCCCAGGCGGTTGCCCGGTAGGCAGGCAGGCAGGGCAGGGGCGGAGGCTGGGCAGAGGCACGAGCCTGGAGCAGGCTGTGGGGTGTCCGAATCCAGTGGGGCCCGCCCGGCTCAGCACAGGTACGCACGCCCGCAAGCCCCAGGCAGCTTCTCCAGCCCCACGCCCCCGTCTCTCGCAACCGCAAACCACTTGCTGGTTCTCGCAGAGTTCTGCTCTCCAGGCCAGCATCTTGACATCAGGGGCATCCAGCCAGCCAGCCAGCCAGCCAGCCAACCAGCGGGCCCGGCGGGGAAGGCCGCATCTAGGCGACCCGGGACACCGGCCGCGGGCGAGACCATGGAAAGTCACGATGGCTTCGAGGCTCGGCCGCAACAACAACACAAGGTGCAGCACGACCCAAGGTTTCGGGCATGTCTCTGTTCCCCTAGTCCAGGCCGGCCGGGTGCTGGGCCTAGGCTGGAGGGGGTGGGCTGAGAACCGATGGCCGCGAGATTGCGGTGCGTGCCTAACCGCGCCTTAACAACCACAGCCCAGCCCAGCCCAGCCTCGAGTATCCGTTGCTCCAGAGAACGACATGTCCATTCCTTGAGACCGCGGTTGTGGTTTGGAAATGCAGACAGGCTGCCTGCGTCAAGGGCCGCCCCGTTTCCCCAGACGGTGGTGAGCATTTGCTGCATCGAGACTGACTGGATGGAGCACGCACGGGCTTGCGTTTCACAGACAGGCAGGCCGGCGGTGGTCGCCCCACGGTTGCTGCTCCTGCCCACGGCCGGCCCCGCCAGGCGGCGACAGGCTGGGGGCTGCCAAGGCTGTTGCGCGCTTCCCAATGGGCGGCTCCGAAGCCAGTGGCCCCCTTCGTGGCGGCCAGCCCATGTTTCGCCCCTTTGGGCGGATCCTGCCTGCGTGCCCTTTAATCATTGCAGCTCGCCTCAGATGCCTCGAAACAGCAACGCGAGGAAACGCACCGGCTTCTGGGCTGTGGCCTCGTAAGAGCACGGCAGCATGCACAGAGTTCTGCGGTGCGGTCGTGTAGCCTTTTCTCGCCATGACTCAAACCCTAGGCCCCGACGTCTACCAGTGTGGCCAGGCTGTGACTCGTAACAGTGCTCGTCGAGCCCAGCCCACACCATCTGGACCATCTCTATCAGGCTGCGGTGACGAGCAGAGTCCAGACACCTGAGTCGCGTCCTCGTCAAGCCTCACCCTGAGCCTGAGCCAGAGCCTCGGCCTATGGCGCCCCGCCGTTCGCCATCATGGACTGACCTTGCTGGCCGCCGCGTCGCCGCATCATCATAGGCGATCTTTGGCAGCTGGGAAGGCTGACGCCCCCGCCGCCGCAACCACACGCCACTAATTATGAATTACCCCCTTGAGGTATGGATTCAAGGGTCCAGTCCGTCCATCGATGGTCGCACACTGCCGAGACGAGACAGGCACACCTCCCCGCGAGTTTGGCAGGTGCTGCAGATCGACATTCCGTATTGTCTACATGCTGGCCGAATCCAGCAGCTGCGATAAGCCGGCCCGAGCAACGTCGTCGTCCCAGGCTAGCCGCCCGCATGCGAGTATTACCTGCATGAAGGACGAGAGACCCTGGCCCCCACCTCGTCCTGCCCGTGCGGTCCATGGATCGATCCCGCCCGAGGTCAAAGTGGCAGGTTTCCCCTCACGATGCCACTTGGCCCCTCCCCTCTGCCGCCGCCACGGCACAGTCAGGTTCGTTTGCTTCCACTTGTCGGCCGTTGAGCCCGCCAGGCGGATGCCAGTGTCCACAGATCGACATGCGAACCGCTTTTCCTCTCTCCGTGATCCACCTCCGCTCCGCCATCTCCTCTTGATCGCATCGCATCGCTGGGGGTGGTCAGCATGACGATGATGACATTTCGCCCCATTTAGCACGCAGCCAAACCCGCTCGCTTACGTTTGCGCCCTCCGCTCGTGCAAAGCCACCATGGCCCAACAGGGCGCGCGGCAAAGTACCGCCGTGTCAGCCCAGCATAGAGCTGAGGTGAGCTGATGCCGTTGCAACATCACCTAGGTTGCTGAGACTGCCCGAGGCTGCGGGTATGACTTCGATACCGCGATGCTGTGCAGCACGCCTCGAAACCTTGGCCGGGTTAACTGCACCTGACCACCGCCACCAATATAGAATCACACGGTCCGACATCCTCGCAGTCCAGCATGGTCCAACGATGTGGTGACGCGACCATGGCGTTTTGTTCGGCACACTCAAAGCAATACCAGATGCACGTACACACATTGTTGAGCGATCGCATGCATGGTTCGCGGCGCCACCTTGCCGTTTTGACCTTCACAAGCAGAGTTGTTGAACACTAGCTGGCATCACCGTACTGTCAACAATCCAGTGGCGTGCATGTCCTCTAGCGCTGCCATACCTGACCCAACAGCTCGGTGCGTCGTCGTTCGGCCGGCAGCCACCCGGCCTTATACGGAACAGGGAATGCGCTATCGAAACTCGTGTGGCAGCCCCCCAAAGTCGCAGCCAATCGCTGCCCGCATAACCACTTCCACCAGCCAGCCTAGAAATCTGCTGTAGCCGTCGATCGAGCTACGGTAATTCGTCGGTGGCACACCCGACCACGGCGCTCGCTCCGGTCGACCGCCGGCCGTGAGGGAGAGGGGGAGGGCTCTGTGTGCACAGTGATTCGTTCGCCTTTACTCTCGTGGCATTCCTCACAGCTTTGATTCCGCGGGTCCTCTTGGGGAAAGTCGGGCCTCGCGGCGGCAATGGCTGACAACTGAGCCGAAGACGTGCCGCTATTCGTGGAAATCGCGGTAGTCTTTTCTGGCAGCTTGTTTGGCCTCGCTCCTTTCGCTCGAGGGTCTTCAATTCGCCATGCGCCATTTTTGATGGGCATGATGAGGGCATCCGCATTGCCCAAAAGAGGCAGCACCGCGCCCTCGGGAAAAGCACCCGAGACCGACCAAAGACTGGACGGAAATATATCAATCAACCCCTCCCCCTTGCAAGCAACACGCGGTAAATTCCACACTTGGGCTTTCGAACCACAAGAACACACACAAGCCCAGACATGAGTCCTCATTAGAGTGTTGTCGGCCCTTTTCCTTTAACGATGCAGCTACCACGATGCCGACCATGCCGGTTTGGCGTGCCGCGCCGTCAAGAGGGAGAACGTTGCATCCTTCGGCCGTCTTGCGGTGCCGATCGTTCGGTGATCTCCCGTGGCTTCGGTGCCCCCAAGTGATGACTGCGACCCCACTTCGCAGCTCCGATATCCTGCAGCAATGACAGCACGGCAAGCCAGGGGGGGTTATTTGTATTGTCGATCTTCTTTACTATTTGATCTCGTCTCGTCGACAATGCCGTCAAAAGGCGACAGCACTTTTGACACGGATTTACACGGGCATGTGGCTGGCTTTTTGAGTTGCCTTTTCATGAGCTGTGAGGTACTGATCGAGTGAACGCTCCTTGCACTCAGTGGAGAGATTGATGGCTGCCCACGTCCTCCTCCACGCTTGCAAGACCAGTGCGCAGCAACATCTGTCCCCCACCGGACATCCAAGAAAACCTCCGTGTTTTTAGCGATACTTGCTTTTGGCCCTGGTTTTGGTTTTGCCCCGCGTACGCGTCACTTTCACAAGTGTGCCTGCGCGCGTGAGTTCCCCGCGTCTCCAAAACCTGGGGAAACCCTATTTTCATTTTGTTTGTGTTTTGCAAAAAAGCAGGATTTGATGGGAATAAATGTGTGTGTGTGCGTCGGTGTGTGAGTGGTGTTACACTCTCTTGTGGCTTTCTGTGGGGAAACAAATCATACGTGTTTACGGCCTGACCCAAAGTATAGACCTTGTGTGCGTGCGCCATGAAAGCTGTGTGTGCCCTCTATCCCCAGTCTTCCCTTCTTGCCTCGGGCCATTTGCGCATCTGATAAAACGAAAAAGGTTGGCCCCGGGGAACGAGAGAAACGACAAGGCGATAAAACCGTGAAGAGTTGGTGCGGGTGCATGGTGCATTCATTCCTATTGCATGGTTCCCCCGTGTCGCTACAGACTTAGTCGCGCGGGTTGACAGTCTGGGGCCGAAGATGAAGGACACGGGTCCCAATTGGGGCACCACATGGCAGAGAGTTTGGTTTTGACATGTGCGCAGGCCAGTGGGGGGGGGGGGGGTTGAGAATGCGGGGAAACTTGGGACCCTGCCTTGTCTCTCGTGGGGGTGGTTATCAGGGAGTACCACCACCAATTGAGCAACAGCAAGCAACAGCGACAATCGACAGCAATAGTATGACCCTGACAAATAATGCAGGGTATTTGGAGGACCCGAAGGCCGAAGGGGGGAGGAGGGAGCATGTGTTTACAGCAACAAACAGCAGCAGCACGCCAGGACTCGGGATCTGAACCATGACAGCCAAGAAAGGTCAATGGTGAAGAGCATGGGTCGCGATGGAAAACGGCGGGTGTATCTGGCCGAGCTGGAGTCGACGCACGATATTACCAGCAAATGGATGCCTCGGAAAGATGGCTGTGTGTGTGTGTGTGCATGTGTGTGTGTGTGTGTGTGTAATACCGTGTATCGTGTGCATCTCGTGAGCATCTCGTGATGTGTGAAAATGAGGATGTGATTGGTGGCACAAAAAAGTAAGCCGTGCCTACGGGTGCTCGGGACGCACTCTTTCGAACTCGTGTGGCCCGTGAAGAAGCGCGTATTTACCTTCCCTGAGGTAAGTCAAGACACCTGCAACTGCTGGCCAGTCTTGCTTCTGTCTCTCTTCCTACTGGGGTTCGCATTAATGATTACACTTGTCTTAGGGTAAACCGATAAATGAGCGTAGGTCTATGTGTGTGTGTGTGCGCGCGCTCGGTGGGACGAACCACGTGCAGTGCAGCGTGTCTTGTGAATGGTCAGGGGGAAGCAACCCTCAAATAAACCACCGGTTGAGTGGGCGTGGAATGCTTAGCAACGTGACCATTTTTGTTACATTTATCCTCGAGATTTCCTTAGATTGTTAAAGCTGTTCTTATCTCCAGTAGGGGTCATGCTGGGCGTTGTGCCGATCTCTCTCTCTCTCTTTCTCACTCTATAAAGCCGAGTGGGTGCACGCAAGGTCTAGCGGACACGGGACGAGGAGGAGTGGTTGTACTTACATTTCGGCAGGAGTCATTTTGCTCATGCACACGCGCTCGGGATTGTATTTCATGCCTCGAAGCATATCATATCTCGTAACCACATGAACTTCACGCCTTACAATGCGGGGGGTCTGGCCGGGGTCCTTGGATCTGGTCTGGCCTGGTCTGTTCTGGCCAGGACCCGTTGCAAGCCATGGACGGCGAGGGGACGACGCAAAGTCTGGATGTTTGTCAACTGGCTTTTAAAGTTTATAAAGCAAGGAGTGTTTCACAAGATGCCACGTGTATGCCACAGCCCTATCATGATGCCTCGCAAGCACATGGTGTACATAATTTCACAGTATGGTCACGGAAGCACGCTCTTCGAGGTACACCTTCTCCCACGGGGACCTGCTGTGTGGGTTCTTGGCAAGGAGAGGCGCGGCCATCTTCATGCACGAGCACTAATGAGATTGGCTTAGGTCGGCGAGGTCGTCGACACCACTCTCTTGTTACCATGTGTACGCCCCAAAAACAGGTACTGGCTCATTGCGCCGGCGTGACCAGATCATCATGCAATGCAACTCAAAGGGCAACGCAAAACAGCGGTCCGAGCTCCGCCCATCGAATGGGAAAATGCGATTTCAATCAAAACCCGATGGTCAACAGACAGGGGCGATGGGCGAGAGGATGGGATATGCACAACCGGGCAGAGGGCAAGCTACTTTTTTCCTTGCTTTGATCTCGTTGGCATAATCATGATGTTGTCATCCACGAAAAACATACGCGGCCGGACTTTGTACTATGGTATATGTTCTAGCGCTGGTGCGCAATGTTTGCTAGTGGGGACCAGCAAAGATGCAGATCAGGGAGGATCTGTGCAAGCTGTTGGAGGGCTATCGTATTCCTGGTCCTGCGAAAATGGGGAAAAGCTTATCGGGATCTTGAGAAATCGAGACAGGCGGCCTCTATCCCACCAGGCAAAAGGCATGGCGGCTACAGGTGGCATCTTGTAGCTGGGGGGCGACGAATACTACAGCAAGTAACGACTGCGCCCGCGCCATGTCGTCATGGTTTTATGGACTTGGAAGGGGCCATGTGTCTACGTCCCGTGATCGCTTGGTGCAGCCATCTGTCAAGACTAGAGACTGCCGCGTGACGGGCGCTTTATCGCTCGTTGATCTCGGTGCGTAGCAAGGCCAGCCAAGCCAGATCACCTGCCTCTTCGCTGCAGTGCCTGATCAGACTGAGCGGTGTGAGCGCATCATCGTTATCATCTCGTCGTTGTCGTCGTCGTCGTCGTCGCTCGGTGAGCTTGCTTGTGCTAACCTGGGTTGGCCAGCGGGCGGTGGTCGGCGCAAGGCCCGCCAGAGTGGCACTTGGCCAATTGCACCACCCCCATCCACAGATCCTGTGGGTGTGGGTGTGTCGTTGACATGTGGCAGTTGTGCCTGACGCATGCAGGCCTGCATCTTCCAGACACCGGCGTGCCATGGGTTATTGCCCTTGACGATCCTGTCTGCAGTGCAGTGCAGCACGCGTCGGGATGACGATGGAAAGGGGCGTTCCCGCGCAGATGTGGCGCTTGACCGCTGGCTGGCTGCCTGATGATTTGGAAACCCCATCAGCCAAATGCGCCCCCGTCATCACGACTCAGGATGACAGGATCACTTTGCACTGACTGGCGTAGTCGTCTGTGGCGTGGCGCAGGGGCTGGTGGCGACGTGCCCTGGCCAAACTCGATGACCCTTCCGAGTAATTCGTTGCACGTGCATCCTGCAGGACCACGACTCGCTGCAGTCCACCATGCCCAAAGAGCACGACTGCACTTCTTTGCTTGCGTCACAATGTTCAGCGACGAGCCATGTCTCATCTTGTTGCCGTCGAAAACCGGGTGCTTGTGACAAATCACCGTTTTGGCAAGGTACCATCCCGGCGGCGCCTACGCAACCGTTCACACGTCAAAGACAACGAACAAGGTGAGATCGCAGCTGCAATCGAAAACACCCCAAGAGGCCTCAGCCAAAAACCTGTTGCAACTTGAGAGCCATGACACCCTGCCAGATCGCGGTTCATCGGCTCCGTTGACGCCCCGCCGCCTCCCCCGCGCCAGGCGAGAAAGACGCGACCGGGGGCGCGCTCGGCAGTACAGTACTGTAAGGGCACGATCCCTCCTGTTGCGCCTGTGGACCCCAGGCGGACAAGGTTGGCCGCCCTGACGTCATTGCGTCATCGGCTGGAAGCCACAACGCCGCCAGCCAGGACAACTGTGACCACCAAGCCGGCCAGAAATGCTCGAATGGTCCCACTGAACCGTCGAAGAAAATCCCCACGAAAACGGCTTTCCGGCAGCGGGACGACCGGGGGCTCTCGGTGAACCAGGACCCGTCTGCGCTTTTCGGACACTTGAAAAGCGAAAATGATGAATGGACGTGGATAAGAATGACGACATTGCTGGGCTCTCTTGCTGTTTTCGGTCTTGCTTGGAAGAATGTCTGCTGGTGGTGCCTCTGTTTGCACAGCGGAGATCGGGCGTACCCGTCCTGGTTCTGGCAGGTTCCCAAAAGTTCGGGGGCGATCGGTTGGCTAAGGTTGTCGGCCAGCGTGTCGGTAACTAACTGATCTGGGCCATGACCGGAAGGTGAGGTCTTGAAGACAAGCATTCAAGAAAACATATGCAATGCGTTCTGTGTAGTTGAATCCCCTTCTTGTGCTGAACTGTCAGGCATATGGCCAGACTTTATTTCTCAACCGGGGCAAAGAGAACGCCGAGCAAAACGTTCAGCTTCAATAAAAGATGTGATACAGCCAGGGAAGGCGACCCAGACTAATTCATGCTACTCTCTCTAGAAGAACACCGACCATCTTCAGGTTTGTAAGAAGAGTTGCTGCGATTTAGTTGAAGCACACACAAGACTCACCGTTCCTCAGCCAACAGCCACGTATTTCTGGGCCGATCGCCATGCGCTTTACAGCTCTGGCAAGGTCGATATAATCAGAGAACGCCGTCTTTGCAGAATGCTTCAGATCCTGGCTTTGAGGTCAATTTCAAGCACATCCTTTTCTGGTTCCGCCCTAGAGACTCGGTGGTGGACGACTTTGGCTTCAGTGATGTGACCAGCGGGATGTGTTTTGTGATTTCCGAATCCGCAGCCAATGTACCCCGTGTCGATGTAGGTCAGCATCCTCTAAGTTGATGTGTTTTTCAACGTTTATGCAGTGTGTCACGCCGATCGGAGTTGCACCCTAAAATGCAGTCATCACTTTCAGACATCGATACTCTGCAGCTCGTATAGCGTCTACAGAGGCAGTATAGTAAGAGCTTGAGCAGTGGTTCCCTGGCTAAGTATCCTAGCTTATGAATGCCCCTCGTCCTTTCTGATATTGAGCCAGAGCAGGGATGCGCGCAGAAGTTTAATCACCGACTCTCGAGAATGCTGGACAATAATGAATCGATGAGGCAGTTACGTTGATGTATGCTGATGTGGGCTATGACCATCGTCTCTGGCTACATAACCTCCTAAGCCCTGTGTTCTACTAAGAGCAATGGCTCAATACTGTCCCTGGTTCAGATGGTGACGGTTTCAGTGTTTGCTACCGTCTGTGTCGTATCCTGATCTTAGGAGCAAGTCCCACAGGACGTAGCTGATCCGTTTGACATGCTGCCTAGCATTAATCTAGAGGGCTTCTCCGCTGGAGTCTCCTTGAAACTATAGTGGAAGACAAGCCGCCGCTTGGGGCAGTGTAATATCAGAACTGGACAGGGGTCTCCATCTGACCAAATTGCACGTGCTCTAGAAAGGGCAGCGCTTAAAGCACCAGAAGAAATAGTATCTTCGCACCTGTGGGTGCAAACATTCATTGAGGTCACCTATTGCAGTCTGGCACCTCGAGATATAATCTTTGCATGGATCTCCAGTAACCATATTCATTGAGACCCGTAGTTCAACGCGTTCCACGGTTCTGCACCTGTACCGGCGCCTGCACTTGCGCTACCACAAATCATTACCGCCAACCCTGATATATTACATCAAGCCAACATGAGATTGAGCGAAGTGGGCGCTTTAGAATGGTGCGTGGTCATGATGCAGCGCGGTGTTGTGGCTGTTATCGCGTGCGTGGAGGGATGTTTATACTGAGCGCGGTGTGTATATGGCAAAGCGAATGTACGCGTTCCTTGGAAGCATGCCATATTTGAAGCTACATATGAAGTGGTTGCAATTCAGAGCTTGCCCAGCGCCTGTCGGGCTACCGGTTCGAAGGTGCCATTTTGTCTGTGCCTTACGCGCAGCCCTGGGAAAGAAGGCAATGTCGGGCTCCGCCGTGTGTGCCTTGCTGCCTGGTTTCAAAGCCCAAGGCGACTTCCGCCCAGCTGAGAAAGCCTTGAGATGCAGAAAGCACCAAACCGCCCATATTCCCGGATGCCTCTCTTACTGCATGCCTCAAAACAATTCGACAAAGCGACAAGGGGGTCAGTCAAGGCTCCTGGCGGCTCAGCTGACTCCTCAAGGCAGTACTTGCAGAAAGCAATCACGGCCATGATGAACTACCATACCTCCAAGCTCGACCCCTTAACGACAGGCCACTGTTGACCCTTCCAAGTCCTGGGCTTTCTGTCTTCACTCAACCTCGTACCCAACAAAACCTCTCAACCCACAAAACGACGGCAGGCCCTGTGATAATATTGCATGCCATCATGTCCACCCTTTCGATTCAGCCAGACCTGACCTGGGCCGATTTCGAACCACAAAGGGACTGCACACTTGCAGAGCACTATATCCTAGACGAGTACGTTCATCTCAGCCACAGACAAAATTGGACACCTACCGACGAGGAAAAATGGGTGTACTATGAAGCATGGATCCCGACAGATTCGATCACCATCAATGTCACGTTTGAATCATTCCTCGAATGGTCTCAAACCAGCGATTGGTATCTTATAGATGGGCCACTCCAGACGCAGTGTGTGGAAGAATACTGTGGATACTTCCGTTGGGAAGCGGATGCGAATATCTTGGGAGTGGGCGTAAGTCTCAATGTGAATAGGAACGATATGGATAATGTCGAGTTTGAAACCATGGCTAACTGATAGCAATTGACTCGACAGGTCTTCGCAAGCTATGCTATGCAAGTGATGGTCACAACGCTTCTCATCATCTTCTGTTTGGCTATCGAGCTGAGGAAATCCCACGACAAGACTTCTCGCTCCATCCCCCCCATGCCTATGCCCTTCTTGAAAGGTTCGAGACAGGGTTTTCGATCTATGAGGCACTGAAACAACGGCTGTTGAGACATTTCTTGCCGTCCTTTGCTGGCTACTCTATCTGCCTGGGCTTTGCGACGTACGCGAGAAGCTTTGCCCTCTTGGACCAAAATTTGCACGCGTTTTGGACCCCTGCAATGCTGGGTTCTATCGTCACAATTACATCGATACTGGCCATATGTCCTTGGTTTCCTGGTAAACGTATTTTTGATTGCTTCATAACCAGGTTGTATTGGCTCCTATCCACCTTGGGCTTGTTCACAATGATTTCGATCATGAGCGTGTTCGAAATCTCGATGATGCTACAAGGGAGAGGAGGATTCTCTGGGAAGCGTACAGAGTTCTGTCTCGCTTACATCACATCACGGAGAACCATCTGGGTGTTTATGCTGACGATATACGGATCTCTCGCTGGAATATTGCTGCTTATGTGGGGAACGTTCGCCAAATCACCCATCGAACCCTTTCTGTCGTCCTGCCTGCGTGCGCTCTGGCGCAGTGTCACTGGGTCATCATCTCCTCGGGCGAGGACCGCTGTTTCGGTGGCACTCTCGGTGGCGTTTTCTTTCCTCATGTGCACCGCCCTCGTCCTGTTCTGGATTATCCGGGACCAGATTGCCCAGGGTGACGATGCCCACGGAGCGAGGGAGTGGAGCACAGGTCAGCTGCTGTCAGTGTTGGCCATGGGGCTCATCGTCTTGAGAGGCGGCTTCATTGTCTTTGGTATGTCTGGCTTGTTCATTGCAACTCCAAAGACTCAGAGTTTCACACAGCGCTATTTCCCGAGAATCTTGGCGCCCGCTCGTGGAAGCTTTTTTCACTAACCCTTTCATCCACGACCTAGAAGTATGCAAGCAGCACCCTGCTGCAGAGCTTGTGAAGCTCGAACGACGAAACAGTATCTAGTAGGGAAGGCTCCTGCTGAGCAAGGACTACCGAGCAGTATTGTCAGCGTATGGTTCTTGTCGCGCCGCCACCGTCCCTCACCTCTCTGGACGTCTTGGCGATGCTGCCTGTATAAGAGGAGGACTACAGGGGCAAACATCGCATCAGGGGCACGGTCATGCTCCTTGAGACGACAGGTGGTCGAAGCTAATGATGACGGACTTTTCTGCAATAGAAACGGGCACGCGAAAACTTCTGTCCCTGGTGAACTAGCACAAAGTGTAAAAATCAATTGACCATGGATGGCTGCTGCCACTACTGAGAATCGGGACCTCTCCTGTCGTTGAACGGCTTCATATCACGGTAAAATTGCGAACGAGAGGAACCCGTCAACCCCTGCCCTGCCTGCCAGGCACACTTCCGCTGCTAAGCTTGCCGATTGTCGCACGGGCATTGGAGACTATTCCTGATGGCTAGATTGCGCATGCGGCCTCAATTTGTCAAACACATGAGTTCCTTGAGGCTCCTCGCCCTTGCTTGCTCGTGTTTTCATCACACGATCTCTCTCTGTTGCTCCTTGGTGCTTTCACCCGAGTCTGGAATCTTTGCCTTCTGTGCTTCTCCGGCCTACTAGTACACGTCACCGCACCAGAACAAAAGCTCCCTGCGGACAGTTCTGGAAACGATTGCGATGTGTTTCGGTCGTCCCAGGCGTGCACGTCCTTCAATACCCCTCCCAGACAAACTAGTACAGGATTGTGCAGCCGCCATTCAAACGAATGGTATGCGTATGTCTTTTTCATAGTATCGCCAAAGTTATAGTTCATAATCGCAGTTTATAAGCGTGGTGGCCCACTGTTGCCTGTTCGTGGAATTATAGATAACCCCAGTGGAGGCAGGGACACCACGAAACACACACCCGACGAGATGGGTTTTGTCAGACCAGTAATCGTGAAGGTTTCGTTCTTAATCGACATCTGCCGTTAGATATTGAGCATGAGACCCGTGCGCCTGCGCCGCAGGGTCAAGGGGTGTTGATGATCATTATGCATATTGCTCGCCAGGATCCGCGCTTGAGGCGGTTTTTGCGCTTGGAACCAAGACCGCAAGTCGAGATCTTTGATAGGGTGGCCCACCACAAAGGCTGATATGATCCGTACTGACCCGAAGTTGATAACTGTGCTGTTGAACTCAAAAACGTTTGCCAGTGCCTTGTTTAGGCCAAGTCAATCGTTGGCATAAATCCGCTCCATAAAGCACAACTGTATAAAGCATGGGGCTCTCCATACTGTATGTACGGCTCGGAGGCGCTTGCTTGATTTTACATACGTACATGCGACATTTTAGGAAACCACACTGAGGAAGCTGCTAAGGTTAACCGGACTCGTCAAGCCACCAAAATCTTACAAACTGCCACCGTCGCTGTGCTAGATACCCGTGCTTGCAAGCTTTTGCTATCAAGTCCAAGCAGGGTAACAAAGCACATGATCCTGAGGCTGGCCAGGACGACCGATATGCAGCGTCGTGGCACCTTCGTCTAGCTACACGTTCAGCCACCACGAGCCAACGCATCCACAATGTCTTTGAGCAGGGGATGATGCTATTTGCCCAGAAATTGGTTCGAGAGTTCTGGCACACATGGTCACCATGCTGTTGGATTGACTAGAAATGGTAACTCTAGGCGAAGAGGGCAACTCGATCCTTCCTTCCACATCCTTATTCGAAACTTGCCTTTTGTTGAAGATACGTTTTCTGGTCTCGTCAAGTCTCACGAGGAGCACGATAGAACATACTGGGTTGGTACCTGGTCGGAACTTCCCTTGAAGGATTTGAACTGTAGCAGCAGCATTGCGTTCACCTGGGCATCAATGAAAGCATGGGCCAATCCAACGTATCTATGTGGTTCCAGAGCTGGAGAGCTACATCACCATGACGTTTTCTTTCCTGATTCCACGGGAAGTCGGCTACCAGTGTCTTGCGACACCACTTACACGAAGAGGCGCACGCACAATGTCCAATTCACTCGATCTGCATTTCATGCATTATCGGACTTTGTCTGCAAAAGACAGAGGAATCCGGTCCGGTGTGGGGTGTGCGATTTGCACCACATTTCTTGACATCCTTTCGTGCTTTGATCGAGTGTCACGATCAAGCCATCCTTGCACTTGTTTCCGGGCGTGGGAGGTATGGTCCGATATCGGCAGGGAAGACAGGCTTGGACTTCCTGAAATGGCAATCCGGACGGGGTGGGTTGGAGTCTGATCTTCACCGTCACATCCGTCCGTCGTTGGGGAATGCTGTCAATTTTTGCTTGTCAGAATGCTTGCATGCCGACTGCATACATACAACCTTGCCAAGCGGGGGCACTTATTCCGCGAGCGATGTCGATTGTGCGATCAGTCAGATGACGGTTGTCGTGAGACAGCCAACTCGACGGTTTGGTGCGGTTCGATAACGCCCGAGGCGTCACGCGAGCAGCAATCGCCCTAGGGTGCTGATAAGGGAATTTGATCACAGGCATCTGTGCACTGCCAGAGATACAAATGTGTGCAAAGCGTGTCGGTCAGGAAATCAAAGCCAAGAGAGAAGCGTGGCAGAGCAGCGGCTTAGCGGCCGTGCGTGTGATCAACTGTCAAGTGCAACTACGTGATCCGCGGCATATTGTCGTCTTATGGCATACCCGTGGAGAGGGTCGGCTGCCCATGGTCCCAGAAACGGGACAACCGGGGTGGCTGCGCGGGGGCAGCCAAGAGAGGGCGCCACCAAAGGTTGCGCGGCCCTGCCGTACCATAGTACTGATGCACGTTTGACAGAATTTGATTGATTGATTGACTGCTGAGTGTTCGTCCCGGTCTGCCTGCAGGAATCAGCATGAGTCGAACGACATCGTCCGTCGTGACACACGTACCCCGCGTGAAACAGCCGTGCGCGGACAATGCCCCGAACTGCCTCTGATAGGACGGGTGCTGGGCCCGGCGATGACTGATGATGAATGGGGTGACGAGTCTGGCAAAGTTATTCCCGGGCCGGCGAGGTCGCAACGGGGATGCAGGTGCAGTGTAACCACCACCTGGGGACGCAGCGACTGCCGGCAGGACAGTTGAGGCGCCGCAGAGCGACTGGCGTGGGGACAGGAGTGGTGTTGGTTTGAGTTCTGGGGCCACACACCACGAACTGAACTCTGGCCGGTAGTGACGCACGACAGGCGGTGTTGGCATAGAGCGGGCAGACAGCGTTTTGGCATGAGACAGGGCGTCGCAAGCGAGGCGGCGAGCAGAAGAGTCTGGACACTCACTGGCTGCCCACCGCCTGGGCAGGCGGGCGCCACGCCATCGAAAGAAGGTTGTGCTGCATGGCGGCGTTGGCGGGGCCAGGCATCTGCTCCATCCGCCAGCCGCCAGCCGGGAGCAGGTCGATTGTCGATGCAGACCAGGGTCGTGGAGCGATGCGATGCGATGGCCATGCCCGCGAGACAGAGCGAGGACGATCAGAAGATGGAGCGAGATGACCTAAGAAAGGTCCCTTGCCAGGCGTGCTCGAGGCGGGGGCCTGCCTGCTCTGCCAAGGCGGCGGACGCGGCAGTTGCGATACGCGCGACCACACATCGCTGATGTGGCAGGCCCCACCGCGACTGGGAGCACACCTGGGCAGTACCTTGGTACATGTGTACTGTGTACCATCCGGATCGATTGCAGCATGGCATGGCCAAAGGACAACACGGACAAGGTCGCCATGGCCAAAGGAGTGCTTGCCACGGCGCAGCCAGCCACGTACACCCGTCATCAATCACTCGTCACCATCACAATTACCATCACAAGGAGACGAAGACGAAGAATTGTCATCGACATCGACATCGACCCGGCCTGAGCAAAGCAGTAATCAGCGACCAGAAGACGCTCGACCAACCACATCATCGCATCATGTACACAAATTCACATGCTGCGCTCGGCCAGCACCAAAAACCCTGCCGGAAGCCACTGGCGCCGCCACTGGGCACGCCAGCCCGTCACACCCAGCAACCACGATGCCCGACCACCGCGCGCCCAGTGGATGACACATGGCTGCGCCCACGCCGTCTCGTCAGGCTGGCCTCAGTCAGCAGCGCCAGCGCGGGATTGGCGCCCAGCACGCAGGGATCATGGCAGCACCCCACCCCGGCCGCCCTTTATGCAACAATAATTCAATTTGCTGGCGCCGTGATCGACAGTCCAGGATCCTTTGGACTCGGTGCAGGGGGTTTCTGTGCTTGCTCTACTATGTGCCGTAGTAAGTTATTCCAACATGCTCCTGCATATCCCCTCTGTCAACCGGCCCATCGTCTTGCTGACGCACAGCCAAGTAGAGCCTCTCGCAACTCCGAGGGTGCCGTGAGGGGTGAGGAGTCGTCGTCGGCCTGACGTCCTCGAGGCCTCATGTTATCCGTGCAAGTGCACTAACCCAGGTGCCAGCATCGAAAGGGTGTGACGAACCCACATACTAGCTAACCACCGGCAACCCTGCTTAGCCTGGGTCTGCCGACCCTGGCCCGCAAAGACTTTTTTCCTCGATCCATGCTTTTCGTGATGGGTCATCAGCCCTGCTTGCTTCGTGCCCGATAAGCTCAAGCCACAGTCATTATTCCCCTTTGACGTGGCCGCGTGCCGCTCTGGACCCCCCTGGGTGCATCCTTGCCTGTCTCAGGCCTGATGGCTGGCTGGCTGGCTGGCCCGGCAGGTTGACTGTTGGCCAAGCTTCATTCCAAGCACAAGCACGTAATTGCCTTTGCGCCCTGCAATGATTCATGCATCGCCGTCGGCATGGCCACTGTATATATGGTGGTGTGCCCTGCCTCTCGGTTTTCCTCCGTCTGTCCCCCTCCGAATTGCCACGCTTCCAACGATTCGTCAAGGGGCAACATCAACAACATACGACATCTGTTTCCTGTAATCCGCAACCACTCAAGAGGCAGCTTGCGAAACAAGGCGACCCGCCCATGCGACTCCACTTACGTTAATTGCGCCGACAACTACCGACACCGACTCGTGCCTTGTCGTGTCCAAGCTCTTATATAACATCACGACATCCTCGACTCTTGAACCGCCACTTTACGATAGCATTTCCCGCCACATAAGCTCGTCTGCAACAAACAGCAGAACTTTGCATATCAATCCACCACTGCACCATGAGGTCAACACGTTCCACGACGAGGTCCTCTACCATGGACGATCTTGATGCCATCACACCCTGCCCGCCACGTGAGACACAGCAGCAGCCTGTTCAAAAGCCCCGGCCAGGTTTTGAGATGCTTCAGCCGTTCTCGAACTCCACCACATCAGATTCCGCGCGGACATCTCGCTCAGCTTCCCCAGCCGTAGAGGACGAAGCCACCACTCCGTACAACAACACCTCGTCATCGACAACCACAGACGCGGAGAATGCCGCAGAAAGCGACGAGTGCAGATACAAGAGGCGAAGACGGTCTGTCGAGGTCCTCGAGCACGGTACTGATGGCGATCCGGCTCGGCTCTGGGAGCGCATGCTTGCCCTGCAGCAGGCCTATGGTTGCTACAAGTCTGCCCGCATGAGCGCTGCCCTGAGCTCTGGCGATGCAAGCCTCTTGTTACGTAAGTCTATAGATCACCTCGCTCTTTCACCCTCTACTTTTTGGATTTTTTTGCATTCTATTTTCATTCCGGTTCATGCCGTCCCTTGCGCATCCAAGCCATGCGGGTGGGTCCCAAGTCGGCCCGCCTGCTCCACCTGGTTTCGTGGGCCTGCCCGAAACTTTCACGCTTCCTGCGTCTCCACTCATTCTTTTCTTCCATAATCCTGGCATGACATCACCTCGTCGGCCTTTCTTTCTTCAATCTTCAAGACATGGCTCTATCCGTACCATGCGCGCGCCTCTTGTTGAAGCCTTCCACTAGGATTTGTTCGCTAACCCACATGTCTAGCTTCGAAAGCTTGTCTCGACTTGATGAATGAGCACATGTCTGCGCTGCCGGATGATGTTGACTTGGCCCTCGAGCAACGCTGGCAAGCCAACGCCTAGGTCCATGTGGACAATGCTCAAAGTCCCATCTTCTGGTTGGCCGCATGTATTGCAGATGCCGTGGCGTGTATCTCACGGTCTCGACCTCTCCTTTCATGATTCAACACCCCTGCAGTCACTCCACTCCACCTCGGCATTGCATCGCAAAGCTTCAACCTGCGTTCCTTTTATTTTCTCGCCACACATCCGTGCGGCTTCTCTGTGGACGGTCCCAGCGTGCTGGAGCCATGCAGAATTTCCAACCGACGATCGGGAAGAAACGGGAGCTCAACCGCGCCGGCACTCGCTGCTTGGTGACGCGTCTCGCGTCTAAGGATTGCCTTCTTTCCCTTGCTTAGAACACGATACCCCTCATTTTGAATATTCTATCTCTACTTTGATTTCTGGATTAATTGCTCGGTGGGCGCAAACTGGCGCCTTGGGAACGTTAATGATGCATTGTGCAGCGAGGTATTCGGACGTTGGCGTCATCACTTTTCACACATCGGGGCATTTGCCGTGCTTCCTTTCTGGGTAGAGTTGGTAAAAAAAAAAAAATCCAAATTGAGACATTTTCAATGGACACCTCGCAACTTTGGCTCTGCTTTATCTTGTTTGGCGAGGGCGATATCCCAAGTAACTGAATCTTAGCGATATTGCTGGGCTACATTTGAAGAAACACCAGTGACTGCTTATTCAACCCAACACCAGAGTATTGTATATCCACTCACATGAGTCTTCAACCCATAACGCCCACCCAAAATGCCTCAACTCTCTTTGTCTAAAAAAAAAGGAAGAAAAAGAACACCCGTGGGAACAGGAAACAAAAAGTGATCGGCACGCGCCAAATGACGCCCACGCAGACGCAGCATCCGCAGATCTTCAAGTCCGGATTTTGTCTCATTTTCTTTTTTTTTGTTCTCCATCCAGCGCTAAACTTGGAACCCCGAACATGGCCGGCCGTGCTGAGCTGCTGCAAGTTTAGAAAGGCGTTGCTGGCGGGGGGTATGCATTCGTCTTTGGATCCGACCCGAACAACATCAAGTTCTTCTGTTGTCTCTCAGGATATCGCGAATTGGGGGAACGCACCCGTTTGGGCAGCTCCGAGGACACGCTGGGACATGAGAATCATGGATTTAGTTCTTTGAGAAGGAAAGAAGATGATGAAAATTAAAAATTAATGCAAGTCGCTTTCGTATACAACACTTTTTGTCCCCACAATCCCATGCTTGTTTTCCTCTCGACGGTTAAGAGCTCCACGAAAGAGTATCCTCTTGTATGCTGATCCCCCTATCCGAGGTATGCCTCGGCTCACGGCGAGTTCTACTCGAGCCCCTTGAACCGCCGATTGAACTCCTCCACAGCTACCGCGACCATCCTGTAGAGGAACGCACGCCCGCTCTCCTCCCCGACCGGTATGAACGGCCCGTTCTGCCCTCCACGGAACACAACGCTCAAGCCCGTGCGCTCCTTTGAGATAGTCTGGATATCCTTGAGCGGCACATCCCACTCGGTAGTCAGCCGGCGGCTGCGGATGAGTAGGATGCGTGAATACGTAACCATGACGACCATGTCTTCACGCGGAAGCTCCAGGTGGGCAATGTACTCCTCATTGAAGTATTTGCCGTTGTCGACCTGCTTCAGCCAGAATTGGCCCAGAGCCTCGCGTTGATTGTAAGGCCTGACAATGCCATCGGAGGGAATGAAACGAGCGAGCCGCACACGGTCCAGTTCAGAGCCGTCGAATACGGTCGTCGTGTTGCGAATACCCTCGGAGACATTAGAAGCCAGATCAAAGACTCCAACGGCAGGCTTGGTGGCGAGTCCGATAAAACCCTTGCCTACGCCCTTGAAGAAGCCAACAGCACCTTCCTGCTCAGCGCCCTCGAGCGGCTTGCGAGCCACTCCACCAAGGCCAGAGGCGATAGACGTAAAGAAGGAATTAGCACCAGCGGTCACGCCGTACAAAGCATGCTTGGGCCGATTCCTTGCATGCGTGATGCGGCGGCGATCCTGGAACTGCTTGTCCAGTGTAGCGGCCGCAAGACCCTTGCCAACACTGCCAGTGAACTTTGAGAACGAGTCAGAGAAGCCATAAACAGAGTTCTTCACGAAGCTGGCTGCGCCCTTCGCAATGCCGACACCAAAGTCCTCGGGGTTCTCAGACATCAGCAGTCCTTGGTAAGGTTCGTAGAAAGCATCGGTAATGCCGCTACTGATGCTGTTAAACAGACCGACAGGGTTTCCGAGGAAGTCGGCACTGCCAATGATCTTGTGGACCTGGTAGAGGACCTCTTGGCTGTAATGATTGGACATGAGCTGGATCAAGATGGGCATCGAGACACGAGCATTCTCGATGAGAAGTGCATTCATCCTGATGGGCGCATCATTGATATTGCCGATAGCCATGGTCATGACATTGGCAAGGAACATGACTGGATTGCGAGTCGAAGTCTTGTCATCCACGCTGACCCGGTCAGTGCGCATAAATGACAAATTGAGCTGCATGGGCTGAATGTTGAGGGCCTCGAAGTAGATGTCCTGGCCAGACTGCTCTTGCTTTGGCTCAGGTACATCGATGTTCTCGTCGCAGAGCTTGTCTTCCTGAACCTCAGTCCACGAAGCGCCAGGTACTTTGGAGTAGTCCAAGACTGCGTAAATGAAGTCCTCGTCCAGCTCAATCGTCATTTCTTGGAGCAGGACCGTGAAGTACTTGACGTAAAGCACACCGAACGAGTCGTCTTTGACTCGTTGGATACCGACGTGGAGCGAGGGATGCAGCTCGACATCCTCGGCTCGCTGCTGGACTTTGGCGGGGTACAGTATCATTGGGAAGAGGCCACCATACAGCTGATTGTCGATCTGTATCCATTTGATATTGGTTGTGATGCCTTGGTGCAGGCGCGACTCGTTGTACTTGAGCTCAATATCTCGCAAGGTGATGTAAGCAAGCTCCTTTAGCTGCTGGTTGATCAGGGAGATGCCAACGCCGTTAAGCCTGAAGTGTGCCTGGAACGTCGCTGGGTCGTCCTGCTTCTTCACGACGAAGCCGCCCGTAGTACTACTGTTGGCTGAAGCGGTGGATCCACTCATGGTCTTCTGACGGTATAAGCTCTTGTTGACCTTGAAATTGGACAGGATAAGAGTTTGGGTGGGACCGTCGGCAGCAACGTTGATGTCGACGATCTTTTGCGTGCCGGTGCTGTCAGGAAACTTGAATGGGACTTGGTTTCCAATCTCAGCAAGCTTGACATATCGTTCCCTGCCGAATGCAGTGAGAACCACTTCCTTCTTTTTCGCTGACGGGAAATCCCACGCGTATGGCATGATACTTCTTGGCGGGAGCCTGTAGCGAATCTGCCGCCAACCTGATCGATCACCATCGCCGTCGTGTGATTCGCTGATTCTGTTAGGGTCAGCTTGGTAGAATGTGAATTCTGTGTCGCTCTCGTTGCGCATCGAAAACGGCCAGGCTTTTGTCTCAAGGCTGAGATGCAGGAAGATGGTTGCATCCTCCAACAGAATCTCAACACGAATAAGTTTCTGTCGCTGACCGGCCTTTGCGATCTTGATGTGCGTGGTGCCAACGTCCGAGATGTTGAAAGGCGAAGACCACTGGTTGTCAACGCCCGAGTAGCACAGCATGAGCTGCTTCTCCTTGGCACGCTGGAGAAAATGCAATGGGTGCAGTGAGCCCGACTCAACAGTCAAGAAGTCCGATGAGCCCGGCTGTCGCAAGTGAATGTCCTCTCCCAGCTTGTTATTGACCACGAATCTTGGCGCAAGCGTGACGACCTTCGTCAGCTTGTATTTGCCCTCCCCAGACTCGACCGTGATTCCAGCATGGATCTCTGTGTCTCTCTGAGTTGACGACAGAACGATCTCGGATGTGCTGCCGATAGCATCAAAACTCTGTGGTTTGCTCCACTCCGAGTCTCCAATTTTCAAAAGTGCGCGGTTTCGCTGATCATCGCTTCCAAAAGAGAACATGAAGGGCAGTGCTTTGGTTCTCTCGCGGCCAGCAGCACGATCCAGGCTCGACTCTCCAGCAGCTCTCTTAGCTTGTTGCAGGAATTGCTTTCCACGGATATTGATGCTCAAGCCTGTCTTGTTCAGTATCACATACGGGCTGTAGATTGTGACCTTGAAAGCGCCTCCACCATCCGGCACCTTAACATAGTGGAGCCTCAGGCTCAGCGGCAGCCCGTCTTCGTCTTTGCAGATGAGCTTGCTCTCTTTCCTGAAGTCAGATTGCTGTGGAGCGTTCACAATCGCGTACTCGCTTGCCCTGAACTGAGTGTCCTGCATGTCAATACTGACAAGCAGCAAATGCGAGAGCTCTATCATGTGGCAAGGGCTCTCGCCGCCTTTTCGTAGGAAGTTGCTCCAATCTCTCTGGGCATTCTTGTCATACACAGCGTACTTGAAATCGTACGGCAGAAGGTTTTCCAGGACGACTGGGGGGGATAACTTCAGCTTCATGTAGGGGTATTTCCTGTTTATCTTGGTCAGCATCATGGATTGAACGGAACCATCTTCCCAAATGGATACTCACCCTGTCAAAAAGTGGCCCTTGTCGAATATGGTGTTCATCTGGAAGTAGAAGGGGTCGTTGTTCTCTCCCTTGCAGACCAGGGTTCTTGTCGGCCGCTTGAGTAGGTCTCTCCACCAGAGTGGCTCAGACGACCATTCATATCCGAAACCTGAATCCGGTCGAACAAGGAGACTCTTGAGGTAGGCGGCACCGACTGGTGCTGGTCGACTTTGTCCTGGAGGAATCTTTTCAATCTTGAGCAGATGCCCTTCCTGTGCATCGAACACGCCGAGCTCGATCGAAATGTGCGTATTGTTCTCCACGGATAGCGGTGATCGAAGTGTGACATATTTGATGTTGTCCTGGCCGAGCTCAATTTCCACAAGAAGGCGGTGGAGGATATTATCAGCCTTCGGGCGAAGACTATACAAAAACTCTCCTTCGCGGTTTAGACGAATGTTTTTGACTGTGTCAAAACCGCTGCCCTCAATGTGGACCGAGACGCTGTTGGCAGTATTGTTCTCTGACATGATGTTCTCACGCATCTTCTCCCAGTGTTCAAAACTCCAGGGAGCCTCCTCGCCATCCTCCAGTTTGGCAGAGATATCTTCGTTGCTCTGGCTCTTGGCTTGGATTGCGACATCAAAGCCAGTGTAGTTTCGAATCTTGTAGGGAGCCTCCACGCCACGAGGCTTGCCTAGAACATCTTGATCTTGTGTCAGGAAGTCGAAAGACTTGGAAGCGAGAGCGATGGTCGCGGTCGTGACTGTTATGTCGAACGTCTTCTTGGAAGCAACATCGACTGACAGTAGCCCACTGGATTGCTCTTTCGCCACGCCAAGGCCGACTTGCCAAGGCTCGATCAGAGGCTCCCAAGCAGACTTGGCGAAATTGTAGACATTCACATACATGTCCACCGCTGCCTCGGCCTTCAACGAGCTCGTCCAGTCTGCCGCTGTTGCCGTGAACCCCTTGATGCTCATGTCCAATATGGGCAGTTCGTGAAGGTCTCCGATCAACACTACACGAATGCCCTCCAGAGACGCCGTTAATTCCTCGTGCTTCAGTGGCCTCTTGACAACATCGTGGGGCTGTTGCGCGGAAGCCTTGTTGCTGGCTGCTGCAGTACCGCCCGTCCTGGCAGTCTTGGTACCCTTACCAGTCTTGCGCGCAATTGTTGAGCCATGGCCACTTGATGTACGCTGCTTCAAGCCATCTCCCCTCAATTGCTTGGCCTTCTGGTCGGATGCGCTCGGCTTAGAGTCCTCCTCGTTGACAGACATCTCAGAAGCCTTGCTGATGATCTGTAGAACAAGCAGGATGTCGCGAAGAGACAAACGCAGGATAAGCGGTTCAATGCTGATGCCAATACTGCTCATGTTTGGCCGCGAACTGTCCAATGACGCTTGGATTGAAAAGTCGTCCAGGATGCGCAGGCGGGAAGTGTCGAACTTGTCCATGCGACAGAGGAACATGCCAACTTCCGAAACATTGAAAGTCAAAGAATGTTGCTGCGCGAGGAGGACCTGCTTCGTGCCTAGTACAATGGCTTCGGAGCTGCTGCTTAGCGGGTTGGCGATGAGGATGATCTGAGCATCGACAATGTTGACACGATAAGAAATGTTCATTTTCGGCGCCTCCTTTGGTACAGTAGGCTTGGCATCCTGGGCTGGACTTCTAGACTTATTGTCTGGCACAACAACCTGCATAGACTCGTTGTCTGATACGTCTGTAGAGTCGATGCTTTCCTCAATTAGAGGATCCGGTTCTTCGACCTTGAGGGCGGTTGAGACGTAGTTTTGGATGGCGAAGAGGTAGTCCAAGGCGAAAATGACGCGAGGGCTGTCCACGGCAACAACAGCAATCATGCTGCGCTGTTCCGCACCTGTCATGGACAGGCTTGCCATGAACTGCTGGACATCCTTGTTCGACGAAGTCATGATCTTCTTAAACTTGTTTCCTTCTCTTGCGCGGCTGTCGAAGATGGTGAATGACTGGATGACAAACTCCGCCTCTAATGACCCGTCGGCCAACATTCTTGTCTTGAGCTTGCTGTCGTCTAAAGAAAAGCGAGACAAGCTGGCAGAGTCCAAATTCCCGACCGGCTTGTCCTCAGAAGCACTGATGAGCTCAAGTCCAATCTTGTGCGCCGAAAACACCAAGTCTAACTTGGTCCAGGTGTCTTCCCTCGAACCCAGCTCTGGTGACAAATCTGCAATCTGCTCCTCGCCACCAGTCATGGTTGATGACATTGTCTTCGCTCGGCGCAAGGTGCGCTCATCCACATCGCGCTCTGCCTCTTCGTTGCTAGCTTCAGAATTGGTTGCAAAAGCAGCAGGAACAGATCGCGAAATCTCTAGGAGAAATTGGACTTGGTACTGCGTGAGCCGAAGGTTGATGTCGGTCATGGTGCCCTCGATTTCAGTGTCTGGCCGTTTGGAACCAGCCGTATGCTCCGCATACACAATGTTGAAGCCGAGATCGACGTGGTCAATCATCTCGAGCTCCTCAGACTCTTCCTTAGAGTAGTGACACAGTGAGGTCAAGCGGATGTTCCGTATACCAGCGGAGAGCTTCATGGCGATCTCCGAGTTTTCCGAGTCATCAAGGGGCACAAACTTGTTCTGAGCATAAATCTCACCCAGATAGGCGGTGATATAGTCCCTCTTGTGTCGGTCGGCAGTCAAGGCTCGGGGGAACACAATGATTGGAGTGTTGACAATCACATCGAATTTGAACCGGCTCGTGCTCTGTTGGAGCTGTTGCGCTTGGTTTGCCGCAGCCTGTCTTGCAGCATTGAAGATGGCCTGCATCTTGCCAAACTTGACCAAGAACTCGACGATTTTCCTGAACGGTTCTTCGAGGAAGTTAACCTTGATACTCCCAGCTCGAAGGAATATTGATGAATCATAGCCAGGATAAGTCTGAGTATTGCTTGAATCGAAAGTCTCGTAGCGGAAGTCCGCCAGTTCGTCGCCCTGGATGGCAACAAGTCTCCGGAAGCTGGAGTTTTCAGATGCCCCAACGTTGACGTCGTCCACCAACGTCAGATCGCCCAGTTTTGCTGCGACCCTCATAGTCTTGCCAGACAGGAACACACCGATGTCTGCGTGAGTAAAGGAGAGGGTCGCCAATCTAATGCCATCGTTGTTGAGTATAAGTCGAATGGCTTTCAGGTCGACCTTGACACGCATGGAGCCTTGCTCTGGCTGGGCTGTTTCCGCGGGTGGCTCAACTATTGTGACTTTGTCGCCAGCCTCGTCGGCTTCGGTGATTCTGGCTTGCTCGGCCGAATTATTAGGCGCAGCGCCGTTGTTGTTGTTTGTGAATGTGACGAGGATGAAATCCAACAACGTGAGGAGAGTCTTCCTCGTGACAACCACATTGATCGTGGAAATGGCGACGTTGACGTTCGTGTCGATGCCGTCATACACTGACATGAATTCTGGTGACTCCCTGTTCACTTTCGTGAACTTGACATGAACCAGATCTGTCTGCTTCTGCCGATCCTCCACGTCGCCCGAGGAGATGATTGACTTGAACTCAGCAGAAGGGTTTTCCACGAAGTCGTCAACTGTGACAGAGCCTAGCGACACTTCTGCAGCCATATCGAACGGCCGCATGTAGAAGTGAAGATCGAAGCTTTCGGCGACAAGATCCACCAAGAGCTTGTCGGGATCTTCACCGTCAGGGTCACTCTTGTATAGTGAGCCCTGGAGCTTGTCGACGGAGAACTTGAATTCGAAATTCTTCTGTTGCAGCTTTAGGTTCTGATTCGAGCTTCCGTCCGCTGCGTCTTCAAACTCGTCATCATTGTCTGAGTCGTCCTCGAGAATTATTGCAGTTTGTTGGGAGAAGAACGGGTTCGAAGAACTCTTTCGATGATGTGAACGGGTGCGGCCAGAGCGGCTAGAAGCAGAACTGAGAAGGCGAGGCCTCTTAGGCTTCGCTGCTGTTGACTCTGCCGGCTTCTGTTGCTGTTGATTGCCGAATTTGGGAATAGCCACCTCGATGAGTCTCATCAGGCTCTTGTATTTTGTGTCTGATACGGTTGCATGTAGGACAGGCATGTGGCCGGAAATCTTCATCTTTGTGAGGTTCGGAGCCTTCGGCAGAATAGACAGCGCGACGACAAAGTCTACGTTGATCTTCTCCACCACATGCATTCGAAGTTCTTCATCCTTCTCGACCAACTGGCGCTTGGTCTCTTCGATGGATGGTCCAATCAGGACCTGTGTCGAAGTGAGCTTGACAATGAACCGATCGTACATTAGCGACTCGAGCTGTTTGAAATCTTCCTCCGAGTATGACTGGTTTTGTTTGTCCTGAACTTGCTTCAATGTCGCTTTATCGACAAGCTCGCTATCCACATTGATGCGACCTGCATCAAGAATGAGACACGTCGACCGTTTTGTCGTGATGCTCTGTGGAATGATGATTAGAGGCGCCTGCAAATCCAACTTGGCATTGAAAGTCTTGTGCTCCTCCAGCGCAAACTCGAGACCAGCCCGCGTCTGCTGCCGTAAGCCTTCGACTGTTGCTCCGGCAGACTCCATTAGAGCAGTGATGGATTCCATGTGTCTCTCTGGAGGCTTGAAGAAGTCCACAATACCAATGACGAAGTTGGGGTTCCAAACAATCTCCAGGGGTTTCAGCTTGGCCGTGACTGCAAAGTCACCCTGCCCATCCAAGGGGTTCTGCTCGACCTGCAAGTCGAAGAAGGTCTCATGCGATGAGCCTTCGAGCTCGCCGATGGACAACCGTGTCGAGTCCTCTCCTTCCGGTGCGTCCTTGACACGCACGATCTCCTTGAACAGACTATCGGGAGTTGTGCCGTCGTTGACTCGAAATCCGCCGAGGCTGAGATCAGCAAGTATCGAGTCTGGCCTCTTGAGGGCCTTAGCCTTGAACAGGTCAAAGTGCAAGCTGAGCAGATCAGTTTTGGTCCCATGCGGACTTTGCCTGAGTGTGAACGATCCGGTACTGAGCCAGGTGTTCAGCTCCATCTTCACAGTATCTCGAGGGACGTCAACGGCATCAGCAAGTGCGGCCTTCTCGTCCCAGTCGATCGCTTCGTAGAGCTCCTTGCGCTGCTCTTCCGTCATCTGCGTATTCTCCTGTGAGTCGGTCGTCTCGGCTGCAGGCTTGGAACCCCACACCCAGGATAGCCAGCCTTGCTGCTGCTGCTGATCTTGTGGTGGATGCTTTCTGAGCGCCTCTGCATTCTCCTTCCTCAACTGATTGCGAGCCAAGGACCTCCAGAATCGCAGATCCTCGTAGCCAAGCTTCATCTCCAGTCTATTCAAATCGTCGGATTCATCGGCTGACAGCTGCTGGTTCGCTTTCTTTTTCTTGAAGAGTTCGATGTAGCGTATGCGGTCATCGCGCCGCTCACGGAAGTAGTCCCATGTCCACCTCCGGTTACGCTCGTGTATCTTGGCCAGCACAGCGTCTCCTGCAAACTTGAACCATGCTCGGGGGTCCTCCTTCGGTGTCACATTCTTGGGTTGCAACTTCTTGTACTCCTGATGCCGAATGAAGTAGTGAAACAGGTCGACCATCATCAACCCATCGCGGTACTGATCATCATCCAGAACGACGCCGATTTCGTCGAATAGGAGAGTACCCTTAAACTTGGGCACATTGGTGGCTCCAGTCTTGTCCAGCTCAATCTTGGCCTGCCCACTGACGGGTTTGAGGATGAACTGGTGGTCTTTTGTGGCATCGTCGTTGCCCTTGCCAATCATTTCCTTGAACTTGGAGATAAGCTCGTCGTGTGGGAGGAGATCGTCGTGCTCGTCCGTCTCCCGACCCGGTCCGAGAAGAGTAGTATCCGTGTTCCAGTAGACGGCGAGGGCCTCGAGCTTGGCCAGCTTGTGTGTCGACTTTGACGAGTTCTGAATAAATGTTGGCTTCCACTCGCCGTCCGTACTGACGGCGCTGAACTCTCCGAGTGTGACACCCAAAGCAAAGGGGTGGCCGGGGGCTGAAATGGAGTCCTCGTACCGAACGTGGATGTTCTTGACGGTGACTTGTAGGTTGTCGACAATCTTAGTGACCAGGCTCTCCGTGAAGCTCTGACTCTTCTTCTGCTCCTCTTGGCTGAGGCCTTCTTGGGATCTCTCTTTGAGCAGCTCGGCACTGTCAAGCTTCTCCATCTTGACCCTGTGCCGCCTTCTCTCTTCTTCTTCGGGATTGTAAGCCGACTCCTCCTTCGGCGACGCCAGCAGGAAGACGTCCTCAATGAAGACCTTGACTGGAGCACCCCGTAGGTTGGACCAGGGGATCACAATGGTAAGCTCGCCCAAGTGGCCTTCCATGACATTGATGGGCAGCTTGAGCTGGTCCAGAGCCTCCTTGCGGAGCTCGAGGTTCCGGAGCTTGACATCGCCACTCCATATCCCGACTTTGAGCTGTGTGGGATCGAAGTTCTTGACATACATGCCCAGGAAGCGGTTGAGCAGGCCGGCAACGAGACCTTCCAGCATCTTGGCAGAAGTGTGGACCGTAACCCAGGCCGGGGGGGAACGTGGGATAAGCTAACGCAAGGGGTGTCTTCAAGACATGGGCGAGGATCGGTCGCGGTGGCCGTGAGCTATGCTTGTTGTTGCCTACAAGATAGGCGCGGTAGGAGTAGGAAAAAAGGCCTCTGCTGTGTCGGCCTTTTCTTGAGTGCACGCGTGGTGTCGTGGTTGAGAGGGTGACCGTGCGTAAGCGGGACGGATCGCGGGGTTCGTGCTCGTCGGGACGGTCGCAACTGATCGCCCGTGCCTAGCAAGCGACGAGCAGTGGGTATGTATTGTACAAGGTTGAGGATCAGAGTCGGAGCTGTAATGCGCAGCGTCTTGTGGAAGAGAGAGGATCCGGGAGGAAGCCGGGCACGGCGGGTGTATGGCGAAGTGATGATGGGGAAGAACAATTCAGTAGCGGAGCTGCGTGTTGGCAGGACAGGGAGGTTTGGGCAGTGACCGCATCAAGTGGGGCCAGGCAGAGTGTGCGGGTGGGCCATGATCTGGAGATGGAAGCTCGACCTTTTGGGCGAGCTTGCTTGCTTGCTGTCGCATGCACGCACGCCCGACGTTGCTGCCTGCCAAAGATCGGACACGTGCATCCGAGTCGTACGAGGAGGGTTGATTCTGAATTATGAAGAGTCGGCGCGTCCAACTTGTGCTGCTCGTGGAGTCGGAACTATGCCTATCGGGTATCTGTCCAGCCAGCCTCCGATCACGCACGATTCATCATGCCTCCAGCAGAGACCATTGCATGCGGTCAAATAGTATCTCAGGGTGCTGAGCAGGCAGATGGGCATGACCTCCTGGAGGGATGGCGTGCCTTGCAGCGACTAGCCTCGCCCGGTGCTGGGTGCTGGTGCCCAGGCGGCTGTGCAGCCCAGCCCATCAAGAAGGACGGTTGAAATTTGGATCATCGCGGACAAGCGACCTTGGGAGGACAAGTGATGACGCTATTGTGCGTGGTAGGTCCAAGCCACACCACCCGCCCGCGCCGGCCCTGGAGCCCCAGAAAACAAGACCCGACCCAACCGAGCCCCACTCCTCGGTGCTCGACGTCCTTCTTGCCAGTGCCTGTTCCTGACGCGAGCCAGGCGATCAAGGGTCGCCTCAAAGAATATGGCTTGCCAGTCAGTCTCGAAACACAGATCTGCCCCCTTCGAGACCTGTACATACCTTGGGCAGCACATACAACTGTGCACCGACACTTGCAGAGAGAGCGGGTCACGGCCTGTGCAAGCATCGAATCGAAGCTTGCTCCAGACAGGCTGTGGGCCAGCCCGCTTGGCAGGCCATTGCGCATTACGTCATTGCAAGTGCCCACCTACCCCAACTTGGAGCTCGGAGCTGCCCTCATCCAGCACACAGCTGCAACACAGCAGCACCAGTATGGCAGCGCGACCTGGGCTCGCCCTGTCTCGCAGCTGCTCGGCCGTACGTAATGAGCCGGCCCAGTGCTCCTCGCGACACTTCGTCTGCGCCGTGGAGCGATTGATGTAATGGTTCCTGGGTTTGCGAGCACGCGTCCCCACCTCTCATGCTTGTGTCATCCATCCTGCTTGCTTGCTCCTGATAAACCGCCGCCGTCCAAAGCCTAGCTTCTCTCCGCTGTCGTCTCTTGCTTCTCTTTTTCGTTCAATTGCATCTTTCAGGATCGGTCCTCCATTCGCGGACATAATTGCTACTGGTTCAAGAGTAGCCCGTCTCGTTCTCATACCATTGTTGCCCATTTGTGTCACTAGAGTCCTCCCTGGGACACTCCCACGACCGCCATGCTGCGAGGCACGAGACCTGTTGCCCAGCGCGCTCTGGGCCTCATCCAGCGATCCAATGCCGCGAAATCCCAATTGAGCTTCACCCGTACCATCACGACTCGTCCTACGCGGCCAAGACCACTCGCAGCTGCCCTCGACGGCCGATTGCCCCAGAAAGCATCGTACGCGGACAAGCCCCCGCCGCCGCCACTGCAGGTGGGCAGAGACGCCGAGGAGGAGAAGCGGCTGGGCCAGCAAAAGCTCGAGTCCGACCCCTCGGCGGTGTCAACGCAGTCTTCCGTGCGGCATGTCTACGAGCCCGCATCGCCACAAGCCGAGAGTGCGGCCAAGGCGGACGTGTCGGATGGTCTGAAGCATGACCTCGTAAGTCACCCGGCGACAGAGTTCCCTGCAATCTAATTGAGCAGTTCAATCATGACTAACGACGTCTGCCTCCGCCTCAGGGAATCGTCAAAGACACCTTTTCCGTAGCTCACGTCCCTCGGGAGTCCTATGTGCTAGGCCTAGCCGGAACCTTGCCATACCTCGCCACCTCGATGTCCACCGTCTTCCTCTCGTGGAACCTCAACACGGAACCCACCGGCTCAGGCTTCCTCAACACTTTTATGCTCAGCCACGACTCGGCGCACTGGTGGCTCGGCGTCATCGAGCCCATCCAGCTCGGCTACGGCGCGGTCATCATCAGCTTCCTCGGCGCGATCCACTGGGGCCTCGAGTACGCCGAGAAGAAGCCAAGCCGCGACCGGACCCGGTTCCGGTACGGCCTGGGAGTCCTGGCCTCGGTCGCCGCCTGGCCCACCATGTTCCTGCCCATCGAGTTCGCGCTGACCTCGCAGCTCGCGGCGTTCACGGGGCTCTACTTTGCCGACACCACTGCCACCAAGAGGGGCTGGGCCCCGTACTGGTACTCGTCTTACCGCTTCGTCCTGACGGCCATTGTCGGTGCTGCCATCACCATCAGCCTCATCGGCCGGGCCAAGGTCGGAGACGCCAAGCCCCGCCTCTCGGGACTGTCGCGCAAGTTCCACGAGAACCACGGCGAGGAGGCCTGGAGTGAAAAGTGGGCTCAGCTCGAGGACGAGGAGAAGGAAAAGATCAAGAAGCAGAAGGAGGAAGAAGAGCAGAAGCGCAAGGAGGAGGAGAGGAAGGCAGAGGAAGAGGAGAAGAAGAACAAGAAGAAGGGCTCCAAGGGCAAGGATGAGGAGAAGAAGAAGGGCAAGGAAGCGGAGAAGAACGAAGAGAAGCAAGACGAAGGCGACGACTCGGCCAGCGATGAGTCCAATGATGAGTCCGGCGATGAGGGTGGTGAACAGCCCGAACAGAAGGATGAGAGTGATGAGAAGGCGGAAAAGCAGGAGAAGAAGGACACCAAGGCTGAGAAGAAGGATGACAAGGCCGAGAAGAAGGATGACAAGGCTGAGAAGAAGGAAGAGGCTGGCGATGATCAAAAGGAAGGCGAAGGTGAGGACAGCGCCAAGGATGAGAAGAAGGAGGGCGACGAGCAGAAGGATGATAAAGAGGCCAAGGATGACTCCAAGGGCAAAGAGAAGAAGGGCAAGAAATGATCTAGCTCATCTGCCTGTTATACTGGAGTTGTTGCGGAACCGAGGAAGATGGGCGTTAGGCGTTGAGTGAATTCCTCGGGATTCCTTTTGCTTTTCGAATCCATCAAGCGTATTTCTCGTGTAGTTTCTCAACATGGCTGTTAACACAAGATGGCATATTGATACGTGCTAAATGTTGTTAACTTGATAACATTGCCGCGATGATCACACCTAGCCGTTGAAATTCCATGTTGGACTACGTCGCGACAAGAAAGCCGCCCAAGAAGAAAAGGAAAAAGAAAAGAAGAAGAATGAAAGACGATCGATGGTCCGAGTGGGGGCTACACCCCACTCGAATCCTGAATGCTAAATTGATAAAGGTACGAGAACGTATCTTGCCGTCGTCAATTTCATGGAACCCGTCATGGTGCCCTCCTAAAACAATATCCATGTCGGCTTTCTCAGCCAGTGGTCTGGATTCGAGACTGGCGATCATTTTTCGGTGATGATCCGATCGCAGAGGTTCGGGTGTCCCAGTAGAATAGAGCACTAAGCTGCCGACGAGAGTTCTTCAGATCTGGACAGCACACCGACAGGTTCTCATGGAATGGGAATTGAATTTCACGACAGCCATGACAGTATTGGTAAGCCCCGGGCAGGACGGCCATGTCCTTCTTCAGAGCAATGTTGATAGAGGAGTAGAAAAGCAGCCAGATCACAATACGCGTCTTGACATGGTCTTTAGCACGAGCCAAAACCATATTGAGTAATATCCAGGGGGCACAGCAGCATTGCATGGTTGTTCGTCAGTTGTGTGCCCTTGCGCTCACCACCATGTTCTGGAGTCGCAGAAAACCGAAACAAGAGTGGGATACACCCGCCGTGCATTTGTGCGCTGTGAAAATTCCTACAGTCCTCTTCTTCATTCAGGCGACCCCCCGAAGCAAGTTGTCGCGCAGTATTCAACGGGAAGGGGGTTCAGAGAGAGTCGCGATAGTTATGCCGGTTGATTCCCTCTCCAATAAAGGAGTGGGACACTGCTGTCTCGATTGCGAGGGAGTAAGGGAAAAGAACATGCATGTACAGTTTGGCCATCAGTAACCTGTCCCGTCTCCTCCGATGACTCCCGCTAACGTCCTTCTTCTAAGTGCTCTTTTTGCCAGGGCAAACAGACATCAACGACACTCTCGTCGCTCTTAGCTCGATCATCACTATCTAATGCTTACCTAGACACAGATGCTTGCTTACACAGGCTAGCCGATCTCGCCTCGATTTCACGTGCGGTTTTATCCTTGGCCAGGCCAGCAGTCATTGAATCCCCGTTTTGAAGCAAAATTGCCTAATATTGTGTCACGATTGCCCTGGACTGTTCTAAATTAGCGACAGGCAGGATCAGATCAGCCCTCCGGCTGACCTATCGTGATGTGCTTTTGTTTGCTTTGTTCATGTCATCTTTTGCCGTTTAGAAGTTCCCTGCACTCCTAGCGATCTCTTATCGGATTTGGCATGGAAATGTGAGGCTCGAAAACATCATATGTCTATCAAGGATCGCCCATGTCGAGATCTACAGTCAATTTCATGGCAACGATCATGGTAGATGTCACCATTGAAACCACTTTGCAGAAGACACTCAACCTGAAACACGCCTCAGCCGATAGTGCTGACACTCGTTGCCGCAGCGTTATGTCTACCATGACTCGGGAGGAGACTGGGGGCAATGATCAAATTGCATGCCAAGAAAAAAAGAAAGCAGCAACGCGACTGTGCCTTACATAGGCAAGACGTGCGAGATCTCCCAACTCGACGCCAACAAGCACAAGAGGCACAAAGATGGTGTGGTTCAGCTTATCTGCTACGAATTCGGCGAGCGGTCTCTCAACGAGCCTGAGCAGTTGCTTTCACCCTGCCCATAATTTGCGCAGTAGATTGTGCGAGTAACTGCACCTTGAGTGAATCGCATGCTGCGAGTCCCAAGAGAGGTGATTGCGCAGCCCCGCGTCTGATGATCCTGAATAACCTGACAATCTGCAGACAAGGCTGCCCATGCTCGCAGCCCAGCCAGCACCGACAAGACGCAATTTCAGCGTCGCCCAGCAGCGGATTTGCCATGGCACCAGATTCCCATGCCTCCGTGTTTTGTAAAGCAGTAGGACTGTCGCCGAGCATCGAGACATCTAGCTCACATGCAATAGTGTTCGCGATATTGCAGTTCACTTACATTACCACGTGGTGGCCACGAGGCTGATCGTCTCGCTACCAGACAGCGGGATTGGTGTCGCCGATCGAGCTTGGCCATGCGTCCAGACTAGGACGATGTGTCCAAGGAGGCGGGCATTCTCTTCTGGACTGTCCATAGCCGACGCCACTCTCGCCGTCGCGTTGCAGACCGCAACGGGCAGTCATGATGCAGCCGTCCTTTTTGAGCAGGTGGTTAAGTGGTTGGGACGAGAAAGGCGGATGCCACGTGTTCGCCCGGGCATCACAAAAACTCTAAAGCGGCGGAATGGAATCTCTGGACGACGTTTGTGGGACTGACGGAGTATGTCTTGCTTCCGAGGTTCCATCGCGAGGAATAGGCTGTATGTAGCAGCAGAGTATACTGGCCGCCATTGCTCTGTGCCAGCAAACTCAGAGGGGAATCGTGCATTAGCTCCCGATGTAGCGGCGGCACTCAAGTCGTGGGTCGTGGTGCGGTGTCTGAACTCGACGAGCAGCCGGGCAAAGCCGACGGAGATCTAGGGCATGACAAGGGATGGGCAAGGATGCCAGGATGGACGAGAGGGGTCGATAAGATGCTGTCCGCGGATCTTTGGGCGAAAGTCTGGAGCAGGCGGGGTTGGTTTTGGGAAGGTGGTACGGCAGGTGCAGGCTGCAGGGTGTGGCCAAGAGGGGAAACTGCAAGACCTGGTGCAGCAGCAGGTGGCGCTGCGTAGCAATGCGGCGAGCTTCACTCACAACTGGAAGCTCCCCGGCTCCAACTTCAACTTTGCTCCGCCGTCTCTCGAGAGATGCTTGTCACCAGACGCCATTGCAGCATGCCAGCCTGCCGTGGCGCTTGCCGAGTACAACGTCGACGTCCGAGGGTGCAGCTGTCGTCGTCAGATCGGGCCACCACCACTCCAGCATGGCCTTGTCTGGGCGAAACCATCACAACGCCAACTCGAAACTCGGGACCAGCCCCCTTATTGGCATGATGGGCTGACAATCAGATGTAGCATCCAATCGCAACCCCCATCCACGACAGCCACGCGCACGCCAGCCCACGTGGAAGGCTGCCGCAAATCTCTGTGACACCAGAGCTTCCCCCATTCAGCCGCTTGATAACGACAAGGCAGCTAGCTTATGCAGTGTCGCTCAACGGCGCGGTCGATCAGCAAGCACTCCCTACTGCGTGCGCTGGCACCCATGAGCGCTCTGCCGGCATACTCTCTGGGACCCGGTCTACGTGTCCGCTTTCTGCATCTACCCTGTCGAGATGTTCTGCATCAGACCAACCAACCCCCAAGCAACGTGTCAACCCTTGCCCGTCGGTCTGCGAGCCTCGAGGGCTGCTGTCAAAGCGCTCGTCTTCATGCTCAGCCATTTGCTGCACCGTCGGCAACCTCCTCGGCGATTCGTCATGCATTCTGAACTCGGCAACCAGTGACAATGATTCGGATTCCTGCGGGCCATAGCAACATTCGCAGAAACCAGTGCCGAAGAGGCAGCTCAAACCCTGGGCTCCGGCAGCTCCCAGTCGGGATTCTGATGACCGACCATAGGGAAAATCACCGCTCGTGAGAAGCAAGAGCATGTTGGTGGGCTTTTGACCCCGAATTCACGGCTTCCCACTGTCTGATAGTTCATGCCTGCTTATGCCATCACAACATCCACTACAGGCAGGATGCCCAGTACAACGTTCCCTGGGAGCTGCTTCGCTCAAGTCATCGTCAAGCTCCTGGAGTGGCCCTTATGTCCAACGGACCCGGGTTGGGGGGGTGTTGGCTTTCACTCAATCGAATGGACTCTAATAAGAGAGCCTCGCGAGTACGGCTCAATTACCCAGCTCGGTGTAGCCTTTATGGGGAGCTTGAGCACAACCCTTTCTTTTTCTCTCGCATGGGGAGCTCAGAGCACACAAGTCTAACGATTTGCCGTCAGGTCATTTCTCGAGCTCTACTCGTACTTCTATCGCCACTGTTGCCCTTAGCCTCCCCAGATCAAGATTTCGCCGCCTGCTCGCCGGCCACCGAGCTTCGCCCTCATCAGTCTGGCTCGATGCTCCAGCAGCTAGCCATAAGCGGCATCAGCCACATGCTGGGGTATGCCGCACAGACCCAAAAACGCCGCGCAGTTGCAGCAGGGCTGCTGCAGGGGTTTCCCACTCACCCAAGGGCCCTAAGGGCCGTCGTCCCCACGTTCACGGAGCATTCCGCCCCACAAGCCTCTCCCTCGGGCCGGTTGATTGTGGGAAATGCCAAGTGCTCGTCTTACAGTACATTCGTTCCTGGTTGAGCCTCGTGCACGGCGGCGAATCTGATTTGGAACGAGAACGATGGGTTGCCTGCCGGCACAGGTCCTGGAGTACGAGCCTCGCGGCGTCTAATTGAGACAAATCAGCAACGTGAGATCGCAATGGTAAGCAGCCGGCACCTGAAGATAGCCACTCCTGCGCTTGTTTGGCAATTGCGTTCTTATCGCGGGTCCTGATGTGACCGTAGCACTAGCTTGTCAAATATTGAGCCGCATTGGCGTATCGTCGGAGCTGAATTCGTCTGGCAGGGGTCCCAGCATTCGAGGCGCCCGAGCATCAACTCCACCTCGCTCGTGTCAGACAGCCGCGCCAACCGAGGTGCCCCAGCCAACTCGAAAGAACGCAACACGGAAATCAGGGGGCAGGCTGTCATCCATGCCACTCCCGCCCTGCAAAAGAGGCACCTACATTGTCGGCGTGTCCTCGCGACAATGAGAAATTTCGGATTGCTGGCCATTGGCCCACTTAGAGTTTGGATTCTAGTCGTTTTCTCTCCCGTTCCTTCGGTCCTGGACTATTGTCTGCTAGCGTCGATCCCTGGCGGAAATCATCGCCCACTTCCTCGGCCCTGTTCTAGCTCCCGATGCTAGCCAATGGCCGTCAACTAAGCGTGCGGATTCCCCTGCTGTTATTGCCTGTTCCGGTGCGGTGCCCCCATCACACCGGACGAGATACCCAATCACGGAAACGTGGCCGTGACTCGTTGTGTGGCTGGTCTGAAACGTGCAGTTACCTGCACTTGCTGTGGCCCCAGTTCTCCATGTGCCTACCCTTGGAAGTCATGTGTACTTTACCTGTGACAGGCAAGGCAGCAAGTGCTGTGGACAGTGGCGCAAAGCAGGGATGTGCTACGGCGTGGTGAATCCCCTCTTCTCTGGTAGGCGGGTCCCATGAGGCTGAATAATGTGTACCGTCAGCTGGCAGTTAATACATATGTTAATGGCTTGTTCCGCACTCCCGACCCTCGGCCATCTTTAGGCGATCTCTTTTCTGATGCTCTGAACGTCTTGGCACTCGAGGCCCGGCATGGCGGGTAGCAACACTTTGCCTGCGGGCACCGAGCCCATAGCAGCGGTCGTCCTGGTTTACTCAACAATCGGTTGGCTTTGCACTGTGACCATGATTTGGCTCACCTGGATACATCGACAGCGATTTAGTTGTAAGCCCAACATCTTCCACGTTCCTTAAGCGAAAGCCTGTGCTCACAATAATATCTACAGATGTCGCGATGATTGCCTATTTCACCTTGCTCGGAACGACAATGTCAATCACCCAGCAATGCCACGACTACATCAACTGGGAAGAGATCATGATTAAGCAATGGGAACTGGTGTCAAAGTTCCCGGACAGCCCAGAGATGGCGACAGCGCAGGGATCCCAGGGCCTTGATCTCATTCTATTCTACATTCGTGGGTCTGGTTCGCACTCTGGTCAACACCTGGCAGACATTGACTTGGTTCAGAATTTTATACGTACAACGCCAGCGCTCTTTGCGTGCTGTTCTGGTAAGTCTCCGCCATGAGCCAGTTCTGCTCCTTGCAGCCACTAACATACACCGCAGGGCTGGCGAACTTGCGCAAACCTTGTACGGCTTCGACGCCAAGCCCAGATTGAAGCGCGTGTGCCGGAAGATCAACCAGGCCGGGCGCGGCGTTGCGATTATTCTCCCGCTCTTCACGACGCTCATGCTGCGACTGCCCGAAGTCCGAGCGCACATTTTGTCATTCCTTCTTGTCGCTGATCTCCCACGTACGTGCCACGACTCAACTGTGAAAAGGGAAACCCGTATGAGGCCCAAGCTGACCATTCCTAGTCATGTTGAGTATGACCTTGGGTAGTCTGATGGTCATGCTTATCCTCATCCGGTACCTGGTAACACAGAAAAAGTTTACCCAGTGGAGTATGCCTCGGACCGACCAAAGCGGCAGTGACAGGGGCACAGAGGCCGGCCTTTCGTATGCTTCCACTTCCAGTTCGAAGAGGATAGGCATCCAAAAGATTCGGAGCAAGCAGGGTGGTATCTATGATCGCTGGCTCATGATCCGCTTCTTCCTATCCTTCATCATGCTCGCGTAAGGACAAAGCCCTCCAGAACCAGTGACCATCCACACCATTGGCAGCGAGCTAACTGTGCGTTCCACGATAGTGTGTTCGACGTCACCACAGTACTGTTCCAACTTAACGCATTGAATGCCAACAGGAAGGATGGAATACTACCTGCCCCTGACATGAGTGCGGAGCGCGCCCAAACTACTCTTCTTGGGTTTTTGCCTGGAGTTACCCCCGGCATCATGCTATTTCTTGTTTTTGGGACGACGGCGGGACATCGAAGGAAGATATACGAGGCTCTTGTGCCTAAGCGATGGCAGAAACCCGTGGGCGAACGCTTTGAGCTGTCTGCTCTTTTCAAGTCTCGAAAGCGCAGAGCCATTGACAGCGCCTCACCCAGTACACGCAAGTGGCCCTGGGCGGATCGCGGTGTTCAAAGAGTTCCGTCTTATGCCATGTCACCCCGGGCAGCCATGGCCACGCCGGCAGTGCCGCTCGGACCCGTGCGCCACAAGAAGGGCGGCCAGAGTGTAGACATCATGAGCATGCTCACCAAGGAGACTCTGGCGGATCTTCAGAAGCCGCTGCCTCCATATCCATCGTCGGCGGCCGAACGCTATAGCTTCGACACGCCAGGCACAGGAGCCTCTTCGCAGCCTGCCTCCATACGCGAGGCGAGAGTCGAGCAGGTGGTCTGGAGGACGTCGGTGCATGACCCGGCGTCGAGACCAGTGCATATTTCACACCAAGCGCGACGCGGCAGCTACTACACCGCGGATCCAGAGCAGAGCGATGAGTCGGGTCCGACACTGCCTATCATGCAAAACGACAAGAGAGATTCGAGAACATAAGGATCTCATAGGGATTTTCCCCAATGTTTTTGATATAGACTACGAAGATAACGGCCGGTCACATTTACAAACCAAGATACACGACAGCATAGAAGGGAATCACCCTGGGGCGTTGATTTCAGCGAACCACACTTTTTTTAATCGATCCGGTCTTGGCATTCTTTTGTTTGGTACATATTTATCCACATCATACATACATGCAGCTGTTGCGAGGCCACTGCGGAATTGGGACGGGACGGGACGATTATAGAGTTGCGCGGACTGGGCCTGGGAAAAGGGGGGCGTTAGGGACTTATCTTAGCCGGGTTCTTTTGGTCCGATTTTCAAGTGTGTAGCTATTGTGCGGCTTTTTCAGGAGATACCCCCCTTTAGCACGCGCGGTCAAATCACAACATGATTATTATCATTGTCATCATCATCATCGTCATCGTCATGGCCTCCCACACAAGTGGAGCTCTGCGAGGCGGGTCATCCCTGTTGTCGCTTTCGCTTCAGGTAACGAACCCACTGGTATGGAGCGGCTGCAGCTCTTGGTGGAGAAAGTATCCTTGCTGCAAATCAGGTCCCTGAGCTTTTCGTCATGAGTCTGAAAAAAAGATACAAGAAATTGCCTGAGGCGGTGTCTTCTCCCACGCACGCCCGAGGGCTAATTAGTGATTACCTGTAAGGAACCTCGGTCTTTTTTTTTTTTTTTTTTTTTTTTTTTTTTTTAAAAGATGCAGCACATGCCATGGATGCCGTTGACTTGCTGTAAGCAGCGCATCTATACAATGCTGGCACTGGGGCTCGTTTGTTACCCTCCCCCTCTCTCGGCTCCTGGGCCCATTGCCCACCATGATCCACAACTCTCTACAAGAAAGGCCCCCCACACGACGATGGACAAAAAAAGGGCCGCGTGGGGGGAGCATACCGTGCCGCGAGTCAAGAAATCAGGTGATCCCAATGGCCTCGAAAGAGGAGTCGTCAGTGGCGTGTATATATAGTATGGAGAGGAGGTGAAACGAAGTCGGATAGCCTTGCGCGAGTGGTAGTGGGACGGGTCATGGGTGACTGGACTTGGGGCATGTGATAATAGCTTTTGACCGTTTCATATATGGCGTGGTTCAAGAGGTGCACACAAAGCCAAAGACAAAGGGAAAGACCTGTAGCTCCTGAAAGATTCACATATCCACTTGGAAGTCAATCAGATGCAGGAAGATGGTTGTAACAGAAGAAATCGATGATATTGATATGCATACTGTTAAAAAGTAACCCCCAACAAAACCATGCCAATTTTCCAAACTTGCTGTTCCATTTTCCTTCCAACTCCCGTATCCATGCCCAAGAAAAACCAAAGACCAAAACCCAAAACCCAAAAAACCCAAAAACCAAACGCTGTGTATTGATGCTTGTCGTTATCCCTCGTTATCCATTCCATGTTTCCCAAAATCCACTTTCCCAAAACCAAAGGCGCCCCCCCAAAAAAGCTCGCCGTGTGTATAGGTGTGTAAATGCTCAATGCCGCTCAGAGAATGCTCCGCCAGGCATCTCTGTGATAATGTTATAATAGAGGAGGGCCCGGAGCCTGGTGGTGGCCGTTTTGTAGTGACGTGGTTATTGAGCTCCCTCCCCCATCTATTTGCCGTTCTGAGCCGCTTGAGCATGCTCAAATTCGTCAATCTGAGCCTGGCTCGCGCCCCCGGCGTTGTGGTAAGAGTCGTCCCACATGGGATATGGCAGTCCCCCGTGCCACTCGTGGCGGAGCCTGGCGCTGAGCTCCTCGCGCTCTGCCGGCTTCAAGGGCTCGCGGCTGTCGAGGACCCATCCGTTGGCCGCCAGTGCCTGGTACATGCCGATCTGCTCTTGCTCGGGCAGTTGGTTTGCCTGCAGCTGGTCGCAGACTGTGAGCATGCCGCCGATGTACCGCATACACGCATCCTTGACGGTGGTGACGTGCTGCCGTGTGTACTTGAGCTTCTCCCGGTTGCCCTCTGGCATGGGCACCTGGCGGAGATTCTCGAGGGCCAGGAAGCGGCGAGGGACACCCGAGGGCGCGGGCTTGTTGGCGTCCCACATCTTCAGGACGGTGGTGTGGCCGAGCTGCGGTGGCAGAGAGAGCATCTGCTCGCGGTAGTGTGGGTGGCGGTAGCAGCAGATCTTGACGGCGAGCTCGCGGGCCACCTTGCTGAAAGTGTCGATGACCTCCTGGAGCTCCTTGTATACCGAGCAGTTGGTGCGCCCATCCTCGACGTTGCGGTCGCACTCCATGTTGCGCGTGCTGCAGCGGTCGCAGCGGCCGCTGCCGGTCGTGACCTTGCACTTGGTCTTGGACTTGCGGCAGCCGACGCAGGAATGGCTGCCGAGGGTGGTCCGGCTGGTGCGCGGCTTTTTGACGGCGGCACTGCGGCGAGCCGAGGATTGACTTGAGGTTGTTGATGACGGAATAGTTGGTGCTGGTCCAGAGGGGTCCGGGATAGTTGATGCTGGACCAGATGATGCCAGGCCAGGTTGTGCTGGGCCGAAAAGTGCTGGGTTGTTGATAATGGCCGGATCCAGTGGGATTTGAGGGATGAATGGACCAGGCGCCACCTCCGGCACGGTAAAGGGAGTTGAACCATGGTCGTTTTGGAGTTCGGTCCAGTTGAAGTTGCCCAGGTCTGGTGGGGGGTTGAAGTTGTCCATGCCTGGCATCTGACTGAAGTCGCCGAGGCTTGGCATCTGGTTGAAGTCGAAACTGCTCTGGTTCGCAGCCTGGAAGAGATCGAACATGCTTCGATCGGCATTAGAGAGGCCTTGGCCGAACTCACTGAAGGGCGCGTCCTCCTGTCCCTGTCTGTCCGCCATGATGAGGCCGGCGAGTGCTTGTTGTGGCCAGGAGTGAAGATGTCGCGAGGGTCTGGAGACCGCAGAGGACCAAAGGGTCTAGAGGACCAAGGAGTCTAGTGCAGGGCCAGACGTTGTAGTGCTCTGGAGATCTAGTTGTATGACCTGACTGAGTTGTTTCGGCGAGCTGAGTCGTGAGAGCGAGCGCGTGAGAAGCTTTAGACGAGAACAGATTTTTGGGTTGTGCATATGAATGGCAGATGCTCGATTTCTGCGCAGCGAGATGTCCTTATGTGCTTTTCTTGCTGGGAATCAAAGTTTTCATCTTCTCGCACAATCCCACGATCCAACACAAGTGAGCAGACGGAAGCAGGAGTTACAATGTGTACGGGCGTGGGCCATCCTTGGGCGTCACTTGGGCGGGTGGTTGGGGTGTCGAGAGGCATCTCCGGGCAATCCTGAACAAGTCTAGTCGTTGCAGTTGTTTTCGGGGAAGTGTTTAGACGCACGGGTGGCCCGCTGTTGAATGCGTAGCGGATTCAAGGTGTGAGAAGGCGGAGACCCGAAACAAGAATCGAGTTGTTGTGGGAGCGCGCTGGAGCAGCGCAAAATCACTGGATGTTTCCCTTGGGACTTGAAGGTGCACCGAGGCGCGCAAAGGAATTCAGGACAGGGACAAAGGGAGGCTGCAGGTAACGAAAGTCTTGTACGTGGAGAGATTCTTCTAAGATGCGTCGAAGCAGGTTGTGATGAAAATGGGGTGCACTACACTGAGTGTCAAAGGCCAGCATTACGTTGACACGCCTTCTGGGACCTTGGCAGCATTCTCCGAAACGTGCCTGCCTGCCTTGGTCAACCGGTCTTTCCTGCTCTTTGACTTGGACCGGGCCGCGCCGCGGACAGGCAGCTTCGGGCATGGGGTGTGGACAGTGCTCTGGCACACCCTGCAAGAGATGGGCGGGCCAGCCTGAATTCTATGGCCCCGGGGACTTCCACAAGAGTTCACAGAGCACTGGAAGCGGCCAGAGACCCGTGGGCCACAGCGCTTGGCGTCGTCAACCCAGCCCACCAAGAAAAAGAGTAGCGGCTCCTGAAGGCCACTCGGGTAGCGGCACACCGCAGGGGTTCGTCAACTGCGACGGCCAGCGACGTGGTTTGGGCGGGTGGTATGGAGTTGTTTGGGCTGGTTCCTGGCAAGTCATGGAAACCTTGACATGTAAACAAACGTGTGTGCATGCATTAGCGGCGGGCCTTGTTGGGTGGGCAGGGGCACGTCAGATCCAGGAACCTACCTTATTTAGTGGGGCCACCCCACTCGCTCGTGCCTTCCTGTCTTCCAAGGTTCCGTCCCACGGGCTGCCTTCCTCGAGGTTCCTTCCCCACGTGCTTCTAGACCACTGCGACACCCGTCACCAAGGCACCATCCTCCTGCCATGCAGCAACAAACCACCAGGCCAGCATAAGTCGGCGCACCCAACCAGCCAGCATCACCGACTCGCCTCGGGCCCTTCTTCCACGCAGCGTCGCCCTCTGGCCGCATCTCTGACGCCTCAGGGCCAGAGCCTGGCTCCTCCAAATCTGACAGCAGGAGTGCACGCACCACACCCGTTCCGCAGGTTCGCCTTCAGAGAACATCTCTCACTCCCTCCGCACTCATGGCATTCCCGGCTCGCACGGCAGTCCCTTCCACCCAGCTGTCCTCCAGTCCCCCTCGTTCCCCCGGCCCCCCACAAGACACCGGTGGAGAAAAATACACGACCTCACCGGACAAAGTGCTGTTACAGACACAGGCGCCAAGCCAGGTCCTCTGAACCCCCGGGGCTGGCATCTGAACTGGACCATATCTTTACTTACTTCACCCGTTCGCTCGAGCCATCGCACAATGGAGGATGAGACGCACCCGGGGATCAGTCCTGGTGCGGTCAAGCAGCCTTCTTGGGAGGCATACGAGGACAAGCGCGTGATAGGCGACTGGTTGCTGAGCCCGTAGTGATGTCAGTGCGGACTTGCGATGATTGACGACGGTGCTGGTTCAGTGCCCGCTGCCGCAGAGGCGACGGCGGGTCATCGCGCTCGCCCCTTCTCACGTACTTCAGCCATGGTGACTTCCTCCAAGGACGACGCCGTCTCCAACGCTGGACCGTTTTGGCCGGGCACGCCGCGCGCGCAGGTTCCCATGCGAAAGCAATCACTGTCCCTTCCAAGTTTTTGGTGCGCCTCTCCTTCCGACTTTTCCTCGTGCGTTCATTCTCGTCCCTTCTCAGCCACCCCAGCCAGCCCCAGCGATTTATCTTATCACGAGATTGTCAAAATCCAGACTGCAAAACGAGGGGTAGCTAGGTGCTGCTGCTCACGACGGCCCGGTGGCCTACATTCGATAACCACCGAGGACTGGCGTGCAGCTTGTCAAACATATCACCGGTGAAAGATTCTTTCTGCCCGCAGCCCCTGCCCAGTGAGGTGCAACTACGTGACTTGAGATTGGAGCATTCGTGGGGACAGCCAGCCATGAAATACACACACACACATCCCATGGCATGGGATTTCCAGTTCATCCAATCTCGATGACACGCTCTGGACAAGTACCCCTCGTAACATACATTGTAAATGACGCGTCACCCACTCGTCGTGGTCCATCTAGCTCTGTCGCAGGGCATTCAAGTCTGCGACCTGCAATGCCTCGATATTGCCAGAGTAGTCAGCAGAGGCAACGCCAACATTGACTATCTTTATTTGTCTGGGTGAGGTATTGCAGATGCTTCATATAAGTACAAGACGTTGAAAAAACAGAACTATGGAAAATGATGCTGCCTATTCTAGCTCGTGTATGTTCACAGATGATGCTCACGTGTATGTATGTACTTCTGTCCTCATTTCATGGTAAATATGTTGGGAACAATAAATTGGCATGGGGACATATGCAATTTGCGTGCTCGGTTCAGATCACGACACCACGCTCTGCCCAGCCATTCCTTCCCTTCCATGCCCATAGCACCATCAATGCGCCTACCCACGTCGCCACCGTCATGGCCCAGAATGGGCCAGCATAGCACTGTGTGCCGTGGCAGAAGATGTCGTCTTCGGCGGTGCCATCGGCCGAGGTGAGCGGCGGGTTGCTGCTTGCGCCGGCCTGGTACGCTGCAGAGTAAATCAGCCCCCACATAGTCGAGCCGGCGGCGGGCGTGAGGGCAATGATGCCAAAGTTTGTGCCAAAGTTCTCGACACCCCAGATGATCGTGATGATGATGGGTGTGATGCTGAAGACGGCGCCGTAGCCGGCTCCCACAAAGCCCGACACAACCCAGAACCGGTCGCCGTGGCCTTGCGCACCACCTGCTGCCAGGAAACCGGTGCCAATGGACTGCGCGACAGCTGCTGCGATGAAGAGGACGACGCGAGACACTGTAAAGGTGCGACCAGCGGTACTAGGCTCGGAAGCATGAGAAGCACCGACCTGAACGTGCTGACTTTGCGGCGTGGGGGACAGTAAATCGCTCAGGGAGGCGGCCAGAAGCCTCGCAAGTGTACTCACAGCAGCCATGATGGAGACATGAGTGGCGGCTGTGGTCCGGGCACCGTGATCGTCTGGAGAGTACAGCGTGCCGATCACCGTGCCAAGATTGTTGATGAAGGCCTCACCCGGGCCGTTGATCAGCCAGAATCCCGCGGCAAACCACCACATGGTGGGATCGGTGAGGAACCTCTTCGTCTCCGCATTGAGGAGGAAAGTCTTCTTTAGTCTCGCCGCCTCATCTTCGTCATCCTTGACGAGGCTAGCGGCGTCACTTCCCGCAGTGGCCTCGTCGATAGCTCCGTAGCTGCGCTCCGCACGACGATGGAAAACCTCGCTGCCCGTCAACAGGCCACTGCGCTCCAGTTCCTCGATCGCGTCGTCGATGAGATCCTCTTCGTCCAAGACTCTCAGAGCAAAAAACCCGAACAGTCCAACGACGGTAAACAATGTTGCCAAGAAGACAAAAAACTTGAAAACATCCACATCACCAACGGTTCCATCTTCGTGGCGCTCACGGAGCAGCTTGCTGCCGATTTGGGACAAGAGCATGGCACTCAGGCCGAAAGAGGCAATAGGAGCCACGAGCATGAGGCCGCGATACCTGCCCTTGCCAAAGTTCTTCGCACAGGTGGTGATTGCCGCAATGTACATGCCTGCCGTGCCCATGCCAATGGCCACAAAAGCACACGCCATGCCGGAGACGCCGGACCTGCTCCCGATCGCAACCTCGGACACGCCGTGGTGGAAGAGGGCGGCGGCAGTAGCATAGCCACCACCCCCAAAGATGGCAGCGAAGAGCGCGAGCGGGCCCGGGCCAACGCGGTCGCAGGCGTAGCCAAGGATCGGAACGGGTATGTACAAGGCGATGCTCATGGCGGTGGCAATGGCATTGACCTCGAATTGAGAGAAGTGGAGGCGTGACTGAAGGAGGTGGCCATAAAGGGAAAAGACGGTGATTGCACCAGCCGAGATGGCACAGCAGATTGACGCGACAAAGGCGAGCGCGCGGCGGGCTTGATGGACTCGCCGACGGGCGGAGCGGGCGGCGGCATGATTGAGCGAGGACGTGTCGGAGCGAAAAGAGCTGAGGGTGGATGAGGATGAGGATGGGCGCAGCAGCGGCGCATCAGCGCCAGAGCGCTCTGCTGGGTGAGACATCGGGACACTGGTGCTGTCGGCAAATCGGTCGTGGTGATCGGGTGGTTCAACGGCTGGGGGCGGCCGAGTACGTGAGACAAACACAACGTTGTCGGATGGCAGAGGAAGTCGAGTTCGAGCTGCCGAAGGCTTGGAGCGCGAGGCTCCGGGGGAGAATGAAGAATTACGGCACCATCGAGGATTGTGTTGTTTGCGAAACAGGACCGCGTCGTGAAAATGAGAAGGGAGGAGAGCAAGGCGGATGATGATGACCAGTCGAAGTGGAGGGAGGCTCGGAGCTTGCGTAGGCGTAAGATGACATCGCAGGTGGCAGGCCAGTGGCTGCGCAACAATCGCAGTGCGAAACCGGAAGGTCGGGAGCGGTTGGCACGGGCGGGCCCCACCCGCTGACAACGCGGCAGGCAGGCACGCCCAAGCCCAAGCCCAAGCCCACTGGATCACGTCACGGGGCACAGCATCACGATCAGGCTGCTGCCAGGTGTTTACGCCCACCTCAAACTACTAAGTAGCGTACCTAGCGTATGGCTTGACCTAATCCCGCTATTTCAGCACAATCCACTTCTAGCAGCCACCCAACATCAAACCGCCTGGACCACCATGTGACTCCCGCTGTCTGACTCGCCCACCAAAGACAGCCATGGCAGCAATTTCTAGACTGCATGCCTGCTTAGCGTGACACAGAGGGCTGGAGGTTCTTGACCTCGGCAAACTTGTCTGGGTTCACAGTCGGGTCGTTGAGAGGATCACCATCCGCTCCAGGATTGGCCATCTCATATTCCAAGGTCTTGATGAACTTGTAAAACACCACTGCAATCAGTGCCCCAGCGAACGGGCCGACCCCTAACACGCACAGGACCAAAGTCAGTAAAGAGTGGCAAGGCGTAGTTTCTGCGTATTTGCGAAGTCAAGGCTCCAAAACCGCGAGGGAGACCGCTTACAGTATATCCAGTGCTCTTCATCAAAACTGAGCGTGACGACACATGGCCCAAAACTGCGCGCCGGATTCAGCGACCCCCCAGTGAACTGCACGCCGACCATTTCGGCAATGAAAAGTGCCAGGCCGATGCCGACGGGTGCAATGAAGGTGGCCCGGTGTTTCTCCTTGGCGAGCATGAAAATGGCGAAGACGAGCTCGGCCGTGAGGATGGCCTCGATGAAGACACCCTGCACAATGCTGGTCCCGTTGGACAACGTCGTCTTGACATTGAACGCCTGTGGCAGTAGATAGAGCACAATCACGCTGGCGAGCATGGAGCCAAGCATCTGCGCGACAAACAACCACACGGCACGCTTCAGCGTGATGGCGTGCACCAGGAGCATCGCCAGTGTCACGGCTGGGTTGAAGAGCCCGCCACTGATGCGGAAGAAGACCCACACATTGACCATGAGCGAAAAGCCAAAGATGACGGAGATGTACATGAGCACAAGCAGGTCGAATCCCGTCGCCTCGCCCGTCGTCGTGTTCGAGTCGCCATCCCCGCTCGCTGTCGCCCGCGACTGGATGTTGGCAACCTCGGTACCCGCGAACGCTATCAGCAAGAACAGCGTCGTGCCCACGAACTCGCCCAGGCTCGAGACAAAATGATTCTTAAAGTCCGAGTTCATCCACTGAGTGAATGGCAGGCGCAGCACCTCGGCTTTCTCCTCCGTCGTGAGATCCCTCCACTCGATGCGCTGCTGGCGGCTCTGGGCATGGCCGCCGCCCATGGAGGACTCGTAACCCATCTCCTCGTCCCGCATGCGTATCATGGGGCTGGTGGTGTTGCAGCTGACTTTGTCGGCCTGAGAAGAGGGGCGCCGCTGATGGAGTTGCTGCTGAAAATACTGCTGCGCGGCACCACCGCCACCATTAGAAGAATGATAATCCTCAGAACTGTGCCGGTCCTCGAGCAGCGTCCTTCCGCCCATGGCCGGGCTTGGTGAAGGCGCTCCATCGTGACCAAAATTGTACGCCCGGTTCATGTATGCACGCGGCGGCCGGCTGTGGCTTGGCCGCCGCGTGAATTTGTCAGGGTGAATCCTGCCTTCGTCTCTGAGGACATCTCCGCCTCCTCCGCCGCCGTAATGAGGAGTTGGATTCTGATTGGTGTAATTGTAGCCACTATAATAGTACTCGTCGTCCCGGCCGTCATCAATGCTAGAGAACCGCACAGGACGTCCTGCAGAGCGCAGTGAAGATGACTTGACTGGTCCATCGTAGTCATTGTATGGCATAGGAGACACGAGTCCAGTCCGACTGTGCGGGCGGCCCGGGCTCGAAACGCCTTGGTAGGTACTCATGTTGTCACGAGACTGGCGGCTATTGCCAGGCACGGTGGTGACATCGTGTTGTTGGGGTGAAGGGTGCACGCCCGGCTCGTTCTGGGTGTTCGTTGCAGTGTAGGTGGTAGCCGTCTTGGTGGCGGGGATTGGTTTGGTCTCGTTAACAGCGGTCAAGGCGTCGTGGATTTCTGCGTCTTTGCTTAAGCTGGCCATTGTCCTTGGATGGAGGCTCTTTCTGTTGTCATACAGTCAGACAGGGGATGAAAATCACCGAAGTGGTTGCAAGGCGTGTCAGTTTTGTCAGCGAGGTTGTCAGCGAGTGTATAGAACGATCTCTTGAGGATCGAGATATGCGAAGAATAAAGCAGATAGCAGAGGAACCGATGAGCAATCTTGTTATTTAACACACAATACCTTGTGAAAGGGAAACACAACGCTGATCTCTGACCACATTGACACATATATCGAACCATTCTGCCTCTGCGAAGCACTGCACAACATCATCATCGCCGATCTCAGAGCACATCGGCACCATTTTTCGGCATCGTCAAAACTAGCCAACGATCGACAAGCAAGCCAAGCAAGTTCCTATGCCAACACTGCCGCCAATGAGGCAGTACTTGCATGTGTATGGCTCATAATCCCTGCAGCACATCAATCAAAAGTCCAAGGGACCCAGGACTAGCACTCTCTTGGCGTGCCATACTTTGTATTGACCAGTAGGAAATCTCGAAGAATAACCTCGTCGACTAGGGAACGTCAAGCCACTTACACCATTTCTCCCGCGCTCCCATGCTGGGACTGGAAGTTAGAGGCCTTACCCTTTCTGGTCATGCGTGGCAGGTCATTTTCTGCAAGCTTCATGTCTTGCTCTGAAGCAGACAGAATGACCCGATGTCTTGGACAAAAAAAGAAGGACAACGCGCGGACAGGATTAGACTCGGCTTGGTGTTGGATTGGTGTGGAGAACAATGCGTGCGCGCGCAAAGCATCTTTTCAGCTTGCTTTCCCCCGGTCCATGGGAGAAGGCGATCAGGGTTCGTCCTTGTCGTCATGGCTAGACAAGACTCTCTGTCTGGTGCAGCAATCTTTATAAAGGTTCCATGGTCGACCAGTTGTCTTAAGACATCACTAGTACGCCTGTGTCATGGATGAAGCATAAGAGGAGGTGGAGACGAGAATGAAAATGCGCTTATCATTGACGGCTTCCTCTGGTAGGTGGCACCATTTTTCAGGAGTCACACAAGTGCGATTCGGACATGTTCTAGCCGAAGAACAATTGAAAGCCGCTTACGAAATGGTGCCAAACTTTGGAGACGAGGCTCCGAGCTGCCACCAAGACGCTCCCGAAACTCTATCCCCACACCACAAACTTGACTTGACGTCAAGTAGACAAATAACACGAACAACAAAAGCAAAGTCAAAAATTAGCAAGGTGAGAATCATCTCCAGCTCCGGGCGGCAAACTCCTCGCCTTTTTGGTTTCATTCCTCTTTCCCTCTTGCTACCTTCCCTTTTTTGCTTTTCCTAGGCCCTCTTCTCCCGGGCGGCCAATACGTCAGCCACATGCCAACACACCGGCCCAGCCCAGCCCAGCCAAACCCACACCAGGACTCAATGAAACGGCGCTACGGTACCCGCTGCGCTGTCACTGACAAACAGCACACATACTTGCTGAAACGAGAGTATTTTTTTTCAACCCTTACTTTATCCTGCTGATCTAAATGAGGACTAGCTGAGCTGTCAGAACCACATCAGGGATGGACCCTGCTTCTCATTGACCAACTTACCTGCGCTCCAGACCGAGTCATGAATGCCGCGCATTCTTGTCATCCTCTCTCGGTATCATCGTCATGGTTTCGCCTTGTCCGCATTTGCACGCGCTGAAGGGCATCGAGAAGTCAAAGAACGAGGCTCGTGTCCCGTCCTTTTCTCAGTCTCCCAACCACATGACGCACGTTGGCTAGAGGAAGCGGAGGATGCTGCGGTGGCTTCCATATTGGCATAAATGGTGGTGCCCCATTTTGCAAAAAAAAAAAAAAAAAAAAAAGAATGCCGACAAGCTTGAATAAAGCGCAGTCTCTTTCCACGCCTTGTCTTTTAATAATGCAGCCAGCCACCTTGCCTGCATGAATCTCGATACGTGGCTGGTCCCCCAGGGGACGAAGCACGGAGCCGCCGCTTTCTGGCGCCCTGGTCATCGGAGGATATAAGAAAAAGCAAAAGACTTCTGCATCATTCCGCGCACACACACACACACACAGACCAAGGCCCCCCCGGGAAAACAGGGCTGACGATGGCTGAACGTGGTAGCGATAGAACCTGGAGTATGCACGAAAGTCCGGTTTCCGGGTATGGCTGATATTCTTTTTTTTGTTTTTAAAACGTAGACAAGACCTCCAGTGGCACATGAAGGATGCCGGTGATTCCAGTTTGGCGCTTATCCTCTTACGCTCACATGAGCTTCTCGTGGAGTCGTGGCGACGGGGTCAAGACTGCGTGATTGGCAGGTGTGCGCGGGCTTCGAGGGCGTTGAAAGACGGCTGTTGCCAGGGTTAAGCGCTCTTTTGCATTGGAACATTCTCGCGAGCGAGCGAGGCGAGTACGGGCACGCAGAGAAGTCACTGCTCGGCATGTTCAGAATGAGAAAAAGCTCAGCAGTGGGAAGTGACATTGGCTGTGACGGATGTGATCAAGCGAGGGGCAACCCCTCAGTCATTGACCTCGTGCTGGACTAAGCCGGAGGCTGTTTCCCCAGACGCATCGACTAATAAGCAATAGCAGGACACTATATACAATTATACATGGGATATATGGCAAGAACTTTTTCGAATGGCGGGATCGGCAAGGTTTCCGCTACGTCTCTGGGGTATCCTTCTTCTCGCTCATTCTCTTCTCCCCCGTTGCTAAAAGGCCCCAGCAAAACATGGCTCTCGACCAAAGGGATGCCGATCATGAAAATGGTGCACTGCTCTCCGCCCAATCCGGCCACAAGTCAATCAGATCTGTGCCGAGCCCCTCGAGGCTGAAGTCCGGGTTGGGCAGGACCTGGCTGGTGTCGCCCGAAGGGAGCAGCCAGGGGGTGGAGATCGGCATTCCGTCGCGCAGGTACGGCGTGTTGCCGAGCGACATGCCGTTGTTCTGCTGTTGCTGCTGCTGCTGCACAGTGTACGGGGTGACATCGGACTGCTGGGTTTGAAAAGACGTCAGTATGCCGGTAGTTACAGGCAGGCGGCTACCCCTCAAATGGAGAGCAAAGACAAGACTGCAATCACAGAGTGAGAATGACATACTTTAACATGATTCATGTACGCGCCAACCCGACCTGCAGAGTCCGCACCAACTGTCGAACCCGGCGTGCCATGCGACATCTGCGGATTCGTGATGGGTGACTGCTGGTTCGTGACCAGCCTGTAGTGCAGACTGATGAAACGCTCGGCGGCCGATGCCTTGGCCTGCTCCATCGGTTTGGTGCCGAGATGAGTCTCGAGGAGGCCCAGGGCAGCGCACATGGACGAGTAGCCCCACGGATCATTGTGACCGCACCGCAGGATCCTATCCTCCTTCATGGCGATGCACTTTTCTATCAGGCTAATTGTTTCTTGGGCGTTTGACATGATCCAGCTCGAATTGTCTGCTGGGCGTTAGCGGGGTCTGGGGGTGTCACGAAAAGGTGGCAGGTAGGGACGATGACTTACCCTTGGGCTGACGCAATGAAACGGTGCACAGGTTTACGGCAGCATTCATGGTATCTTCCCGAAGGAAGTTTAGCGATCTGATACCTCTCTGGAATAGTTTATCATGCGCAATGACGATATCGCGCGCAGTGTTGTAGTAGAGGAACTCTGCGATCTGGAATTTGGAGTGATTCTCTCGCAGCTTGATGAATGGCTGCAGTAGCGGGATAAAAAATTGCTTGAGCTGAAGATGCAGCAACGTGTGAGCCAGGATGGGCTTGTGGATGCTGTTGGGCGCAGGCTCCGTGTCAATGTCCCATGCCGGGAGCGCGTCGATCTCCTGGGTCAAGAGCTCGGTGTAGCGGAGTGCTTGCTCCCAGTCCAGAGCGCCGCGCGACATTGTCAAGATCCTCGTCAGCTCCAGGCGCAATGGTAGACTGCGCCGACTGAGATGCTGATATGATGACAACGTGTACTTGTCATCTGGGTTGGATTCGGGCAGCTCCTCTGTGTTCTCGTCGAATTGGTCATCGTCGATGTTCCGAGGCGCGTCCGCGTCGTTGTAAACCTGGCTCATCAGCGTCGGAACACCCTGGTCGACCGAAGACTGTACATCAAACTCGACCATGGTCGCCCATAGACGTCGGCGCATCTCCTGATAGAAGGGCGAGACTTGCACGCTCATATGCTCAGGGTCTTGATGCAGGCCCGTGATGATGCCGTCTCGAACTAGGACGCCAGTGGTTGACCAGAACCTCTTCTTCTTGATGATATTGACACGCTTTGCCATATACAGCATACAGGCGATCTGATAATGGATGAGCATGCGGTGTTTGTGGCTCTGGTTCGCGTGCCAATTGTCGCAGGCTTTCACCCACTTGGCTGCACGCTGGAACGAGCTCGACTTGACGCCAACAAACTTGTTGGACACGGTCATATCCAGACACACCGACACAGAGATCATCGCTAGTACAAGCACCGTCATGGCCGCCGATCTCGTCCTCGCCGGGTCCCAGAACGAAGCATACTGCTTCTTGAACGTGGGAACGTGCACGATGCGATGAATTTGCTCAAACTGGTCGAGATAGATGGAAATGAGGGAGTCAGTCTCGTCCCTGGGGGGCAGCAGTGCCTCGAGGTCGAGCCCGGGCTCCATGAACCGCTTCATGCGGTCATTGCGCCTCTTGTCACGGTCTTTCTTTTGTATGTTGAGTGGCCGTAGCCACTGGTCTGCGGTCTGCCGCATAAACAACTGGAGGCCGTTGAGCTGGATCACAGAGTCCCATGCATTGTGCGGGCCAAAGTAGCGAGCCTTGAAATTGTGGCCGCGCACAAACTTGAACTCGAGACCGTCGGGGTTATCTGGGATGATGGGAGCGACGGGCTCGGACGGCTCCTCAGGCCGGGTTTCCTTGTGAGTGAGTGGCGATGCAACGACGGTGCTGCCGTCGAGCGAGGCCTGCTTTGCCAGGGCAGCCTTGAGCTGTGCGACCTCGAGCTCGAGACGACGGACGCGGTCGTGGTCGCGAGCCGACTCGCGCAACAGTGATGCATCGACACTGCGACGGAGGGGATTGTGATTGGGGTGGCGGCTGTCGAGGTCGAAGGAGACCATGGGCGCAGCCGGCGCGAAAGAGGACCGCTCCGAGACGGGGCCGCTGACGGAGCCCGGCCGGGGCTCGTAGGTGCAGCGGTCGGCGGTGCCGGACTTGATGCAACGGTCGCAGGGCAGCTCACGTGAGCACGAGAGCTTGCGGCGGCGGCACTCAAGACAGGAGAGCCTGACGCGCTGGCGCTTGCGGGGCGGCTCCTGGGCATCGGAGGAGCCGGCGGCATGGTCGTCGTGGGAGTCATGGTGGTCCTGGTCCTGGTCCTCAGCCTCGGTGTCGTGGTGGGTGCTGGAGGCGTCGTCGTGGCCGGCGACGCCGTTCTGGGCCGGCTCGGGCATCGCGACGGTGACGGTGGTGTGACGCTGCGCGGGGCCGGTGTTGAGACCGGAGAGCACGGGGCGGAGAGGGCCGTGTGCCGGGACGGAGGAGCCAGCCTTGACTCCGAGAGGGCCGGGCCTGAAACAATGCAGCACTGGGCGGCGGATGGCTTGAGGCGATCTGCGGCGGCCCGTCTGCAAATCCGAGGTTGTGTTTGCTCCGAGAGCAGCAGAGCTCGGCTTTACGGTGGTGGAGGAAAGGATTTGACAGCGAACCAGCAGCTTAGTCAGCAGACCACGCCGTGCCTTGCGGCTCAACTCAAAGCTCCCTGGCCTGACGAGGCATCCATTGCTGCTTGGCCTTGCTAATTACCAAGGTAGGTAGGGTTCCCGCCGCATGTTAGTGCCTCGCCTGCTTCAAGGACCACGGCCGGTCCCTTGCCGCGATTACCGTCGTGAAGGCTCCCCAGGGGTCAGGTCAGACATGTGCAATGTCCTGCGTTTTGAATTGGGCCAACAGCTTGGGTTGAGAGGGCCGAGTTAGAGCTTCAAGCCCCTACCATTAGAGGCTCCGGTCTTGGCGGTGCGGCCCCAGACGGCGCCATGCCCGATCCGACCGCCTAGCGCCAGCCATCTGCGGCAGCGGCTCCTATCAATGTGACACCCTGCCACTATCATCATTGTGGTGCATCTTGTCCCCTCCCTTGACCCAACACCCTATTGTCCTCTCGTCTTTCCACTCTGCGCGCGGACCGGAGACAATGTCTGGCCGCGAATTCACGCCTTTGTAACATTCATGGCGTGCCGTCTGTTCCGTCTCGGCCTGCTTGCCGCCTGCGCGCAGCTTGTCGCGGCTGCCGACCTCGTCCCTGGCCGGGCGTTTGATCGGTTCATCAGCATCTGGCTTGAGAATCAGGTACGCGCGCTCCCGCTGTTTACCGCCAAGGGTCCAGACTGACAACCTGCCTGCTTCGCCTCTCCTCACAGGATTTTGACAAGGTCACCGCCGACTCTGCCTTTGCCGAGCTCCGGAAGCAGGGCATACTCCAGACCCGGTACTACGCGCAGACGCACCCCAGCCAGCCAAACTACCTCGCCGCCATTGCAGGCGACTATTGGGGCCTCGACCACGACGATGTCGTCCGCATCCCCAAGAACGTGTCGACCATTGTCGACCTTCTAAACGACAAGCGTATTTCATGGTCTGCCGCAATGGAGAGCATCCCCTCGCCAGGGTACCTAGGTAACGCCAGTCTTGCAGAGGACGGGTACACCGTAGACTATGTCAGGAAGCACAAGTACGCCATCTCCCCGCCATCTCCCCCTGAATCAATTTTTCCAATGCGCTGCTGACACTACCTGGGTTGCTGTAGCCCCTTTGCCTCATATGACTCCATTGCGAACCATGGTTTCAAGCTCATCAATGTCCGCTCCCTCGACGACTTCAAGCGCAGCCTCGCAGAAGGCACAGTCCCTCAATTCGTCATGATGTCGCCCAACATGCTCCACGACGGTCACGATACAACGCTCGAAAATGCTACAATATGGTCACGCGACTTCCTCCAACCTCTGCTCAAGGACAACAGCAAGATCTTCGCCGAGCGGACCTTGATCCAACTGACCTATGATGAGACGGAGGACTATTCGCAGCCGAACCGCATCGTCTCCTTGCTCCTCGGCAACGCAGTCCCCGCGGACCTGCGTGGCACCGAAGACAACGACTTCTATACGCACTTTTCCATCCTGTCCACAGTGCAGAATAACTGGGAGCTGTCCAATCTGGGCCGGTACGATGTAGGAGCGAACGTGTTCCGGGTCGTCGCGGAGAAGACGGGATACAAGAACATGGATCCGCCGAACGCCGAGCGGGTGAACAACTCGGTCTCATACCCTGGGTTTCTGAACATGAACCATACTACCAAGCTCACGACGCTGCCGGCGCCGAATCTTAATCTGGTCGGTGCTGGCGGGAAAGGGATACTCCAGTCAATCAAGGAGACGTGGGGCAATGGTGCCGGTGCCGGGGGACAGATCAAGACGCCGTACGATGGCAAGCATTATGTGTTTGACGGGGACAACGTTCCAGAGTATACGTTGCAATGACATAAGCAGTCTCCCGCTTAGATATCTCAGTTGCCATATTTGAATTTGTTAAATCCCAATCAACCTGGCAGTTCACTCCTTGCTCATATTCTCAAGATTTTCTCGGATGTTTGTTCCCCATTCCCTAATGAATCTCCCCACATTGTGAATAGATGGAGTTGCTGCTTGGTTAAAACGAAGATGGACATGGCAACCCCACGACGCAGACAAGACAGATTTCTTTGTCCCGCTTGAAACCAGGCACGACCATCGGTTGCCTCCCGGGAATCAGTTCTAATTCTTCAAAGGGTAGGCCGACAACCCAAAGAAGCAACATAGACGAGCAGCCACAGCACTGCGACTGAAGGAAACGTTGACGAAAAATATGAAACTGCACAGTCCTTGTTCCTCTTTGCGCCCGTTGGAGTGCACTATTCATGAGCGATCATGCAACTTGCATTGACATGTGCTTCGCTAAGTGGCTGTATGGAAGTCTGGCTTCTCCTACACAGCAAGTGAAACTACTTGAACTATCGATGTACATAACTTTTGCCTGAGATCTAGTGTCCACGTTTTTCCAACGTCGTGGCGTTGACTCCTCCGGTTGTTATTTCCAAATTCTCGGGGCATTCAAAGCTCATCTGAAGAACTGCCGCACTTGTGTTTTCTGGCTACGCTTTTTTAGCCAGGCATTAATCAAGCCAGCTGAAGGACTCTTTCGCTGCCTTGTCTGCAATCTCTGCTATTACGCGGTGACTTATTTCGTCTCTGTCCAAACCCCTGTGTAGTAAACCCCTCTACAATCACATGTCGTTTTCATATTGCACAATGGGAAAAGATTCCAAATAATATCACCTGCATCCGCTCCGCGTGACACACCCCTAGCACGAATTCCCTGCGGGTTAGACGTGGGGAATAACGAGATGCTATTGCTGTGATAGTGCGCGCGCGCGCGTCGGGCCTGAACTTGAAATCCACAGCGGTGACCCGCTCTGGGAGATCTGGCAACAGGAACCGGGGGACAGACGAGACAGACAGACAGGCGGTGGTGATCGACGACCGGGGGGCCGTGGTCAAAAGTTGCCATTGTTAATGCTGGGATAATACCGTGTGGAGTCTGGGACTTGGAGGATCCACATGTGCACGTCAGATATTTCCGAGATCTCAAACCTAGTCCCGAGGGGTTTCTTCAGAGAGCACCTGACTTGGTCTGGTTCCCACTGCCTTTTGGCGGGCTTTCATATGCTGCCGGGACGATTTCGCTTGCCTGTCTTTGCAGGACAAACTGGACCGGCAGCAAACGCAACGCAACACGCAACGCGGGGGAGGAAGCCATGCCATCATGAACCCCAAGAACGCAGCCAACCCAGCACCACTGCTGCGCGTCTTCACCACGCTGATCCGCACGCACCACATCACGAGCCGCAAGAAGCTCCAGCGCGTCAGGAAGGCCGCCGCGCAGCACGCCGTGCCCTACGTACTCGTGCGCAGCGGCGGCGCGCCAGGCATCATGTACGCCGAGGCCGCCGACGAGGCCAGCGTGGCGGACTGGGTGGCGACGGTGCAGAGCCTGCGCTACAAGGACTTCCAGTGCGTGCAGAAGCCCGCTGTCGCGCAGGTTGATGTCAAACCGATAGCATTGCCTGACCCGTTGGCCAGCATCGACCGGGGCGGGGGAGCGGGGTTTGAGGAAGTGACGAGCACGACCGAGTTCGCCGCCAGGATGCAGGAGAGAGGTCTGACCGGTTGGTTCAAACAGGGCATGGGCTATGGTTGAGGCGGAAGGAAACACTGCGGCCTTGCTTGGCCTCACCCATTAACCGGGCATCGACCGCAATGGGCTGGCACCAGCTTCCGGGCTGGTCTTCGCCATTCGGCTCAGTATCGGAGACCCTGTCTTGCCGTGAATGACAGCAGGAGACGGTCAGTCGTCACATGCGACTACGCCCGGCGAATGATCATAAGGCGGATTCGAATTACCATCTTGCTGGTGGAGCACGATTTGTGATCCGCCGTGGGAGACACTAAGGTACGATATGACCGACGCTGCAGCTTACCAAAGCACAAGTCGACAGTCACATCGCGTACTCCTCATGTCGGTCGTTTGTTACCCGGCTTTCTTAATACCGCTCGGTAACCACGGACGGGTCGTGAGCCCACTGGCAGAGAAAGGGTTCTAGAATTTGGCGCGATTTTAGCATGGAGCCTAGAGCCCAGCTCGGTAGTGATCCCGATGGATCGTGGCTAAACAACACTATTGTGTATCCGGCTCATGCCACGCGGAGCTCTAGCCTGGTTCTACTGGACTCGCCAGCAGTCTAGAGCAACGTGCGATGAGTAGTAATCCGGAAGGAACGAAAATTGACACCGCGTTTCTGCAAATATGCCAGGCTTGTGTTTTACCATACCTTGGGAAGCGTTGGAGCCGGAAGTGGCCTTTAATTTGGTCGTTCTAGGCAGGCCAGGAGCGTGACCCTTGTAACAATTCGCCGCGTCCGAATCAGCTTTTTCAAGAGAACGGACTAACGAAGATGTGTGAGTGACCACAATCACTTGCTAACAACTCGTGCGAAGCACCGCTCTTGGGGAGAATGTGCCTGTCCACCTGTCTTGCCATTGCTCAGAATGTCCAGTCCCGACTTGCCGAGATTGTTGGCTAGTGTAAGCCAACACAGGGCGAACGATACGCAGCGGGCATGGCGTCTAAATATGTGCTCAAGTGTGGCGCAAGGGTGTTATTAGATTCGATGTCTTTGCTGTCGTCCTAGTAGTCTAGAGGTACGCTACCTACCTTGTGGTCCTTAGCCACAGGATGATGATTAACTGGGTGCCGTGGAATGGGGCGTGGCTGGGGCTGCATTGTCTGCTCAACAACTTGGCCAACCTCGACTACAGGTGGCATTTCCGCAGATGAAGCAAGGGCGTCCGCGCCGGCGTTTCTGTGGCGTCCGCGCCGGCGTTTCTGTGGCGCTAAGCATAACGCAAAAGTCCCAGTAATGTCCCGACGCATACGCTACGGTGGCCACGATGGCGCCGGCTCACCTGTGCAGGGCCAGATCGGGTTTTCACTGAGACAACTCCACTGTGCGACCATTGACGGAGACGGTGATCATGCCGATTGGACGGCGTCAAGAGACTAACTATCTGGCAGTGATCCAGCACGTCGCCTTGCCTCGAACAGGAGTCCCAGATCTTTCATGGTTGGCCGGCGAAACACTAGAGCTCTAGTCTCAGGCAGAGATGCCGAATCGGCAGGAATTGACGAGGTCGTTGATGCTCGCGGCTCGGAGATGAATTGTGCTCACACCTGGGCTTTTAGAAGCGTCAAGCTGGTTTGTCTCTGCTGCAGCCACCGAATCGCTGAGAAACACAATGGCGGCCTGGCCAAGACGTGCCTGAGACCGCGGCCAGGTGTGGACCCAATCGGGGGGAAGGCACCATCGGGCGTCGTAGCCAGGTGTGCATTGAGAGCACTCAAGATCTCTCCATCTGTGCCTCTCCCGTCGGTTGGAACACACTTGTCTCGATCCCAACCTCGTGCGTTGCCCGACGCTCAGGCACCGGTGAGGAGGTTTCAAAAGTTCGGAGTCTTTCGCGCGATGTACTTGCGCGGCCCACCACACGCAGTTGTGCTTGAGCCTCCTCCGAAGATGGTGCCGCACAAGATCAGCACAACGCCCGCGCTCGACCAACACACAGATCTCCCAGGGCCGCCCCGGAGGACCCCTGCGGGCCTCTGCACTTGAAGCCACCATCACACTTGGCTGGCGCAGCAGCCTCGGCCAGCACGTTTACTGATTTATGGGCGCATCGGGACCCTCCACCCCGCTGGGGTTTCCATGCCTTCTCGACGGCCCCGATCCCTGCTTGTCATCTTAGATCCGCCGGCACCCTTGTCGAGATGAGCGGGTGTCACTTGGACCCGGCTGTCCGGTGTGCGGCGACTGAGTACGCATCTGGATCAGCCAAGGCACAGGATCCACTCATGTGCGTTGACATGAGCTGCAGGCCATGTTGTCCCAGCTGGTTCATAAGCCATGTCCTGCCCACGGCTCTGGCGTGAGGGCTTCTCTGTTCCAATCCGAGTGCTTGTTGGTCCGTCCCCTTGACAGCCGGTGCTGGGGTTCAAGATGCGGTATCCATGGTTCCTCCTCGTCATCTTGGTCTGTGTCGTATCCCAGACACAGGCCAATCTTCTCCAATACGTCAATGAGATTCCCAAGTGTGGTGTACGTCGATTCCCACCCAGCGCGGCCGTGGCACGGTTTCTATATGCCTTTCAATCTTTGGACTGACGTTGTTTTTTTGATACAGGTCACCTGTATTCTGAAGGCTGTGCCTCAGTCAGAATGCGGCAGCATCACCAACGAGACGTGCGTGTGTACAAGCGCCAGCCTCCACGCCTCCGTCACCGAATGCGTGCTCTCCGCCTGCACAGTACCCGAGGCCCTCAGTATGCGACTAACACCCGACACAAGAAAGAGCCCGTGCCTAACCATCTTCCGACTTATAGAGCTTCAGAAAGTGCAAAGCGACGCCTGCGGCATAGAACCTCGCGATCGCACTCCGTTGATGACTGGTCTCATCGGCATTGAGGCGTTCACTCTGCTGTGCTTGATAGTGCGCCTATACGCGAGGTGGTCAATATTCAAGAAGTTCGAGACCGACGACTATGTCATGATGGCCACACTGGTACGGGTTTAGCCCAGAGGAACAGCTTGCGTAGTCAATCTTGCTAACACCACATTTTAGTATTTCTGGATTGCGTTCACGGTTCTGGGCGAGTACAGTAAGTTCACGAAACGATACGCTCATACTTCATGTCCAATCATCTTAACAGCCACCTTTTCAGCCCGGATCACAGCTTTTGGTCGAGACATCTGGGAAGTTGACCCACAGAAGGTCACAACCGCGTTGATGGTAGGCTTCAGACTGAGCAAGTAGTATCTCGGAACCGAAGACAACTAACACTCTCGCAACAGCTCTTCTATGTTGATGAAGGCCTCTACCTATTGCTTCTCGCACTCACCAAAATCTCGGTTCTCGGCTTCTACCTCCGCGTCTTCCCCAGCCGTGGGTTCCGCAACATCGTCTTCATTACCATGGGCCTCATCATCGCGACCAGTTTCGCCTTCATTGTGGCACAGATCTTCCAGTGCTGGCCGATAGAGTCTATATGGCTGGCATGGCAGGGAGATTATGGCCCGAAACAGTGTGTCGACATCCAAGCCATGGCGTTTGCCAGTGCTGGGCTGAACATTGCCCTTGACCTTATCGTCATGGCACTGCCGTTTCCTTACCTGTTCCAGCTGCAGACCAATCCGCGGAAAAAGGCCGGCATTCTCGTCATGTTCAGCCTGGGTATTCTGGTCGTTGTCATCAGCTGTCTTAGGCTCCCGCACCTTCATTTGTTCACGACGACGAGTAACCCCACGTGGGACTTTACAGACGCGCTCATCTGGACAGCAATGGAGGTCCACGTGTCTATCATCATCGCTTGTTTGCCAGCTATCCGGCAGTTCCTCAGCAGATACCTGCCCAAGGTCTTTGGCGGATCATCAGCCGACTCGGCTGGGGAACGATCAAAAACGGCGAAAGGAAGTCGCTATGGGCAGTCGAGCAGGACAGACGGGTCAAGCACGCGAAAGAGGCCCTGGCAGTCGGATTCCAACTCTCGAAGCATTGTCCCGGGAGCCGACAACGAAAGCCAGATTGAACTCGGAACGACCATCAAGGGTCATTCCGAAGCTCAGGTACATGCTGTAACGGCATATCCGTTCAATGACGGATCGTCGTTGAGCGATGACGGCGGGCGGCAGATACATGTCACCAGGACCGTCAAGGTTACGGACGACCCTTGGCGTCAGTCAAAGCAGCAATGGAGATAGCCACGAGCTGGCAGTATGGAGGGTAGACTATCGGACACCTGCGATGCTGTATCCGGAATCCCTGGTGGATCACCCCGGGATACCTTGCAACATGACCCCTGTGTACGTGCCTCTCCGCGAGAGCGCAGTTACTCCCTCAAGCGACGGGTGGAACGACAGGACCTTCTGCAGATTAAACATAAACCTAAAGAATAATAAACACTTAGAAATATCTTTGGTCTCCTTGCTTTTCAATTATCATGTTGCACAATCCTTGGTAGGCTCTTCGAGCGAGCTGGTACATCAACGGTGGCCTTTTCGCAAGGCTGTCGACAGAGATCGGAGAAAAAAAAAAGAAAAGGCCCTATCCCCACCACCCTTCTCCTTGGCCCCTGTCCAATAAACACTCTGTATGTAGTGTAACCCTGCCGCGTGCATGCATGCGGCGTGTGCCTGCAGGTGGGCTGGGCAGCTGCATTGCATGCATTAGGTACGTACCTTAAGGTCCGCACGCACGCACGCACACGGGGGGGTTTCCAACTCGGTTGGTCCCGATCGAGCTGCGAGCGAATGAAGTAAGTTAAGAGTCTGCTGCTGTGCCAGGTCAAAGCGAAGGGGCCCACACAGCAGATCGATTTGAGCTGGATATGGACGGGGGGCTGAGCAGGGCTGTGCTGGCTCGGGGGGTCATCGCCCGTAATCGCCTGTCCGTCTGCTACTGCCTGCCTGCCTGCCTGCCTTGTCCTTGCAAAAGATGAAGGGGAGCAGGAACCAGCATCGCACACATGTTATTGTGAGCTCTGCTGCGCGCGCGCGCGATTGTGCGCGGCGAGGTGCGTGGTGGTCGTTGTCAATGGCAGGGTCTTGGCGGCGGTCGGACCACCAGAGCGACTCCCCGGGAAGATTGTGCCTGGCAAAGAGCCCCAAGCTCTGAGCGATGCTTAAGGCAAGGTACGTGAGTGAGCGAGCGGTGCTAGATGGCGAAGCTGCAAGTCACAAGATCCCGTCGGGCAGAGTGGGGAAATCGATCTGAGGATTTCGCTTCTCCCGCCAGTTTTGGGGATAGCGCCCTGTTGAAGTCCCCAAGTGGTATCCGACCTCTGATACCAACTCCCGTCCATGGTCGAGTCTATCCTTATGGTAGCAAGTAAGTGACGGGGCCTTATTTGGAGGGTTTTGAGTGGCTTCATCGTGCTCCAGAGCTTATCAGCTTTGTGGCGCCCCCCGTCTACCAGGCACTGGTGAATGTTCTGCGTTTAGCACAACGCCCAGAGAAAAGCAATTCTGGCACGATGATAAGGGAATACTTTCCACAGGTAGAAAAAACAGGCACTCTGGCTCAAGGCATGGCAGCAACAACTAAAATGCCCCTGCCTCGCCCTTGCCCTGTCCAGTAAGCACGAAAGCTGTCAAATCTGAGGACGAACCACAATGACTCGTTTCTTCTGTGATTCTGGGGAGAAACATGCCATGTGCATGACACGACCTGACGAGGGGTGAGTGACAGGCATACAGCTCCGTTCTCCACGTTTTTTGCTTGACAAGACAGCCACGCAGGGGTGCCGGTCCTGACTGCCAGGAACCCATGGCTGCCACGCCACATTTTTATCGGAGCCCGGATGCTGTCTTTCGAGTCCCATGGGAATGATGACATCCTTGGGGCCGAGGGAAGGCTTGCCAATGTCAGATTGTCATTTCCCTGTCTGGCTGCCAGGACTTTTCCCTTTCCAGCACAGGGTGACTGACAAGTCGTGCCTGAGCTAGAAGCCCTGGCCGAATCGGGAAGGAATGTGCCGACGCCATTGAGGGCTTCAGGATGCGGGTGCCTTACATGGCCGGGTCCGCAGCATGCGAAGCCCCATTTGAGTGAGGCCTATGTTTTGGGGTCCGGAGGAGTGGTAATCTAGTCGCCGGGCGAGTTACGCAATAGCGCCAGATGGATAGATCTAGATGGATGGGATATTCTCCACAGCTTGGCCAGACAGAGTGGTGTGGGAGGTTGTCAGTGCAGGCATTACTGATGTTAAAAGCAGCAGGCACATGAACATACGCAGACATGTGATGGCCCCCCGAGAGACAGTCATTGTGAAGGGTGTCTCCAGGGCCGACTTGGTCCCTAGGTCTTCATGCTGATGCAGCTCGCACGTGCTGGCTCGTCGCACTATCGCCGGCATTGCAGGAGACCTGGGGCGGCGGGCAGATCTAGGGGATCGTCCCGCGGGGACGGGCTTGCCCGGATCGGTGCATTTCGTCCGACCAAGCGTGCTAATTTTGCCAGCATGTTTCGAACAGTCCCTAGCGCCCGGTTTGTGTTTCTCCGGAGGGGGAGAGAAAGTGCGTAGGCGTGCTTTGACGTGGCGCTAGAACGGAAGTATCTGGGCGCCAATTGTTTAGTGGAGGCCTGCCGCCATGCAGGCACGCTGCCCGGATAATTAATCTGGATGCCGCGATATGTAGATCTGTAGAGGAGATATTCCGCGCTGGCTGAACACTCCTGGCCCCGTTGAATAGACCCTGCGGAGCGATACGATGGGCATTGCTGGCAGCAGGAATGGTAGATCTACAGGGCCACACCACTGGTGCCACCGCCTGCCTCGGTCTGTGCCACGGTGCCCTTGCCCCGATCCAGCTTCCTCCGGTGCCGAGTTCCCCGCCTGGCGATCTACTGTAATATCCCCCACATCCAAACTGCAACGCCCACCGCCGCACCGTCGACTCTCCATCCCCACCGCATAGAACCTCGCAACGCCCGCCTTCTACGCTACTCGACACGTCCACCAGCCCGGTAGTGGTGCGCTGCCTTTGGCAGGTTTTGACGACCATCGACGTCCAGCAAACAGAGCCACCCCAGTCAGAGCACAATGGCCACCGCCAACGCCGCCGCCGCTCCCGGCGCGCCGCCCAGCGATGACGCCCTCAAGGCCCGCATCATCACGCACATGAACCGCGACCACGCCGCCGAGCTGGCACACTACCTGCGCGCCTTCAACGGCATCCCCGCCTCGGCCGCCCGCGGCGCCCAGCTCACCGACCTCACCCTCGACACGCTGCACATCGAGACGTCGGCCTCCGGCACAAAGCCAGCACACACCGTCGCCATATCCCCGCCCATGGCGTCCCTCTCCGAGTCGCGCGTCCGCCTCGTCGAGATGGCCAAGACGGCCCAGGCCAAGCTCGGCCTGAGTGACATCAAGATGGACAACAGCTACACGCGCCCCGAGGGCGGCGGGATCGCCTCCTTCGCGGGAGTCGCCTTCTACTTCCTCTCCGCCCTCGCGCTGCCCTGGATCAAGCCCGGCACCGCCGCGTGGGACGTCGTCGACAGCGTGTACCCCTCGTTCGCGGGCGGCGCCGGGGGGTTCGTCTGGCTCACCCGCGCGATCGTGGTGCCCGTGCTGCTGATCCACATCACCGAGGCGTGGTGGATGGCGCGGACGCGCCTGGCCAAGCACAGCGTCGACGTCGGCAGCAGGACGTGGTGGCTGTGGACGGGCAACACGTTCTTCGAGGGTGCCCCGGCGTTTTGGCGGTTCGACAAGCTCGTCGAGGCGGAGAGGGTGCGGCGGCAAGGGATCAAGCATTAGATTCTGGTGCAGGTTTCTGGCGGTTCCCAATGTCCCTTGCTGCTTTTGTTCAAGAAGCAGTGGAGGGGCCTATGGGCATGTAGCCGGAGTCATGCCACCCCTCGTGATGACAGAGCTGCGACCTTCCCCGCAGGTTGTTTTGGTATTTCCGTTCAGGTGCCGGGTGTTCCCCCTTGGAAGCTCGGATTAGTGCTTGGGTTTATAGAAAGACACCTCACATCACGATTAATGAATCAAAGAAGAGACAATAGAGCACAACAATGACGTTGGATCGTTCGAAAGACATTTGAATCAGTGTGCTTTCTTCATTTTCCTATCTCCTCCTGGTACTGGACCCTATGCTCCGAGAGAGGGGGAAAAGAAAATAGAAAATGGAAAGAGTAGAAAAGGAGAGAGACCCGACACGCAGGGAAGACAACGAATGACCTAAAACTCCACTCCAGCACAAACTCGCCCCTTCCACGACCGCAAATCAGCCCAAACACTCACATATCCCCTTTTCCAGCCAAAGGGGAAACTGGCTAGATTTCACGGAATCTTTTCAACGGTATACCTCCTATCCCCGACCGGCGCACCGCCCGCCGCAGCGCTGAGGAGCTCGGAATCCGAGTACGCAGGCCAGACGAGCACGCCGCGCGCTGCATCGACGACGCTTAGCACCGTGAAGCCGTCGTCGTCGTCGTCATCGTCGGCGGCGGCAGCGATGATCTCATCGAACCCACCACCACCACCACCACCACCACCACCACCACTAACTCTGGCCCCGGTAGCACTGGCCCCGGCGGCGGTAGCGGCATTGCCGACTCTTACGACGGCGCGTGTCCAACCAGAGGTCACTCTGAATGCGCCGCAGGTGGTTATTGCGGTCGTGGTCGCGCGGGAGGCGGGGATGCCTTGGCCGGGGTCGGAGTAGGTGAGGTGTCTACAGGGGGTGAGGAGGGCTGCCGCCGCTGTCATTTTGGAGGCTGTGGCTGCGGTGTGTTGTCTTGCTAGTATGCGGGTTCCGTCGTGGCTATCCTGCATATCAGTGTTGTTGTTGTTGCCGCTCTTGATGTCATGATGATGTCCATAGAACAAGGCGAAGGCATCGGTGATCGTCACCCTCAACATATCCAGAATCGAGATGGGTCCTTGCTCTCGCCTTGCCTCGTTGTTCCGTTGAAGATGATGACGACGACTACGACGACTCCCAGCACCAGAGGTACCCAGGACATCATCCCCACCACTTTTGCCCTCCTCCACGCTCTCGTGGTGACCGGCGAGCGCGGCGGCGGCAGCGGCAATGGTGGCGTGATGATCCGCCGGGGATCCCTGGTGCCCCGGCGACGACGGCGGGCTGGTGTCAATGACAAAGTTCCACTCGCAGAGGTTGTCCCCGACCGAGCAGACGCGGGACATGTTCCTGATGGCCCATGTCTCCCTCTCTGGCGGCGTGGGTTCTTGGCGGACGCGATGGACGGTGATTGAGGAAATAGGCGCTGCTGAGGCAGAGGAGTGCAAGTGCACAGCCAAGAGCCAAAGGAGGGCTATATTTGGGACGGAGCGGAGAGATATCGCGCGTCGCGAGAGCACGGGAGAATGCATGGCGAGCTGGAGTGGTTGCTCAATGAGTCTGGGGTATGTAGAGACTGTGAGCGGTGTCGGTTGCTCGTGTAATTTCATGAACGACCATGTACGGGCGGAACACCTCTGAGGGGCAGGTGTTATTGAGTGCCTAGGCCGCGCTTCAAAGTTCAACAAGCTGCTCGCTGGGAGGAGTTTGACGATCGATAATCCGTACGGAGGCGCAAGAGTGAACGACTGCTGGAATCCGAGAGACAATTGCCACGGCCACGTGGGATTTATCTTCCTCTCAGACTCTTCACGCCGTACCCCATTCCACAAAACGCTTCCACCGTCGACCGATCAAAGGATAGTAGGAATGGAGCAGGTCTGGCTGGACTAGTCAGAAGGACATCTGGCGAGACACAGCTGTGCGAGGCTTCGCAGACCTTTCCGCCTCGCCGTCTTCAATGTTTCACACATGCTGGGTGCGTGGTCATATTGCACAGGTCTCCTCGTGCGGACTGACAGCACCTGTCCTTCACCCGATCGTGTCCACGGTCACACATGGTAGGTCCCACTCGGGCAATTGGTGCGGACAGGTGGATGCGGTCTTGATTCTGTCCAATATTGTTCGGGCACGTTAGAGCACATTGTGTGTTGTGTCTGGCGTCGGAAAATGATCATCGCAAGGCCGCCCGGCTCGTGTAACGTACTGCTTGATCTAAGTGTAGGGTTTGGATGTCTTGTGCATTGCATTCGTGTCCACCATGTCACGAGCTCGACGGTAAGAAGCGTAGGCCACCTTCCTACACACTTGGAACGAGGTCATGGGAAGAGAGAGAGAATGCAGAGATCTATTTTTTCAAGTTTTGAATCCATGACCCGTCTACCTTTGTCCCTTGAGCTCCTCCTCAACCTGCTTTTGCACAATCTCGCCGACCTTTTGCCAGCTGTTCTCAACGTCTGTCACTCTCCTCTCCTTGGACTCCAGGCCGACAAACTCGGTCGGCAGGACCTTGTTCTCAAAGTCAAAGCCGGCCTCACTCTTGAGGGCAAGCTCGACAGCCCCGGCAAATTTGGCCGGATGCGCCGTGGATAACGAAATGTGAGGGGTGGTGCTGGAGCGGCTCAGCGAGCGCGCAGCGGCAGCCACACCCACCGCAGAGTGCGGGTCGAGGACGTAGTCGATCTTGTTGAAGTACTCCTTGATGGTGTCGACAGTCTGCGAGTCGCTGACCCGCTCGCTCTCAAAGTCGCGCTTGGCAGACTCGTGGACGTCCCGGTAGACGGGGCCGAACCCGCCGCTCGTCTTGAGCTGCTTCAGCCACGTGCTGACCTCCTGGCCGGCCTGCTTCTTGTTCCACTCGTCGTCCATGCCGGCGGTGGCGGCGAACTCGTATGCGAGGAACCACAGCAGGCGCTCGAAATTGCTCGACACCAGAATGTCCATGGCCGGGCTGAGTGTCTCCTTGACTCCGTCCTCGTGCGCCTTGACGCCGTCGACCTCGAGGCCGCCTTCCGCCTCCGGGCCGTGGGCTGGCTGCTTCTCATACTTGCCAGTCTTCCAGAACCGGTCCAGGATATCGTTCTCGTTGGTGGCAACCACAAGCTTCTCCACAGGAAGACCCATTCTGTGCGCAAAGTATCCAGCAAGGATGTCGCCAAAGTTGCCCGTGGGCACGACAAACCGAGCCTTGTCGCCAATGTTGAAATCGGCCGCCGACTTGGTGAGGGAGAAGTAGGCGTGGAAGTAGTAGACGATCTGCGCGAGAATGCGGGCCCAGTTGATGGAGTTGACAGCACCCAGGTTGAGAGCCTTGTTCGTCTCGGGATCGGCGAAGAGAGCCTTGACAATGTCCTGGCAGTCGTCGAACGTGCCCGTGACAGCGAGGTTGTGCACGTTGGCATCCAGCACCGTAGTCATCTGGGCCTCCTGGATGGGACTGACTCTGCCCTTGGGGTGCAGGATAAAGACGGAAACGTCCTTCTTTCCGCGAAGGCCGTAGATGGCCGCAGAGCCGGTGTCGCCGCTCGTGGCACCGACAACAGTCAGGTGGTGCCGGTCAGCACCAGTCTTGCCTTCATTCTTTCGCACCAGGAAGTACTCGAAAAGGTTGCCCAGGAACTGGAGCGCAACGTCCTTGAATGCAAAGGTGGGTCCGTGGAACAGCTCGAGGAGGTAGAGGTTGTCGTGGAGGTGGCGCAGAGGCGTCGTCTCGGGGTGGCGGAAGGTCGAGTAACTGCGGTCAATGATTCCCTTGAGGTCGTCCCGGGGAATCTCTGCTGTCGAGATGTAGAGGGAGAGAACCTCGAGGGCCAGGTCGGGGAAGGAGAGGTCCTTCCAGCTTTGCCACTCAGTGGCAGTAGGGATGTGCTCTGGGATGAAGAGTCCGCCGTCGGAGGCAAGGCCCTTGAGAACTGCCTCCTCGAACGAGAGCTGCGAAAGAAAGACACTGTTAGTGGCGTCCCGTGCGTCCAGAATCGTCATCTTGTTGGTGCTGGTTCAGGGGGGTCCCACGTACGTCGACGTCCTCGCCCCTGGTGCTGAGGTAGCGCTGGGAGGGGCTGTGAGTGCGAGGCTCGCTGGAGCCATTGGCGTCGCCGTTGACCACGCCAGGCATGATTGCGATAGTGACGACCGAGATCTGGCGCGCGGGTGCTGTGAAGCCAAAAAGAGGCGTATGGTCTGGGGATGCAGATGGTGGTCGCGACGACTTTTTTTTGGGTCTTCGGCCGGTCCGATCCGAGTTATTAAGGGCGGGTTTGTTGGCGCCGCCAATAGCCCCTCCACTGCCCCGACCTCGGGGCACGAGGGTCCATTGCAGCCCCTCCACGCTTGCATGACTCAGCCATGGCGCCCCCCATCAAGTCTTCACTCGTGCTGGTGCTAGTCGCCAGTGTGTGTCGCGAATGATGTTTCAACTGTGATGATGCCTGGCACCTTGAGAATATTTGGCCGACGAATGCACATGAATTGAGCAGGCTTGTTACAGAATTTCAGGAGCGTCTCGCCAGTTCTCTTTATCTCTTCGACTCGATGCACAATCGTCTGTTCTCTGGACTTTTGGAACTGTACTTTGCTGCACACCGTTCATCACCTCTGCATCGCCAGATAGACCACACAAGCCCGCGCCTCTGCGCCATCTTTTGGCTCCAAGAAACACATGGATGAGGTGCGGCAGTATTTGGATGGCTTGAACGAGGACCAGCTCCGGTTTGCCCGCATTCTCCTGGCCAGCAGATCGGGGACCGACATAGTCGCGCAGGCGCCGCTTGAGATTGTGGCTGCAATCGTGCAGTTATTGGATAACGCCAGCTTCGGGTCTTGCTTACTTGTTTCCAGAGGTTGGCGACGCCGGCTGCTGTCAAATGTTCCTCTTTATGCTTTCGCGCGAGCCGCATACCCTTCACTGTTCCACGCTTCCCAGCCGTCGCGGTCTGTGATCCTCGAGGCCTTTGCGTCCACCTCTCGCCGGGATGCTAGCACGTTCAAGTCTGTGCTTCACACCAAGCTCTGCTTCGACTCTTCCGTCTTTCATTTGACCGAGCCTCCAGAACAACAGCAGCCTGCACGTACAGCTTCGGCGGACGAGGAAGTGGTAGACGACGCCACAATCCGGTATGCCAATGGCAAGCTCGCATGGTGCTTTGGCTGGACCTTTTTTGTGCTCGATGACCTACACTTCCACACACGGAGATACCTTTACTCGCCCCTCGAGAGAATGCTCCCGCCTATGATGAACTTGCTCGCCCTGGGTGATCAGCTCGTCGTTGCGTATGGTGGTGGCCATTTGTTTGCTTGGAACCACGCAGAAGAGCCAATATCGTAAGTGTGACCCTGGCGATGGTGCCATTCAGAGACGGAAATGCCTTGATGTCAACCAAATGCGTCGGAGCACTGCAGCCCGCAGTCATGGATGCCTGATGTGAAACTTCAACTGGTAGAACCACCGTTTTACTCTTGACAACTCTGCAGCCAGGTCTGAAGTTCTTCAAGCACGCAATCTGCGCGCCTTCACGGCTCATTAGATGTAGTTTCCAGTAGGACGAGAAGACACAACCACCTTATACTGCGCCCGCGACATATGTAAGATCTCTCTACTGACTTTTTACAGCAAACGATGGAAGCGGATTGCGAGCATGCCGCGGCACTGCGAAACAGAGGGTCTGAGGATTGTTGTTGTCCTTGATTCGCGCGCAGTGCTCGACTGGGACTTCGCTACAAACAGGATGTCCGAGATATCCATGCAAGGAACGCTCAACGATCTATCCCACATCACCGGTGTCGCTCAGTCTCGCGGATCCTGGACTCATCTTGGCGTTTTGGTCCACCCAACGCCGGGGGCGACGTCTTCGTTCTTGTCCGCCTTCCGATCAGATCACGAGGATGTGAGCATCTGGTTATATGAGGTGACAGACGGCGTACTCAGGCCGGACTCTTACAAATTGGTCCCGGTCAAGGTGAACGCTAATGCACATGGGCCACAAGAGTTACCATTTGTCACAATCCAAAAGTCGAATTGCTTCGGGAGCTATCAGATATCCTTTCGTCAACGTCATCAACACAAGCCCCAACTTGATTGCCTCTACGAGTACAACATCTACTCATCCAGGTTGACCCAAGTAGAGTCCAACCACCACTACAGCTTTGGTTCCAGTGCCCTGTGGAATAATCGACTATATCATACCCACTCAACAAACATGGTAAGGACAGAGGGAAATAAACAGATTTTGGGTCAGGAGGAAGTTGAGCTCTGCCGCCACGCCACGGACCTTGGACCCGTGGAGAATGCTCTCTGTGATCTCGTGTCCCACGAGGAGAAAGAGCCTGAAAGGCTTGGTTCCTTTGATGGCGGCGGCAACCTGTTCACACAGGAACTATTCTCGGATGACATGTTCGTGGTCTGGTGTCCGCCCGACGGACGGTTGTCAGTTTGGACATTCCAATGAGGCGGGGTCTCGAATGGTAGTCCAATGTGACGCCATGCATTAGATGAGTGAGGTCAGAGAGTTTTGCAGCCGAGCACGATGGAGTTCAGCTACAAGCTATTGACCAAAAGCGCCATGCACGCTGAAGTATATCAAACCGCCAGGGATCTGTCAAAGAGCTGCCCTTGGGAGGAGAACTCGTCTTCAGTCTCATGTGTTTTGCATACTCACCCCTAGCACTTTGGCAAGTGCGATTCAAGGTACTCCCGACCACTCGGACTAGGAAGACGGTATGGATACTTCTTCTCTCCGACATTTCCAGATTTTGCCTGGACGACAATTGTTGATCTGTGACAAGCTTTGCGACCTCTAGCGAATCGCAACTCGTGAAAGCACAACGGCAAGATGCCCCCACAACAGTGTTGTGCTCTCAGGAACACCCTGGAACGATATAGTTTTGCCGGATCTTGGACGTTGGGCCAAGAGCGGTAGTCCAACAGCCAAGCGCATAAGTTGGCATTATGACAACCAGTCCCGGAAAGGAAGGACGCCGGGCAAGCTCACCAATCAGAGCCCGATGGTGACTCCCCCCTGCCCATGCCAGAGTCTATCCCACGTCACGAAGACTGACGGAGCCGCCCCCAGCCACCATCGTGTGGGGGCTCGCAAGCAATGCAGGATTTTCTTGTCCTGCGCGGCACCGGCACCGATTTATTGCCGGTGCGACACAAGGTGGGTGGTGAGCGGTGTGTGTCGTGGGAGTGTCCACGGGCTTGTGCCAGGGATGTCCCCAGATGCCCAATCGCTGTCGATATGAGGTCACCTATGACTTGGAAGCCTGGTGACAGGCTTCCCCGCAGGCGGATCAGCTGCCAATGTCACCTCCCGCAGACTCACGACTGCCGGGGTATCTGGACATCCAGCATTGCTGGGCAAGCCCTTGTCGATGGTTGGCGCTCTAGACACGCGCTGCGGGTGACCTCGTGGTCGACACACACCAGGTCCGCCTCGCACGTAATGGCAGCGGCTATTGTGCGCCTCCAACAAATCCGTCCCATCCGACTGTGCCCATACAGCAGCCGCGTGCACCATCTCCAGACGGTTCCTGGCTGCATGCCTCGGCCCTGGCGATCTCCCCACCACTCATCCTCTCTTCACATGATTTCAGTTGTCCATGGAACGCGTCCTCACAAGAACGCCGCGCAAACGCTATTCCGTAGCACCCGTCAACAACAGCCCTCTAAACCAAGCAAATTCGTGGCTCCACGCCGCCCTAGGTACCCCGTGGGGAAAGCGGAGCGGAGCTTACAAGCGGCATTGCTTTGTTCCTCGGGCCCACCATCCCGCACCGCCTCGTGTCTTTCATGCGCTCCCATCTTGCCCGCGTGCCCCAGACGAAATGAGCAATCTCGTCCGATGCCATGAGCAATGGCTGCCGTCTTGCATGCGCCATGGAGCAGGCCTTGTCCTGGGGTTCCCCATGATTCCTGGGGTCCAGAACGTTTACCCCCCAAGGGTGAATCCCGCCAGCTTAATGCGTCTTCGCCGAGAAGTTGCTTCAAGGTTCCACGACGGCGAAAGTGCTTGGCAGGGCTCTATCCGGCGGACGATACTGGATTTTTACTTTTTTGTATAACTACAGCTGTGCTTCCCCGGACTTTCTTTTGTCATTGCTGCTGTGTTGGCCATGCCGCTGCCAATCACTCGTGCTCAGCCTTTCTCGACAACTTTAGACCGTTTGCGGTCACTCTTGCCAGTTGCAAAGGCTACTCTGCTACCTGTCCCTTATAGCCGAGTTCCTTTGAGCGCCCAGGTCTCCTCACACATCTTGCCAACATGAAGACCTCGTTTCGCCTTGCCTCAGCAGCAGTGCTGATCGGCCTGGCTGCCGCCGCTCCGTCGCCAATCGAGCCCGTTGAGAAGCGTCTAATTACATCCATCAACACTGCTCAAGGCACCCTGATCGGGACATCCCTGCTCGGCGTCGAAAGCTGGGGAGGCATCCCCTTTGCGGAAGCCCCAGTCGGCCAGCTCAGACTCAGGCCTCCAGTTAGATCGCAAAAGCACCTGGGCAGGTTCGACGCCACTGGGCCCGGCCCGTCATGCCCGCAGATGCTCTTCTCGACGGACGGCGACATCATCACCCAGGTCCTTGGTGACCTCATCAACAACCCGTTCATACAAAAGGTCACGTCGCAGACAGAAGACTGCTTGACCATGCGGGTCCAAAGACCAGCCGGCACCAAGGCAGGTGACAAGCTGCCGGTCCTGTTCTGGATCTTTGGCGGAGGCTTCGAGTTCGGCTCGGCCCAGATGTACGATGGCACCAGCCTGGTCCTCAACTCGGTGGCACAGAAGAAGCCGTTCATCTTTGTGTCGGTCAACTATCGCACCGGCGGCTTCGGCTTCCTGGGCGGCAAGGAGGTTCTGGCCGACGGCGCGTCCAACCTCGGCCTTCTCGACCAGCGCATGGGCCTCGAGTGGGTTGCCGACAACATCGCAGCATTCGGCGGCGATCCCGACAAGGTCACCATCTGGGGCCAGTCGGCCGGTGCCATCTCCGTGTTCGACCAGATGGCGCTCTACGGAGGCGACAACACGTACAACGGCAAGCCCCTCTTCCGCGGTGCCGTGATGAACAGCGGGAGTCTGGCACCCACGGACCCCGTCGACTGCCCCAAGGCCCAGGCCGTCTACGACCAGGTCGTCCGCAACGCCGGCTGCAGCTCGGCGGCAGACACCCTCGCCTGCCTGCGCGGCCTGCCATACGCGCGGTTCCAGGACGCCGTCAACGGCGTGCCCGGCATCCTCAGCTATACCTCGGTGGCGCTCTCGTACCTCCCGCGGCCCGACGGCGCCGTCCTCCCCGAGAGCCCCGAGGCCCTCGCCCAGAAGGGCCGGTACGCCGCGGTGCCCATGATCATCGGCGACGTCGAGGACGAGGGCACCCTGTTCAGCCTCTTCCAGGGCAACATCACGACCGAAGCCCGCCTGGTCGACTACCTGGGCCGCGTCTTCTTCAACAACGCCGACGCCGCCCAGATGCAGGCGCTGGTCGCCACGTACCCGGCCACCCTGGGCGCGGGCAGCCCCTTCCGCACGGGGCTCTTCAACATCGTCTACCCGCAGTACAAGCGCCTCGCCGCCATCCTCGGCGACCTCGTCTTCACCCTGACCCGCCGCCTGTTCCTCGAGGTCACCTCGCAGCTCCACCCAGAGGTCCCGTCCTGGTCCTACCTCGCGAGCTACGACTACGGCACCCCGATCCTCGGCACCTTCCATGCCTCCGACCTCATCCAGTTCTTCTATGGCATCAAGCCCAACTACGCCGCCGGCGCGTTCCAGAGCTACCTCACCAGCTTTGTGGCCAGCCTCGACCCAAACGCCGGCACCCCAGCGGCCTACCCGCAGTGGCCGCAGTGGAAGGAGGGGAGGCAGCTCATGCAGATCAACGCCAACAGTGGCGGGTTCACGCCCGACAACTTCCGCCAGGACAGCTACCAGTGGATCAAGGCCAACGTGGGCGTGTTGCGGCTGTGAAGAAAAAGAGCGAGAAAAGAAAGGACAGAAAAAGGGGAGGGAGTTGGGGAAGGACGAAAAGGAGAGAAAGAAAGAGCTCACAGCCTTCTAATTCTGTCCTTTTTCTCCTTTCCGTTGTATTTTTATCCCTCCATGGTTCAATCACACACACACACACACACACACAGGTGAAAGAGGGTTTGAAATGCATGGCGGCCGGTTGGGAACTACAAAGTTCACGAGGAAAATGACAAGTTCGCGCGGCTGCCTGGACTTTTTTTGATTGTTTCAGCGTTCATCCGAAGTCGGATTCACACAAGGGAGACTTTGGGGCGGAAGTCTGGGCGCGTTTATTTGCTTCGACGGGAACGTTTTTCTGCTGGGCATATTTACATATTACCTTGGTACTCAATAATGTACATATCGTTGGATCGGAAGGACCCATTATCAGAAACGACTTTGCTGCGCACCTAGTTTCGTTCCCACTCTGGCGAAGGACGCGCCTTCGTCAGCGTGCAGGATGGCTAAATATGCTGTAGTTATTTTCTTGCAGCAGCCTATTAAATGAAATCTTTGTTTTCCATTATACAAATGTACTCAGTGGTCTATCTTTCATGATGTCGTTGTCGCATTATCTTCGTACCACACTAAACAGCTCGTTCGTGTGCATCATACAAGCATGTGTACCATAGCTGTGCCTCTTACTTGCAAATAATGTGCTTTACACAGCAGAATGATCCTGCTGGACCCGGTTATCCTGGGTGGCAAATGAAACCGTCCGGAATCGCCGTGGCGTCGTCGGCAACGGCATCGCGACGCTGCAGGCATCGTCGTCGGTAGTCCCTGTCATAGCTTTGCTGTCGTATGGTGATAGGCCGTCATTCCGGCCGCCAGGTTGCCCGATGGAGATACTGGGGGGTCCTTGCCCTCCTCGGAATGTCCCACCTGGCCCGCCGCTGCCAGGAGGGCCGACAGTGTTCGACGTATTCAGAGAAGAAGTCCAGGTGCGTTGCAGAAGGCCGAGCCCGCCAGGGCGCATGTCCTTTTCTTTGCTCCGCGTCCGGCTCAGCTCGAACCCAAGGCCAGGGCTCAGAGCCGAACTTGTCGCTCCGTTGTTCCAGCTGCCGGAACCTTTCTCGCCCACGATTGCAGAGTTGCTCGTGCTTCGCGCACCGCTGATGTCGAGAATGCTGAAAAAGTCTTCTAGGAATGTCGTCTCAAGCTCCCGCGGCTGGCCGTCGACTGTCCAGTAACGCTCGTTACTGAGTTCCGTGCTCAGGTGTCTGCGGAAGAAGCGGTCTTGTGAAATCCACCAGGCGCGCCAGGTGGTGACGATGAACAAGGTCAGCGGGATAGTGAATGCCCAGTAAATCCAGAATGTTGGCATGACGGTGAACTTGGGAAGGAATTTATTGGCGTCGTCCGATTCTGCCGGATCGCCTGCAGTGCCTCTGGCCCAGTTGAACATGGACAGTCCGAAGAGCGTGCCGATGTATTCTCCTGGAAGAAATATGGCTGTGATCACGGCGAGCGCCTTCATGGAGCTGCTATCTCGGGTACTGGCTACGGCCATCCGCGCATTCAGGTTGTTGTCCTCTTGGGCCATCTTCGAGTAGATCTGTGACGACGCTATCAGTCATCTGAATCCTCGTGCTCGGTACAAGAACTATTTCACTTACGATATCGATTTGCGCTCGACAGCGCAGTTCGGACATTCTCCGATCGGTCTCGAGAGAAGTGCACAAGCGCCATGTGCAATCAAGGTACTGGCGCATCTCATGCCAGTGCTGGATCAAGTCTTCCTCCTCATCATCCTCCTCGTCGCTATCAGACTCGTCATCTTGATTGCTTTCAGGGCTAGTAGCGTCGCTGTGGGACATTTCCTCGTTTTCGGCACGACCCCCGGTAGCCCGCTTCATGCCCCTACTCATGTTCTCCTTCTTTATTTCCTTCAAGCGGAGGTCGAGCTCATCACCCACCTGTATGATGAGTTTGACTGCGCGCTCCATCCACCTGAGAGTATCAAGCAGCTGGATCGCACCTTTGAGGACTTCGTGGGCTTCCTTCATTAGATGAATTGTCTGAGGTGGGACATAGTCTGAAGTCAATGGCATGTCCATTCTGGCACTTGCGTTTGTTGACATTCCACCATAACCAAAACCGTTCAGGTGTCCCGGTCCGTACGGAGGAGCACTGGTGTTGATTGGATCTGGTCGGTGAGGGTGGCTATGAGACTCGCTTCGGCGACTAATCTTTTCGCCAATCATGTCCTTAAAGGTGGAGAGCCTGCGAAGAGGGCCAGGGCTGTTGTGACCCATCCTCTGCGCCTTGGCTTGTGCCTTGGCCTGTGCCTGTTGATTGCGGCGGAACGCTTCCGCATTTGCTTGGCCCGTCGTCCCCGTGATGCCGTCCACATGTGCCTCGAGAAGTAACACCTCGCCGTTGTTTGCGATGACCGCCTCCTCGGTCCGGTAAAGCTGGACTTGCAGCAGCACGATGGGCAGCACTAGGGGGTGGGACCACCGAGAGCGGCTCGAGTCCAGGCGGCGTTCATATTCATCGAGGGCATCGTCATGATGCCACCGCGCGTCAAAGGAGCGACGAATCAGCGCTGTCGTAGTCCTTGTTTTCAACTTATATGTCATCGACAAAAAGTCATAGGGCGGTTGTGGGTTGTTTGAGAAGCTTAAGATGAGGTCTTTGCCAAGATATATCAGTAATGAATTTTTTCAGAGTGTATTTTGTAAAGGGCCGCTTACAGATTGTGTTCCTCTTCGCATCCCAAAAGTGCGACTCAACCGTGACACGCTGAATCGACGGGAGCGTCGCCGAATGAAGACCCAGAGTGTTGTAGTCGTCGGCTGTAAGGACCAAGCCGTCTGGAGTATGTGCGTCCAGAGCGAAAGCGCCACCGTACTGGAGCCGACGGTGGGCAATCACCTGGCGAACTCTGCCACGAAGCAATTCGCTGCCCTTTGGATTCTTTGAGAAGCCGCCGTTCACGTCGAGCCCATGCCCGTCGCTGATGGCCTCATGGAATCTCTGCAGCCCGTCATCGCCCTCGGCCATGATGCTAGGTGACCTGACGGCGCCATTGGGGTCATCTGCAGGCGGCGAGAAGACGGCATACTCATGATACGAGACCCGGCTCTGGCCATGGGTGAGGAGGACGTCCTGGACCTGCTCGCGGAGGTCGAAGGTGAAAAGGTCCAGCTCGGGCTGTGGGGCATGTCGAGCCTTGCTTTTCCTATGCTTCCTTGTCGTCTTCTTCTCGTCATCATCGGCTGCCGTTTTGACAGAAGCCTTTCTGGTGGAGGCAGGCAGAGCGCCAACACCGACAGGGACGAGGCTGCCACGGCGGGTTCCCGGCGTACGGGTGCCGCCACAGGGGTCGTTGGGAGGGCCTCTAACGTCGGCGGCCTGATGGGCAGCGGCGCTCAGTGCGACGTCCAGCTCGCCCAGATCGTAGTCCATCTCCGCGCTCACCGGTCACGACGGGGCGGCGAACGCATGAGCGGCGGTGAATTCCGTAGCTCCAAGACGTGAGGCCCGGGAGCGGCACGGGGACTGCACAGCGGTCTTGCACGAGACGAAAGAGCGTACACGACAGCCGGCAGGACGGAGAGGGCGATGTCTTTGTCTGTCAATGGCTGATGCCGCTAAAGAAAGGCTTGTTGCATGGCAGGAGCGGACCCGGCTGGGGGCGGCGTGGTGTTTATGGGATGGGGGCTATTTTCCGCGACCCTCGGAGGTCCAGGGATGGGGACCGTCGGACGTGCAAGTGGTGCGTGCTGGCTCCGCCCACTGGATGCTTGGCTGGCCAAGCTTGCCAAGAGCACGAGGCTGTACAGTGGTCCAGCATTAAGTGGTTCTCCCCGCCGGGACGCGATGTGACTCGGCCGTTGTCGGTGGGACGAGACTGGCGCAGGGGTCCCTCCTGCAGTATGACATGGAGACATGGAGACATGTTCATGTCGCGGCGGCTGGACGATGAACGAGGCAAGGAACTGCTGGTTCTGACAGGCCTTTGGTAGCCGTTGGTTCTTTCGGGCGTCGACCGGGGCGGACCATGGTCTCCGTGCAGGGCGAGATGGAAGGCTTTGGTCATCATGTGCAAAGTGCATTTCCCATCGCCGAGCAGGTGTTTGATACAGCGCAGTGCACGCCACGGTGGAGTGGCAGCCACTACTCGTGCCCCACACCCGCACCTGCCTATTCCAAAGTGTACGTACGGAGTAGGAGGCTCAAGCGGCTGATTTCTCCGCAGATCAAAGCAGACTGTTGAAAGACGCCCCACAGCCATCGGTTCGTGAGATTGAGGATAGTCATTCGCCAGCATCATAGGCGACCCGCACACGCAGGTCGCATCCTTTGGTGGACTCTTCAAATAATTCATCACGACTCTGCAAGTCACGTGGCGACTGACCTCTAGAAGCCTTCACTATGTCTCCCAGCACTCATAAACTTTCCATTTCGCCCGAGCCCAATCGCCACAGCTCGCAGCTGTACTTCTCGTGGCACTGACATGGTGCTACATACACTCAGATAGCCTTCCAAAATCGTCTTCTCCGGGCATGACGGACAACAGACAGGCTTCAGAGTTTCTGTCAGGCCTGAGCATCAGGCATGTGCTGACAAAAGCCGTGAAGGAACAGAGCCAGGAAGGGAGTGACAGCTAGGGACATATCTTGGAACGCTCTTTTCCATAAGCAAGCATACTTCAAAACTCACAGACATCCTCTCTGACTGTGCTGGTTGGGGATCGATTCATGCCAATGCGCCCACCCAATCTGACTGCTCTAACACGAAGAAAATGCGCCACCCTCCACCAGCCATAACGGCAGGCTGGCCAACTCCCAACTCCATCGACCCCGATACCCATGGCCGGACTCTGGTCATCGTCAATGCCACCACGCTACTGCTCGCGCTCGTTTCCATTGGCCTCCGCCTGTACGCGCACGTCACGATTGTGAAAACGCCCGGCTGGGACGACTTTCTGATGGCCATCGCGGCCGTCAACTGCTGCGGCGTGACCGCTTGTGTTGTCCTCGGTAAGTTCTGCCCTGTGTTCACCGTCCATGTTGGGTCGTTGCGCTGGACCAAAAGAGAAAAAGTGCTCTTACACGAGCTGGGCTGACTGAAACCCCAAAGCCTCCGAGCTATACGGCTGGAATCTGCACGTGTGGGACCTGAGTCCGCTGCAACAGATGCAAGGGCGAAAGGTCTCCATAGCTGCCCAGACAGTCTTCCTTTTCGCCTCCAGCTCCAGCAAGCTGTCCATCCTCACACACTACCTGCGCATTGCGGTGGTTGGGTCGCACTTCCGAAAGGCTACGCTTGCGATGTTCATCGTGGTTGTAGCCACCATGATAACTTTCCTGTCGCTTCTCTGGGCTCAATGCGCGTAAGTCCTGCCCCCGATCTGGCTCATGATTTCCAACCAAGGAAGCTGCTTATTGACCACGCCATGACATGCGACAGTCCCATCACGGGATACTGGAATCTGTCCAGCAATTCGGCAAGCTGTATTCCAGAGGGCCCCCCGCTCTTGGCACAGGCTATTGTGACTGAGTTGATAGACTTGATCGTGTACGTCTTGCCTATGCCCACTCTCTGGGTTCTCAAGCTTCCTTTGACGCAGAGGATCAGTCTCATGGCACTGTTCGGCTTGGGCGCTGTGGTTATAGTGGCGGCTTGCATGCGCGCATATTGGGTCTGGTACATCGAGTTTGCGACATACGACGTAACTTGGTGCGGCTCGGAGTTATGGATTTGGGCTGCTGTAGAGGCCAATCTTGGCGTCATCTGCGGCTGCGCCCCAGCCATGAAGCCGCTTTTGCAAAGGTATAGGCTTATTCGGGGAGGGCCGGGTGACAGCCCATGTAGGGAGAGCATGGTAGACACCAAACAACATGTACCGAGGCGTCTGAGGCAGCCGGCGGATCGCCACCATCGGGTGGCTGCGTTCCTGGTTGAAGGACATCAAGGATTCAAGCAAGTAGAGCATGTCGAGATTGCTGGCAAGGATAGTCTTTCAGTGCGCTGTTGCTCGTAACCAGGAAATCAAAACACAGAATACCTCGGGCTGTTGCAGCTCATCGCGACTTGGCAGCGTTGGCAACTCCGATCCTCTTGCACCAATCCCTGCCATTGTTAACCTGCCATTGGCAGAGCCATCCCTCAATGGCTATCCCGATGAAGCCAGCGATACAGATGCCCCCGCTATCACTGACACTTGTGGCCCCTAGGCTGAACTCGCGTTCCGATACTGGCACGTTCTCCATGATCTCTGCGAACGTGTTGACGTAGACCGCACCTCCAAGCAGGCCTTCCCAGAAGACGACGATGAAAACGACATAGACGGTCGGTAAGAAATCGAACAGAGCGTGACAGAACAGCAAGACGAGATTGGCGACCTGTAGGAAGGATGGCAGATACAGGTGCCGCACGCGGACGAAGGCGATGGACGTACGGGAGATGAAGACGCCGATCTGATAGAGAAATCCGTACATGGGGTAGAACTCGCGGTATTCAGTGAATGGGGACGAGTCGAGTGGGAAGAGCAGCACGGGCGCCACGCCCTGGTTGATGGTGTACTCGGCAACATAGACGAGCAAGAGCGGGAGCATGTATGGAAAGAACAAAGCCTTTGCCCTTCGCAGTTTGCTTGCGAAGCTCGAGGTGGAGCTCTGCACCTGGGAGCCGCCGAGGGCGGATGAGGCGACAGCAGGCCCAGGAGCGAGAAGGCTCGAGGCGGCATCAGATGGGGGAATGTCTTCCAGGTCGTCCTGCTCGAGCTGGTCAATGTCGCGATCAGGCACGGCGTTGTATCCTTTGCCATTGGTGCTTTGTCGCAGAGGCCCTTTTGGAAGGATCACGAAGAAGCTGACAAGCATAATGACGGGTAGGAATGCCGAGGCGAGGAGACTGTTCCGCACACTGAAGCCAATCCAGCCGGTCAACATGACATACAGACCAGCACCCACCAAACCCGCGGCTCCGGTGCCACTGCCCCAAGCGGCCAGGCTCATATGGCCATAGTAGTGGGTCAGACCGAGGAAACTCAGCTCGCCCGCACCGCTGCTCAGACTGGCGAAGACGATGCCAAACATTTTCGCGGCCACTGACTTGTCAGGCGGCGTCAGGGCAATGACGCACATGCCAAGGGACGAGCCTGCCACGAAGACAAGAATGCGAACCCAGTACGGGACGCGATGAATAAAGTATGGCGCAACGAGCTTTGTGAAGAACGAGGGCATCACGTCGGCCAGCAGGACCGCACCCTTGGGAACATCAGAGCCGACAAGGTCCTGGGCAGCCGAGAGAATAATGACATAGAGCACATTGTTGATTAGGCCTGTGGCGTGCACAGTTGTTAGCAGTCTGTGGAGGAGAAGCGACCCGCTCCCAATAGTTCATCTCGGGGACTCACCAAAGAGCCAGAATGCGACGAGCACAGCAGGGTCGCTGCCTGCGAAGATGGAGGACAGCCGAGCACGATAGGCTGCCCAGCTGGAGGACGGCGAGCCTGGCATGGGCAAGAAGCCCGACGCAGCTGGCGAGCGACTCATGTCGGCAGCGCAAAGTAGTGTAGAGTCAGGACGATATAGTGATGAACGTGAGGATGGTACCTTAAGGTAGTCAGCGAAACAAGGGATACCTTCAGGTACGGATGCGGAGGGTCTGGCAGCACATGGCAAGGAGGCGGCGTTGGAGGTGCCGACGTGCAAGCGGAGGTCGCAAGTGCAAACGGCCGCTATCAGCGCTGCCAGTGCTTATCGGGAGGATGGGCGCGCACGGTGAATGGCGCGCGTGACATTGGCGGCCACTTCAACATGCCTGCGCTGATCTGCTACCTAAAGCCCTGCATACGCCATGCCCTGCTTCCAACACCAAGCGTTACACAGCACATTCAATCTGCCATCGCTCCCCAACAGCAGGCTCGATTCCACATGTCCCGCTCTCTGGACATTAAGGTAAAGTACGCTACCGTCCAACCAGGATCTGGGGCATGTCGATCCGACCCAGATACCAGCTGACGGCTCAACGACGCTAGAGCTGGAGCTATTGCTTACAGGCATAAGCGCAGCCATTCGTCGATCACAGCCCTCCGCGTGGAGCTCTCGAGGTATTACAGAGTACAGGTGCCTGCATCGCCTGGGGCTCCAGCCAGCCAAGCCTCTCCCCTCCACAACGCAATCAATATCTGCTGACTTCATAGGCGAGAGTGTGTCGCCATCACCAGACAAGTAGCTGGCACCACACAGCCAGCCTCTCCGCTTCGAGTACCCGCTGATGCGCAGGCGCACCGGCTGACTGGAGGCCATGCGGGCGACACACTTGGCTGGCTGAAACGCTGAGCAGGGATGGTCGGCACAGGTCAGCCTTGGCCTGCGTAGGGCCAGAGGGCTCAGCGCTCCTCTGTGGGCACGACACCGCCTCGCCCTCCCCCTGGACCTTGCCCCAGATGCCCGGCTCATGCACAGCGGTCGCGCTTGTCGTCATGGAAGCCCCACGGACTCCAACGCTGCCACCTCGTTGCGACGCTGACGAGAGGCAACCGCCCGCTGGCTTGCAGCATTTCATGTCGAGGGCAATAGGCTAAGGCACGGCTGCTTCCGCCCCTGGTTGGAGCGGGCATGCTGGTGGTCCTTCTGCTGGGGCTAGCACGAATGGTCAATTTGTGTCCCTCTTATAAACACGCAGGCCATCCTCGTCCCAGAGGAGACAGGACCACAGAGCTACACCCTCCGATTGACACGAGCGTGACCCAGAGCCTCGTCTGACCTCGCCCACTTCACTCGTGGTCCTTCGCCCAGCCTTTGCCACAGCCAACCAGCCCTATCACGGGACCACGCGTCGTAGTCACGTCCCTTCTGGTTTTTGCTTGCCTCTTGGTTCACGGTGACCAGCGGAAAGTCGAATCGCCATAAAAGAACGGCCTGCGCGTGCGGCCAGAGACACGGGCAGAATGGCGTCCAAATCACAAGCAGCAGCCACAGCGGCACACACAACATCATTCAAATACAAGCAGGCACTCGCCATGCAGGAGGAGACCCGCAGAGCGCGCAAGTTCGAGAAGACCGAGTCGGACCTCTCGTCCCTCGCCTTGCGACAGACCACCGCCCCCAGCTCCTCAAAGTTTAGTGCGGCAGGAAAGCTCCAAGATGCCCTCTCCTACTTTGGGACCAAGAACCCGTTCCCTCGCACCATTGACAGAGACGATACAGTCTGGCTTCTTGACAACACCGCTTACCGCAACGCCAAAACTGGCAAGTGGGAGACCGAATATGTTGCGGCCATGTTCTCGCAACACTCGTCCTGTGCTGTCATCGATGCCGTGAACCTCGTCGCACAGCAGATCGAGCTACAGGAGAGTGATGACGGATACCCCACCTTGCAGGAGCGGCTCATGCCTTTCATCCAGGACATCCGGCCGGGAACCACAGTTCGTGTTCTGCACGGTGGCCAGTCGCCACTGATCAAGCTCGGACCTAGTGGGAGGAACGGCATCAGCGCAGACATCAAGCAGATCCCCGACAGCACGAATGGGCACATCACCACAACGTTTGCCAAGGTGCCCAAAGGCGCCAATGGCATTCTGGAGTGCAGGACCTTTTATGCGGAGCCCGAAGGTTGGGGCGTCATCTCTGATGTGGACGACACCATCAAGGTCACCCAGACTAGCGATCCGATCGGCATCCTGCGTAGCACCTTTGTCGACACTCCTCAAGTCTGCCCCGGCATGCCGGAGCTCTATCAGCGGATACAGGGGATTATCAAGGAGACGTCGCCTTGGTTTTATCTTTCTGCCTCACCCTATAATCTGTACCCGTTCCTTCGAGACTTCCGCCAGCACAACTTCCCGCACGGCACCATCATTCTTCGTGACTCTAGCTGGATGAGCATTCCTGGTTTACTGCAGACATTGACCTTGGGCACGGAAGACTACAAGGTCGACCGCATGGAGAAAATCCACTCATGGTTACCGAAGCGCAAGATGATCTGCATTGGCGACTCCACACAATCAGACCCGGAGGCTTACGGCGAAATGTAAGTAGACCCCCTTTCCGTGATTTTCTTGAGAAACCTTTGGCTGACAGTTATCGATCAGTTATCGGAAATATCCTGGCTGGGTCAGGCTTATACTCATCCGCAAGGTTGAGGACATTGCCGCTATTGGCATCGAGGGCAAGAACGAGCTGAAACGCTTCGAGGATGCGTTCAAGGACGTGCCGCGGGATGCATGGCACGTCTTCCATAGCCCGACAGAGTGTGATGAGCTCATTCAGCGTGTTGTTGCAAAGGATCCCTGAGCTGGGACTAGTTGAGGACATGACTTTACGACCACAGACTACTTTTCTCGCGATCGGGATTGCGGTCGTGCGTCTGCGTTCCACTGTTGTTTCGGACATTAGCGTGTGGGCATGCTCTTTCAGATTTTGTACAAGCTTATTTGTTGATACCACGTAATGATATTTCGACATGCATGCTGTGGCTCGGACTTCATCGGGCCGATAAAGTATTCTCTCAAACAAATCTACTACTGCCTTATTGCCTGTTCAACAACAGCAGGAATCTTTCAATCGCGCGAGTGACTCGCAACTTGTGAGCGCCTAGCCGTCCACAACTTCCACAAAGGCATGCAGATATCTGGTTGTTGAGCCTGGCTGCTATCTAGTGACAGCCACATCTCGGCCTTCCTCGATACAACACGCGACAATCTGAAACACCCGCTCGACGCCTTCAACAGTCACGAACTACCTGGGTGCAGCGCTTTCAGAGCGCACTACCTCCAGACCCAGCAGGTACAGGTGCACTACCGACCCCCGTGATGACCTGAAGCAAGAACCGGAGCGCCTCCTCCGCGAACGAGATCATGTTGGCCTCGCGGTCGGTGCCGTTGCCCGTGTTGCTAATCTCCTTGGTGTCCACGACGGCCTCTCCCCCGCTGGGGTCAGTCGTGGCCGCGCTGGCGACGGCCAGGGCGACGTAACCACTTTTTCCCGTGCGTGGAGCAAAAAGAAAGCACGGGGAGATCAGCGGGGAGTTTATAAAATCAGGGAATGGAAAGCATGGAGATCCGTAAAGTTACACGTGCGTAGGGCAGTAGACAGAAGGAATGGCCACTCACGGCGTTCGGTTCGGCGTGTTTCCACCCGTCGGGCCTGCGGTGCCCGACTCGCAGACTGTGTACGTGCTGCCGAGTCTTGCACGGACATTCTCGGCGAGGCCTTGCACGACCTGTGGTGTTGGGCCCCGGTAGGCGTCAATGTCGGCCTGGGTCCAGCCGGCTAATTTTGGTCGAGTTCCTTCTTGTTAGCTCTTCTCCTCCCCTCGATAGAGGACGTTGGTTCTGGTTTCTCATATGATCATGGAAAGAGGTGCTTGTGTTTTGGGGATAGAAATCAACGTGGGGAGAATGAACTTACCGAACGCAACTCTTGACTCGAGGGTGTACAGCTACAGGTTTCCATTGTTTGTAAGCATGAGCACGCCGTGCCTGCGGTCTTCTTGCTTAACAGAATCATGAGACGAATGCGTCAGGGATGGTGGATTTCGTACCGTCAGTCCTCCCTTGAACACCTTTGAAGCACCCGGCTGCGCGAGCAACGAGGCCGAGATGATGCCTCCAGCAGCCTGTCCTGCTCAGTCAGCCGCGTGATCACACACCAGGATGATTCCCCTTCGCAATGTGCCGAACCAGCATTGAATGTGTGACACCTTCGAGCATCTTTGGGCTGAACAGCAGGCTGAAACTCAAATTGTGGATGATTCGCCGCCCGGGTTGGTGAACATACCGTCTCGGCGACGCTGACAGTCTCTTTGCGCAGTTTCAGAAGGGCGACCACTTCAGCGGCCAGAGCCCGGACTCTCAGAGGTGGGAACTCCTTTGGCCCAACCATGGCTGCGGCTTGCAAAAGTTGCTGGAGTTCAATGTAGGAGAAGGTGCGTCGTGAAGATCTGGATAGAAAGTGGAATTCAGGCCAGAAGAGGAGTGAACGTAATTGGATCGAAGACCTCGAAATTTATGAACACTGTCTGACGATGAACGTCATCCATAACGTCGGCACTTGGAGATGGGGCACCTCGTCCCTTACCCCACCCACTGCAGGCCGGTGCGGAGAAGGCACCAGCAACCACCGGGGACTTGACGGCATCCGGGCAGCCAATCAGCTGCTTACACAACGGAGAACCTTCTTGATTTAACCGCAACGCAGCCCAAGCAGGAACCATTTGAGCAAGTTTGTTTTCGCGGAAGTGGACGAGCATCAACGACTCCAGGATATGGATGTAAGAGATGCTGAGAATGCCTTGGGTAGACATGTCGTCATATACAGGTGTTTGAATGTCTTGCGATAGCATTTGATCCGGCATGATCACTCGATAGCATTAGTTGGAAATCAATAAATATATTATTTGCTATTATTTGTGGTAAAGATCGTGGGTTCAGTTTGGTCATTGAGAACGTGCAGTCGTGTGATCATGTAAAGGAGTGTTGTGATGTGAGCCCCGTAGGGCTTAATGTGGTTCCAAGATCAGGTCCACGATCTAGCTAGGGCAGCCGTCACCCCAGCGGTTGCTGACGTAGCAAGTATCGCCGTCTCCGCAGTAGGTCAAGACTGCGATACCACCGTTGGAGTTGACGCAAGAGAAGAGAGTGTTGTTTTGGTATGGAATCGTAGTGGGCAAGCCATAGGCAGTAAGGGCGCCAATGACGCGCTGCGAGTAGTCGCCTATCATGGTGGATAAAGTGTCAGAACGTCAAGCAATGACAAGCAAAGATCTCCGAAATTGACAGATATTACACACCTATGTCGAGAAGGTGAGAACCGCACCACTCCCGGTCTTGAGTACAGAAGGCTGCGGAAGCCAGGGGCGTGAAGGCCGCAGCGCCTGTGAGGAAGAGTGTCGAGATACGGACCATTTTCTGGCGAGCTCTAGATTATGCGAGGCAGTTCAGTGATATTTGTAGGAGGAAGGGAGACTGAGGAAGGAGGTAGGTGTCTGGTGCTTGCTTGTCATAAACATATGCCCTGTCATCGTGCAGAACTGTTGCTCGTTTTATACTTGCTGGATCACGGTGAATCACTTGACCCAAACACGGAACTTCGTCACTTCGTCGCCACAAGGAAGACCTGAGCGGTCTAGAGCCGTCAGCTCGCGATCTGATGACAAGAGTAGTCGCATCGGTGATTACGCGGCAGGACCCTTTCCTATCTTGTGAGTCTCGGCCAGGATCGTCCAGGACGTATGGACGAACGATCCAGGCCGTCCCAGTAGCAAGGCACTCAAAGGGTCCGAGCCCCCCAGAGGGCGAGGCCCATCCAATGACAAGATTGTCCACAGCTTTGGAAGACTTTACTAATGGCAACTTTGTCGACTTCTGCCGCGAGCAACGGGAATAAACGCCCGACACCAGGGTGCTGAACGGAACCGCTCAGCCGTCCAGCCGCTGCGTCACGATGTCTTATGACATGCATTGTGACAAAGCACAGCCAATGAAGTGGTCGACAAGCCACGCTAAAGGTGAGACATGCGTTACCATCGGCGTGGCTGGAAAGGGAAGACAGCCAGGCAGGTCTTTATGAAAGTCTTTCCCAGGCAGCCTAGGCAGGCCGCTTGAGCATTGTGACAACCTTTAAAGCTTGTCCAGGCCTGTTGGGGAGAATGTCTAAGACATAAGACACTACCTAGACCGAGGCGCGGACAGTGCCACGGACTTGGGGTCTTGTGGCCGCCTCCGCGACCCCTCTTCTCTCATAACAATGCCAGCAAGTGGTCTCTCCCGCGGTTTCTCTGCTCATTGATCTAACGCCCCATGACATAGGCATTGTCAGCCGCACAAAAGCCTTTGCAGATCACGAGGCTTGATTCGGGCTATGATACAACGGCACCTCCAATGGCGGCGTTCTTGGGGGTTGCCGATCCGTGCTTGCTCTGTATGGTGAACTTCAGCTCGCTGGCCACTCTGAGAAATTTGCGAGGCGAGCGGGAAAAGGCCCCGTTTGTGCTAGGCATCAGGAGCGGGCAGTGCGGATAAATCCAGATGGGACACGTCTGAGGGGATTGCTGCTGCCCTGCTGGGCCATTTAGAGGAGGATGAGTCCAACCCGTGCACAGAGATCGGTTTGGCTGGCCTTGTTTATACACAAAAGCGTTGACCTCAACGCCTGAGAGTCGACCGTTGCTCGCTGGAGCACCGTCCGTTAAACCTTGATGTCGTGGACTGAGGCATACTGATGACTCAGCATTGGGGGAAGGCGCCTGCTGCACGTCAGACAGTGGTAATGCTCCAGAGGTTGTCGTGCGGGGGCACGTCGGATTGGCCGCATCGACTCACAGCAGCCGCCCGACTTCCTTCCTCCCAAATACAAGACCATTGAGCATTACCCTGGCACTTCCAAGACATAGCCTCTCCGTGACAGCTCACTACTGTCCTCGCATCTTCACCAGTCTCCCACGTTCCCGCCGCCCTCATCCGACAGGGCCGCTAAAGGTACAGGGTCCCTAAACTTGTTGTGAGACAGTGAAGGCCTGACCACACCTTGTCCTGTAGACACCTCGGCCAGACCGCCTCAGACTCCAATCCAGAGCGGCTCTCACACACCCTCCAGCCATGTCAGACGGGCCAGACGTTAAGCGTCAGAAGACATCAGACGGCTCAGGCTCATCGAGTGGCACGGAGTACGAGCTCATCTACTGGCCTGGGATTCCGGGTCGCGGTGAGCACGTCCGGCTGTGTTTCGAGGAAGCTGGCGCCTCGTACACCGATTCTGCGCTTCTCGATGGAGACGCCGGTGGCGTGAAGGCTGTCATGGTCCAGATCGATGCCTCCAACAAGGGCAGCGCCTCCAGCCCCCCTCCCCTTGCTCCACCAGTCCTACGACACGGGGATCTCACCATTTCGCAATTGCCAAACATTCTCCTGTATCTGGGCCCTCGTCTTGGCCTGGGCCCTGCGCTCACTGGTGGGGATATTCCCAAGGAGATCTACAATATCAATCAGCTAGCATTGACAGCGCTTGACGGCCTCAGCAACGAGCCGCATGATTGCCATCATCCCGTTGCTGTCGGTGACTATTATGAGGACCAGAAGGACGAGGCGAAGCGGAAATCCAAGGACTACGTCCGCAACCGCCTGCCAAAGTTTCTCGGCTACTTTCAACGGGTGCTCGAGGGCGAGGCGAGCGGCAATGGGCCCTGGCTCCACGGCGGTGCTTTAAGCTGGGCAGACATTGTCCTGTTCCAGGTCAGTCCTTCCCTTTCCACAAAGTGGCGTCTACTAGAATGCATCGAGCTAGTCTCGGATGGTCTGGACACCACACGATTAGTGACTTGGCTGTGCGTAAGCTAATGCTCACTTCCCAGGGCCTCGATGGCGTCAAATTCGCATTTCCCAAGGCGACAGGCGCGGCTGAGAAGTCAGGCAAGTACGACAAGGTGTTTGCCTTGTATGCCGCGGTCAAGGAGCGACCAAACATCAAGAAGTACCTCGAAAGCTCAAGACGGCAGAAGTACTCGATGGGCATCTACCGATATTACGAGGAACTAGATTTTGACCTCGAAGAATAGGCACTTGTCTACCGGTCCACATATGTACCTACCTAAAGTAGATAAGTGAACCAGAACCACCAGACAAAGCAGCACAATATTTTGGGCGCTTAACCAAACAAATCGCCTCGCTTGAGACGCCCGATTCTGCTGTGCGATCCTGAGTCTTTGCCGACGCGGATCACGTTGATTAGTCCTTTGATGTCCATAGCGCCGATCCCCACAGCCCTGCACGACGGGCGGCTCTGTAAACAGGCCCTTATGCAGACTGATAATACCCTGATTGATCTGAGGCGGGCCAGGGTCGGTGGCGCCCTCTGGGAGACCCTCGTCGCCAGGGCTCTCGTCAGTGACTGAATCACAAATGACGTTACGTGGCTGCGGTGATGGTGGGGTCCTGGGCGTTGGTCTCGGCTCATGGTGCTATCGCGACGGAGGAAAAAGGAAAGATACTGACTAAAGACGGGGACAACGGCGCTGCACTTACCAGTACGAATTGACCCATTCGCCACAGCACAGTCTGTTCTCGCCGTGAGAATACCAGAGGAGCCAATCTACCAAATTCATCAGCAACGTCATCAGTATTTGTCCAACGTACGGCTCATCGTCCTGGCCTAGATTCTGTGGGAACATGATCTGCCTGTCTTCTCGAAGCTCGGAGGGCAGAAAGCCACGGCCAAGAAACTTTGTCTAATGAGTGAGAGAATCTTGCTTACTTAGATCAAGCACGTTGAGCGAGTAATAGTCTTCGTTGTAGTCGTAGTTGTAGGCTTTGACCTTGCACGACCACGGCGCCTGCTCGTAATCCGAGCGGAGATTCGTGCGCTGGCATTCCTTGGTGCAGTCCTTGATGCCGCCGTAGGTTCTGATCCCGTGTCAGCAATGCCAGAACAAGGCGACGATGAGCCGTTTGACGCGCGTGCACCCGGTGGCGAGTGGCTTCCCGTGGAATCCGGCAATCAGAAGTGGTGTGGCCATGGAAGGGAACCTACCCTCCGAGGCTGACGATGATGACGCCGTGCCAGCATGCGAAGCACTTGTCGAGGTTGATCGAGGTCCATTTGCCCTCGGTGCCGTTTTCGCCGCACTCTGCGGAGATCCACGTGTTGTTTAGAGTCCATTCTCCGTGTCGCGTGTCTGCATCAGCCAGCAATGTCTCTTAACCCGATTGCCACGAGTCAAAAGCATGCCGTATATCACGGGCACTGCACATGAGTCTCACACATGACGCATGCAACTCAAGGCAGACTCGCCGCACCGTATTGAGGTGACGTCCCTTCCGCGTCCATGCTTCCTGGTGCTGCGAGAACGGCCAAGAAGGAGAGTGAGGCGACTTGTGGTCCATCCGGTGTTGCAGTACGGACTGAAGCCGGTCTCTGCGAGGGGCAGACGAGGCGGCGAGCACGAGGCTCACAAGGCCGGTCAACAGGGCCGAGAAGAGGTAACACATTGGGGGCCCCGGGTTTTCGCAGATGGCGTTGATTCGTGGTTGAGAACTATGGCGGGCTGTGAATGATCTGAAGCATTGAAGCGCTGGAAAGGTGCTGGTGTGGTGGGTGGGATCTTTTTGAGTTGTGTGAAGTGTCCGGGTGGTACATAGCGATGAAGATGGGCTCCCATTTCCTTCCGCACGAGTCGAAGTAATGGAGGTACCAAGTCCGATGGCGATAAGAGACTGGGACTGTTGCCTTGCATTTTCCTAATTGTCCGCTTGTGCAATGCCTAATCACTTGAATTCAGGTGGAAGCCGTATCTAAAGAAACGAACTTCACTCAAATACTGACATGACGACCAGCCGCTGACGTCCATGTTGCTCTATAGCTAGCCTACTGTTGAGATTACGAGACCGCTTAGACGAAGAACTATTGTGGTTGATCTGGAACAAATTGTTATGATGGCAAATTTCGCGAGAGGTAATGCCCCTCTGGCCATTTTTAATAACACACTAGACCATGAATAGCAGGGAACACTTTGTCAATCGGCCACGATTGAACATGCCGTGGAGGCATCCAGTAACTCCGGCTCCATAAAGACCACGCTACCTTAGGCAGTCCCTTTGATTCCAGGGTGTGCACAATCAGGGTGCTGACGACATGAGAGCACTTTGTCTCCCCACAACAGCTGCAACCCCACGCAGCCATCGCCATTACCACCCATCACAACCATAACACGCGGCGGCCCGCACCTTGGCGGCAACCAGCGAGTGCTGGGCGGGAGGTGCCGTCGCCAGACCCGAGCTTGGCGCCCGATCTCGCCGCTCGGCGGGGCCGGACCCTGCACATCCGCGCCCCCGGACTCGTCGGAGCACCACGCCCGATCTCGAGCCGTCGGCCCCGTCATCGGATGCCCCGGCCGAGGTGGCCACGACTTGCCCATCGCAAACAGGTTGGACCACTGCGTCTTGGCCACCCGACGACACGGCGAGCCAATTCCATATCATCTCGGGTTCTTGTAACTCAAGACGACGTCAACCGCGACTGCACCAACGAGAGAGTGACGATCGTCGATTTTTGATCCCCACGCATCTAGGGAGAAGCACACACATTCACACCCCCTCAGCCACCAACCATGGCCAGTCACGACACAAAGATTGTGCTCATCACTGGTGCCAACACGGGCATCGGATGGGAGGCTGTCAAGGCTTTTCTCCAGTCCGACGCGCACTATCTCGTGCTCATGGGCAGCCGCTCACTCGACAAGGCCGCCGAGGCCATCGCCAAGGTGCGACAGGAGGTGCCAAATTCACGCAGCACCGTCGAACCCGTCCAGGTGGACATCTCGAGCGACGACTCGATCCAGTCTGCGTACGAGGCCGTGCAGACCAAGTACGGCAGGCTCGACGCTCTCGTGAATAATGTCGGTATGTTGCGTCTGCTGCTCACTAGCATCCAGTCCTCGGACTGGAGCGGCCTTCCCCCCCAGCCGACGAAAACCCGTCCCAGACTGGCATTGATGAATAAATTCTGTGCAGGCGCATCATACGAGGGCGAGGCCAGGCAAGGCAAGTGCACCATGCGCGAGGCCTGGAACAAGAACTTTGACGTCAACGTCTCGGGCACGTATGTCATGACCCAGACCTTCATGCCGCTGCTCCTCAAGTCCAGCGGCGGCGGCCGGCTCCTGTTCATCACCAGCGGCCTGTCCAGCCTGAGCAAGTACAGCGAACAGCCGTACCCGGCCCCGAAGCCGCCCGCGGGCGAGGGCAAGTGGCCAAAGGAGGAGCTCGACCAGTTCAACGACACGATGGCCTACCGGTCGACCAAGACGGCGCTCAACATGATGATGCTCAACTTTGCGTGGCAGCTCACAAACGACAACGTCAAGGTCTTTGCCATCAGCCCCGGGTTCCTGGTCACGGGCCTCGGCGGCATGACGGAGGCGATGAAGAAGCGTCGTGCCGGGCCGGCTAGCGTTGGAGGGCAGTTCATCAAGGATGTCGTCGAGGGCAAGAGGGATGCGGATGCGGGCAAGATTGTCCATTCGAACGGGAGCGTCCAGCCGTGGTGATGCCGAAGAAAAGAATCAAGATCCCATGCCGTACACATTACAGGATTCTCTATTCGCCTACGGACTCGTCCCTGCAGGTATTTGCGCCCTCTCATCATCCTCTGAGAGTGACAGTGTCATATACTGCATTAGATTAATCCATTTGATTTGATTTTGATTTTAAGAAACCGCAGGGATGAACCCAGGATGCTCGCATACACGTTGACGTGGTAATGCTTAGAATCCGTTTGTGAGATATCGGCCCCGAATAAATGACGTCACAAATAGCATGAATATACCAAAGTCCCTCTTTGTCAGCTCATGATTCAAGGCCAATGAGACTGTCTATACCAACATTGACAGATGCCAGTGTTTCTGTCAGCTGACGTCGATAAGTGTGCCCCGTGGCATATCGTGTTGTGAGGTTTGGCTGGAACGTCAACAATATGGAAGACAAGGTTGGCTACCATAATGGTTTCCTACTAGGTTTTCCATGATTTCGAAATTCACTCGGAGCGCTCAGTCATCCGTGGCAAGCAATCCCATTCCAGGTCACAATTGCCAGCTCCTGTCCCATGAAGAAGAGCTTGCTCACAAGTAGGGAATCCGCACCATGACTGGATGCACGTCCCTTCCGAATAAAGTAGAGGTAGCATCCTATTCTCAAAGATACAAGTCAACCGGTACTCCCATAAGACTACTTAAGTACCCATTCATTCAGAAGTGACTGCGTCAGCTAAACCTACGCAGGAATGCCCCAAACGCCATCGTAAGATCGGCCCAACGCTAGACCCCTGATCACGCCATCAAAAACGTCAGCACCGCGCGCCGAGTTCTCTGGTAGGCGGCGGCGGCGATCTCACATTTTTGTTCGCAGTTCCTTGTCATTTGTTCCCAGTTTCTTGGGGAGGGGTGTGCAGTATCGCCTTGTTGCAGCCACTGGTCGCTCCTCCTCCAACGACGAATAGCATGTGATGTAATCTTGATATCGTCAATTCAGCCTTCTAGGGCATGGAGCCCCACCCTGCAACGGAGGACTCGGAAGCAGCCACACATGGTTTAGGGGACCTTAGGTTATGATCTGGGGTTGCCAAGCTTTTGCATCCCTCCGGGGGGGCGGACTGCTGTGTGATCCGTGCGAACGCAACGCAGGCCAGACCAGACACACACTCACACACACACATACACCCGCGATCTGGAGGAAGTTCTAATTATGGGGAGACCGATATCACCCCCCCCTTTTCCCCCCCGGCTGTCGTCGGCAATTTTAAGGTTTCTTGCTTTGCTGGGTCTGGCCACAGCCCATTCCGACACTGTCGACGACAACAACAAGGCCCGGAGTACCGGTGCTCCTCCGTGCAGCGACGAACGGGGGGTCGTGTCGAGCTGGGTCTGTGTCCCTGCTCCTGTTCCTGCTGCCTGCTCCGGATGGTCGGTCGTTCGTCGCTGGAGACACTCGAGTGCGGCAGTGGTAAGTAATGATAAGCAGCAAGGATTGCGGTATGGGGTTTCAGCTGGCGCGGTGCTTCGATGTTGTTTGGTGGCTTGCCGGATGCGGCAGCTCAAGGCGACGGCCCGGACGGTCTAGACCGTTCCCTCCGTGAACCCCGAAATTTTGGAGAAGGGAGGGAGGGAGGGAGGGGGTTTGCATTGACTTGAAGCAACGGAGATGATGGCCCGCCGCCGCATGGTCCAGGCAGACAGACGGCCCGTCATCTGGTAGGGCAGACCGCAGCGGCGCAAGTGGCTGCGGGAGCGCCTTGCCCAACATGGAAAAAGGTAATCACTCATGAAGAATTTGTCATTGTTGGAGACTGGAGGGGATTGTTGGAGAGGTTTGAACACAAATAGTGGTGTGGTGGTGGCAGCTTGATTGATAGCACGCTGCGCTAGCGACGAGGGGGGATGGATGGCCAGCCAAAGGAAAAGGGGACGAGAGACAAACCAGCAGCGGTCGCTGGACTCACGTCATCCAATCAACGGCGGGCGTGGAGACGGCGCCAATTCCGAATGACACCACTGCAGAGGCTTTTTGGACGGTGAGAACTGGGATCATTGGAAGGGGGTGGAGCCTTGCCAATGTCTCACAGTGATCCGCCTCTGAGAAGCCAAGCCACACGGGATTTAGGTCGTTGATGATCCTCAGTATGGGATGGATGAGCACCAGAGCTCCCAGGCGTCCCAGCAACTTTGCGCACAACATCATGACAAAGGCCAAGGAGAGACAGAGCAATCAGAATGGTATCCCAAACTGCGACCAATAAGACACATTTGCGGAGCTGTCGGTCAAAGTTCAGCTGGAAGTGCCGACGAGAAAGCCAATCCTTATGAAACCGGTGAAGTTAGCTGAGCTTAACATTGATATTCCACACTGTCGGGACGCGCCTGGGAAAAATGCTCCTGGGGCTGGCTGAGCCATCTTCTCATTACCAGCAGAACCAGACAGCGCGCCAAGAAGCCATGGACAAAATTGGAAATTGCAAAGTGGAGATACGAGCCAACTTATCTCGAGCTCGCTCGTATTCGGTACGCAGTGCATTCTGCGTGCTTGAACAATTGGGTGAGTGGCTGCATAACGGCGGCGCCGCGCCATGAGGACCACGGCTCGGGTCTGGAGCCGAATGGAAAAGACATCGCTGGGCGCAAAACTCAGTTCTGGATTGGAGGAGAACAACTGGCTGCTAGGTACCCTCACCGGACAAGCCCAAGCTTCCGTAACCCCTGAGCGGATCCTTGCCCGCTGAGGAATAAGGTTTAACAGGACACACCCTCCTGACAGGGTTCCCCCCTGGAATGCATGGCAAGTCAGGTCATGATGGACCACACCTTGCAGCGGCAATTCTGACACGGGCACGCACCTCCGCTGGGGGGCGCGCGACCCAGTTGCGGAGAGGCAGCTTGCCAGGTCCCGTGACCGAAAGGCTATGTACGGGGTACAGAACCATTTCTTCCATTTACCGGTAGCCAGGGAGCCATGCCCTCTGGAATACCAGCTAGTCGGAACGCCCCAGCTCGGCATTCCCACCGGACTTTCCCTGTGGACGATCCTTGTTGGACAAAAGAACCCTGCTGGCGGTACTGCTGGGAGACATTACGGTGCCCGAGATGAGGACTGGCGGTACAGTGCTGCTATGAGGAGTCGCGAAAGGATCCCTAGAGTAGCATATATGTTATTGCACTTTTGGTGTCCACTCTGGAGCAGGCTATTGGGGCAGAAGTTTATGGGTGCTTGAGCAGGCCGAAAGTTGCAATTCTGTAAACTCTATTCTTCTCAAGACTTGGCTGGCTGGAGCGACCCTTGTGAGTACCTTGAAAGGCTGGACTGTTCTGGGATGACCACCTTCAGGGATCAATGTCACGTTGGCGAGACACATTGGATGAATAATTAACCAGCCAGACTCCAAACCCTGAACAGTCAACCAACCACCGTTAATAGCAAGGGCAGATAACTCTGGTGGCTCCGGTGCTGATTCTGCCATGCCTGTCTACCATGGGGGGAGACCACCAATATCGGAGCAATCATAATGACAGGTCGAAGCCCATGCGGGGCATTTGGCATGGCGAACTGAAATGCATGTCTGGCAGTTGACCTGACATTCTGCACGTCTGTGATGTACGTAGATCACAACGCTATAGGTGGATCAGCATGGGCTGGCCATTCTTTATCTTATTTTCTTATTCTATTATATAGCAGCGATCAGGATACGAACGCCTTGACCGCAACAATACCTGAATGACTGACCACACGCTGAAACGTCTCCAAATTATGCCCCGGCGAACTTGAGCACGAAGAACCTGCAGTTGCGTCGCGTAAAGCCCGTAACAAGCAAATGCATTGGCATTGAAACGACATGAAGGGCTAAGTAATACCTGCCGCTCGGGGGCGGGGGGTACGTCGAAGCCAAGGCTCTGAAACCGGTGACACAGGATGCGCTCTAGACGCGCAACCCAACTTAGAGATATATTCTCCAAGGAATAAGTCCGGGGTTTCCTGCTGAGGCCAGCAAAGCTCCACCCTGTGAGCCGCTATGGAAGCTCAATGACACACAGGGTGTTGCGTGTATCTAGAGATCCTTGTTCTGTCAGCCAATTCATATGTACCCCCAACTTCCGCGATTTTCATGAACGAGGCAGCCCTCCAGGAGTTCTTGTTCCCGCATCCAACAAAATGTATTGGCGTCGTCCCGCGTGAATTCAACGTTTCCACTGTTGACACGCCAAGGATCGACTCCTACGGTGCTGCAGGGTTGTCACAGTGAAGCATGATAAGCGCTGTCAGGGGGAGACGTACATGGGGCCCTCTCATCTGGTATTGGGTTGACCTTGCGAGCTGCTGCCACCACCACTGATCCTCCACCTCGAGCTAGCGCGCAAATCACGCACGGCAGAGAAGGGGCGTGGGTTGCCTGCGGGCTCGCCCGTCACTGGATACTGACCACTGACTGCTCACATGCCTTGTGGAAGGGGTGCCTGTCTCGCGGCAAGTGCAAATCACCAGAGGCCGCGTGTACTAGGCTGAGCCGCGGCCAGTAACTGCGTAGGTACGGCAGCCAGGATCATGACTTGTGGGTGTTGTGGACACGGCAGGCAGGTGATGGCCGGACCCCGGCGTGGCCGATCTCCTGCTTCATGTGCCGTGTGTGTGTGCCCCCCGCCCTCCCCCCCCCCCCCCTTGCGGTTGACGAGCCCAGGATACGTTGCCGCATCAGGCTTTGTTTAATTGCCATTTCCAAGACCGCCAGCAATGCGGACCTCCGAGACTCTGTCCTCGATAAACCAAGCAGTGCCCAAATCCGCCATCTTGTTGGAATACCCAAGCTGGTCGGCTGCCCTTGCAGATGCCGCCTAACGCATAATCAAAGGGGTGGCCATGATGGACGAGAGAGGCACTCCCCCTACTCAGTACGGTCGGTCGCAGGACGGAAAAGAACACCCAGGTCTGAAAATCCACGGCAGAGAGCACAAGTGCCGGCCGGAGAATATCTTACTTTCCATGCCGCCCGCCAAGCCATCAGCCTTGTCGAAGCTGGCTTGCCGCTCAGCACATTCGCGCACCGGCATTCCTGACTCGGCCGAGTTCCCGTAGCTTGGTCAACTCTGGTGGTTTGACGATCATCAGACGGCGTATGACTAGCAACCTTATTTTTTTTTTCCTCCAGACTGGAATCGGCGACCGAGGGGGGCCTGCTGCTGCCGGTAGTTACGGGTTCGTCTTCGCGTGAACTCAAAAGTCTGGACTGGCCCTGGCCGGACGAGTGCCCCGGGACAGTTCTTCCGCTACACCTGGTCGCCGTGGCACGGGCAGTAGTTTGAGCTGTCTTCTTATCAGCCCGTCTGTGTGTTGCTGAACCAGCACCATGGTCCCGGAGCAAATGTCGTCAACAGCATAAGATGACGCACTACCGCTCACGAGCCGTCTTGTCGCGGGATATGTCTGTGAGTTCGACCTGCCTTATCAAGTCTCGTGTGGTGTGTGCTCTAGACGTGGGGGAGACTTTGGAGTCCCGGCTCTA